GGTGGAAGCAACCCTTTGCTCTCCACCTTTGGATAGCTTGAAATAGATCCCAACCTACCCAGCCATTCTCCCTTGTCTCGCGCAGTTGCAGTGTAGGCCTCGGAGATCCAGCCGCTCGTGGAGACCCAGGGACCGTCCTCACAACTCGCGCACATGCAAGAAAGATACAGTAGATGCTGATGATTAATTTGATACCTTGTGCGGCACAGTAGCTTGTTCGGGTGTTGACTATTTGCAGGTGAAAGTTGAAAGTCTTGGTGGGGTGCGTCGTTTGGTTGTGTGCGTCGTTTGGTTGTGTGCGTCGTTCGGTTGTGTGCGTCGTTCGGTTGTGTGCGTCGTTCGGTTGTGTGCGTCGTTCGGTTTTAGGTCACGTTATCTCAAAGCTGTAACTCACTGTGACAAGCTTCATATCGGCTCTTGCGACAACTTCGTCCATTGTTTCAGTCTACGGAGAGTTTATAAATATGACTAAGTTACATCTGCTGAACACAGCATCAACGCCTGTCGCGGAGTGCGCGCTGCCCCTAGGGTCAGGGTGCCCACGAAACAACAAGCAGTTTTCCGTGTGTCACCTGCACCCTGTTATAAACCAGACGAAATAGCAATGTTTGTTGTCCATCTCATGACTCATTCTGATCACAGTGTCTGGCATAAAATAGGAGTTGCAGCCACTAATGATTTTAACCTAAGATTGTGATCTTAGTGGTTAAGGACCCGCAAACTCAACTGCACGGAAGCCGACGACATAAGAGCCTTGCCTTTCGTCTGTCATATTGGAAGTTTTAAAGACCTCCTGAGCAAGAACATCGCACTCTTCGTTGATGTCTCAAAGCAATCACGCACACTCTTTACACAGCGGTAAACGAATTCTTGAAAACCCAGCCACTCCAGAAGCCAAGAAGCTGAAGAGACGGCAACAACAACAGAGTCCTTTTCTTTCCCTGTCCGTTTAGAAGAGCTCCGGTCTCAGCTCATACACGAGAGAGTCCTCGATGGAAAGTGCGCCATTTATATTTTTGATGACACTGGTCATCCTTGGGGGTTGAGAAAGTTGTTTAACAGCCTACCTAACCTTGTCAGGAATGATACCACTACCACTTTTCCGCGTTTACAAAGCGACCTGATAACCTCAATATCTGAGGCAATCGCGGATTTCACGGGGGGCCTCAGTACGGTCCTGGAGGGGAGTATCCAAACTGGCGGTTCACCAATGTCGAGTGGAAGCGGCGCATCATCCGATTTTGCAGAAAGCTCCACAAATCCACTGATGGCTCGATCGATAGCGGATATGAACGAAGAACCGCCTCTTCAAAGTCGCCTTGGAGACTCGCCAACACTCTACCATCTTTTAGCGGTGAATGGTAACTACACTGCATTGATGTGCCTCCCCCCTCAATGTGGGGCAATTCCGCCGCTTCTTCATGACCTGATGTCGCAGTTTCTGCGGCTCTGCTGGCAGCATCGATCAATGTCACACCTGCCTGCAAAAGACACAAATCAAAAGAGTCGCAAGAAAACCCGAACAACGCGATTCATGGACCTTCCTCCGGAGGTGCGCAGCATAGTTTATAAAATGGTCATGAAAGATCTGCCCACGCGTGTGTACATGAACTATCGCATCAACATATCGCGACTGGTATTCTACCCCGGTTTATTGCCATCAATCTGTTTTGTGTCGAAAAAGGTTCGTGAAGAGGCCTGTCTGTCATATGTTGAGCGCACTTGCTTTGTTCTTCTGGATGGAGCAAGGGACTTGTTCCAGCAGCAAAAAGCATTGTTGGATTGGCTGGGCCAGTTCCCTAAACGTACCGGTTTCAAAGCAATTCGAATGCTGTCTTATCAGAACGACCTCCTCAATCGCAGTTGGACCCCGCTCAACTCGACTTCTCACCCTACAACGCTTTTGAAAGAATGTACCGGACTAAAACGGTTGAGCATTGAATTCAGTATCCGGTTCGTCTTGAAATATCTTACCAGTGGACCCAGCCCGACACATGATCATGTCTACCGGCATCTCCGCTCTGTGGACGATTTAAAGCGCGACATGAATCTTGGAGTCTTGCGTTATATGCAAAGGCTCAAATCTCTCACTGTTATCTGCATATGCTGGCGTGAGTACGCCCATAATTGGCGATGGGACCAATCTCGGATACAACCGGAACGCTTGTTTGAACCTCTAGTTGTAGCCATCAATCAAACTCTGGGACACAGTCGTCGCAAGGTCGATTTACAGGTAATTTACGACAGACCATATCTCTATCCAGGTTAATGTTGATGCGGATATTTGCGAATGAGCAAATGAGCCGCTGGTTCAAAATCCTTTTTCGTGATTCGCCAACGGAGAATCAGTGCTGAAGGGACAATCCCTTGGTGGATTAAACGTTCCAAGGGCGCTACTTTGGCAATAAGATTGGTCAGTATATGTTTGGATCTTGCTTTTCATGTCCGTATTTGTATGTTATGTATAAATGATCATTGTCTCGTTGAGCCTACAGCGTGTTGTGTAGCTGGTCCCTTGAAATGGAATCGAACCTAGAGTCACTAATCTCCGCAAGCCAGACTTCCGCAAATGACTATCCGCAAGTTGCATTGCTCTCTAATGTTAACAGTGAGATTATTCTGATTGGTTGGCTTTTCCCATCAGCATTACCTTCCAACTATGATTTAACAATTCCAGAAGCCGCTCGTCAGTGTCTACGATGGCACCCGTGTAAGTCAACCAAAAGAGCAAACCTTCATGGTGTAGTTTGATGATTAAAGGCACTGTGAACATTCTGCAAACATGGTAAAAGGTTTTCACCTATATCTGGTTCAACAACCAAGACGTACATACATTACAGCGGTCGGTAGTAATGTTCGCGCTCAATACGTCGAACTTAATGTCTTGCAGCGTCGATGTCACTATATATCTCGAGACCACTATATTCATCTACAGTGTAGGGCCGTCGGTACCGGATTGTTAATGAATCAAACATTATATTCGCACAATGTGCGCATGGAATCAACAATACACAATGACCCTGGGGACAGCCGCGCAGCACTCTTGCACAATGTCTGCAACACTGTCTATAGACAATGAGAAAATCTCAACCGTCGCACTCGTGGAATGGACCCCTTAAATACTCCTCTTCTCCCAACGGATCCAGCCAGAACACACCTCGAGGGATCCGGGATTCTCGAAGTTGACACAGTAACCCAACGCGATCACAGTCGATTTTGAGAAACGGGTTACAAAGTGTCCAAATGGAATCCAGCAACGACATGATGTCGGTTGGCAATAGCACTCAGCAGGTGTCATACGGTGACCTCTCTGCCATTCTGCAGGAGACGGAGCGATATGCCAAGGTGATATATGCTTCCTCTTCCGAGCAGTTGCTTAACCAACTCCTGTTCGATTATTGGGATGGCCAGGAGTCTTGTGAGATGCGCACGAAGCCGCCTCAGAAGATTTTGGATGGGATAGTCTTCACGGAAGTTCTGATCCTGCGGGCATGGAATGAACACCGTTTGGGACAGGCAGGTGGATACGTCTATCCACTTCATAACCGTTGCTTCCGTGCGCCCAACTTCCCGTACGACCTCCCGAAGCCCGATCCGGATATGCAGGCATATATTGATCGGGTCATCTTGGATGAGCATGGGAATGTTCGAGACGTAGATGACGCTTTCCCTGCCCGTCGCACCGCGAAACTCATGAACGCTTACTACGCAATCCCTGGCCCACTTGAGCCCAATAGCTTGCGGGTACGTCCTGAGTTACCTCGCAATGATGTTGCAGCTGCTAAACAGCCTGACCCTTCGCCAGTGGCGGTTGAGCAACCCCAGAGTCGTCCTGAGCCGTCCGGAGACGCCAAAGCGAGGGGATCGCAGGGCACAAAGTCCCGTCCAACTGCACATGACGACCACAATCGACTGGCAGACGCACCCGGCACCAATCTGGACTTCCCCAACGGCAATATCACCGCCGTTGAAATCCTGGCCTTCTTCCCCCACTGGCTCAAGTCATGGGACGTAATTGACCGCTTGGTCAGCAACGGTTGGACAACGAGCGTGATGACCAGGGTTATCAACTGTCTCCGTGAGATGCCTAACGGACCAGTCGCTTCAAACACGGTCCTTCGCATGATGGCACCTTCCATGCGCCATCGCCCAGAGGGCCAGTACGCAAAATGGACAGTTGGGTCTCACCAGATGCCAGCGAACTGGGATCCTTCCAGCATCTCAGTGACTGGTTTTCGGACTCCTCGCCTGACCCATCCTCGTACAGGCAATGGTGCGGACACCTTGAACGCCCCTGTGCCTCCGATTCCCTTCAAGGACCTTGCCCGTGGGGTAGAGTTCTGGCCCGCCGGTTATGATGCGCTGGACCTCACGCAGTGCATCCAATATCACGTTGCACACCCTGAAGAGGAGTGGCGCTTCCCTACGGACTTTGGCGCGCTCCTGGACAGGATTGGTAGGATCACGGTACTCCCAGAACACTCCGATAGTGTGGCGTTCCAACGTTGGTGTGCCAACAAGAATCCTACTGATTTGTCTAGGGTTTCTGAAGCAGCTCAAAGCAACGAAAACGCGCCCCGTGGCAACAAGCAGCGCCGGGAGGAGGTTGATTCGTCGTCGCCGGGATCCGGGCAGGTAGAGCGTCCTTCGAAGCGCTTGCGCATTGATTCTGCTGGCGAGTCTACCAATAACGCGCAACAAGGCGGAGTGAATGGTATTAACGACGCCCAGTTCAACCCTAATCCCGCTCAACCCCCTCCCGCGTGTTTCAACAGCCTCGGGTTCCAATATCTTCATACCATTCATCTGCCTCCTCCACATGAGGTCGATGACATGGCGGAGAACATCCGCTGGTCACACCAAAACTACGAGCAGGGGTTCACACTGAGCCCGCAAGACATTGCTACGGTTACGGCTCTGCGGATCAGGTCTGGGTGGTGCTCAGTGCACTGTCTCAATGCCATGGGTAGGAGTGCGTGAAGATATGGCCAGGATGGATTGGACGAAGTCGGTTTGACCAGGCAAGTGAAGTCTCTGTCGGGCCATGATGTATTGGCTAGACACTATTTTTCCTAATACATTGTTGCATTTTCAATAGTTATATCACTCTCTTCTGTACGCGTTTTGTTTTAGTGGAAATTGCTTGTGAGCTGTTTATGTTGGTGAGGAGCTTCGGCCAATGGACGCTGTTTCTGTTCAAGTTTTGGTCTTAAAACGTCCAATTGGCTGACAGCCACATCAATATTGTACTTCATGTTAGGGGTTCAAACAATTAATTTAGGGGAAAGAGGAAAAACCGAAAGAAGCCACTGCGGTACCAACTGCACCCAGTTGCTTCCGGCCCGTTGAACCTCACAGTTCATTTCTTTGCGCGCGAAAGTACGCATTATGAGCCACGAAAACCAGTCAAGCGTCCATGTTGGAAATCATCATAACGTGTTTTACAAGCGAGTCGCCAGGCCCACCAACTTCGTGCACTATCTCAACTATCAACCTTCATGGCTCAACCACGTAATACTCAATCAAGCTATCACGAAGCAGATTTAATTCTTGCCATCTCCTCTATTGAAAAGAAGCAAATTAAAAGTGCTAGCTACGCTGCCCAAATGTATAATGTCCCTCGATCAACGCTGCGTGACCGACGCGCCGGGAAGCCTCTACAACGCGATTGCCAGCCCAACTCAAAGAAGCTCACTGAGCTAGAAGAGGAGGTGATTGTTACAAATATACTTGACCTAGATCAATGTGGATTTGCACCTACGTATGCAGCTGTACGTGATATGGCCAACAACCTGCTAGCTGCGCGCGGCGCAGGCCATGTTGGCATCCACTGGCCACGCAACTTCGTCAAGCATACAGACAGTCTTACAACACGTTTTAATCGGCCGTACGATAGACAGAGGGCTCTATGCAAGGATCCTAAGTTAATTAAGAGCTGGTTCAAGCTAGTAGAGCAGACAAAGGCCAAGTATGGCATCTGTGATGAGGACGTCTACAACTTCGATGAGGCTAGCTTTATGATGGGCAAGATCACTACTCAGCTCATTGTAACAGGGTCAGAGAGGAGAGGCCGGCCAAAGGCTATCCAGCCAGGCAATCGCGAGTGGATAACAGTCATCCAAGGAATCAACGCTGCTGGCTGGGCTATCCCACCGTTCATTATCTTTGCTGGCCAATACCATCTCTCTGCCTGGTACGAGGAAGCTGATATCCCACGTGACTGGGCAATCGCTATTAGTAACAATGGCTGGATGAACAACGAGCTAGGAATTGAGTGGCTAAAGCACTTTAGTGCTCATACCAAGACTTATGTTGTAGGTGCTCATCACCTGCTCATCCTTGATGGCCACGAGAGCCACCACTCCCTTGAGTTTCAAGAATTCTGCAAGGAGAACAATATCTACATGCTGTGCATGCCAGCTCACTCATCTCACCTGCTCCAGTCTCTGGACATTGGCTGCTTCGTGCCATTGAAGCACGTATACAGCCATGAGATTGAGGCTCTGATCCGCCACCACATCAACCACATTACGAAGCTTGAGTTTCTGCCAGCCTTCAAGGCAGCCTTTAATCAATCATTTAAATCAACCAACATCTGCTCAGCCTTTCGAGATGCAGGCCTAGTTCCTCTCCAGCCAGATATTATTCTGTCAAAGCTTGATGTGCAGCTCCGTACACCTACTCCTCCAGCTGCTCTAGTAGAGGCTCTCTGGGAGGCTCGAACACCAAGCAACGTATGTGAGCTTGAGGCTCAATCAACGCTAATACGTGATCGCATTCGGCAGCACAAGAGCTCATCACCAGCCTCAATCATTGAGGTGATTGATCAGCTCAAGAAGGAGGCTAAAGTAATGATGCTCTCGGCTAAGCTAATGCACGATCGGATTGCTAGCCTTGAGAGAGCTAATGAGGCAGCTATAAAGTGGAGGCAGTGCAAGAAGAAATGGATCCAGAAGCATGAAGTCTTAACAAAGGGAGCAGGAGAGGATATACTAGCTCAACAAGAGGTTGAGGAGCAGATTGCTCGTGAACAGCATCAAGGTGGTGCACGATCAGGTCTTAGCCACCAGGCTCTGGCATGATGCACAAAGTGCAGAGAGCCTGGGCACAACTCACGTACTTGCAAAAAAGATTCTTTAGATATTGCTTGATCTATTTTATTAATATCTCTATATTATCTTATAACGTGGTTGAGTTGTACGGCTATAGAGGTGCACGAAGTTGGTGGGCCTGGCGACTCGCTTGTACTGGCGACTCGCTTGTACTGGCGACTCGCTTGTACTGGCGACTCGCTTGTAAAACACGTTATTCCCTCCACATTCCAGGCGTCCATTGCGCCGTAGAACAGGTCCTTTTTGGATAGGGAACTCTAGACAAATAGTTTTGTTCTGCTTTGCATTTCATCTAACCAGAGCCTTCTCTCCTGCTTACATTATGCACCATTGATGGTGTAAATTTGTGTTTGTAATCGAGACTTACGATAGCCATAGTGATGTGACACCTAAACCAATGAACATATCGGTCTAGTTTGCGGGAAATCGACCACTCCGAATCAACTCCTCACTAGCCCAGAGGCTCCGGATCCTGTGCTTGGTGATACACTCAAGAGAGTATTCATATTCCGTCCACACAGATCCGTACAACTCATACTGCTGCTTGGCCCAGCGGATATTCTCAGCCCAATCGCTGATATCATCTTCCAAAGGGTCGCTTAGACGATATAACTCCCTAAAGGGCGCATGTTTGCGAGGCTGCACAGCCTACTGCTTAGACTCAAAATTTCTCAGAGTGCATTGAGGCTGACTTACACCATTGTACCGATATGCGGAGAAGGCACTTTTCCATGGATCTGTGGCGCCTTGTTCGGCATACAAGAAGACATTTAGAGAGTCAATTATCATGCGGGTTCGGCTGAGGAAATGTGGTTCAAGCTTTGCAGGAACACGCTTCTCGAATGTGCGAGCCGCCTCTATAACATCTGGGGAAATCTGCGAAGCAGTAGGGTTAGGGGCTTCTTTTGCACCTTTCTCCGGGGATCGCTTCCGGGGAGACACGGTTTGGGATGCTCGAATCCTCTTTCGAGCAACTCCAGCTGCACGTCGTATTCCTCTGCCCTGAGTGGCAACGCGGGCGCTGGGAACGTAATCCTCGTCATCCTCATCATTGTTGTCGATATTGCTGTTCAACTCAAACTCGCTAGACGTATCCACAGACTTTGCCTGGTTTGTCAGCCACGCCCAAATCTTGTTTGCCGTGCTTGGGAGATGTTGACTATGACCTTCTTGCTTGGAGAGTAGCCCGCAATGCTGTGCTCTTCTGGCGTTAACTCGCGGTAGTCAATGGCATTTCCATGGACAATGCGTTGACTTTTCCGAAAGTTCCCCGCGCTCATGTTTCTGCTTTCATGCGCTTCTGAACAGAACTCGCAAGACTCCGCGTGCTTGGATCGTTTCGAGAGCCAGCGACTTGTTGAGTCAGCTACCTAGGTACCCTAGGTTATGACCGCGGAGGACGTCGAGAATGAGAGCTCGTGTCGCCAGTGGATGCGGATACTTTTTCGATAGAGAGCCTTGACGGGAAGCTGAGACAGCTCAAGTCGAAGTGTTGTTTTGGCGTAAACCCTAGGGAACGCAGTGAAAGAGCCTCGCATCAAACCCTCTCGCCAAGACTTTTCTCGTTGCCTAGCACACTGATTGTTCCTATTGAGGCGAAAAACTGCTGTGAAAAACCACTCATCCTATGACATAAAGTTCTTGGTCTGGTGAAGTGACGTGCGCGCGGCGGAAACTGTAGACAGTTGAACGAGTTCTCCGACCCGGGCAACACTGCATCACAACAACCTCACTTATGTCTGAACAACCCTCCAGAACCTACGGACACGCATTTGGACCAGATGCTCCCTCTAAAAATCTACCCTTCGCCTCTTCCGCGAAGCTCACCGCCGTCGAGCTTCTGACCTTCTTCCCCCATTGCCTCCGCTCGCCGAATGTCGTTTACCGGTTTGCCTCCAATAGCGGGTCCCGAGGGGTCCTTTGGGCAATCATCGCGAATAACCGATACCTGGAGAGAAACTGGGCACCGAATGATTGCGGTCGCCTCGTCTCTCAGACGATGCGCCAGGCGGGATACACAAACTGGACCATCACCACCCATGCACGATGGCATAGAGACAGAGCCAACTGGGACAAAGCAAACTTGAGTGTGGAAGGATACAAAGTTCCATGTCAAAGCTACGGAGCGGGTTCATTGGCGCAGTCGATATCATTTCTTGAGTTGGCTGCCGGCGTCAGGACGTTTCCAGAAGGTCATGATTCGCTGGATTTGACAAGAATGGTCAAGTATGCGCTTGAACATTCAGATGGGCTGTGGAGATATCCGTATGATTATGACGTGCTGCTCAGGCTGGTTGGTGGACCTAAAACCGTGGAGCAGGCACATTGGGATGAAAGTGTCTTTCGACGCTGGGAACAGAAGCAGGCCGGGCCTCGTCAGGCAAGACCTCTTCCCATGCTCCCAATTACCCAGGCTGCAACTTCTGTGGTTGCTCACAATATTACAACCGGGACTCCGAAAACACCGGCCACATATAGAGAAACTGGAATGCCTCGCTCAATTCTCAAATCCCGGACGCCAGGTTACTCCGCGGAAAGCACGCCAGACTACAGCGACAATAAATCAGAGATGTCGATAACGAGACCAAGTGTTCGGAAGAAGGTGTCCTTTGCTATCGATGATGATCCAACGATTGGGTGCGCCGAACCAGAAAGGATAGGGTCAATTCGAAATAACCATTCGAATCAACAAGCACAGATAATGGACGAAGTATCTAAGACGACCTTGTCGAAAGAAACAAACGTATCAGCAGATGAGAATCAAGCATTGGCCGATGACGACTGTACTCCCGTAGTCCAGCCGCATATTCGAAAACCACCGGCTTTCATCCCACCTCCCATACCGCTAAATGTTGCCACGGAGGCGGAATTGGAGCTAGCCTTCAGGGAAACAAAGTCAAAGGCTCAAACAGACAAATATAGTGCCTACGCATTTGGCGGCGGGCCAAGGACCTCGCCACCATATCGACAGTTACACCGTATCCACTCTCCCGAGAGCGACGATATAAGTGTCTGGGCGGAAAATCTCCGTTGGGTAGCAGAACAAGTGAAATACTTCCAGGGCGCATATATGTGGGATGAGAGCCCTGAGCACATGGAGATAATCACAGACCATCGGGTCCGACAGGAGTGGATGTCAGAGGAGTACTGGGAAGTCTACGCTCAATCCGAGAAAGATTCCAATCAGGGTACAAATGATAGTGCGCCGCGCCGTCTACGGAAGGAGCGTATTGTACTTCAAGATGTGGTACCAGACACCGAAAAAATTTCGGAATATCTTCAATGTTACGGGTTAGGGGCCTTCCCACCATCCGGGGAGACGTTCTTTGGTGAAGATTAGAGTCGGATCTGTGGGATTTCTGTTACCATGATAAGCCATGTAATTGTGGTGGTAGGGAAGCTGATACTCTGGTGTATGTAGCCGAACAATGTTAGAGCCTGTGTCCATCCGAAAAGATAGACGAGAAGAGACTCAATGAATCCCAATACTTGCACACGGAGGTTAGTAATGATTTTGCCACTATTACAGGACGATCAAACTTGTTCGGGTTCGAGACGGTGCGGAGTGGCAAAGCCTAGATGCGGGTGGTGCCGATATCAGTAGTGAAAGGTGGACGCGATATTGTCTCCATGTCAACAATACCAGGCCTTCCTGAGTCAAACGCGTCTTCGATTGCCACGACGCGCCTTGCTTTTCTTGACCACTGATGCTCCTTGCGCCCGTCCACAATCCAGCAACTTTTCACTTCACATTCGCTCCAAACAGACCACAACAACCTCCCTCATTTCTCAACGACGGCCCGCCGTCTCGATGCAATGACGAGGCAAAGCTCAACACCGCCTGGAAATTGGCCGCAAGGCTTCTCAAATAACGGTTTAGGATTTCCCGAATCTTCCACAGGCTCTCCCCCTTCTCATCGTCGCGGCTCACCTGCAGGGCTGCTCCGCAACCTCACCTCGCGCTCCGACCTGCTTCAAAAGATCTCCCCATTCAAAGAGAAAATGGAACCAGCGTTGCGTCAAGCGCTTGAACATCTTCAGCTGCCCGACCTAGACGCGCTCGAGCAAAGTGTCATTAGGAAGGACGCGTTTCTCCAACCGTGGGCGGAGTTCCGCGACAGCTTCATGTTTCTCCAGGCTAACGGCATAACGCGCATCTCATCGCCGCGTCAGATACAGCGGAAGGATCTGTTATACTTCTACACATTCTTCAACGAGGGCAAACTGCGCTACGATCCCCGTGCCGACCCCGAAGACGAGCTCTACACGCCCGACCCCAGGCTGCACTACGTTATCGACAAGTCGTCCTGGGACGTAGTAGAGTATGAGAAGTTACTCTATGTTTGGCTTCTTCAGGCATTTCAAGTTGGCAAGGCCAAGAACCCGTACGGAATCATGTACTTCGAGAATCGGAATATCTGCACGGCTTGGGAGCAGGTTTTTGTGCCGATCGTCAAGATGGTTCGAAGTCAGTACGATGTGAGGGGTCGATACCACTACGGAAGGTTGGCCAAACTCATCGAAGAGATACGCCCCAGTCGCTTGGCGTTTCCTGAAGGGAATGTCACCTATGGCATGGATGTCATTGTCCACAGAAGTGTGCCTTCAAACCCTGTCCGTGCGCCCTCCACGGAGATACATCCAGTTACTGGATTCCTCAAGTACAAGAAGGCAAAGTGGGAGGACGACGAGAAAGAATTGCGCGAGGTGTATCCGCAATACGGACATGTTGTTGAGCGTCCGAAACCGAAATGGTCCTTCAGTGACTGGATCCAAGAACAGAGGGCCCAGAGAACCGCTCTACAGCGCGCCAAAGCTCTTACCCAGCTGGAGGGAGGCATAGTGTAAGATCGTCTGTACAGGATGAAGCGAGCGACGCTGACAGTCCAACCAGGAGCCCGTATCCCTCCACTCCCAGTGCGGCTGAGAGCATGAACGATGACTTCATTACCGGACATCCGTACGAGAAGAAGCTACGTGAGGCGCGTGAGGTGGAGCGCAAGAAGCGAGAATCTCCATTACTGATACACATGCATACGCTGCGGAAGCGCGACAATGAACAGTCGAGCCGTCCCGGAAGTGCCTTGCCATCGCCCCGTTTGATTCCCGAGCGCCAGGGTTCGAATGGTATATCTTCTGCTATTCGGACGCCGAACCCATTCACGGAAGATTCAGAAAACCTGTATGGATACCCAGTGGACCACGAACCAAAATCGCTAACACGTCAAGGAGACTGGAGGGCGTTGCTGCAAAAGCCAAGCTTAATCTTCCAGAGAGAGTACTACCTCGACAACGGACGAAGCCTGACGACATCCAGACCGGTAGCCCGAAATCTAAGGTTCGCAAGCCAAGTTATGAAGGGACAGGATACGGATCGCCGCTACTCTCCACGGCAACAGAGGCAAAATTCTCGGAGAAAGTGAAGCCGTCGCGCATTCCGAGCCCAATTGAGATTCGACCGAGTGAGTCGACGGGGACCCGAAAGTACCACCCCAGTAAGTAACAAGATTGGGCGAATTGCTAAGGAGATACTAAGACCGGACGTAGTTATGGAAAGGGTTATGGAACTTGCCACAACGATGCCGACTACATATGAATCGCCGCCGCCTGTTCCCTCCAAGAATCCGGAGCGCTACATGTCTGTACGCTCGCAGGGTAGACAACTTGCAGAATACCGTACCAACAACCTCGGTCCGCGTATTGTATCTAAGGAGAATATCCGAGCCGCTCTGAATCTGACAATGGACGACGAGCCTCTGGACACGAGCTATCCGTCTTCTCCGGTGTCTCCCACTGATAGGAGTATCTTCCCCGGGGTAGGCGGTCGTAATCTGAAAACAGGCGAGGCTCCCAAAGTCCAGACGTTCAACACCCACATGTTTCCACGGTCCGCTGGCAAGGATGGGCATCGAAAGATCGCTTAGATGGAATGCAGAGAGCATGACTAGTCGTCCAGGCACCGGCAGGAAGAAACAGGCCGGATTATGCTCTCGGACCATTGAAGGGACGTGGATGTGAGGAACGGAAAATAATCCAACGGTTTCTACCCTAGGTAGCGGAGCAATTGCAGTATGCAGCTCTTTCTCGCTTGAAACTCGGATACTCGGGAAGGAGCCGAAAGAGTTTAATAATCCAAGTGGATCAAACTTATGGACAGTCTCTTCCACTGGCGATGATGTTGTGATGCTGTTCGTTGAGATCTCGAATATGGATGCCACCGGGCACTGAGCTCTGATTTGTCCTGGGTAACATTTAGGCACCCCGGCCTTGCAAAGTAGGGCGACCTATTCTCCCACAAAAACGTGGACATGACTGGTCATATATCCTTTTGCTTGGTATATCGAATGAAGGTGGAGTTGGGCATATAAATGCTATGCCTAAATTAAGTTAGCCTATGACGCTAAGCTGTTCCGGAACTAGGGCCGAAAGTCAACTTCAACGACATCCCGAAAGGCCCAATATTCCTCGCACAGTACATCATCACGAAGTCCGGATCCTATATTGCGGCCTCCTATGTAGCCGCGAGTCGATCTTCCACCTTCACCTCATCAACAACGGATGCGCCTTCTTCTACGGTTTCGAAAGCCCCAAGTCGTATTTGGGCGCTAAGCATACCACAGACTCCCTGGCCGCTATGTTTCCCCATCGGTTTCGATCCAGCCTCTGCTTCTAGGTTTTCTTGTGCTTCTAAAACCTGCTGTCTGGACACGTCCGAGGATCTTATGAATGACTGCATTTTGTGGCCAACCTGATGCATTATATGGACGTACGCAAGGACGCATCTCAGCATCCTCTGTTGGTGCATCATGAAAGCAGGATTGTCCCGTCGTTGAGACGCTAGAAAGAAGACTATTATACGTCTGGAGGACGTGTACTAGCTGAGTATTACAAGATGAGGAGTAGAAATAAAGAAAGCTCGACATGGAAGGTGCGATGAGAAGGCTTCGAACAACTTTGGACAGCCAAAGCATCCACCTTGCACGGGTGACAGAGTTGTTCAATCTTGATTCTCTTCAACAAGTTCGTCTTCATCCTTGCCCTCTTCCTTTCTTTCTTGATTCCGTCACTGCACCCTGGCGGCCAACCATGCTGCCGCTTTCGCTGCATCCCCGTTATTCCCATACTTGAAATGCGGCGGCAACACCAGCCACCGCCTAACCTTCCCGGTAAGCAGATCCTTCATAAAAGCCTTAAAGACGCCAGAATCCAGCAGCCCAGACGCTAGCTGCACAGGCAGCTTCAGCACGGCAGCGGTTTGACCAGGATTCGAAGCGATGGCTTTCAACTGGGTGAAGGCCTGGTTCATGACCTCATTGAATTCGTCCACAGAAGTAGGGAGGTGGATGCCCGATGTGAGCGTTGAAGTGCAGAGGACGTCGGGTGCGGCGGTGTCCTCGACGCAGAAGAGCTTGAATGGGAGGCCAGCAGGAACGGGTTGAGGCGAGTCCATCAGCGCGCTTTCGTCGCCAAAGGTTGCCATTGCCTTGAGACGGGCCTTACCTGCGTCGCCGACACGATTGACGCATTTGCGAGCACAGAGGGCGCCCTGGCTGCGATACAGTGAGCCCCGTCCATTGCAACAAGAACGAGGACATTGCTCACTTACCTCCACCCCGATATGAAGATGTTGGCGTTTGGACACGCAACGGCGTAATCATCAATCGTTTTCGCACATGCGTTCGCACAAGTCTCGCTCCCACCTTCCACATAGCCCGGCAGCTCCGCCGGGTAGTCTTCCGGGTTCACGCCCTGCACGTGGACACGGCCGTTGAACTCCTTGAGCAGGCCGTCCTTCAGGAAGGGACCAACCCACACACCAAGATTCCCCGTGTCAAATGTGCCGCGGCCGAAAATCACGGCGTTGGGCGCACAAGGGGTCCTCCCGGCGATGACATCGTCCATGTCTGTAGAGGAGTCGGACGCATCGCGGGGAGTAGGCGTGGCTAGGCCGAGGGGGGAGAGGAAGATGGCAGAAAAGAGGAGGTGCCTCATAATGAAAGCGTGACGAAACGGTGCCGTACTAAAGGGAAAGAAGGAGAATTGAGTGGCGGGGATCTGAAAGGATGGAGACGTGCAAAGTCGTTCCTCAGAGTACGGAAGCGCCGATTTATGGAAGATGCTACTCCGTACCTCCGTCACCACAAGTAACCATAACCCATCGCTTCTTCCTGGCTTTCAGCATTTCAGAGGGCTACCTCACCCTGCGCCATTCCTCCAACACTTTCGGAAATACACAGTACCGCCAATCCCACGGAACCTTGACGCGTTGGGGATGAGAGGCTTACTATGTACCTAAACGTCAAACCCAACACGCGCCACGGTCAACAGGACAATCCGTGCGACATCTGGACATTGCCGTCACGTGCTTCGCCAAACCATCACCGGACGCCAACACGCTGCGCCACGCGAACACCGTTACACCCGCTCCTGCAACTTCGGCAATCGGTCGTTTGTTGAAGATCTGCGAATCGGAACTATTCCCCATGTGGGTCGTGTTGTGCTCTGCTATTTTCCCAACGCGTCAGCCGCAGTGTGATTGGTCGGCGGGGCATAAGGGTGCAAGCAAAAAAAAGGCGGATTTGCGAAATTGTCGTTTCGGCCAACTTAGGGATTCAAGTAAATCTCTCAATTTTCTAGAGCACTACTCCGTACGGAGGAGCCTTTCAAAAGTCCTTGCAAGCGCAGGACAGGCATCTCATCCACGTGGCAAATACGTCCAATTGTACAGCTAGATACGGAGCTTCGAGGATTCCCAACATACTTTATGTGATGCCGCCTAGCACTTAGCGCCAAGTACAACAAAAGGATTCCTGGCCGGTGGCTGGTACAATCTGTTGGCCAAAATCCTCACGCAGCACGAAATTAGGAACGTGTTGGTTTACCATACCCAAGATCGTAAACCCCAAGTCACCTCATTGCGCTCCTCTGTAATCACTCGATGGCGTGCAAAGGAGCAGGAGATGATAGAGCATAACGGCTGACCTAGAAGGAAGATAAATAGCGGTGCGACTTCGCCACTCGGAACATCTTGACAGCTCACGTCTGGTTCTTTCTCTTCCGGCACCATGTTCACCAAGGCCCTCTCGCTCTCCGGGCTTGTCGCCCTCGCCCTCGCCCACGACTACACGCAAGTGATTGATGGCGTTAAGTTCATCTCCTCCGGCCCCAGCAAGTTGGCTTCAGTGGAGGAGTATGAGCTCCCGGCGTACAAGACGGCGACGAACCTGCTCAAGGACCGCATCATCGAGACCCAGGGTGAGGATTTCTTCCTGAAACTGCTCGACAAGGACATCAAGGAAGCCGACCAGTTCTGGCACAAGGTCGTCGACGAGTCGAGCGGCAAGTGGGTGTCGGCGAACGCAAGCGTCATTGCTTTCTTCCCCGATCTGACTGCTTGGGCCTTCACGGTGTGGCAGTCGTCCCCTCTTGCTGACAAGGCCAACAATCCTGCGAACGCGGAGCACTACTTCAAGCGCACGGTTCAGAAAGAGGATGGACACCTGGAGTCTCAGATCCTTGAGGGATGGGTAAGCTGATGGTGCACCCCTTATGTTACCATGATTCCTTTACTTAGACTTCCGCAGGGCGGCGTCACAACACTCTTCAATATCCCGAATTTCAGGCTTTTCAACGGCTCCAACTTCGGTGACTGGCCCTTCCTCGACCCGCTCAAGGATTTCAAGTACCAGGCTGCTGGCGACAAGGTCCTGGCCGACGGCACCCGGTTCGGCGTACTCCACATCGCCGCTCGCGATGTCGACGGCAAGCACTACGGCGAGCCTGGCAAGAAGGGTATCGAGATTAAGTCGTTCGTCTGGTATGGTGATGGGGCTAAGGATGAGTTCCTTGAGCACGAGCGCCAGCACATGGTCATTGAGACCATTCGGCTGAGCATTGTCGCGCAGAAGAACCTCAAGGACGGTCAGTTCAAGGTGCCGCCGGAGCCTAAGTCTGGTTAGATGTAGGTGCGGGTATGGGCTAAAACCTTTGCTGTCATGTTGGGTTGGCGCTCTGTATGCTTTTCCCATGTCAGCACTCTTACTCCAGGACCGTGAACAATTTAATTAGATTTCATTACCAGGAAAGTTCATTCCTCTGCAAATCCTAAACCACATCGTTATGGACTTTATGCGGACATTTCCTCTCCTTTTCCACTTCTCCTTCCCATCCCTCTGACACTCGTAGTTGAAAACTTGAAATCATGGACATTTATGTGACCCATTTCCGCACCATCTCAACCCCTCCTGAACCCACCTGACTACACCTCAATCCACATCTGCGCCACTAAAGACTACGAAAGTAGGGAAGCATATTGGGAAAGCGCGGCGTTATTCACGACGGGGAACTAGTATGAAGAAGGAGGAGATGAACAGAGGAGCCAGCTTGAGATGGGAGAGTATGTTGAGATTGGTATTGCAGACCTCTTTCGACGCTAGCGTATCGACCCTGCCCGAAGTCTCGTCCGCCAAGTGTCGAGTCTCCTCAGTCGAAACCATGAAGCCCTGAAACAAGCAATTACAGCGACCCTACTCTGAAACTTTACCTCTTAGACCTTTCATTCTGCTGGCAGTGATGGCTAAGAAGGAGCCGGAGCGCTCCATAGAATTCCATGGAGTCCTTGGAGTATGTACGGAGTGAGCCCATAAAATGAGTTAGTCATACTAACTACAGTGGGGATAGCATACCCCGCTGGTATACATAGAAGCTTATTCCAACGGGGTCTGCCAAGCGTTTGGAAGGTGAATTAATCAAATCACGTACGCGCGCTTGTCACAGCCTTGTGGGAAGCGTAGAATCGAGTCGTGTTACGTCCATATATATACAAAAGGGCGCTAAAAGAGCTACCTCGTCTTCGTTAACCCGCAGGATGGAACTAACGGGCAAAAAGTCAACTCTAGTTATCAGCATAAGCAAAGAAGTCGACTGCCTCGCTAATGCTAACACCGGAGTTGAAGTGTTTTTTTGTCTGTTGTATAATATACATAGTTACAAAAGGCCTCCCCTACTCGTCATCGTCAGTTCGCCTCCCACTCTTCAAGAGAGACGGCATCTACGTCACTACTTCGAAGACCTGAGAAGTCGGCTATTGTTCTCTTAATAGCCTCTTGGGTGCCCTGGAGTTGTCGGGAGTGTTTTCCAATATTGATAAGGCCACTATTACACCAGTTTGAAAGGCATAGTGTGGCCCTGAAGGGGGTTTTCCTTCATCCTTAAGCGATGGGGTGTGAGGACTAGTCCAGCGTTGCTGAGGATTCTTTCTAGTTCACTACTCATAGCTGGGATTGATAGTATATTCATTGCAAGGCATGGAAGAGTTAAAACGCGAGCTATTACCTCGCGCCTTCTCCAATATTAAAAAGGCACGAGCTTAAGCTCGGTTATTCAGTCCGGAACTATGTACTGAGACAGCTCATCGTCAGGGTCATGTATTTGTGTGGCGCGACGCCATCAACCGGTTGTACTATAACCTTTCGGAGATTCCGGACGAGGCGAAGCGCGTGGGGATTTATCCGTATAGAATTTGGGCCGAGAAAATGGTTCTCAGTGGGTATAACTTATGCCTTAATCCGTTTCATACCGCCTCGGGATATACGGCTATTGTCACCACTTCGAATACTACAGCTGGCACGGCCACAGCGAACGTCGCGTTTGCGTCCGGAACGTATGATGTAGCGGTGAATTACTACGACATGATCGGCGGAAAGCCGCGGTATGAGCTTTTTCTTGGGAATGGGACGGTTGGAAAGTGGACCGCTGATTTGGAGGATAAGCTTGGAAGGGCGCCCTCGATATATCTGGATGAGCATTCGGCGACGAGGATCACGTTCAGGGACGTGAAGGTGAATCGAGGAGATATGTTGAGGATTGTGGGAACGCCGGATGGGAATGAGCCGGCGCCTATTGATTATGTGTCTTTTTCGCTTGTGGGTGTCGTAGATTAAGAGGGTAGTTATAGAAGCAATGGGAAAGTGCACAAGCTGATGCATCGCCTGTTGAAAAGGTTTGAAAAGGTACAGCATGAATACATCCTAATATTCATTTGGCTGAATAATACATTCCCTAGCAGAACCAGGCCGCTTAGTTACCGACCTACCGTTGAAGATAAAAACACAGTATCCCTCGGCGACTGCCACATCGACAGAGTGTGACTAGCTGCCACTAGTCATCACGGTGAAATGAGCGTGGTGTGGGAGGCTCGATTTCTCAACCCCGATGCAAGCCATTCTCCGCCATATAACGAGCCAACTCCTTCTCCAGCATATCGAATCGGAGCCTCTTCGCAGTCCACTCGCAATCCCCTGTCTCGACGTGGTATACAAGGGCGCTGAACCGACCGAAGGTCTCTCCACAACCCTCAGCGCGGCAGACGAAAAGAGGCACAATGTCCGCTTTGAGCCACTCCGCCAATTCGTTGGTCGCACACCGGCCGGTACGCAGAGAAGTGTGCAGGTCGATGTCCATGTATAGAACCGAATACCACCACGTTCCCAGCATTCGAGGAAGATGAGTAGGGTCGGTGAATTGCGGGCACTTAGCCTTTTCCAGATGACTGATGAGTTGCGATTGGCTGCGCATGGGTTTCGAACAAAGCCAGCACTTGCAGTAGGCAATGCCATGAGTGGATAGGTGCTGCAAGGCATATATTTAGCCATAGGTTGCCATTGAGAACGCAGAGATCTTACCTTCATGTGAACCTCCTCGCGCTCAGTCCAATGGCCGCAGCTGGGGCACCAGAAACATGCCTCACGATGCACTGTGAAGCTCTCTTGAGTCGGGAAATACTCGTTGCAATCTTTGCAGTGCAGAAGAGGAGCACATGTTCCGACGTGCGCTGAGAGCTTGCTCCCGCTCGGAAAAACCTTGAGGCATTGGTCACACTGAAAGTGGGCTTGCTGGATATGCTTTTCCAACAGCGTCGCGCTCGCGGCGTCAAAGTCGCATCCAGGTTGGAGGCAATGCTTGTGCTTCTTTGTTGTGACCCAATGCTCGTTTCGTTCGTCTTGATTTCGGAAATTCCTATGGCACGTCTCACAACGGACATGCCTGGCCGCGGTGTGCAGATGAAGCTTCAGCTTCTCGACAGTTTGGAACCCTCGTAAACATTCCAAGCACGCGAAATGGTGTCCCACCGAGAGATTGTTTTCGAAGTGATTTCTAAGTCCCCACTTGTCTTTGAAGGCGCTAAGGCAAAGGTTGCAAAAGACCTCGTGTCCTGCAGAGTTGTCGACATGGTTCTTCAGGCCGTTTCTGTCTTTGAAGACGCGCTTGCAGAGATTGCAGTAATTCTCATGTCCCGGAAGCTGTTTGGCGTGCGTCTGCAATGCTATCTTATTAGGCAACTTTATGGAACACACGCCGCACCAGTGCTCAAGTGGGTTGAATGACTTGATGTCGCTATTTCCAGCGGATGGAAGAGTAAGCGGCCAAATCGTCTCTCGCAACTCAGATGTAGGCTGTCTGGCATGGCCGGTCGCCTGCTGAGGACTGTCTTTGGGCTTCTCAGCCCGAATCACAATGGTCTTGAGAGCCTTCTTTCCTTGTGGTCCGCGTTTCACCTCTTGCCATGCGCCCGAGTCCGCGTATTGCGACGTCATATCCGTCACATTCCCTTGGGTGTGATTCGTGTGCTGGGGCGTGTTGGAAGCACTCTCGTCTGCCTCGTATGCCTCATCCTCTGCAAAAACAGCGTAGCGGTTCTCGCCAGGCGCCATGAGTGGCCGGTGCAAGCTGGCGCTTCCCAGTGAGAAGCTGAGTATCTAGACGCGCTGTAATAGCTGACAACGTGGACTAACGATGGAGAGTTGTGGGGAGAAAGGTAGCGATAATACAGGAGGTTGGGGAGCTGCGGATGAGGCGAACAGGGGGAACAGACTTTTGTTTGAAATGATTCTAAGATCGACCGTAAAGAGAGAATTGGCAAGTTGTGGGTTTGTGAGAGGTTTGTTTTGCTTTCGAATGTGAGTGACGTTGACCTCATAAGTTGTGGAAGGTGCGCTAAGGCGGATAGCCACGTGATATTCAAGACACCGTTCACCTCCCTCCCCGTGCCGGAACGCTGCACCCAAGACATGAAATGAATCAAGAAGTTGAATGCTGAAGAATTGACGGGAACAAAGCAATAACTTGTTGTGAATGAGCGAACCAGCGCGAATTACGCTGACCAGATTCCGCTCCACGTGGCAATGAGAGCAAAGATACGGTGTAGGCAAAACAGATGAGAAACATGAAGACAGAGCAGAACTGACTATTGTCCAAGGAAAGTTTATATGTGACAAAATACCGATTCTACTGAGGAAAAGTACAGTGGAGGAGCTAGACATCGGGAAGATGCAGCTGAGGGTGGAACTAAATGTGGAACGAGGAATGTCTACCATTCTTCAGTATACCATGGGGATTTTTGATACCATCCACAGTCGGACTTGCCGTATCTTCCCAGTTCCGCCAGTACCGTCGACATCGATCTGCCATAGCTACTAGGGATCTGTTTGGGGAGAAAGTCCGCACAATCGAAAATCGTGGAACGCGTCATTGCAAGCGAGGTTCTCCGTGTCCAGATGCTCGAGGAACATGATAACTACGCGATTACGGAGTACCGTGTTTTGTTATATGAGAAAAAGATGGACGAACCTGAATAGTTTTCATTAACAGTGTCAAGGTGGTCCACTTGAATATTGGTGCCAAGGCGCTAACCTGCTTCGGTTGTCACCGGGTAAAACTTGTCCCGGACTCTCCACGGCTCGACCGCGTCCAGAAACACCAGAAACAGATGTCAATCGAGAGTCCTACTCTCAACGCGCTTCTCCAATGTCGCTCCTAATTCGCGCACGCAGTCCGTTACAGACATGCAAGGTCGCCACAGTGGCCTCCAGCAGTCCGGTCGAGCGACGCAAGGCCACCCAAAGCCTGGCCATTTTCCCCTACGGGTGCGAGCCAAGTTCCATAATCAGACTGACATAATCCGTGGTCCGGGGCGGTGGTTCCAGCTTAACCAATAAGGCGTGAAATACTCCAAACATGGACAGCTATCGGTTTTATGCCATAGCCTCGGATGCAGGTTCCCGCCATAGTTCTTTGCCCTCAGCCCATTACGCCCCGTTAGACTGAGAACAGCCCTGGCTGACCACCTCTGGGCTGAAAAAAAGGATAAGCAGCGGGTTGGGGGCGAAAGCTGGGTTCGCATACAAAACCCTTGTAGCCGGATGTGAATCGAAAAGTCTCTCCGAAACAGCCTCATTCAATCTGTTCACGATGAAGTCTTCTCCGGCGGTTCTACTTCTATCATTGTTATTAGCACGTACAAGAGATGTTCTAGTGTCCGCCGATTGCTACTTTCCGAATGGAACCGCCTTCAATAATCCCGACCATCGCAAGTGTCCGAATTCAGCTGTATGCTGCGCACTGGGCCGGTCGAATCCGCCAGGAGGAGACGTATCCAATGGGCCAGCTAACGACGAATGCCTACCGAACGGCCTCTGTGAGAACAACGTCATGCAGGATGGCCAGCCGATCAGAACATGGTGGAGAGACTTCTGCAGCGACCGCAACTGGAACCAGTCTACTTGCTTATCAATTTGCATGACTGGGGTCCGTATCGTCCCACGCTGTTGACAAGGGGAAATAGCTGATCTTGTGTAGTCCTTCGTCGATGTGTACGGGAACATTAGAGTAACACCATGCGATGGAACCCGCACATCAGAAAAGTGGTGCTGCGGCGAGACGACAGACTGCTGCGACAAACCTTATGCCCTCGTCCTTGCTCAGACCTTAGGCGCATCGCCATCGACGATAAGTTCGACCATATCTGGCCATCCCACCAGCACCAGTATAACGAATAGCGCGACCGGCGATCCTTCTTCCACTGCAACGACCAATACGCCGGATTCACCAAGCTCGGGCAATCTTTCTGTGGGCGCGAAAGCTGGCATAGGTGTTGGTGTTGCTGTTACGGGGCTGGTACTCCTTACCGTGGGCTTCATTTGGGCAAAAAAGTCACGTTCGAGGAGAAATGCGGTACCCTACGAAAGCCACGGTGTCGAACCAGGCATTCCCGCTTACACAGAATATAAGCACAATGCCGAACTTCCTGTTACACCAGGGGAGCTGTATACGAACGAGGAAGTACATGAGTTGCCAGACAAACCTGTCGAAAGGCTCACTTGATGAGTGAGCCACCCTTTGTGCGATTTACCGCCGACTTTTGAATCATGGACACAAGAATTCACGGAAAAATTTCAGCGGTAATGGGATACAGTCTCATAATGCGAAACGCCAGCAATGGCTTTAACCTTTCCACACCTCCGGGCCCGGCGGCTTATACCCCAGCAACCCGCTCAACGGCCAGTCGTACATCTCTTCTTTCACCATAATCCCTTCATCTTCTAATTCGTACGCACCCGGAAACCTCACCAACGGCCCCGGAGACCCGCCTCCCTGTCCAACAACCTCGACTTGAGCGCATGCCACGTAAAACTGCGTCGTATTATACGCCGGACGTACATACAGATGTTCTATTCTTAGAAGATACCTCCCTGGCGGAGTGTTGAAGGGGACGGTGAAGTTCATCCCAGTCTGATCGCGTGTGGACCAGTATGTATCGTTCTTGGGGCCGAGATACGCGATCTTGAACCAGTCGCCGTCGCCTTCGTAGAGTGAGAGGTCTGGCGTTGTTGAAAGGGAGAGGTATACCATTCCGGGGCCGTTGTGGTATATCACGTATGGTTCAAGAGGCTATGCGAAGGATCAGTGCGGAACATATACAATTCATATTGTACCATTATAATTTTTAGACGTCAAGAAAGCAATATATACGAACCTCATCAGCGCTTCTCCCAATCACAAAGCCCACCTCCGATCCAGCGACCGCGGTCGCCGTCTTCGTTCCCGGCCCAGATGTCGCTGCTCCCCGCCCACAGCGAATATTCGCATCGTAGATGTCGTAGTAGGGCATGTATTGATCTGTTACGGTGGGACTGTCGACGGCATAGCCGGCAGTTATGTTGCTGTCAAGCTACACGTTCAGAGGATTCAGGGATTTTATTGCTGTCGAAGGGGGATTGTACCGAACGTATTCCCACTGCTCGGTGACCGTGTTGTTGAACATGAAGCGACTGAAGACATCTCTATCATCAGTTTGCAGCGACGTCAGTACGAAGACTCTCTTACAGTGGGCAATCGCGCGATGCAGATTCAGTGTCAAGATGGACAAGATGATGCATAGTAGCGCCATGGCTCTTGTTCAGTTGTAAACAATGTGAATTCTGTGGATTGAAATTCGTGGTCTAGCTAAGTGAGATAAATGTTGAGGAAAAGAGTGAGGACGACCCATACAATCTCTCTGGGAGCTTGGCAAGGTGCAATTTACGAGTATATAGCTTTCGTCGAAATGCTCGGTAATTGTGCTTCGGGCGATGCGGGACTGCTATCACGCAGAGTGGTAAGTCTCTTAATAACATATGTCCTGGCAACCTAGCTGAGTGGCTTGTGTGTGTTCATTGGTGGTTTTGGGGTAGCGGTGGCAGCCATTCCACCCACCCGTGAACTCTCGCGATGCCGGTGATCGCAATGGATTGGGAATGGTGTCCTTATATCAAAATTCATTAATGTTGGTTTTCGTTGGATGTTATGGGAAGATGGAGTCTTGAATACTTTGTAGGTAGAGATTGTGCTGGCTCGAGTCGAGATCAATGGGATGAATGAATGTATGTAATCCGTGGACTTAAGAACATTTTATCACTGGAGTCCAAGCAGCGCTTTCTATGATCTTTGAAGCTTCTGTGTAATCTGCATTCGGTATGTACTTTTTGCAGAGGTTCGCGGAATGTTTCTAGGTAGGACATCTCGAAGCCGCAAACGTCAGAATAGGTTTGTATACTTGCATGGGGAACAGAGAGCAGGAATTAGAGCTACTTAGACCAAGCTACTTCGACACTACAGCTGAGAAGTGAGAAAGATGAATGCACTACTTCACTTTCGAGTATACCCGTGTGCAAGTTCAGCTTGAGGGGGAACGCTGCCGGAGAGAAGAGCTTCATTCACTTGTTTAGGTTTGCGCAGGTGCGTGTAATGCGCATTGCATTACTAGGGACGAGTTGGAAGGGTACGGTGTAGGTGGTTAGGTCTTGGTGTTCAGTTTCGCCGAGCTTCGGACGTCACCAACAGCTGGTAGCTACCTCCCCCGCAATTCCCCTTTCCAGCCATCCGCAACCAAGCAAAAAAGAATCTCGGGTCCCTCCCCAAATTTCTGTTTCCTGCCTCATTTTCTTTCAGAACACATATCGTTACCTAGCCATCATGGGACCTCACACTGAATCAAATTATCCCTTTGATCTGGGCACTTATGCGCCCAAGATTAGCTCATCCCTTGGTCGCACAACGCGTATATGGTTCAATCGCGGTCTCAAGTGGTGCTACGGCTTCAACCACGAGGAAGCGGCAAGATGTTTCGGGAAAGCTTTGCAAGACGATCCATATTCCCCTCTCTGCAATTGGGGGTGAGCTTCCTCACTATCTGATGTCCTCAGATCGGTTCTCTACTCTCTACCATCACGAACTGGCGTGCTGACTCGTTTTGTGATTCAGGCTTGCCTACGCTCTGGGCCCCAACTGTAACCACACCTTGAAGCACAACTTCGAAATTATATTAGTCTGATAACACGTTTCAGATAATAAACCCTGGTTCAGATTCGATATGAGCGTCGAGTTCCCAACCACGCGAGCACGAATACTGCGACTTGTCGAATTCGCGGATACCAGGATCAGCAAGGATGCAAGTTCGCTAGGTCCTATGCTACTCGAAGCCTTGAAGCAACGGGTGCCATCAGAGAAGCGCGACATACAGTCCATACGTAAATGCAATGCAGCCTATGCAGACGCCATGGAGCGGATATACCAGAAGTATTCCGAGGACGCAGACATTGCGGCATTGTACGCCGATGCACTCCTGAACATCACACCTTGGAGTATTTGGCGTCTAAGCGATGGCAAACCAACTCCACATTCCCGTGGGCTAGAGGCGAAGAGGGTCCTTGAGAGAGCCAGGAATACTGTTGCAGGCAGGAACCACCCGGGCATCCTGCACATGTACATTCACTTGATGGAGTTGTCGCAGACACCGGAACTAGCGCACTCTTTAGGCCCTCGCCTCTCCCAATTGTACCCAGATATCGGCCATCTGGTCCATATGCCCGTCCATATCGAAGTTCTCTTGGGCCATTACGGCACCGCTATCGAGATGAACGAACGTGCCTGTCGTGCAGATGAGAAATTTGCAGCAATCCGCGGGAGCAAGGACTTTTACACCTTCTTCCGGATGCACAATTACCATTCCCTGGTATACGCAGCCATGTTTGCTGGAAAACGGCAGACGTGTATAGACGCTGCGAGACGTATTGTGCAAGCGGCGTCTGCGGATCTTCTACAACTTAAAAATGGGGCAGATTGGCTCGAGTCCTTTTTATCAGTGCCAATCCATGTTTGGGTCCGGTTCGGCAATTGGGATCAGCTGAAAAACGCAACTTTCCCCGCAGACTCCGAGCTTTACTGCGTGTATACTGCTATGCTACACTACGGCAAAGGCATCGCCTTCGCGGCTACGAACAATATCGAGGAGGCCACCAAGCATCAGGATCTGCTAAAGAAAGCTTGCAAGCGGATACCGGAGAGCAGACTGGTCGGAAATTTCTGCATCAGCGCACGAACGGTGATGAGAATCGCTGAAGACATGCTTGCTGGTGAACTCGAGTATCGCAAGGGGAATTATGCATATGCCTTCCAATGCCTACGAGACGCGATCTACAAGGAGGACCACCTTCCATATTCAGAGCCGTGGGCTTGGATGCAACCTACCAGACATGCATATGGGGCCTTGCTCTTGGAACAAGGCCACGTAAACGAGGCCATAAAAGCGTACGAGCAAGATCTCGGCTTGGACAAGACAGTTTACAGGTCGAGGTGGCATCCAAACAACATATGGGCGCTGCAAGGGCTGCACGAGTGTCTCCTGACGCGTTTGCCTGACGACCTGGATTACTTGCAAGACATCGGGGATAAGCTGACCAAGGCTCGTGAATCTGCTGACGTCGACATTACGGCGTCGTGTTATTGTAAGCAAAGCGCCTGGAGTTGCTGTACCTCTTAGTCGGCAATACTCCTCAACTAGTGATAATAGTGACCAAAAGAGTAGGTTTCGGATGTCCAAGAGGGCACCGTAAGGCTGGTATGAAAGGACCTTGTCCAATGCTATAATGCTACTCCCTGCTCTGGTACGTCCAGTTTTTCCTCGCTTTCTCATGTTTTCGTTGCGATACTCATGAGCGGTGAATCTATTCCGTCTTTTTGTGATTTCCTGTCTGATGTTCGCATTCATTATCTCCTGGCACGAGAACCCTCCTCCTCCTCTCCGATGCTTCCCATTGGTAACATAACGCAGTGATCAGGGGATAATATAATTCATGTTACGCCACAGCCCTTGCTCTTCACATTTTCAGTTCCACGGGAATGAGCTCCGTAGAACGGTATGCAGTGTTTTCTTAAGTAGTTAATTTGGTCTTTGACACGCATATTGTTGATTTCTTAGACGGCCGGGCAACCATTTCAGGGATTCTGTGCTGACACTGGGGAAATAGACAGCTTCGAATGATGGGTCCGATACGGCGGAACAATGCAAACACATTGGATAACTTCTTCTCCACAGAGGCAGCGAAAGCGAGTAGGGTCCCGCATCAAGGTCTCACGGCACACGAGCACGATGATGACCAAACAGGCATCTTCATTGAACAAGTGTCGTATTACTTTCTGACGCTCGCTGAACCCGTTGGTCGCATTGCTTCGATGTCAGTGACGCCCAAGGCCTCGCACAAGTCGACATAATATACGCGCATAAAGACACAAGTCCTGATATTTTCAACGTATCCGCCGATTCAGGTGCTCAAGGCATGCTCTGGGGCGGTGCAGGCGGCATTGATCGGCGAGGCAGTATACATTGCGATAGGCATACCTTTCGAGTGATCCTCCTTCTGGCGGATTTCTGCCCAACAAGAATGGTAGTTGGGCGATAGTTTACAATCCCCAGAAGTCGAGGATACTCGTACAAGTTGCGATTACTAAGGGCGACGTTGAGAATGATACCCGGAGGGATGAGATACGGAATGCCTTCGCAAGGAGCTATCCGATGCCATAGGATGCCGGCAATGAGATGTTGGGTTTCGTTAAGCCTTGTGTATATGGTAGCATAGAGCAAGGAGATATAATCCTCTCATGTAGGCTCAAAGAGGCTTTTCTCCGCTGATTGTCAATCTTCTACCGTCCAGCATCGTGTTGTGTAATGACATGTGATTCCATTCCGGTACAGGTTCAAGAATGTGGCAAATGAATCTCCAGGCGGTCTAGTAAGTACAAGCCCGATCGATCGCATCTCATTGACTTTGGTGATGATTTCGAGAGATGCCGCATTGGAAGCAATGGCAATGGCGAGGTTTCGGTGGACTGGAAACCAGTGAACAGAGGTAGGGTCCGCCAGAATGGCCACAGCGACGGAGTTGGCCGCCTCAGGGGCAACGAGCAGCAGAGCACACAAGCGAGATAGAACGGCGGTGATTCATGTTCTTTTTATTCTTCAATAACGATATGCTAGCCTCCGTCACTCCGTTCCAGGAAACCGGGATCCCGTTCCAGCTTCGACTCGAACTTATCCCACCAAGCCTGGAACGCCTTCAACGGGATAGTATCGCCAGTACCCCAACTGGTAAGGAAATCGTAACAATTCTTGATTATCCGCTGCGCCAGCACCTTCGTCGTCATGGTAGCTTGTCCCCGTTTGACCAGCTCCAAACCTGTCACTGGTATACTTGACGCCGCCGTCTGTGCATTCTTCTGCTCCAGATTGGCAAGAATTTGTGCTGCGGGTTCCACGGATATCCCCAGGGTAAGACTTGGAACAGCACCTGTCACGGGAGTAGCGACCCCTTCATCGACCATTGCATCCTCATCGCCTCCCATTCCTCCGCCAGCAGGACCCCCAGCTTGCTTATTGACCTTGAATATTGCCGATGGTTTATCGTTCGCTATCGCGCCGAGGAATGTGAACTCGGTCGACCCTGGCAGCTGGGCATATACGGCGGCTCCCGTGCCGTTGGGTAATGATGTGCCCGGTAGCAAAAACACGACTATGTGTGAGAAGGGCGGAGTGGACGGTATGGCGAAGGCGAATTGAGTCTGTGATATGATTTGCGGTTCGGTGAGGACGGGTCGTCCGGAAATAACCACGCCGAACATCGTTTTCTAGGTCTCCGATGGAGTTCTCAACGGTGGAGCGTCAATTGAATAGCATCAGATTTTGTCAGTAGAGCAATCGTTGGTTTACGGTTTACGGAAAGCTACGCCGGCGACTCTGCGTTCGAAAAGTCGAAGGGGGTTTAGCTTGATTCAAGAGGGATTGAAGTCCAGAATAGCCTCAGAAGTCTTTCTGAGCTTCCGAGGTGGTTCATAGAAGCTCCGGACGCCTGGCTGTGGGCCAATTCCGCGATTGAGCGAACTGTGATTTGTATGGAGGATGTTGGATATTCTGACGTTTTCTTCGGATTTCGGAGATTCGTTTACCCGACAGTCTACAAACGATTACGTAATAATCCCTTCCACCTCACCGATGGTCATAGTTCAGACTGTCCCAATGTCTTATCAGGTTCAGCTGCTTTTACAGCAATGCGGACCGCCGTATGGGTTCATGGCTGGTGCATGTCCGTTCTCCTGTCCGTTTCACTCACTAAATACAGCAGGTTCCAGAGCCTTTATTTTCAGGCTACATCTGGCTTTGCGGCTTTTTGAACTGTCACCCGAATGTTACGGCTTCAGCTGCAACCCCTTGCTTCGTTCGTCGAATTGTAGTATTGGAGCTGCCGTGGTCCTCTGATGGACGTTGCTGATGCTTTGCTCTTTGCGGGTCATTTTTCTTTTGTCCTTTCACCATTTTCTCTCCTCATCGGCCCTTGTTTCTTTCAAGGTCAGCCTTCTCTTCTTCTCTTCTTTCCACTTCAGCCGTCTTCTTCTAAACGGATTGCTCTTGGCTTGATATTGTGTTAGATGTACAGGATCGCCCTCACCTAGGTCTGAGGCTCTTGCATTATTCATATCAACTTCTGAATATGCAAGCGCTGGTTTTGAGAAGTTCATGGAATTGTTATTATTTCTGCAAGCATATCCGTCCAGTGCTCTGTGCATAAATCCCTAGCACCCTGGAAACCATGTGATAGTACACTTGCCGTTAGTGTTCCCACTTCCGGCTCGAATATACCCAAATCCCAAAGTTTCCCTATCCCTCCTTCCGTGGCCATAACCGCATCATCGTTGAATCTCCTACCACCAAGCCCGGCCTGCCTTCCTACTCTGGCTCAGACTTCACCGCTGTAGGATTCTTTCCTTGCTTCGGCTTGAGATCTCTCATGATATTCTTTCGCATGTCGTCCATTTCCTTCTCAAGTTCTGCGATATTCTTCTCTGCCACCTCTCGTTGTTCCTTCTCCTTGGTGGTGGCGGCGAGGGCGCTTTGGAGTTCCGCAGTCGTTCTCTGCTCTCTCTCCTCAGCTTCGTTAGCTCTCTTCTCCATCTGCTCAGCTCTCTTTTCCATCTGCTCAGCTCTCTTCTCCATCTGCTCAGCTCTCTTCTCCGCCTCTTCAGCTCTCCTCTCTGTCTCTCCTTTCAGTTCCGTGACCTTAGCAATGGCGGTTTCCAATTCTACAATTCTCTTCCGCTGTTCTGAGTCCGTGGCCTTCAGTCCGTCCGCAAAAGCTCTGATCAGGAACGCATCTTTCTCGATTCTTGAAGTGACCGCCGTGAGTTCCATCACCGTGCTAGCGCTTTGGTCTTCACATTCTCCCCCTACGGATGTGTCAGGTCCATTGGCCGCCGCAGACGATTTGTTTAGTTCTCCTTGGACGTTGTTAAGGAGTGTCTTCCTTTTCTTCGCCGGGTGTTCCATGCCATTAGTGGTTGTCGAGATTTTACCCTGCTGGAATGTCAGCGAACAGGGGCGTGTTAACAAAGTGGAGAATGGGATGACTCACGCGTGCTTCGGAAGAAAGGGCCAGGTTTGTATTGGATGACGGCGAAGAACTGTCTTTGGGAATGCCGATCTGTACTGCAAAATATGAGTTCCTCATCAAGCATTGCGAACCGTGCAACGGGTCGTCATACCTTCAGGGGACCTCCGTCTCCCTCCTCCTGAGTTGTTTGATGAATCGGATTGAGTGGGAGTCGTTGGTTCGATACCAGGGCCCGTGAGCTTTCTCTGGGTGTCTTCAAGGTAATTTCGGCAAGCCTCCTCAAAGCGTTCCATAAAATAAAAGTTTTCCACTCTTGCTGCTCGTTTGGTCACGAGCACATAGAATAACACCATGTAGTCCAGTTGATGATGTCGCTGGGTGCGTGGACCAGAACCGATAGCGGCCTCAAATGGTTGGAGTAGAACGGCATTCTGAGGTAGCCTATTACTCCAGCCTCCAGAGGCCATGTGGCCGAAAGTCCCGTACTCTACAAAGTGCACAGCCATATTGAAGGGCACGCATGAGGAATTGCGAATGATGACATGAGCATAACGCTCTCGGGACTCTGTCCTCGCTTCCGAATGATTAGATATTGCTTGGATGCTACCGATTCGAAGGTAGAGGTAGCTGTCCGAGAGCCATGGCGGGGACGGGATTTCGGTGAATTGCAAAGCATCCGAACTCGGTAAAGCTCGATAAGCCTCTGGGAATTTCTGGTTCGCCCCTTCTTCGATGTCCTGTAAGTATATGTTCTGCGGAGTCTGATCATATCTGCCTGTCGTCAAATCTCCAACTTGGCTAGGCAGATGGAGCAGAGGCGTCGGGACTGAGGGGAAAGGTAATCCCCGCCACAGACTCCCGTGATGTCGGTGGGCGCCTGTAGGAATGCTTGAAGTAAGTGAGAGTTCACGTAGAATGTGAGGAGTAAAGAGCGATTGTCTCTATTTCAGCTTGACGAGAGCAAAAGCCGACTGTGATCGCAGTGAACTTACTGAATGGAGGGGGCTTTTGTCGTATTGCAACGGGCAATTTTCTTTCCAGAATGCCTGCTGGGATTGTCTGTGACTCGCGATAGAGGGTGAGATAAAGGGAACCGAGGTTTATAGTTGGTGGAAAAGGGAGTGTAGGAGAGAAGCGACAAAGGAAGCAGTATGAGATCATTTATATGTGATTGCTGAGCTTGAAGCGGTGAGGGTGAATCTGCGGCCTCGATGAGATATTCATACCGTAGGAGACATAAAGGTTTGCAGTGAACCCGCCCAATCTCACCTCTTGACCGTAAGTCAATGGCTCCCGGCCCGCACGCTCCCCGTCCTTTGCAGCATGTCCACGGTGCTCGTTTGACCTCGGAATGCATTCCAACCTGTCAAATCTCGTCAATAACGTACCAACTGGACGAGACACCGCCGTTTCGACTGCGCATCTCATTCAATCAGCAGGAACTCTGCCAGTTTAGGAGGCGTTTCATGTTTGCAACGCACCAATATTGAAGCCATTCATTTAAGCCCCGCTATAGAATTGCTGCTTAGTTTAGAGTAGCTGCATCGATAATCCTGTTTATCGTAGTATGATTTATTTGGCAGGGCAACGGACCATCCCAAAGCTTTCAAGATAGCGGCATATCGCCTTGATTCCCAATCGACATCCCTAGGAATGCATACAGAACGACGAATTAAAACGGCCATGGGTACAGAAAACATAGAGCCTTGCAAAGAAATAATCAATTGCCAAGAGAAACAAGACCAAACTGTCATTGCCTCTATAAAAATAATCGATAACGTTGTAGTCTCGAGTATCTTAGTACGTTCTAGTCATATCCCCCTCTCCCGATACCAAAGTGTAAACCTTCCTCATGCTTTCTGTCGGCTGTGTCTGCGGACTAGTACCCATGATAAACTCAACATCCCTCGACAATTTTAACTCATGCCCATCTACGGAAGGCCGTTGGAATGCATTTCGACTAGAACGTTGTTGAAATTATCATCGTTGGTGCTGGGATTATCCTGCTCCATCTCCTCCTCCTCCTCCTCCTCCTCCTCCTCCTCCTCCTCCTCTTCCTCTTCCTGCTCCTCCTCCTGCTCAAGGCCGTATACTACAGCATCACAAGCCTTCCAGAAATCATTCTTCCAGTTCTTTTCTTCACTTTCTTGAATTTCCCTGAATCCTGGGAGATGACCTTCGGCTACAAAGTAGAAGATGACAAGAGCGTTGAGGATTGTGCGGGCTTTTCCAGTGAGACGGTAAGGCCCAGTTGAGTAAAGTTCAGAGTGGCCGTTAGTGCATTCGTCTCTGTAGGTGTCCACGACGAATGAGAAGGGGTCTATAAAGCCCCAAGTCTCAACATCGGAGGGTTGTATCTCCCGGTATTCATTTCCTGCCATAAGAACCAGAGGAGGTGGTGCAATCGTTGGTGGGTCGGACAAGGTTGCGTAGAGTGGCTCATACCCGTTTGAAACTGTTCCGATGAACATTCCTCTGAGTACACCCAAGGAGGGTTCGCGGCGGACATGTGGCGGGAGAGAATGGAAGCTCAATCCATGGCGGTAAGATTCTACCAACCCGAATTTCGCTGGAAATGAAGCCTGCGCAGCCTCCCTGATGGCGTCGAGGTTCCAGTCGCGAACATGCATGGTGGCTAATCAATATTCTTCCAACAGATTTTTGATGACTTGTATGAAGGTAGTGCAGTAGTAATGTTGAATGTCGAGATTTTGATGCAGCGATGTTGGCTGTTGGGCGTAAGTGTTGTGAAAACAAAATGGCGTGATGGAAATGTTTCAGCAGACGGACGCCATGTATACAAGAAAGTAGTCGCTCCGGAAGGGAAGGTCGGTACCCGGAATTAAAACGGAGGCAGGAAGACATAAAGTATGCAGTAGCAATGCGTACGTAGACCGAGGAAATCTCAGGCAACTGCAGGGGCCGCAGTATGCCTTGCCTTGTAAGTATGGGATGGAAGGAAGCCGACCTGAAGGAGGAGAAAGAGCCAGGACCTGCAGTACTGAGGTACACCTACGATATTTGGCCAGTGCGTTCGTCCAACTACCGTCACCATCATTTACTTTCACACCGCCATCGTGTTGCTCTCCTTTCGGATCCATCGCAGGAGCTACTGCAGCAAGTCAACGTCTTACCATAGGGTAGCAACAAGTTATGACGTTGCCAAAGGCCTCCGACGCCATAGATATAAACTTTGCAGAGAGTTTTCGGACTTCTTTCTCTGCCCACTCTGGTTGCTGTCGCCTTTTTACGATGCGGCTTCGAAGTCCTTGATTTTGCTCTTACTTTGATTCCTCCTCCCTCAGCCGGGTATTTCGCATCACTGCCACACCCTTCCAACTTTCGACTTCTCTTTCTAGTTCGGCGATTGTGTTGATCAAAGCGCCAACTTTCCCCCAGGCGTCATCTGCCACATGGGTGAGCTGTGAGATTCTGACGTCTTGTCGGTGCCGCTCTGCCTTAAGGCCACTGTGACATTTGCTAGCGTTTTTGGGTAGAGCTCGAACAGGCCAGAGTGCTGACCTCGTCATCGAACATTCGCAGCCTTGGGTCATCATCCCTCCTGTTCAGTGTTACAACCTAGAGTTCTCGCTTCTCCATACCCAACCGTCTCCGACCCGGCGGCCCCCTTCTGAGTAGCGTTACATTCACGTCTAGGGCTGTAGATGCTTGCTCTCATGTTGCCCTCGTCCCCTTTGACATTGGGTAGTTGTGGCGTGTGAATGAGCGGTAAATGCTCCTTGCTTCTGGGTACCATTAGTACACGAAGGATCTAGGGGCACGCCACTTCAGAGTCATCGAAGATATAACGTCCCCTGTACTCCGCTCTTTGTACCTATGTACTCGGCTAGATGGCCATTAGCGAGGAAATACATGTATCAGACGGTTTTTATGTACCCTGTTGTCTGCGCGCAGGCCAGACTTGCATGTACATGCAGAAAAGGTGTGATGAGGCCGAGTATGTTCAGGAGCCCAGAAGCACTATAACAACTGGCATCCTATGGGCCATCCGCGAACTCAATTTCTGAGTGGCTCTCGGCTCGAATATACATAAAACCTTGTATTCTTCTTGAGATTCGAATGTTGCTGTTGGGGATGTTGTAGCCCTCCCAGAAGTCGTTTGCTGGATTATCTTTGTCCAGAGGGAGGTTTGGCTTTCCCATCCAGGTCTTCGAAGGTCAATGTTTTGACATATCTAAAGAAGGCTCGAACGTCAATAGGGAAGTATCGTAAGACCCCGTTTCTGACAGACTCGAAGGTGGACAGCTACGCTGGGGTCGTTCTGGATTCCATTCCACACCTGGTGTCAAGTAAAGGGGAAGAGTAGGTATAGAACCCCTAGGAATCACTGGTCAGACGAGGTGGCTCGACTTTATACTACTAAGTTAGTTTATCCCTATATCAATCTTTCCATATGCAGATCGAAGCTCTCCTCTTCGTAGCAAACGAGTCAATGGTATCAAGGACTCAGTCTGTCAATCTTCCACTCCTCACCAACCTTCGTATATCTGAATCGATCATGCAACCTGCTCTGCCTGCCCTGCCAAAACTCCACCATCTCAGGCAAAATCCTCAGCCCACCCCAGAACGGCGGCACGGGAATCTCTTCCTGCCCTTCGAACCTCTTCTCCACATCTTTCACCTTCTGCTCCAGCGCCTCCCTCGAATTGAGGACCTGACTTTGCGGACTCGCCCAAGCGCCGATCCTCGACCCGCGAATCCTCGTGTTGTAGTAAACCTGCGACTCCGCAGCCGATAAGCGCTCTACATGCCCTTCGACCCGGACCTGCCGCTCCAATTCATGCCACCAGAACGTCAAAGCAGCCTGCGGGTTACTCTCAATATCTCTGGATTTGTTGCTCGTCTCCCAATTTGAATATACCACGAACCCACGATCATCCAACTCTTTCATGAATACGATCCTTGCGCTAACTTTCCCGTCGGGTAGAGATGCGGTAGATAGCGTCACGGTCTCCGGCTGATACACCTTCGCATCGATAGCTTCCTGGAACCACTTGTGGAATTGTTCTGTTGGTGAAGGATCCAGGTCTGTAACATCGAGAGTGCCTTTGCCGTATTGGATGGCACGACCCGGATCGGTTGAACCGCCGGTTGGGGCAAAGATTTTCTTCAATGTGCTTATAGGACCTCCGCTACTACTGGACTGTGCTTGCTGCTCCTTAGCCTCTGCGGCAGTGGGTTTTGCTGAGTGAAGCATTCTCGATCGATAGAGGATGCGGTTTGGTGAGGGGTTCCGGAAAGGAAGATTGTGCGAGCGATGAAGAGACGCTTCAATGCGGGTCACTGGTCTTTTCAGCAATGACACCAAGAGTGCCACCATGGGGTTTCCAGAAATCTCCAGATGGAAATCGAATGTCTTGATGGCCTGAGGAGGAGACGGGAAGTTTGGAACCCGTGATATGATCACGTGCCAAATTAATGAACGAGCCGCCGGATGACGTAATCACTTCTCTGGTATATCAAACATAACACTACGATTCCTTTCCTCCATATATATTTACCTGCATCCGTTGCTCGAACCTTCATCATTCTTTCTACAGAAACAGCATAGAACGATGACTTAACAGAGTTAGCTGAGAGTTAAGCTGACGGTCTTGTATTAGCAGCTAATTCAAGCATACAATGTGCACCGCAAATAATTTTGAAGCATACTGCTTGTATGCGTACGCATTCTATGACCATTTCCGTTTATGAATGCCATCACATCATTTTACCCCAAAGCATAGGCCTCCTTTCCCTCCCCGAACAGTACGCTTGGCTTCCTCTGCGCGATATCCAGCACGGTTTGCGCGAACACCGAGTTCGCCCAAGCGAACCACGGTCGCGTATAGTCCGTCACATAGTTAACATTCACACTTTCATGGATCAGGCCGTTCCTGCTAGCATTTTTGACTAGTCCTAGGCACGTTTTGATCTCGTCTTCGTCGTCACTGGTCATGGCCTGCACAAGGACAGCCATGGGCCATGCATGCTGAAGGCCAATATGCGGACCGCCGATGCCACGGAACTCGCCTCCGGAGAGAAAATACGGGTTACCCGTCTTTTCGAGAATCATCTTCCTTGTATTCTTGTAAATTTCATTGTCCGTGGACGTGAAGCCTAGCAACGGCAGTGCAAGCAGCGAGGGGAGGTTTGCGTCGTCCATGAGGATGTGGGATCCAAAGCCATCGACTTCGAAGGCAAAGACTTTGCCGTACCGCTTATGATCTACAACACCGTGTTCCCAGACACCCTTTTCGATAGTAGTTCCCCATTCGCGGACTTTGGCGGCGAGCTTCTTTTTGCCTGCTTGGTGCAGCATAGTCGCTGTGCGTTGGAGCTCTACGCTCATCATGGCGTTGGAAGGAATCAGGTAGCCAAGAATGGTAGCATCATCTGAAGGGCGAAAAGCCGAGCGAACTAGGCCAGTACCGCCATTCAAAGGGTTGCCAATTCCGTTCAGATTGAGAGTCTCCGTGCCAGTGTCCGTCCGGCGCTGGAAGGAGTACTCATTTCGTTCGTAGCTGCCGGTTTCGGGATTGAAGGTAGGCTTAGATTGGGCAGAGAGGACATCAAGAACGGTTTCCAAAGCCTGTATCCAACGAGGGGTGAGGAAAGCGGTGGAGCCTGTATGGTTGTAGAATTGGTTCGCGAGAGAGAGGAAGTGGGCGAGGGAATCGAGTTCGTACTTGCATTCAAAGACAAAAGATGGTTCGTAGAGGGGATGGACAACGTCCCCATCGCCCTGATACGTCGGATCAAGGCCGCTTGGTGCAGGCGGTTGAAAGGCGTTGCAGTAAGGGGATCCAATGACATATTCAGCCTGCGTGTTGATGGCACCCAGTATCAGGTTGTGGATAGCCTTATCCTTCTTAGCCAAGCGCTGATACTGTTGGAGTTGGTTAGTGGAGTCGCGAAGCCATTCCGCATTGATGTCTCCGGTGACAATGAAACTCTGTGGCCCTTTCCAGGCATCCGAGCTCCACTTCTTTTTGAAAAGTCTGGGCTTCTCGGTCCCGTCTACGTGCCATCGGACGGTAGTGTCCAGTGTATTCGGAAATGCATTTTCGAACAGACGGGCAAGGTCCTGGTCTACAATCCTCTCGTTCATATCCTTGACGACCTTTTCTACCAAGGGCGATTCAAAAGTCCGACAGTACTTCTTGGGTCTTTGAGAAGGGAGCTCAAGCGGTCCCTCACTATATGGAGGACTGCAGATCCTAATTAGTGTACTGTTGTATTAATGGGAAGTCACGTACTGCGGAGACATAGCATAGTGTTTGTAATCCGGACACGCTGCTTTATACTTATTGGGATCTATGTCGGCCCCAAGGGGCTCTTGCATTCCACCATTAGCGTCATAAAAGCCAGCAATAACACCAGATATCAATATAAGGAAGGCTTCGAGGTACGGTAGTGGTCGAGAAGGATGCATTGTGATTCGAGGCCGCGATAGTGTTGCTAGGAAGAGCGTAAAAGTAGACGATTAGAAAGGTAAACCGTGCAATATGGCTAGGGAGCTACGATGGGTTAAAGGCAAAATTTATCATGTCTTCCGGCTCGTTTTCAAAGCGAGCGTTAATGCTTTGAATTCGGTGGTTTGTACACAGCAAGGTCGAGGGATCCGGAACAGGTTGCGTCAACCTGGTCGGCTTTAGCGCGCGGGACAAGCAACGGCTCGGCTAGTAGGGCTGTGTTACTAAGCAGCCTAATCCATCGACCGCCTACTGCTTTCGGACAGCTCGAATTCCTACCTTGCGATTGACTTCAATAAAGAGCAGTCTCATAATGTTCGAAGGAGGTTTGCTCCTTTTCACAATACGCACTTTCACGGCCGTGTAAACTGTATATAGATACTCCAGCAGGACTACCCAACACAACAAACTTCCCAACCACCACAATCCTTCAGACCTTCAGTTCTATCGCGGCCATATGGCTTCACTCCCAGGTCTCAACCTCGCCGCAGCCTCTGCAGAACCCGCAAATTTAACCTCCACATCTACCGAAACACGTCAACAAGACCTCGCCGCAAACACCGAGTACCGCTTCGAAGTCTCATTCTCACGAACCCTCACCATCCGGCTGCGGACTGGCACCGCGGAGTTCTTCGGCACCGAGCTCGGCCCATCAACAACTTACAGCTTCAAAGGGACGAAGGGAGCAATATACACATGGCATGGGTGCTCTTTAGAGATCGGCGGAGAGGCCGAATCGGAATATGTGGCTGAGGAGACAACCATGATGAGCTACGCGAATGCACATTTTGCATTAGAGGACCTAAGGGACAAGGCGATGCAGAGCAATGAGGCAGGGCCGAGAGTGCTAGTTGTTGGACCCGACAATTCAGGAAAGACAAGCTTGGTGCGGATCCTTACGAGTTATGCTCTCAAGATGGAACGGCAGCCCGTAGTGGTAAATCTCGACCCGAGAGAGGGAATGTTAAGCGTGCCGGGAAGCCTAACAGCATCGGCCTTCTCAGGTATATTGGATGTGGAAGAAGGCTGGGGTAGTAGCCCTATCTCTGGGCCAAGTCCCATTCCTGTCAAGATGCCACTGGGTTATCACTACGGCCTGGGAAATCCGGAGGAGGGAAAGCTGTATAAGCCGTTGGTGACGAGGATGGCGCTGGCGGTCCTGTCACGATTGGAAGAGGATAAGGCTTCGAAGCATACGGGTTTCATCATTGATACTCCAGGGTCGATCAGCCATGGCAAGGGAGGAGTTTACGAGAACATAGATCACATAGTGTCCGAATTCTCGGGTACGTGTGGTGTATGTTTCGTAGGGAAACTGCTGACAATCTCAGTCAACATAATATTCGTCCTAGGATCCGAGCGTCTCTACTCGGATCTTTCTCGCAAGTACGGCCACCGCAGCGAAGATCCCATATCTGTTGTACGGCTAGATAAATCGGGGGGCTGCGTAGACAGAGACGAGGCATACATGAAGCACTTCCGGCAGAATCAAATTCATAACTATTTCTTCGGTACCGATGCGGAAAACACATTGGCACCTTATTCCCTTGTTGCGGACATCGGGGACCTCACTATTTTCCGGTTGGCAGAATGTGAGTCGATGAGTATCCCACTGCGGATGGCGCCTATGTTCAAGTCACTGATGTAATATTCAGCTTCTGCCGTCGACCCCTCATTCCGACCAGGAGACGACGATGACGACGTTTATGCCGCTTCGAAGAACATATACGAAAAGGTCAACCCATCATCTGCCATGCAGAACTCACTCTTGGCTGTCACCACTGCCTCGCCCAAGGACCCCCAAGAGGTAATACGGGATGCCAGCGTGCAAGGCTACATTTACCTCATCGAGGTGGATGAAACGAAGAAGAAAGTCAGGGTGTTAGTTCCGCAGCCAGGACAGTTACCCCCTAACGCACTGGTTCTTGGTAGTTTTCCCGAAGTGGTACCCGACCTTCTCAATTAGTAAGATAAAAGGTCATAGGAGTCCGGGGAAAATAGACAGGGAGGGAGGAGGGGACCAATTGTTTGACTGCGATGCAAATGATAAACGAGGCCGTTAGGTTACTTTCCGTCATCTGGGAAGTTTGTCAATGAGAACGATTGAGCGTGCAGGGCTCGCTTGGGTATCTGGATTTCTATCTCATACTCAAATGTAAATGCTCTTGAGTGGGTTGCAGTCAGTGTTCGCCGGACTCACACTCCGAGATCAGACTCTCCACAGATTCCGATACGCCCTCGAATACCGCGATCGCGCTTCTCATCCCCCTAATAGCGTTCTCGTCCGGTCCCTGCCCGGGCTGGAACGTTGCATGCGCAAAGTCGATCATTTTGACGACGGCCAACTTAGGGCCTTCTTCCTCGTCGTCGGCGTCCTCCTCTTCGCCCTCAGTTTCCTTCTCTTCGGGTCCCGACTTGTTGATCAGGCTCTCTTTCGACTTTTCGTACTCGTTGATATCACCCTCATATACCAGTAATAAACTCGCAGAGTACATCCTACTCTCCTTGCTCTCGAGAACCTTCTGAATATCCCGTATCTCGTCGATGAAATACGTAGCCACCTCCCTCGCCCTCTCCAGCTCCTCCCTGCTCCTGCTCCTCGGTAGCAAGAACGAGAGGAACCCGGCCTTGACGTCTTCCGCATCCTTGAAATTCCTGCCATACATCTTATTGTAGACATGAAACCCCTCCTTATCTTCCTCGACAAACTTCTCGTTCTCCCTCGCCACCTCCCACTTATCGCCCACATATGTCCGCATACCCGCTATCCGGAAGCCCAAACTCCCGCTCGTAGATGACGCACTGATTTCGTCCAACCTGGCCCTCTTCTCCGGTTTCGCATCATCATCCCACAATCTAGCGCCCAGCTTCAAATCGAGCACATTCGGCTTCTTGAACCCATGCGTGATATTCTCCAGCACAATGTGCAGCTCCGTATCCAATTTCTTGCCATGCAACCTCTCCACTCCATTATCGGTCTGTACGACCCCTGATTCCGGGGTCTCGGGGACTTTGGAGGCGTCGTCGGCAGCGAGAGCGAGCGTGCCTAGGAAAGTTGGCAGATGGGGTTGGAGGTTCGGATGCGATTGAGCGACGGTTTGGTAGAAGTCGACTTCGGCTTGGGTGCAGGGTTTGACGAGGATGGCGCCGCTGGCGTCGGACATTACGCCATCGCTGAGGAGGTGTGAGTGAACGAGATAGAAGGATTGGGGAGGTGATGGGGACTTACTGGCCGGCGGCGGCGTGACCAAATGCCTGGAGAGAGGAGGGGTCGAAGGGTTTCGTACTCATATCTATAAGGTATGTTCACAGAGCAGACAAACGAAAGACGGGGGACTTTAGTAAATGGAAAAAACCGCCAACGCCGAAGGAAACGAGGGAGTGTTTATAAGCGCAGATGGAATGTGGGCGGGACGTTGGAGTTAATAGGATGATGACCCCTGTTGATGCACACTGACTCGCGCACATGGTGCTAGTCCGTTTTTGGCATTATATTGTGACAGGTCGAGGGCTCAATATCTGAAGTACTGAATGCACACATTCAACAAGCTATATGCCTTTCATAAGAAGTTTTGCTCACCGTACTGTTTATTAGTTATGCTCCACATATTCACAATCGCAAAATGAGTAACTCAGTCCATCACATGACCGCGTGTTTGCGCGACACCGCTTCACGCGTATTCCCACTCGGCGTCATTGCCCTGGACCAACTTCACCGCAAGAGTGTTTGCTCCTGATATATAATGGTTTGATTTTACCCTTCCTTCTTCCACCACCTTTTCCACATCTGTCAGCCTTAGCATCATCGCCACCCCTCACAATGGCGGCCAGTTCTGAACAGCAGACCGTGATTCCCGAGGCAGCTTCCGAGCCCACCTCAGTGAATGATAGTACAGCTTCCAGGAATAAAACGGAGGAGCCAGAGCACCCTGATGCACCTGCTATCAGGAAACAGGTGAGTGCATGTTTCACGACGGCAGTCTCATCCCCGTTACATGAACAATGCGGTACAATCCTCATAGAAGGATAATCTTCTAACAACGTTCGTAGGTCGAATATTACTTCTCCGACGCCAACCTCCGCACCGACAAATTCCTCCTCCAATGCTGCGGCGGCCGCGAGAACCTACCCGTCAGCCTGGGCCGCATCTGCGGCTTCAAGAAGATGCGGAAATTCCCCAAGAAAGTCGTCCCCGTGGCCCTCCGCCGCAGCAACTTCCTCGAAGTCAGCGACGATGGCAAGAGGGTCTGGCGCAAGGTTCCGCTGGAGGGGAAATGTCTGCTAGATGAAGACTTCAAGATGAGCGAGAGCGAGACGCGGAAAGCGCATGATAAGTTCATGGCCGGGAAAAAGAATGCTGATGGCGGGAAGGATGGGGGAGAGAAGAACGCGGAGGAGTTTGTAGATGATGGGGAGATTGCGTATGATCCGAGGTCCAGACGCCGAATTGCTTATCCGCTTCGATTGATCCCGCAGACGAAGAAGGTGCTACCGGATGGTATGACGAAGAAGATGATGCTGCCTACTGGTTTTGAGCCGACGTATGCAGAGGGGCCGCTTTCGCCTGCTGAAGCCGCTGAGGATGCAGCTATGTACGACGAAGATAAGCCGTTTGTGGAGCGCATCGAGCTGGCTATTCACCAATTCATGGCCAAGAAGAGGATGCATGAGATGTACTCCAAAGTCTTCAACAAGTGGATGATCTTTGGCGGAGTCAATTGCGAGCCGAGGCAGTTCGGCGGATTGTCTCAGGTAGAGATGAAGCAAATGGCTGCGGAGGAGATCGCAAGGGCGAGAGCCATACATCAGGTATCGTGGGATAGAGGGGACAGCAATAAGTGGGTGGTGGATTTCGTAGGAGTTGCCGAAGCTTTTCTGTGAGTCCCGTTCCTCTTATTCATCAAGCACAAGGAAAAAGAAGGGCAGCACTAACGAGATGAAGTTCATCCATATACCCCATCACCTTCGGCTACGAAGCCAAAGGTGTCGCGACGGCTTGCCGAGTCCTTCGAGCTTTCTACAACTACCTCCTCCTTCACTCAGTATGCGACGAGTACCGCTCTCAGATCCTCGCTGCCCGCGCCCTTTGTGACAAAGCCGAGACCGAACTTCCGCAATGCTATGCTGCCGCCACTGCGCTGCCAGGCGCCTTCAATGTAGCCGCTAGCACCATGCTTGGTGGCTATCATGCCGGCGCAAACGTGACGGACGCAGGTTGGACGACGGATAGCGAGCGAGCAGTCTGGGACGTTCGGGGCGTCGGCATGCGGGTTATTGAGGCGGAAATCATCTTCCGCGCGGGGTGCCTCGTATACGGCAACGAGGCGCTACGCGATCTAGTCGATACAGAAAGTGACCACGATGTCGATGCGGTCAAACCTGTCAAGACTGAGTCGCACCTGTATCTGGAAGTAGTGAAGATTGTGTCTCCGACGAAGAACGAGGAAATTGACTACATGCTTCATCGACAATCGTGGGACGGAGTGATGGAGCACCTTAACCTGCAACCGATGGGCAAGCTGGTGTGCAAGCCCTACGCGCAGCCCACCTACCACGAGTACGATCTTCCCCGAGGCAAAAAGTCGCCGTACGACGCTCCCAGCTCTTCAGAGTACACATTCCTTGTTGAGGAGGCTGCGCTCAAGGAATGCTACCCGGGTCTGAAGATGTCTGTCACGGTCATCACCCTGCCGGGAGGTATGCATATTCTGGACGAGGTCAAGGAGACGTATTGCAGCTTCTACAAGGTGCTCCCAAACGAGCTCCTGGCGGGCAGGAAGACGCCGAAGTTTAGGCTCATGAATAGGCATCTGGAGGGGCTGGAGATGGCGGAGAAGGTCGGGATTGACAGGGTCGAGGAGATGGAGGCTGGGACGATGGATGACGAGGGATACGACAGTGACGAGGCGGATTAGCTGAGCCCGGACAAGGCCGAAAGATGGCTGATTGGAGGCCGCAGCCGGGCTCACGCTCTTGATTCGAGCGTAACGATGATATAGCTTCTGCGGTATAGGTGCTGGTTTGGTGACTTATCTGAGCGCGCGCGTTAGGTGTCACTGAAAGGATAGGCACACGAGCATGGTGGAAACGGCACGGAAATTGGCATCTGAGGCAATCAAGAATACATAATATACACTCACATGCAAGTCTTCCGAGGTCATCTCATCATCCCTGGAATGATCGCTAGATCATTTCTTGTCTCGTAATATGAGTGCCACACATACTCGGGCAAAAGTCGGACACGGGTATCATGCCATTCGTACGGTGCAGTGGAGCGCCGAATCTTCGACCACATAATGCGCCCAAGGGTATTCCCATGGCGTTTGCCTTGCCGAGTGGCACATACAAGCCCCTTCAGGATTCTCCCCCTATCTGATACCTACAGTCCAATCTCACGGTCTGCCCGCGTTGACGGTTAAATTCGCCTCCAGGTACGTGGCGAACCAGTCGCGAATGGAAATGTACGGATTCTTCCAAACTTCCTCTTTGCCCGAGGTTATCCCAGGTCTTCCACTTGAAAGTGACTCGAGAGGCATATTCCGGTTCATAAACCTGGGGGGGGGTTTCGCTAACTGCCTCATTGCTCTTCGTTATTGACCGCCGATCTCTGGCTTTGTCTGGATTTGAAGGGGGAAGCATGTTTCGGCTAGGGTGGGTGTACTCAAATCAACGCAGCTGGATCGCAGACGGCCAAACACGAACATCCCTCATTTCGTCTGCAGTACGACCCGGAGCGCCGGAAGGGGGCAGCGCCCAGCATTACGCATTAGTATGCCTCAAAGATCCGGCATGTAATGCATCTTGTACTTCCTATTCGCTCGGTCTGGCGCCCGATGCTGAAAGTGCTGGCCGAGAATTTCAAACACGAGAGGCTTCAGTGGCTCAGATCCTTCGGCAGACGGGACTGGAATCTCAAATCGGAACATGGTATGCTCTTTGGGTATCACTGCCTGAAGTTAGCCTGGCCGGTACCGGAGAGCTCCTCAAGGCGCACTCACATTTCAACGCACTTCCCTCCGTGACGATCTCGAAAGCGAATTGCGAATCCCTCACCACTATTCCCTTCAACCCCACCCTACTGACACAGCGACTGCGCACTACCTCCAGAAGTGCGCCATGCATATCTGCACTGACAAGTATCGGTCCTGCGCTGGCCGGGTTCACATACGCAGCTCTCCCATCTCCTACACCAAGGATATCCCTCATATAGCCTAACCACAGGTTATGTAGCGGCAAGTATATACTCCATTTGATCTGTTCCTTTGGGATTTCAAGGAGACCCAAGGATCGCTTCTTCGCAGCGGATAGCGGGCGCGGCTTCAACGCCTTGCGCTTCTTGGCCTTCTCTTTCTTCTCGTTTAGAGCTCGCCGGCGCAGCGCGCGTGCCGAGGGCTCCGGGGACGTTGGGCGCAGGTACAATGGCCTCTTCACGACTCGCTCTTCGTGGCATTGGGCGGCTACGTCCGGCGGAAGGGCTCGCTCCAGAAGCTCCTGGGCGAATGGTGTGGGTTGTGACATTGGGAGAGGGAACCGGTCAAGGGGAAAGAATCTTTGGGTGTCGCTGAGCCATTGGGGATGACGTGTTCTACAAGTCGAGGTCGGCCCAGAAAAAAAGAGGCTGAGTAGTTGATGCGCGTGTGGGTGGTGAGGGATGTTGAGCGTGGGGTTGGGCTAAGCTTTCCCGATCCGCGACTAGTGACGAATAAGGAATAGCGTCCTGGAGGAGGATGGCCCCAGCCGATGATCCTCCCATGTCTTTACTGCGATACACAAGATTTTCCATCTCCTCCCTTTGTTCAAATTGATACTCCTTTCTTCTGTTCAAAATGACATTCCATTCTCTGGGTATCATAGTTCGGCCCACGGATTGAATTGATTGTTCAAGTGTCGGATCATCCTGAGCAAGGCTGTACAGCTGGGCCAAGCCATCTCGTCTTCCGCTCACCGGAAAACAGCCCAACAGCATGAAAAGGGAGGAAATTCCGGACAAGCGAGCTCGCTGAGATGTCTGGAATCAGCGCGGAAGTCACGTGTTCATTCCGCTCGTACTGATTACCCCTTATGGCGGCGGATACGAGCGCTATAAGGCAGAATACTAGGCTTTTCATTACCTTGTCCTCACAGCCTCATTCACTCCGTGGCTGCACCAGACCATGTCCAAGCCCCTATCCACCCTTCACTCTCTTATATCTCATACTTGATTGTCCATTTCACTGCATTTAGTCATTGCTTAATACTGTGCATACTTCTAACTTGCGATCTTGTTCTTCTTGTCTTTTCACGAAGCGCCTTCAACAACTAGAGATAACTTTGCCGAATGTGGGGGCCGAGGACGCTCATGAAATCGTCTTTGTTTCTACGCCAGATATGGACGCTTGCATGGAAAGACCTTCTTCTGCTCCTTAATCCGAAGCGCCGAACCTTCACGATCATTCGTTCGGGGACATTCCCGACCATATTTATCGTCTATATCGCCTTCATTATCCGCGTGTACTGGCCTAAGGAGGTATATGGAATTGGAAATCCTGCTACCATCCGGTCACTGCCAGAGGCCATCAGTCAAGCTCCCGGGAACCGCAGAACCCTCGTGCTATGCAACTATGGACCACGAGGAGGCGACATCGACAAAGTCATCGAGCAAGTGGCCGCGACGGCGCGACAGGGTAGCGAGAACAAGGTTGAGATTCTGACGGACCCCAACGACCTCCTCACAACATGTCGAAGCTCCCTCCAAGGAGTAACGAAATGTTATGCGGCTGCCGAGTTTCACTCATCCCCTACCGAGGGCGGTCTGTGGAACTATACAATTCGTGTAGACGGGACCTTCGGATACAAGATCAATGTTGAGAATAATAACAATGACGCGGAGATCTTCCCCTTGCCGTTGCAGCACGCCATTGATGCAGCCATTGCATACATCAGCTCTGGGGCGGGATCAAAACCACTTCCGAACACGATCAAGGCGCAACCTTATACGTCCAAGACGCAAGATGAATGGGATGACTCACTCGTTACATCTATCCAAAACGCAAACGCCAAGTATATCGCAGTGGTGTGGTACATTGGGTTCATTGGCCTCAGTTACCAGCTTGTTGGTCTTGTCGCGAAAGAAAGAGAACTGGGCATGGCTGAGCTACTTGAATCTATGATGCCGAATGCCGCTCGATGGCAGCCCCAAGCTGCACGGCTGCTCGGTCACTGGATCGCCTTTACGATCGTAAGTGGCTATGCTTCACAGCGTCAGACGAAACTAATGCCTACGGACAGGTATACTTCCCGTCCTGGATTCTCATGGCCATCCTGGCGAAGGTTGGAGTGTTCCCAAAGACATCGCCGGGGATATTGATAATATTCTTCCTTCTGACGGGGCTCTCGCTCAACTCCTTCTCCATCCTTGGTGCCTCCATATTCCGACGCGCACAACTGAGCGGAATTACAGTCACGGTTGTGGCACTCGTTCTCGGAGTTGCGGCGCAGATACCGGCAAAAACGTTATCCACAGGCGCCGTCGCTATCCTAAGCCTCCTCTTCACACCCATGACGTTCGTATTCCACATGATCTGGTTGGCACGCTACGAAAATAAACAGATCTCCCCCAACTTAGTCCAGGCGGCACCGGGCGCGACATGGAGACTACCAGGCTTGGTATTCTGGATTTTCATGCTGGTTCAGATATTCGCGTATCCGGTCCTCGCCGCCTTCGTTGAGCGTGCGATGTTCTATACCGATTCTCGCGGGAGGAGGGTAACATACGATGATGACGCAGACCCAGTCGTGCTATCGCACTTCACCAGGCACTATCAGCCTAACTGGTTCTTCCGCTACATTGCCCCCTTCTTTGGAGTCAAGAAGCCGGTCATCAAAGCTGTGAACGATGTATCCCTGGCGCCCGTCAAAGGACAAATCGTCTTGCTTGTAGGGGCTAACGGCTGCGGGAAGAGCACAACATTGAATGCGATTGCTGGAATTGGGGACGTGACATCTGGCTCCATATGTGTCAACGGTTGTGGTGGCATCGGCATATGTCCCCAACGGAATGTACTCTGGGACCATCTCACTGTAGCCCAGCACGCCCAGATCTTCAACCGTATCAAGTCGACTACTATCAACCCTTCTGTGGAGAGCGAGCTGGATCAACTGATATACGAGTGCGACCTGTCCCGGAAGAAGAAGGCTTACTCATACACACTCTCGGGTGGCCAGAAGCGGAAACTACAGCTCGTGATGATGTTGACAGGAGGCAGTCGAGTGTGCTGTGTGGACGAGGTCTCTGGAGGTCTGGATCCGGTCTCCAGGCGGAAGATATGGGACATCCTGCTTGCCGCACGCGGTACGAGAACCATTATACTCACTACACACTTCCTTGACGAAGCCGAATTCCTCGCTGATCATATGGTCATCATGACGAAAGGCTCTGTGAAGGCTGAAGGCTCCGTCTCCCAGCTGAAGACGAAGCTGGGCAGCGGATATCGGTTTCACTTCCTCCACGGCGCGGGTTATAGCGAGCTGCCTGATGTTGAGGATCTGTTCGTAGGAGCGCCAAAGGAGAGCCTGTTCGACCAGACAATCTTTACCGTCTCAGAAAGCACTCGGATGACTCAAATTATCAAGGAGCTGGAGAAGCGCGGTATCAGAGACTTTCAAGTCACCGGTTCTACAATTGAGGAGGTGTTCATGAAGCTTGCTGGGGAAACGGAGGCAGCTCTGTCGATCGAGACATCTGAATCTACTCTCACACATGATCTCCCTATCAAAGCCGTATCAAACGAGGGCAAAGCATTGGTTGATCGAGATGAGCCGCTCACGACCGGCAAACCCCTTGGCTTCATGCAACAATCAGTCATTCTCTTCAAGAAGCGAGCGATCGTCCTGAAGCGGAACTATCTTCCCTACACATTTGCATTCCTTATACCAGTCATAGCCACGGCCTTAATATCGCTCCTGCTTAAAGACAAGAAGTACGCTGGATGTTCTGCGGCACAGCAAATTTCCGAAAGCGAATTCGAAACACTGGAGACCAACAGAGACTACAAGCCATTACTGTTGCTGGGTCCAACCAATGCTTTTACAGAGGTCAACCTGGGGTCTCTTCAGACGATCTTGCCAAATCAATTTCAAGGTGCTAAGTCGTCCCTGGGTGCACTTCAAGAATATGTCAGCCTCGTTGATAGTTTCGACGATTATCAAGCGTATCTTCGGGCGAACTTCAGCAAGGTGACCCCAGGGGGGTTCTTTCTCGGTCAAGAACCTGTCTTCAGCTTCTATTCGAATCTGGGTTTCCTAGGGCTTTATTCTGGCATCTTCATGCAGAATATAGTCGATGTGCTCTTAACCAACACCACAATCGTAACATCATTCCGGTAAGTCGCTCCAAAACACCATCGACTTTCCGGGACAAACCTTGCTGACAACGCCCAGCTCCTTCAGCTACCCATGGCCATCCGACACCACCAACCAAATCCAGTTCATCTTCTACTTCGGCCTCATCATGTCCTGCTATCCCGCCTTCTTCGCCCTTTACCCAACCCGCGAGCGCCTTCGCAAGATCCGCGAACTGCAGTACTCCAACGGCGCACGCCCGTTGCCCCTCTGGCTGGCGTACCTCTCTTTTGACTGGCTAAATGTCCTCGTCGCAAGCGGCCTGATGACGATCATTCTCGTGGCCGCCGCAGGGGATAACTGGTGGAACGTCGGATATCTCTTCGTCGTGCTGTTCCTGTACGGACTCGCATCGCTCCTGTGGGCATACTTGGTCGCTCTATTCGCAAAGTCCCAGCTCGCCGCGTTCGCCATCGCAGCAGGGACGCAAGCCTTTTTGTTGCTCATGTACTTCACCGGTGTGATGAACATCCAATCCAACATGGAGGCCAGCAAAGTCAACAATGCCCTGACAATCTTCAACTACACATTCAACCTCATAGCCCCAAGCGGAAACCTGGCGCGTGCGCTTTTCATCTCGATGAATCTGTTTGGCACACTCTGCCGCGGCACACCTCCACGCATGGCCTCGTACCCAGGGGAAATCGGGCTCTATGGCGCTCCAATCGCATACTTGCTCGGACAATCCCTCCTCATGTTCACCATCTTACTGATCGTCGACCACGGCTGGACCGCAAAATGGTTCCACAAGACCCTTCCAGCGAAAGATGGCGAAGACCACACAACCCTCGAAAAAGAAGTCGCAGATGAAATCACCCGCGTCGAACACTCGAACGATGGCCTGCGCGCTCAGCACCTATCGCGCGAGTACAAATCGCCCTCGCGCGAGAGAATGACGGTAGTCGATGATCTCACTTTCGGCATCGACAAGGGCGAAGTGTTTGCTATGTGCGGTCCCAACGGCGCCGGAAAGTCCACGACCATCGGCATGCTGAGAGGCGAGATTTTGCCGTCCCGAGCTGGCGCGAGTATCCATATCGGGCCCGTCGACGCTTTGCGCGACCGCCGCGCCGCTCGCGCCCGGCTGGGCGTGTGCCCGCAATTCGACGCCGTGGATCAGATGAGCGTTCTCGAGCACTTGGAATTCTACGCCGGTGTCCGCGGGATCCCTTCGTCGTGCGTCACTTCGACCGCGGAACAACTCATCCGCGCCGTCGGGCTGGAGAGGTTTGAGAACCGCATGGCGAGTAAGTTGTCCGGCGGTAACAAGAGGAAATTGAGTCTTGCGATTGCCTTGATTGGGAATCCGGACGTTGTGCTGTTGGATGAGCCGAGTTCGGGCATGGATCCCGTGGCTAAGAGGGGTATGTGGGAGGTGCTGAGGAGGTTTGTCGCGGGGAGGAGTGTGCTGCTGACGGTAGGTCTCTCCCCGTTCATCGACTACGGTACATTTGGTTATCGGATGGTTTCTCTTGAAGCGTGATGTGATGCTAATGAAAACCATTGACAGACACACTCCATGGAAGAAGCAGACCACCTCGCCACGCGCGTCTGCGTCGTCGCCTCGGGCCGCATGCTCGACATCGGCACGACGTCGCACCTGCGCCGGAAGCACGGCCACGGGTTTCACATCCAGCTCATTTGCGCGTCGGCGCCGCATACGACGTCGGAGGAGATGGAGCAGGTCAAAGCATGGGTCGAGGAGACGCTGCCTGGCTCCCAGATGGAAGGGTTCGCGTATCATGGGCAGTTGCGCTTCAATGTGCCTGCGAAACGACTAGCTGCGTTGGGGGATAACATTAGGGAGAAGAGGGTCGATGGGGTAGATGATTCTGCCGAAGAGGAAGAAGAACTCACCGTCGGGCAACTCTTCGTGCTCCTCGAGGAGCACAAGGAACGGCTCGGACTGGAGTTCTACTCTGTGAGTCCGAGTACGTTTGACGAGGTGTTCTTGCGGGTCATTGAGAAACATGATGCGGGCGAGGAGCCCGAGACGCCCAAGAGGAAGAAGGATTGGAAGTACTGGGTTGGGACGGTGTTGCGAATCTGGCTTCTGATTCCGAGGCGTTAGAGGGGGATAGCCTGGGGATATTGGAGAGGGGCACATAGATTGGGGGCGGTTTGGTGTTTGGAATCGCTCTTGTTGCGTTGTTTGATTTTCTTGCTTTTTCTGTGGTTCATTGCTTGTCGTTGCATCTACTTTCACCGTTTCCCTTTTCTACTTTTTTTTCTTATGTATCATATAAACTCGGCTTTCAATGTCATTGCTCGCACTAAATGGTAGCTTTAAATCATAGTCATCCCATATAAATGGACTTCATCTGAGAGCGCCACATTGACCCAGTACAGCCCCCTCTCTATCTTCTCCAACCCCACACACTCCTCAGACCCGTCAAGGCTTCAGCAACAACTTCCCCGTCGTCTTCCTGCTTTCGATATCCCTAGTCGCGCGCTGCACGTCCTCGAGCGGATACACCTCATGGATGCGGACAGTGAGGTTGTCCTTGGTGATGAGGTTCCACAGCTCGTCTGCATATGGCAGCAGCTCCTCGCGCGAGGCGATGTAGCCAAAAAGCGTCGGGCGGAGGAGCTTGATGTTCTTGGGGGCTAGGCGGCTGGTATTGGTTAGTTTGTGCTTTGCAAGCAAGCTTCTGAGAGGTCGGTGGTTTGGTAGTAACCCCTGAAGGGATGACATAATCCGGGGTGCAAAAGGAAGAGAGGGAGAAAAAAAAGTGCAAGTACTCACCCCAACGCAAACCCCGTCACGGCACCACTCGCATTCCCAAAGCTGACCAAACTCCCCTTCCGCCTCACCGTCGCCAGCACCGCATCGAACGTCGCCTTGCCCACACTATCAAACACCACATGCACGCCCTCACCGCCCGTAATCTCCAGCACCTCCTTCACAAACTTGTCCCTGTCCTCCTCATGATACTCGACCGTAACCTCGGCGCCATTCGCCTTCGCTAACTGACGCTTCTCCTCCGTCGACGCCGTCGCGATCGTGCGCGCGCCCACCGCCCGCAGGAGCTGGCACAGCCAGAGCCCCACGCCGCCCGCCGCAGCCGTCACGAGCACCCAATCCCCCTTCTTCACAGGGTGCGACTCGCGGATCAGCGTCAGCGCCGTGAGCGCCTGGATCAGAGCCGCGGCGGCCGTCTTCGTGTCGATGGACTCCGGCAGCGGCACCGTCGAGTTGGCTTCTGCTACCGTGTACTCTGCGTAGGCGGTCTGGGCCATGTAGGCTACGCGGGTGCCTGGGACGAGGTCCGAGGGGGTGTTGGGGCCTGTGGCCGCGATGGTGCCGGCGCCTTCGCGGCCGAGGATGTAGGGGAAGTGCGGGGCCGGGTAGAGGCCGGTGCGGAAGTAGCTGTGTCGTGGACTTTTAGTGTTGTTCTCTCGTGCTGTGTGTCTTGAGTGGGGGAGGTAGGGGATCGGGGAAGGGGAAGGGGAAGGGGAAGGGGAAGGGGAAGGGGAAGGGGACGTACGTGTCGATGTAATTGATGCCGATGAATTCGTTCTTGACTAATACTTGTCCCTCCTTTGGCTCAGGCACGGGTATATCGGTGCGATATTGCAGTTCCTCTATCCCACCGTTCTTTTCGATCCACACGCCCTTCATCGTCTTCGGTACGCTGGTCGCCATGTTTCCCGATACGTGATTCCCTACGGTTGTATACTTCGGAACCCTCGGAAGCAGATGCCTCTGTACAGTAACCAAGCGTGCACGAGCAATTGATCTCGTTATAGTAAGACGGGGCGAAGATATCACACTCAATGTCAAGAGGGACATTCAATCGAAATGTAGGAGTAGGGTGAGAAGAGGGCATCACGCAATGAGAGCTGCAGATGGTGATAAATATGGAGGGCTGCTAAACTCCGAAGATGCCCGAAGCTACCCCGTCCGTCGTGCGAACGGAATCTCCCCGCAGATGTCATGATTAGTCATGTTCCGCCTCGAATCGGACTACGCACGAGAGATGCATGTAAAAGGGTAGGGCGTAGGGCGTACATTGTCCTCGAGACCGAACTCAGACATCGAGCTAACAACCTGGTCGCCTTCAATCCGGAAGTAGCGGCTGACAACCGAAAAAAGATCAAAGATCGTTTCTCGGAGACAAATTAAGCTTGAAGCTCTATGGCTACTTCATCTTATAATTAACGAGCTGGAGACGCTTGAAAGAGTTATATCCCTCAACTACAACGAACACAGCAGCTTCACAAAGCACATTTGATCCTTTTACGGACTCTCAGCAAGGCAGAATCGGTTCTAAACCCAACGCAGCACTCAAGCCCATGAGACAGGCAGATCTCACTCTTTACAAGGCACCCCCCTAAAAAACACTCTGGCATACGTTCCAGCTCAAGATCCTACACGTAGCTAAGATGTTTCACGCTATCTCGATACTCCAACTACAAACAATACAGCCCCTCTGGAAGCGCTCACCAACCCTCCCCGTAGTACCAAAAGCAAAGAAACAAGCCTCTCCAGAGTCGTTTACGACATCCAATCCAACATCTGTATGATGCGACATTGCTCAAAAGCATTATGCATATATGCACGGGTTGGCCACCCACCTTCAAGCTATGGACACGCTGAAAGACGACTGCCGTCAGAACATCGCATCCTAGACATTATCTGCACCGAAAAAGGAAAAATGGGGGTATGATACAAAACCGTTCTCCTCGTCTCCACCACTCAGAGACTCGCAAATGTAGACCTTGCACAGCAGGGCCGCACCATACCATCGCCTGTACAGTCCTCGCAGCGCCTTTCTCCGTCCTAATGCCCTCCATGTGCATCGCCGGCGCCGCAGGCTCGCGAGTCGAAGCTACAGCCTTTCAAGCGAACGTCAGCACAAGCAAGAACAGGGTGAATAACGACAAGCTCGCCGCGCCCTGCACGCTCAACGTACTAGCGCTCCCCTTCTTGCTCGCCTGCGCGCCCGCCGCCCCTGTCGGGGTCCCATTTTCACCACCCGGGACGTTGGAGTCGTCGTTTGCCAAGGGGCGAATAGCCAGATTCGTGACCTCATTGCCCTTGCTGTCGTAAACCTTCTGGGAGACCTTGGTCTCCTTGACTGGCACGATTTTGCCACGCACCGGGTTCGGGACCCCGTTATTGATGAGGTCGTCGACGCCCTCTGGTGGGTTGGGGATCTTGAAGTCTTTCGAGAAGCCGGAATCGGAGATCAAGTCGGAGGAGCACTTGGGCGGGTTGCGGTTCGTGGCTGAGGGGTCGGTGGATTGGAGGAGCGCAAGATCGATCTTGTTGTACTGTCCGATGAGGTTATCATAGTCGGTGCGGAGCTTCACGCTGCCGTCGTCTCCAATTTCCACCAGGCCGAAGTCGGAGGTTTCCTGAGAGTACTCGTAGACGAGACCGCCGCTCAGAGCCGTCATCTGCTTGCCGTATAGCGCCTGCACCTCGTTGAACACGCGAGGCTTCACTTCGTTGCAGCCATACTCGGAGAAGAAAACAGGAATGGTGCTGTTCCCGAATGTCTCGGTAAGAACGTCGTAACCTGAATCTGTCAGCTATGGCCAGGTATGGTTGACAGAGTCATCAACTTACCAGCAGTCTGGAACGTCGCGTCACCGCCGCACCAGGAGTACGAGTTGAGGCCGAAGAAGTCCGACCTGGACTTATCATCCTTCCCATCAATCGCGCACTCGAAGTACTTCCAGTTATCCTCGAGGATGGGGCGAACATCTGCCGCTGAATATCCCACGGGGATAGCGCGATCCGCGTGCTTCGCGATATAGTTCTTCATATCGCGTTGAACAGCCTGCAACATGTCAGCAACTATGCCCCCACGCAACGCAATCACTCCAACACTCACCCTGATATACGGCGGATTCTCTTTTGCGCTTCCCACATCATTAATCACCTCATTGGCCGCAAAGAAAGCCAACGTATTCGGGTAGCCCTTGAAATTCTCCACGATCCCAAAGATCCTCCCCAAGTACCCCTTATGATAACTGCTCGCGGGTTTGGCACGATTGAGACTCTCGCCTCCAAACGGACTATTCACATCGATGATCATATAGATGCCCACGGCATTGAAGATGCTAGCGCACTCGTCGTGATTGAGCGTGGGATCGAGATTGTACACGCGAATGGTGTTGACACCCAGGCGCTGCAGGAGAGCAGCGTCGCGGAGGCAGGTGGAGGCGTCGGAGAGGGGGTCGCGACCTTCCTGGGGTTTGTAACCGCCTTGACCGCCGGGCTGGTAGTCAACGCCCAGGATCATGAGGCGTTTGTTGGTGACTGTGTCGACGAACTCCTGGCCGCGGACTTCGACGGGGCGGACGGCGAGGGAGAGGGTGGAGAAGAGGGTAGGGAGAAGGAGGAGGGAGCGCGTGAGCTGGGAGCCATGTTAGAGATCTCTCGAGAAAATCGATAGTGGGTTGGGCGACGTACTGAAGGCATGGCGACTGCAATTCACGTCTTACAGTAGCAACAGGCGTCACAATGGGGTCGCTGATCAGTGGGGTACCTGACGTTGATAGGGCTGCCGGCCGAGAAAAGGGGATGGATCAATCAGTCGCGGTAAATACGGGTCTGAGAAGGGCAGGAAGAAGGTAGAAGTATGTAGGCCAGAGCGAGTGTAGAGAACAGCAGGAAAGAAGGACTGCAGGTATAGACGTGTTCCTGCAAACAAAAGGAAGAACGAGTGTGTAATGCCTGCGACAGGTGGTGACGGGGAGGGAGCGATTGTGGAGTCGCAGGCTGGACTGAGGGAGATTGTTGGCCAGTTTTGCTCGGCGCGGGACGATCCTCGGCCCAGTTTTTAAAAACGGGGCAATCTCCGCCCGTCAGGGGCGGGGCGCACCTGACAAGGCTGTGCTGCTTCAACCCATTCCTTTTAGGTAGGTGGATACAGTTGACGCAGTACTGTACTGAATATTTTTACTGCCGTATGATAAATATAGATGGTACGGGTAGTACCTACAGTACGGAGTATTATTGAGATTCTCTGTAAGCATCCCTAAGCATCCTACAACAAGTTTCCCTTGACAGGATATTAATACGTACTAGGACATCTGCTGCCCGAGAGGAAGGTCCAAATCCGGGAAGATTTCGTGGCCCGTCATGAGAAAGTAGAGGGTACTTTCGAGGGCGAAGGGATCCGCCTGTATGCTTGCGTGATCGATTGGTTTGCCGTGTAGGTATGCCTTGGTGGATTCGAGACAGAGGCCGTCTAGGAGGACCTCGCCTACGGTAGAGCAATGCTGGCCCTGGAAGTTCGGTGAGCTTGAGGTCGAGATTCGCATCAAGCAGGAACGTTATCGGCGCGGAGATCGCAGTGGAGGACTCGATTCGAGTGGATGTAGGCTACGGCTTCGGTAGCCTGTATACATACACCAAGATAAGCGTCGCTCGAGAGAGGCCTCTGAGTGAGCGGTGAGGTAGTCGTGCAGATTACCATCTGGAGCAAACTCCAGGAGACCATCTTTGGCCGTGCCCTTTGATTGAATGATGCGAGGATGGTCTGTATGTACAGCTGTCACGGAGTCGATCGCTCGACGGCATAATGCTCCTGTCGAAAGTGCGGGAAAGAGATATCATCGGAAACACGGTGCCAGAGAATATGGTTGCGGCGGAGAAGGGGTTGGAGGAGCTCAGTGAGGCCACTCTTCGAGAGGCGGAGTCATGGGATTGGCCTTCACTAAACTAGTGGTTTTTGCGCACCCCTAGACAGGAAGACGCAAACCGCTGGGCGCGGTTCGCCTAGAGAAGCCTTGAGGAACGAAATTTGCGGTCAGATTGGTTGAATCTTTCGATTCCAGGGTTGTTTTGTGCGGGTGTAGAAGTGATTGCCTTGGGCGGAATAATGCATGTCGTTTGGAGGTGGAGGGTGCAAAAGAAAGCTGCTGCTGACGTCCGCAAGCCGATTACGTGTGGACCCTCATCAGCCCTCTCATCAGGCCCCTCATCAGCCCCCTCATCAGCCATGTCGATAACACTGACTTTTTCTCAAGGCAGAAGCCTTAGTAAGACTTCCTGTGGCTGGCCTCCGAATTGCTAAACGAAACATCAAACTACTCAAGGTTGGTCGTATAGTGTTATAATCCGTATAAATCTCGACAACGCCCTGCTACATCCTCACAGTCTCTAGCTGAAATCGAGTTCTCCTCTCAAGCTTCTATCGCAGAGTCACCAGCACACAACATGCTTTGCGGGCTATGTAAACAGATCGATCAGCCAGGCAAGGAATTGCGCTACTTACTCTGGGAGCTGAGACCACAAGTAAGGCCACTTCGTGATCGGCAGGTGGCTTTACCTCGGGCGCCATGCCAGCTTTGCGATGTGCTTTGGCGAGCATTGGTTGCACTGGTCGGCGAAAGACATCTGGAGCTGTTCGAAACGCTTGTAGTCTTGGACATTGAGTTCGGTGGAGTGATGAGGGCCGATCTCCTCCCTTTTGACGAGAAAGTCCGAAAGATGAGGTTGCAGTTTTTTCTTGATCCAGGTGTGACACCAATCATCGTTTCATGTCTATGAACATCAGCTAAAAGATTACTAGGAGCAACACCAAAGTTTGGGAGAATCGGCGGCGCACGTCAAATCGCAGAGAATGGAATATCGAGCAGTTGCATCGAACTCATCCAAAAATGGCTGGCCACCTGTAATATATCGCATGATAAGTGCGTCATCAACAATGAAGCATCACTTTTGCCAACAAGAGTAATTTGGGTCGGAAACCAGTACTCAACGCCTAGATTACACATCTCCAAGCATGACGAAAAGGGTCTATTCGTTGCTCTCAGTCACTGCTGGGGTGGATCATCACCAGTCTTGACTACGACTGCGACTCTTCCTATGCGAGTCGACAGCATTCCCCTTCTCAGTCTTCCCCAAACCTTTCAAGATGCTATTCAGGTCACCCGAGCACTTGGAATCGAGTATTTATGGATCGACTCCTTATGCATCGTACAAGATTCGCATGACGACTGGGTGCACGAAGCCAGCAGGATGGGAACAATCTACGAATCTGCCTACTTCACTATTTCAGCAGATGCCGCACAAGACTGTAACACAGGATTTCTTTCCGCCCCGGCGAGGCGACCTGGTGTCTGTGTTTCCGTGCCATTTGACAACCCGACAGCTACTTCTCAGTCTGCGAATGGAACAATCTCTGTTCGTGAAAAGGGGTCTCTGATGCGCCAGTTACCGATCCATGGCTGGCACAGCGAAAATATCATGGCTCTGGCTCCCCCGGAACCAGAAGAAGACACCCCAAGCTACCTGCAAATCATCACAGGTGCGCCGACGTCTCGTCTCTCAACTCGAGGATGGGTGATGCAGGAACGGATACTAGCGTCCAGGACGCTGCATTTCGGTAAATTTGAACTTGGCTGGGAATGCCGCAACTGCATCAGTTGCGAATGCTGCGCAGACTCCAAACGTTCTCGTCGCGGAGATGCCCGTCTGAAAGGCGCTCTCGGCAAGAATGAATGGCCAAGGATTGTCAAAGAGTACACCTGGATGTCATTGACAGTGTCCGAGGATAGGCTGCCCGCGCTCTCTGGACTTGTGTCTACGCTCGCAAAGGGATCACGACTCGGTGACGAGTACGTCTCTGGGCTCTGGAAGTCAACCTTGGCACAGGATTTACTTTGGCATGTGCCTTCTGGATCGGAGAAGGACAAAAAAGGCCTACTTCCACGTCCGTACGCACCGTCTTGGTCGTGGGCATCGCTGAATGCACCTGTGGAATATGCTCCGGCCAATCCCGGAATTGCCAACAGTTTTGAGGTCGTCGACATTGTCTGCGAACCAGTAGGAGGAAATCCATACGGGCCAGTCACAGAACATAGCTACATCGAAGTCTCAGGTCTATGTGTACCAGTCTGGTACAACGGATTGCTCAGCCCAGAGAATTCGTTTGTGAGTATTGAGCCAAACCTCCAGGCCCGCTTTCAACGGCAAGCGGGCTTTAGGTCTCAAGTCAGAGTCTATCCTGACACAGAGATGGATCCACGGGCGCTTAAGCACAGAGAGAGGCTCAGATTCCTGCTCATTTCAGATGGCGAACACTCTCTTTCAGGGTTGCTGTTGAAGAAGATGGAAGGGCATCAGTTGGGCGACGAGGTCTATGAGAGAGTTGGATATGCTTGTGACGAGGCAAGCGCACCAGTGAAGGTGGAGTCATTCTACACAACCGATTCTGATTTCGATTACGAGCCAGCGCCGGCGGATCATCGTGCATGGGCAGCTTGGGAGAAGTTTGCTTCTAAGAAGGTTATGAAGATCATATGAGTCGAGAGAAGATAGGGAAACGTACCTATATCAATGTTTTGTGGACATCCGCACCCTTCCAGATACAGCACCAATGCCAATATGCCTCCCCGAAATAGTAGACGAGGACGGCCGATACTCTGATGGTAGTCATAATAGATTCTCCGATCTAACTGTTATCCATACTCTATCTGAACTCAAAGCTATGCACCTGTATGGGGTAGCTCTTGGTATGAGATCTAATACCGACCTAAGATCACCACTATGGCTCTCGAGCGTCTGCAGGCACGCGCCGCTGCTCGCATCCTAGACCTTGACGGTCTTGTCGCCCGAGGCCGAGGCCAGCCGGGTCGAGTCGTGGGAGAAGGCCACCGACAAGACCGAATCGCTGTAGCCCTCGAGCCTCTGCAGGCACGTATTCTAATCCTCTTCTACCTTAGGCGGTCACTTCACCTATGGAGATAATACTTTTATAAATTCCCTCTTTACTATGCTCTTGCATAGTGCAAATACAAGGGCACTGCAGTACATCTGCAATGGCGCAAGCTCAATTGCTAAGCAGCTGTACAGTGCAAACCGCTTTATGTCGTTGACGAATGCGTTTAAGATTAGTGAGTCGCTAGCGTACGCAACTATAAGCAGACAGTTTCTTACATGCTGTAGATATGATTACCTTGGCGATAAACTCTAGTAAGCTAGTGGCATGAATCCCTTCAGACACCTTACCTATCTAGCTCAGCGCCTCTAGCCAGTGCAGAAAGTGCTCCATTAAAAAGGTATGCACGTTGTTAACGTCTCTCAACTTATCGCTACTGCTCTGCAAATGCTGTATCCAATACAGACATGCATACTGCAGCTCCAGAGGCAAACACTGCCCTATGTGATGCGTCGACACGGCCGACACAGGTACGCCAGGGTTGGTGACACCACATATGTCTTGCTTGAGACACCTCGACATCAGCTGGATGCATTTATTCGCTAGATTTCCATTTGCTTGCTTCTCGTCCACCCAGAAGCATCGCTGCATCAGTCCTTACAAAGGAGGAAGTCGAGGAACAAGGGATAGTATAGGCGAAGGGGTTAGCTTTAGTCCTTAGGGATATCTAGGATAGCGTAAAGGTCTTCTAGCGTCTCCTCTACCTCTCTGTGTAGAGCAATGTGTCTAAAGACGTTGCATACAACGTAGAGAATAGTACTACTACGCTTCTAAGGATGTACCTCTACGTCTCACAATGCTCTTCTTTCTCTTCATCTAAATAGTCTAGAGAGACCAAATTCTTGAGCACGGTGACATACATGTTATTGAGGTGCTTCTCTAGAGCTACGCTAACGCCATTATCGCTTGCAAGGATAGCCTGTAGTCTCTGAATAGCGAACCTCTTCCTATTGCGGATGCGTCGACAGGCGGTTGCGACCTAGATAAACAGGCCACACGCGCGCAGGACCAGCAATAATTCTAGGGCCCGGCCAATCAGCAGACACGTTACGTTCCTGTGCAATAAGACGAAGGTTATGTCCTAGAAAAAGGGTAATGTTATAGTCAACGATCGACGGTGATATGTTGTGCAGCGCAAAGTCCTGGTGCTCTTCATTTACCACAGTAGAATCTGGAGGAAACCGTACTGGATTGGAACCTTAGGCCTGCTCATTAGGAACACCCGCAGCCGTACCCTCTCTAGCGAACGAACTTCAGCTAAAAGCTGCAGATTGTTTTGATCCTGTTGTCGTCCTCACACTCGTCGAGCGCATCCACTACAAGAACATAGGACCACGCCAACGGCTCTTTCAGCTTCGACAGCGGACTGAGCACGAGATGTTCCCACTGGTGCATGCGCAATGATCCGCTCGACTCCTTCAGGGACATGTCGCTTAAGCTCAACATAGGTTATTTGCGACATTGCAGCAACTTGGATTCTTCACGCTGTATGTAGACTAGAGGAGAGGACATTCAAGTGGCCTCAGTAATACGTGCCAGGTACCGCACAGACGGCTAGACCAGGTGGATTGGTATGTACCGTGTTAGAGGAAGTCTTCACGCTGTTCACCGCTAACGAATACAATGCAATAACACCACGCATCACCACGCCTAGACAACTTCCTACCCTGTCGGCAATGGGGACGCCCTCCCCTCCTCTGCCGGTCCCTGTCCCTCAGGCACCGCCTTCCCATCCTCCTGTTTCTGCTTCATCTCCTTCGACCTCCTCTCCGCCTTGGGCTTCTTCGCCTCCTCCGGGAAGAGTTCTGCGTAAAAGTTCGGCAAGAACCTATTGATACGTTTCCACGTCTCGCTCCACAGTTGCTCCTGCTCGGGTTTCTCGTCCGGCGGCGCGAGATAGCCGCCACTCGACATGACGAGGAGCATGTTTTTGAGATTCTCGGATACGGCTTCCTCCTGGGTCAATGTTAGCAAGAAGGCGCATTCCAGTGGCGCATATACAAAAACGGAGAGCGTACCAAGTTGTCTCCTTGACCGCTATTAATGAGGCGGTCCATAATGGTAATGATCTTGAGCCACAGATCCAGTAGATCCTCGCTCTCCGAAAGCATCACGAGATAGTGCAAGAACACTTTGGAGAGGAGTGTTGCTGCCCGCACCCTCGTTTCACTCATCCCCATTGGATCCGACTGGTACACCTCCGGCTTCAGGAGCTCGGTGATCAGTGGGAAGAGCACCTCGGTGAATATCGCAACCCATTCCTTGTGGGCTCGCGACACAAGGTCGTTTGAGAGCAGAGTTCGCTGCAGTGAGCTAAATGCCTGTGCGCGAATCTCGCGACACGGATTGAGGCACTGATGCGTCAACGTCTTGAGTATCGGCGACCAATATGCCGTCCATGCTGCTTCCATTAGCATATGCGCTGTGATGGGAGTGGGCACATGATACCTTCAGATGCCTCCAGATGCGACGACTCGATAAACTTGGGAACCCTATCCGACATTTGGTAAACGATAGTCATGGCCTTGCTGCCGCGAACAACGATCTCGTTGCTCCTATAGAAATCAGCCAAGGTCTCATGGAAAGGCATATGCACATACTCAGGTTTCTTAGACTTAGGCGGCGCCTTACCCCGCCTAACGGCGTGGTCATGCCTCTGTTCCTCAATCGCTCCCACCTGTGCCGCAGTAGCAAACTCATTCAAAAGCGAAATGGCCGCTTCATAGTTATCCGCGGTGATTCCAGGTTGCGCCGAAGTGGTAAGGTCTTCGACTAGCTGGAACACATCGCCAGCCGCTTCAGGCACCGAGGATAGCTGAGAAAGAATAATCCAGAAGTCCGGAGAGCTCGCTAGCTCTGAGCGTAGTCCGCTGGGCCCTCTGCAGCAATCCGACAAGCCCTTGAGAAGTGGCTGCGCGCATTGCTTGAGTAAGTCCGAGTCGAATTTCGAGATCGTATGTAACAACACCGGCGCGCGAATGAAGTCGAAATCCTAGAGGGGTCAGCAACATTCGAGCCCCTAGAGATGAACAACGACTTACGTTGCTGGCCTTCAAGAGGCTCAGTAAATAATATACAGAGCGCGCAATCACGACAGGATGCACATTCTGGGCATCCCTGATCACAGCGCCCAAGGCGTCCACAACCTCTTTAGCAAGCTCCCTTACAGTCTCCTCGTCTCGCAACGCTAGCACAGTCGCCAGTTCCAGCACAAATACCAGGCTTGGGTCGTACGTAGGCCGGTTCAGCTTCGATTTTGAACTGTTAATCCTCGCAGTCGCGGGCGGTAAATCCGGCTTGACGGCAATCACCCTTGGTGAGCCGTCTTCCGGTATCTGAGCAAGCAGGGACATCAGAAGTGACCTCAACGACTCCACCGGAAGTTGACTGATGTTCGCAAGAATGTCTTCAAAGTGGCACTCCTTCACCGTATCCACCGTGCATAGAGTGTACTCGATCTCCTGATCTGAAGGCTCCGGCGGCTCATCGTTCGCAAAGCTAGAGACGTAAGATGTCAGCGCCGAGAAGATGCCCGTGTCGGCCGGACGTTCGGCTCGATCGATGACCTGAGCAGGACTCTGTAAGGGTATTGGTGGCAAGGCTAGGGTTTTCTGGAATGACAGGAAATAAGGGGGTATCAAAGAGTTGACGAAGAGGTTGATCATGATATGAATAAGCTAGTATTGTCAGCAAAAGCCTACAGGGAGCACTTGAGCAGCAACTCACATGGTTCCAGCCGTCTCGTATTGATGCTTCATTTCCCTTGATGACCTGGAAGAGTACAACGGTGGCGAGTTGAGCTCTGCCATCCCGACCAAACCGCACCGCCGTCTCGCTAACCATGACGCTCTTCTTATCAACCTGCACTTCCGTGTTCAAAGCTGTGCTCGGCGGTATTTCCGGTGCGAGCGTGCTTATAAATGACAAGCAGGAAATGATGCGATCTAGTGCATCGCTCAATCCGTACTTGGCGGCTATCTGAGCACACTGGTCGAATCCAGTAACCACACGGGAGAAGACGGCATCATCGGTGGCTGACATGAAGACGTACGCCAAGGTAGCCACTATGGGTTTCCAGGTTGCAGCAAACATATCCGCGTCGAAGATGTTGGTCTCGCATATAACAAGATCAGAGGCTGACTGGACCTTCACCAGTAGATCCTTCCAAGCGTGGTCATAGGCGTGCTTATTATCGTGCTCCTCCGGAAGGATGATCTCCCGTGTTTTGATAGAATTATAGATGGCTTCTAGGTACTCAGGATCGAAGTCCTTCCCATCATTGACACCCCTGAGATTCTTAGCAAAGTCTTCCAGTGCCATACGCTTTGCTCCCTTCAAATTGGGATTGTGCTGATCGGTGTTCAGCATGATAACAGCATATGTGAGGACGAAGATCGCATCCTTGTTTGCAATGCCCTCCGGTTGGGCCTTGTTGAAGTACTGCTCGGAAAACTCGGTGACGATCCTTTCGATGAGCTGCGATTCACCAGGCAACCGGAATGAGTGCAGGAGTTGTCGGAGCGCTTCGTCTACACGCAGTCCTTGGAAATCGAACTGGCCGATGAAAGCGCTGAGAATAGATTCGTTCGCCCTCTTCGAGATGAACTCGCCCAGCACCTTCTTATCAACACGCGTTGTCCCTCGTACAAATTCAGCGACGCATTTCGGGTCATCTGGGTCCCTGATGATGCCTTGAGATGCGAGAAACGCGATTCCGGCTTTGGGATTCTCGTTGAATTTGGTAGCTCCTCGAATGATGACCTTCTTCCTCGCACGTTGCTCTCTTAACAAGTCGGGACTGGGAAAGCCTTCTGTCACCGGCTCATCCTCCAACCTGTCGGCAATTGACTGGACGAACCCGAGAAGGGCATCCAGGCACAGCGGAGGAACATTGACAGTACTCCAAGTGGCGGAATCGGGGAAAGCGTTCCGAGACAACAACCCAACAATATCCGTGCAAAGGTCAACGCGGTCAATCTCGCAATCGTAATTGACAAACAGCTCAGCCATGAAGGATGGAATCCTGACCAAACCGCCCAGGTTTTCCACCATAGCTTCCCTCGCGTCCGGTTTCCGTGATCCTCCTTCCAGGCCCAGCTTCTGGCGGTCCTTGACAGGAACAGGCGTAGACCGCCCGCTAGCACTCGACTGTTGCGAAGGTGCAGGTTTGGATAAGCTCGGTGCTGTAGGAACACCTTCGTATAATGATGGGTCAATGCCCGGTTCCAAGGGTATTTCGACCTTCGGGAAGAGGCATGCTATCAAATAGGAGAGATACAGCTCCTGCTGTAGTTTGAGCACATTTCGACAGGTTGCAAGGAGTGTCCCTGCAACGCGGAGAGACTCGTTCAGAATAGCCATGTTATCCGAGCGCACCAGTTGGAATAGATGCCGGCATAAAGTGTCTTTAGCAAGGTTCGCGAGGCTTGGGTGGCTGGCTATGGACGGCCCAGCAACCTCAAGAGCTACATCCACTATCCGCAGTGCCATCACCCGCATCGTGTCTGTATGCTGTCTATCGTGGGGATCCAACAAATCCACCAATACTCGGAATAGTTCTCGGATGGAAGGGAGAGAATATGGCTTGATCTCGGCAGGCTGCTGAGATTCCGCTGTCGCTGGAAGGTCCACTGTACTGCTCGCTGGAACGGGCGCATTACCCTCGTTGTCTTCTATACCCCTCTCAGATTCGCTCTGTCGTTGAAGATCCTCTACCTTCGTAGAAGTCGAGGTTCCATCGCTGTCCACGCTTGTAGATGGATCCATTCGAACAGCATCCTTCCTGTCCTCATCTTCCAGCTCCTGTTCCATAGCTTCCAGTTCCTCCGGAGCCTCCAACTCTAGAGTCTTCAGTCGCCTGAATATCACCTGGCACATTGATACCATTGCGATCTCCGCCGAGCGTCTCAATATCTCGGTTAATCTTGCTTGACAGCACATACTAAGTCCAGTCTCCATCATCTCACAGACGCTCTCGTCCCCCAGAACCTCCCCTCCTGGGCCAGCAATCATGTTTTCCATGAGCCGCAATATCCGTAGGAGGACCACCTCGTCCGAATTGGAGTCGCTAGCTTCGAATCTGCAATGGGTAATGGCTGACGACAGCTGCTGCATAGCTTCGGGCAGACGTGGGGAGTCACGTCCTATTACGTTGTATGCCAGAAATTTGGTGATTGCGATCAAGGCAAGAGAGGTTATGGGCGCGGAAGTCGACGAGGACCGAATCACTTGGAGAAAGGGGTGAAGCATGGCGGGGGTATCGAACTTCTTGATATCTATCCAGGATTTTAGCTTTTGCTATAGCTATACACAAATGATTTACATACCTTTGCACCCCTTTAGATCACTCCGCAGACGCGCAAAGGCCGCCATAAAGGGGTTGTCTTGCAGGCTCTTGCCCTTCTTCCCTCTGAGACCCCATCGATTCGCAACAGCTTCATCCTGGTCTCCTGAGCTCGCCAGACCTTGTCCTGTGCGGTCCCGCTTGTGTATGGACGGGGTTTGGTGCGAGGGTCCGCCCAGTATAGCTGCGACGGAAGAGTGAGCCCAGCGGGCATGCTTCCGCATAGCAGACGTGACGGTAATGCATTCTGCAACCACGAGCGCTACCGGATTGACGGCAACAGATATGGGTCGCGGACCATATTCCACAGCGGTAATATTATGTGGCTCATCGGACGTGTGCTCATTGCCGCCGGAAGACATGTTGCGTAGGTCGGTTCGAGGGAGGTGGGACTGGTCGAGTTAGGGAGTTCTTAAGTAGTCCGAGGGGATTGGAAAGGCAACATGTCCACATCAGCAGGCTCCAGGAACGAAGCACATACTGTCCGTTGAGTGTCTGCCTGGCGAGGGGCTATCGGCTGGGTATACTAGGCGTGATCGAAGAGTAGAGCACAAGTTGCGATTTCTTGAAGTGGAAGCTGGCCGCCAAGACTCGACGTTGAATTCGTTTGCTAGAAGCCACCCTGGCGCTGGCCGATCTCACATCGCGGTCCAAAAGTCCATGCATATAATAGCATAATATATTTCCGAGATGAACATGTTTCTCCAAGACGATGAAACAACAAAGTGAAAGAGTAATATTGGTACAAGAGCAAATCCTCTTTGTGGATCACGCCCAATGTTTCGATGCAAGAAATCTATGTACAAGCACCCAAGCCTTCAACGCCAACAGTTAAGTGTGGGAACGGATCTTGGTAATTCTCGTAACCCAGTAGCCCAAGAGATCGGCGGAGAAGTCCCCGTCTGATGATTCTCCGTATATAGAGCATGCGTTTAGCTCAATACGAAGCCAAATACTCTCACGCGAGCAGTTGTATGCAGGGAAGGTTGATACAGCTCTGGAAACGCGTTCATCATGGTCGTTGTTACTTAGCCCTTAGTCCAACCCATGCCTATCAGTTCTTCGGTCTGTTCGACCCGTCATCCGCAGTGTCCTTCTGAGCGTGGTGACACTCACTGCGCCGGCTGCGGCTTCGGTTTCTCGTCCTCGCCACGAGCCTCTTGGATTTTCTGGTCCTTGTTTGGTTGCACTGCGGCCTGTGCCTCATTTTTGGTCAATTCAGCAGCAGGCTTCTCTTTCTCTTTGCTTTCCTCCTTCGCCTTGCGAACCATGTCCTGCACAGCCGCCTTTTCTTTCTCCCAGTCACCTGACTTTGAGTCGAATGTGTCCTTGAGCTTCTCCTCACGTTCCTTCTTCGCTTGCTCCTCCTTTTCTTTGGCTTTGCGCTCTTTCTCCATCTCTTCCATGTGGCGAATATCATCAACACTAGGTTCGTACAGATGCCAGATGGTGTAATGAGGAAGACCAACAACGGAGAATTTCATACGTTTGGCCATCTGAATCTGAAGTTAGTTTTGATAGTAAGTCGACCGCAGGGATTATCTGACCTTTCCAAAACCTTCCGTCTCCGCGTGTTTCTCGAAGCTGAAGGCGGGAAAATGGACTCCAGAACGGAACACCCTAGCTTTGGCCAGGATACTGACACCTCCAACACCGTCAATTTCCATTTCCATGTCTGGGTCGCCATAAGGGTCTCGAAGGTATGCGAGATGCGGGCGCCAAGTGGCGTACTCTGCGTATCCTTCCACGATGACTGCGTCCTCATCAAGGGTATCCGCCAATGCAAGAGCTGTGTCCGACTCCTGCCACGAGTTCAGATCGTACGGTTGTTCGCCTCCAAGCCAGTCGGGAAGAGGCCGCCAAACGTCTCCAAATATGTCAGTCACGTCTCCTGATATAAGGCAAAATATACGTACTTGGAACAATAACGTCTTTGTTATGCCTCATCAGGTCTTCCAAAATAGTGGTAGGCGCAGTTTCCACGTCGACATCTCTCCAATACACCCAGCTGTGCGTAGGTCGCAGTGCCGCGCTCAAGAGCCAATTACGAGCCTGAGCCATAGACTTGCGACGGCCTGCTTGGGCAGCAAAACCGTGCCTACTCTCGACGTCCTGGTTGACCTTCTGCCCGAAATCCTTCTCCATGATCGAGATTTCTCCAAAGTGCTGCCGCGGGTCGGGATCCGCTTGCAGCTCAGCAAGCTTGTCCGACAATTTCGTGAGCGTGTTGTCCTTGGAATCTCCCACCAGGAATGCCAAGTCAATCAGGTTGTGAGGGTATGTCAGGTTCTTCAGGTGGCTGAAGAACATGTCCAGATGTGGTGCGGCGTCTCGCAAAGGAGCGCATAGGAGTATCCTCTCTTCCCTCTCCCAACCCCTTGCGGTTCCTTGCACATTGTTCAAGTCATAGTATCTCACAGTCTCGAGCTGGGTATCTTCGTTGGAGGTGAAAAGGCTCAAGGGGCTGAATCCAAGATTGGGGCGCAGATCAGGGACAAAGTAGAAGAAACAGAGGAAGAAGAGGGAGCCGGCTAGGAGGAGTCGCTGTATTAATTGTCGGCGGAATCGTAGGGAGGGCGGTGACCGCGGCTGGAATCTGCAGCAACAGTGGGAATTAGCATCGTGTGGCCAACAGCTATGGACATGAAGCACAGGAGAGCAAGAATAGGGTAACGAGGCGCTACGCGTTTCGAGTAGACGTACGTGTGAGGTTGGATGGAGAAAGTGCCGCTCATGGACGGATATGCCGCATGCCCGCTGGAATAGGCATGGCGATGCATTTTCCCCTTGGGCGATGAAGCATGCAAGGGCAGCATGCAGAGCTTGCGAACGAAGGACTGTCAGAGGTCAAATATCCCTTGAGCAACCCCGACCACCCTCAACCTCCTGTGAGGCGACGGAGCTCCAGGGCGTTGCGCTGTAGTGCGGAAGGGGAAAACTGTGGCGATTTCGGCGGCGAAGAGACGTGAGAGGCCTTGCAGCAAAGGCTGCTCGAGAGCGAGGAGGGGATATGTTCTGTGGTTACAGCGCTGCGTGTGGGCGTCGTTGGTAGATTGGGATGTACGATGGTCAAGGCTTGGCGGGGATCCTCCTCGGTGCTGGATGTACGAAAAGTTAAGGCCACCGTTGAACGTCCCCCATGCGATATCTGGTAAATAGTATGCCGTATTCACGCCGCACGGAAAAAGCCAAGGTTCGGTCTGGGTTAACAATCATTTCAGGGAACTTCGTAAACTTGAAAGAACTCTTGCGCTGCCGCATTCCCAAAATTAGCGTGCGCCTTGGCTCCTCAAAGGGAGAGCGCCTGTGATGACATGGCCCAGGGTGACGCTGACTGTGTACTGTGTACATGTGCGAATCAGGGTTGCGATGCAATTGGTGTTAAGCGATTGGAAGTTCTTTCACAGTGACACAGGGAAAAGGTAATGTAGCAACAGAATCATATTGGTATCATCTCTTGTCTAGCCATACACGCCATGGTTTTAAGTCGCTCACCACGATTCCAATATTGGACGCAAGTCCTACTTCGAGTCAGCATGTATCCCATGAATGGTATCAGGATTCATAGGAACTCGACTGCGGTGCTCAGAACAGCCGATTTAGTCATGCTTTGCCGCCTGGCCTCGGGTTGCAACGGTCCAAAACGGACTGCTCCATCCTTTGGCACGAAGACCACAATCACACGCGAGATAGATCTCGGCACAACTCCACAACTCGTCCTCCCAGCCGAGGCTGGTAGAGTGTGGGAGGGTGACCCAGGAAGCGAAGCTCGTTGAATGGATATAACTGTGTTTTCATCCTGGCGGAGGGAAAGAAAATGATAAGCCTACCTACAGGAGTTCTTGTCCGCTTAGACATGTGAGATGGCTTCCATATTACCTGGAAATGATCAGCACGTCCCTCTTTAAACGGTGCTTAAGAAGAATGCAATGTGAAAACGTTATCAGACAATGGTAAGCTGGTATAAGTTGTCTTCAAAGGAGTTCAGTAGCAGAACTGAAAAGAAATACACACATCATATAACTCGACCGGAATTTCAAGAACCATGTCAACTTACAGATCAAAGACGGAAGAGATTAGCCAACTGCGTTTGTTAGTTCATCCTCTAATTCCGTGCTCGAACAGCGTTGCAGCCGTCATTCCGAAGCTACAGTCGCAATGAATCCGAGGGAAATCCCTCCCTGAGGGGAGCCGGTATATCCTTAACAATTCCAAGCATATTCTCGCAGGTGTTCAACAACCCGACACGGGGACGAGGTTTCTCGAGATCAACATCTCCTCTGCGTAGTCATCGGAAGCCCTATAGAAGCTGTCAGTGAACGGCTATGCGATTGTACCCAGCAAAGCTCAAGCCAAAAACAAATATCAGACGGTGGTGCATGTTGTTCGAGTGCTCATTATGAATCGCCGGAACAAATTCAGATAGATATCAATCATAGAAAACGTAAAAGCGGAAGGAATCCATCACATACCTCGTAGCGCCGTCTTCATGGGGAGTGAGTGCAGTCGGAGAAACTGCGATGGAAATTAATTTTGAAGAGATCTTGGGCGGAATCTTGGCGCTTAGTCAGACAAGCTAGCTAGCTCCAACTTGGGGTGTATCTTGCTCGCAAAGTGTTGCAAAAACGAGCTCCAGCACACATTACCATGGCAATGAATACGGATAGGAGGAGGATTAATGCTCCGAGTGGTGGCACGTCTGCACCGGTGTTTGCGAGGACGGTGAAGGAACAGGGGTATTTGCAGTCGCTGCGACCAGCTAGGACGAGGGCCCCAAATGACCTCCGCAAAATCTGTAAGTGTAAAGAACTACCGCATATTGAGCAAATTGAGGTTTCCCATACGCTGCAAATTGTTCATGGCTGTCCTAGGGACTTCGTACTGTTCTTCAAACTAATATCTAAGAAACCCTTCACTTACAACTTCAGTCCTTCAAACATCAATCATTCCCTCCGCCTCCGGCTCAGCCTACTACGAAATCCCCTCAGACATCTCACCCTCACCAAAGTCTCTCATCCCACCTACATCCTCCCTGAAAATTGTAGCCAGCATACAAGGCCCCAAACCCCTCCCCCGCAGTGCACCTTTCTCCCCAACACTCCTCCTAACAACGACCGTCAAGTTTGCACCATTCGCGACCCGGATCCGGAGAGGATATATTCGGGACTCAATTGAGCGGGACTTGGGAGTACATGTGGAGGCAGCGTTACGGGGTGTCATAATAGGAGAACGGTGGCCCAAGAGCGGCGTAGAAGTCGTCCTTACGATCCTGGAAGCAGACGAAGATGGGTTCTGGGGAGACGGTGGGAAAGGAGAAGGAAGTGGCTGGGGCCTGTTGAATGTATTAGCAGGGTGCATCACAGTTGCCAGCGCGGCGATAGCAGATGCGGGGATTGACTGTGTGGATCTCGTGTCTGGAGGTGTGGCAGCCATTGTGCCGAATCCGGAGTCGAAGAATGGAGAAGAGACGGAGGTGCTCAAGGTTCTAGATCCGTCGCCGGCGGAGCATGAGGATATTATCGCCGCTTGTGCTGTGGGCTATCTCGCCGGACGCGACGAGATCACGGAGATATGGATGAAGGGCAATGTGGGAGTTAGCCCTGATGATCTTGTCGAAGGAGCTACATACGCAGCCCTGGGAAATCTGGCCGTATTAAAGGAGGTGCTTCTTGAATCGATCCAGGCAAGGTTCGCAAGTCAACAACCTCAATCTGGCGCAGGAGACGGAGCCAACGCCAAAGATGGGCCGCAACAAGACGTCGAGATGAGCGGATGAGCCAAATCTCGAACACGACTTGGTATAGTGGAATCGTTTTCTCCCATTCACCGGTCTTCTGAGAAATGGTGTCACAGCCGTTGGTCAGGAAAACCATCACTCGCAATACGCAGACAGGAATTTGTGGGTCCTGTTAGTTTCTTTCATTTGGACAACGCCATCCGTGGGGCATGGTTGAAAGAGATCCAGGGGTACTTCTTCGAGTGTGTTATTTTCCATGCATAGCGTAGGCGTTTGGTCTTGGTCGGCGATACCATGGGGCGGCGGAGAACAGTGACGCCCTATTCTGGAAAGATCCTGTGCTTGATTCGTGTTAAGGGAAGATAGGGTGTTCAAAAATGAGTCCGTACTGTTTGCGTCCTTGATCTGCTCATTATATTGTAGTAAAAGAGCTACTGCGCCGTTACCTCGCTAACTGCTATTCACAAGCTGTATTGTCCCATCTCAGATCACATTTTTCTGTCAACGGCTTGCGGGCGTGGCGGTTTCCACCCTAATGTTCTTGACTGTACCAGAACACAAAGTTTGTTACCACTTTGGATTTCGATAGAGTATTGTTGTGTTCACCTAGTCCAGAGGTGACAAGAACAGTGACGTTCCAATACGAGGGGGATAAATCTTATGATATAGAGCTTCAGTATGTCTCGTCAAGCGTCTTGGCTATGGCCTATTACTCTCAGTAGGAAGTTCAGCTCATTGCATCTGCTCGAACGGAGCGCCATTTTCCGTCATCCCCGTGGTAACTCAGCCAGAAATACGCTTTAGCACACGGGCTTCCTCGACACCCAAACTCAATGTATCGCGCCAACAGCAGTCCCAACAGCAATCGCAACAGCACTCAGCCAGATATTCACTATCTACTCACCGCCATGACTGCCTTCAGTAGTCCTTATGTCATAATCCTTTACGCGTCAACTCTCACCCCGTCACTCCACCTCCACCGTCGCCCACACACCCTCAACGCAAAGTGAAAGTGAAACAGCCTTCTTCAATCCCTTCCTCCCAATCAAAACGCCGCCTCACCGCTCCCGTCCACGCGTCGTCTGTCACCTCGCTTCACCGTCCACAGCTCCCCGCGAGCCAGATAAGTCCCGTCCCCCGCCTCCATCTGCGAGACTTCTTTTCCCTCCCAGTCCGAGCAGCCAACGACGACAACAACTTGCGACCTTCTCTGCACTTCTACCCTTCTTTGAACTGAGCCTCACCGTCTCCATCACTACTACCTTCAACAATGCCGACGGAGGAGGAAAACGTTCAGTACCTGTACCTCGTGCTCACGGCTGGAGGTACGCCTACCGTAAGTACCCGCTCCCACTCCTCACACCTGTAGCTAAATCCGAAATAGATCGACTGGTCGGCCGTCACCGCAGACCTCGCACCCCTCAAGATCGGAGCCGTCAAGAAGCGCTGGTCCCGCCTCAAGCAAGCCCTGGAGCAAGGCAAGAACCCCGGGCCCTCAGCTCAACAGCTGCTATGGCTGTGCGTGAAGCACAGTTCGCGTGATAAGGTAGGTACTTTTCGTCCGTTTGATATCCCGCTCTTGTTTTCCAGGTCATCTTCGAATTTTCCCGCTCCCATTCCGGCTGCCCTCGTCTTGACGGTTCATCTCTCATAGCTATATTATTCCCATTTCCTTCCGCAATTTTCCTGTATCCAAAATCCTGACTTTGACATCACAGCCGCTCGACTGGAACCTCATCGCCGAGAAATGCAACACCACTCCCGGGGCAGCCTCGAAGCGCTATTCGCGCATGAAACAAGCCTTCGAGAGCGGTACTGCCGTCCCGCCAGCTTCCGCCTCAGCTACCAATGGCAAGTCCTCCGGCGCGGCTGCAAGGTCCAAGAGGAAGCGTGCCGATGCCAAAGGCAAAGCGACGGGCAAGGGTAAAGACATGGGAAGTGCCGACGAGGAGACCGATAACGACGGAGGGAACAAGAGCCTGGACGTCAAGAAGCAGGACGACAAGCCCAAGCCTAAACGCGCTCGCACCACCAAGAAAGCCGCTGCCGTCAAGAAGGAAAACCTCATCGAGAGCACGCAGCACGAGATCAACGGCGACGGCAACGGAAACGGCGAGGACGACGTCCTGCCTTCTGAGCAGTTGATCAGCGAGCTGGAAGCTGCCGTTCAGGATGCGCAGGCGAAGTACCACGGCGGCGGCGTCAGCGACGAGGGTGAGGGTGACGAGGAGCTCGATGACGAGGAGATGGAGGAGATGGAGGTTGAGAAGACGCAAGCTCGTAAGTTCGCGCTCCACTTGAGTGGATTGTGGTATTGACAATGGCTGAGAAGTCGTCTAGATTTCAAGGTGAAGGGGTGGCTGAAGAGTCTTGAGGGAGTGGGCGTGGAGGCTTTCTAGACGTGTGGACCGTGATTGGGGGGATATACATAGGTACCTTTCTGTCAATTGGAGAGTGAGACGCGAGGCTACGGGTTCGAGTTGGCGGGATCTTGGACGTGGCACATAAGAGGATCAACTCTGTTGGTCCGCTCAATGGTATGGAGGCCAATATCTCTGTGTGGGAGCCGGCGGCGAGATCTTTGCTTGGAGGCGGTCTATTGTGATATAGATGCAGCGTAAAGCTTTTTGCGCGCGCGTCGGGTATCTTTGGAATATACATTTGCAGAACTAGGTGCGTTTGGGGTGCCGAGAAGAAGAATGGTGTGATGGCCCAGCACTTCTAAAGGTATTTATCAGTCAGTGTTAGTAGAGCAGTCCTGCAGATTATCCAATTACCTTTTTGAGGTGCCATGGAGGAACGTTTGTACCATTGAACGCTTGTCTACATTCCCTTACAAATGTTAATCATGGGAGGAAATAGTGCAAGAGGGTGCCACAATAAGAACTTGATAGATATCTATCTATTGCCAGTTAACGTATGTACAGCGCTGAAAGGGGTATCACCCGTTTAGAAATTGTCAACCCAATCACACCCCGAAGAGCCTAAGTCATCCCATCAAAAACCCTCGCCCCAGTGGGGACACCACATCAGTCACCCTCACGTCGTCACGCCTAACCCCACCGGCTTTCCCTCCCCTCCCTGTGTCGCATCCACACTCTTTCCAATCAACTCCCTAAAATCCAATCCCACCTCTCCCAACATGGCGGCATGCTCCAACGCCTGCTCCATGCATTTCTGCCACACTGGCCCTTCCTTTTCCACACTACTTAGTTGCCTCGCCAGAAGAGTGTTGAAGTCATCGACGTGTTCTTTCGCCCACTTCACGCAGGCGGACATGAGAACTTGCGGGAAGCACTTTTGGTAGATGTCGACTGTGTTTCTGATGATGGTGAAGTAGATGAAGGAGAGTTGGAAGATGTAGGTTTCAAGGTCGCCTTCGAAAATTACTTGGCTGGGAGCGCAAGATGTTAGCGCCGGTGCAACGAAGAAGTTGTGAGAGCAGGGGCATTTTACATACCGGGATCGTTTCCTGATAACTTCGCTTCGTGCCTCTAGATATGCCTCTCTTGCCCTTCCTTCAAAGCCCAGCTTAACAATCCATGTGACATGTTGCTGAACAGTCGTGGTCCAGGAGTTATTCTCCACAAGCTGTTTGATCAACACGTTCGCAAGTTTCGCAGCCCGCTCGTTAACTTTGAAAGTGACAAGCCCCTGAGCCATGGCATTCCCGCGGATATTCTTCGCCAGCGTCTTCAGTCGCTCGACCTTCGGGACAGCATCTTCGAATCGCTGGAGCGCGATATCGATGTCCAGATCGTCGAGCTGGTTCTCTACCGAGCGGATTGTTTGCTGTTTTCCGTCGACATCGACGAATACGCTGGCGCGGTTGTTGGCCGCATTCTCGGAGATCGTTTGCAAGAGGTCGGTCTTTTTGAGAATGTTGAGATCCCGGGCAGCGAAGTAGTTCACTGAATCTCGGGCTCTTCCCCTATCGTCTGTGCCTGCTTCGGTGCTCTTTCGCAGATCCTCCAGTGCCTTGCGGAACGTCGAAAGGAGGGAATTCTTCTCGGTCACGTCTCCCTGATGAACAGCAAAGGTAAAGGATTCACTCCCAACACGGATGTTAACCGCATTTGAAGCTCCCCTGCTTTCCTGTCCTCCCGGTTTTGTGCGAGACGAGATGTCGGCAATCTGCACATCTTGCAGCGGCCAGCATCTCTGAGCAACCCATTCTTTCCCTATACTCTTTTTCTCGCGGGGGTTGTTCTGAGCGGGCATATCAGCTCTAGTCTTCTTCTCAGCAGCCACCAGGAGGTGGTCATTGAGTAAGATGAGATGCACTCTCCGTCTGGCTTTCCATGTAGCTGCATTCAGTTCGACCCATTTGCCCGATTCCCACACAATATGTCGTCCAGGAATGGCGGGAAGATATTTTTGAGACCCTTCGACACGCTTCCACAGCTCTTGTAGATGGGAATTCCACAGCGCCTCTAGATTAGCAACGGAGCTTCTGTTAGCGGCCTTCCTCGCAGACATAGCGTCACCATTGGCGCCCGCAGCAGACGTTGTCTGCGCTAATGTAGTGGTCAATTCAGACATGAGCTGGCGGAGTGTCCGCATCTCGCCTTTGAGCTTCTCCGCCTCTTTGCTGATCTTAATGAATTGTGTTCGGTTGCGAATCATCGTCTCCTGAAGCTCGTGAGAGGTGTTGTTCTTCGCTTTGCGAAGGTCATTCTGGAAACGGCGGATATCGCTTTCAGTGGCATCTGCCAGGAGATTCGATACATCTTCAACCGCTATCAGAAAGCCAATCATCTATACGTGTCCGCATCCACTCACATTGATTCACCTCCAGCTTCGGATCCTGCAGAGCCCTCATATCCAGCTCCAAAGCCCTTCCATCCGCGGTCTCAGACCTAGCCTCTTTACTTGGCGGTCCCATTCGATACTGGCTCGGAATCTGGGGCATACTAGGCATAGGGGCGCCATTTCCGAAGTCACTAGGGAGCTGCGTGATCTTCTGCGAATACCTCTTCTTGACCAATTCGGCCGTCCTGTCGGCCCCTCGCGGCCGCTCCCGGGGAGCATCGGGTCTCCGTGCTGAGCGACTCGATTCCTGCGAAGGACGTCCCGAGTTCTGTGCAGGAGCTAGGCCAACAGGACCGCTGATTGTCGGGCGTTGGGATGCAGGCGCGCCGCCTTTGATGCGCTGCGTGCGCTTCTTGCGCAGCGAGATACCTTTCGATCGTTCCTCTGACATTCTTCTCAGTACTTCTTGCGTTTGTCGCTACGTGGAGGGCCGTGGAACCGTTCGGGGTGGAAACAGTGGACGTCGATGCGACCACCCACGTCTCTCTGGTCCAGGAGCTCGGACCAACGCGTTCGCGTGGGTGCCCGGATTCCAAAAAAGTTCGACCAGACATGAAAGCACCACCACCGCATCGCAACATCACACCCATCCCCATTCCCGCATCTCTCCGCCGTCATTTATCAGGGCAGCCCCAACAGTAGCAGCTCCCACACATAGTCACAATGTCGTCGGCTTCATCGATAAAACCGTCCACCATTGCTGCCATCAGCGTCGGCACCATCGTCACCGGCCTCCTCGCATATGCCGTCTACTTTGACCACCGGCGGCGAACGGATCCCGAGTTCCGCAGACAGTTGAAGCGCGAGAGCAAGCGCACGGCTCGCGCGGCCAAGGAGGATGCCGAGGTTGCGAGCAAGGAGCAGAAGAAGGCGATTCGTGCGGCGGTGGAGCGGGCAAATGAGGAGGGCTTCCCCAAGGATCCTGAGGAGGTGGAGAGCTACTTCATGCAGGAGGTTGCGCAGGGAGAGGGACTGTGCCAGCAGGGTATGATATACTGTTGTATGCTGGCTTAGAGCCAAGACTGACTATATGATAGGTGCAGACCCCGTGGAGGCGGCGCTGTGCTTCTACCGTGCTCTGAAGGTGTACCCGGCGCCTAGAGAGCTTATCAACATTTATGACAAGACTGTGCCCAAGGTACGAAAGTTTGGTGATCCCTTTTTGATTCACTGCTAATCCCCGTTCAGCCCGTCCTCGACATTCTCGCCGACATGATCGCCATCGACACAAGCATCCCCGTAGGAGGCAGTAAGGCGCCTTCGGATGCAGGCTCCTCTGGCGGCGTCGGCGGCATTGAGTAAACGCGCTTGCATGCTCGAGGCTTGGATTGAGCGTTGCGACCCCTCTCACCACCATCTCTTGTACGATTATTTTCGTGTAAATGTAGTACCACCGCGCTTATTTGCGGTCCATGGATTGGGAGTTACGGATGAACATGATGAGGTCTGCGGATACCTTTCTAGGCATCAAGTTGTAGTTGTGGCTCGGAAGTCGTTCGAATTTCAGCGGTGTTGGAATCCGGTTTCGTCTCTGGATGTGACGCAGCATGTAGCATTGTTCATGAAAATCCTATATTGAGTTTATTGATACGGAAAAACATCGCTCATACAAAGAAGGTGATGCGTGGTACGATCTAAGGATGTGCCTATAGGTACCGTTCGTGGCCAACTACGCAAAAAACCGTGGTTATACTACAAATTATGGCTCACATGGTTTTCTACTGAAGTCGGTCGTTTATCTCCATGCTTCCCAGATATCCTCATTGTATCCATGCCCCCCAAAACGCCTTGCTCACAATGACGGTCCACCTCCAAGACGCAAACGTTTTCCAAGTAATTACAATAGAAACTCTAAGACTGCTTGAAAGTGTAGAAACATATTGAACTTCTCTAAACGTCCTAGCATGAGCACGAGTTCTGCTCTTGCGGCTGGCTGGGATTGATGTTGACATCGATCACTGGGAGGTGTTGGTTAGCTACTCTGTCCTCGCATTTTTACAAAGCCATTGCACTCACTCTGACTCTGCCCCTGCTGCGTCTCCCCCTCCATCCCCGGCAACGCCTGCGCAATCCTCTTAAACAACGTCTTAACATTATGCCCCACCTTGGCACTCGTCTCAATGAACATGAGATTGTTCTTCTTGGCCTCCTCCTCGCCCTGCTGCGTCGTAACCTCCCTCTTATCATTCAGATCCGTCTTGTTCCCCACGAGCACGATGATGACGTCGTTGCCGCGCTCGCCTCGCACATCGTCGACCCACTTGCGCGTGTTCTCGAACGTCTTCCTGTTGGTGATGTCGTAGACGACGACGGCGACGGACGAGTCGCGGATGTAGGAGGGGATGAGCGATCGGAAGCGCTCTTGGCCGGCGGTGTCCCAGAGTTGGAGGCGGACGGTGCGGTCTTCGAGGTACATTGTCTGTGCATCAAGGGGGAGCTTCAGTCAGCGATTCTATGTGCAGCAGATGATGGGAATCGGGAGGGGAAGGAGGTAGGCACCTTTGAGAGAAAGTCTATGCCGATGGTGGCTTGGTATGTGTTGTCGAAGGAGTCGTACATGAAGCGTGTAATTAGGGATGTCTTGCCGACTACAAGGCGGTGCGTCAATATGGGTACTCTTCATACAGTACCGAAACGATGGACTCGGAATGGAAGACGATGCGTACCGCTTTGCTCCCCCAGAAACACAAGTCTACAAATCATCAGCCATCACCACTCTCCCATGTCCAACATCCAGGCAGCACTAACTTGAATTTCTTCAACGGATTCGAATACCCGGACTGCGCCATTGTGACCAGTGTAGTAGGAAACTCGCACCCAAGGGATAGACAACAAGATAAAGAAAGGGGGGAATGAAAGTTCAGTGGGAGTATGGGAGGGTGAACAGAAGCAACAAGAAGTTTGTCGTGTGTCAGCGAGCTATTCAGGGTTCCTTTAACAAACACCCGTGGGCATCCGATCTCCCAACGCACGACGAGGCCCGCCAGCCCGCTAGCGGCGAATGGGGTAAAGCGCATGGAGCGCGGAGACGTCCGTGCACCATCCCGCAGTTGTCGAAAAAATATCCAGATATTCCAGACTGGGAGTAACACTACAACTGTGTGCGGTTTACCAGTACATTGTTCCCACGCTCCATTGCCCAGGATGGCGAGCTCAGAATCCGCACCCGCAACATACAAGCAACCCTCCCGCAAGGGCAAGAAGGCCTGGCGTAAGAACGTCGATGTCACGCAAATCACCTCCGGCCTCGAAGAAGTGCGAGAGCAGATAGTCCAAGGGTAATATCTCCATACTACTCCTTCCATTGCACCCTTCTGACTTTGCTCTTCCAGAGGCGTCATCGCCGAAAAAACCTCCGCCGAGCTCTTCGCAGTCGACACCACCGGCTCCACCGCCATCCAAAAACAAGTCGCAAAGCGCCACCCCAAGCCCCTCAAAGTCGACGAGATCCTCGCTCAGCGCTCTGCCGTCCCCGCAGTATCCACTCGCAAACGCCTCAGCGACTTCGAAACAGCCTCAAAAAGCAAGAAACGCAAAGTATCTCGCAAGGAACTCGATAAGCTACGCGCAATAGCGTACGGCGGTGATCAGGTGAAGAAGGACGTTGTGCAGACTGGCGACGCCCCGGACCATGATCCCTGGGCTGTGCAAGAGGAGAAGAAAGATCCCAAGTTTTCGTTTCTGGAGGAGAAGAAGCCGAAGAAGGAACCTGTGACGCTGAAACATGCACCGATCTCGCTCGCGAAGAACGGGAAAGCGCTTCCTGCGGTTCGGAAACCCGAGGCAGGGAAGAGTTATAATCCCTTGTTGGAGGACTGGGCGAATTTGATTGAGAGGGAGGGTGCTAAGGAGGTGGAGGCTGAGAAGAAGCGGTTGGCGGAGGCGCGGGAGGAGGCGGAGAGGATTGAGAGGGCGCTCAAGGCGGCCGAGGAGGAGGAGAAGGAGGACGATGATGCCGAGAGTGCGTGGGAGAGTGAGTGGGAAGGTTTCAGTGAGGACGACGGGACGGTGAAGAAGAAGAGACCCGAGAGGAAGACGCAGGCGCAGAGGAATAAAATTAAGCGGAGAAAGGAGGCAGAGCGGAAAGCGCTGCATGAGGCGAAGATGAAGGAGAAGGAAAGGCAGGCGGAACGGATTAAGGAGTTGGCGAAGTCGGTGGAGGAGAAGGAGAAGGCTAGAGCGGCTGCGGCCCAGGTTGCTCTCATTGCAAAGGAAGATCTCTCGTCTGACGAGGCTGAAGAAGTACTACGGAGAAAGGGATTTGGCAAGGCGCCGTAAGTATTATCTTAACCCGGTTGTCGAACTCGTCTCTGATATCTCACCAGGATTCCTGAAGCACCCCTTGAAGTCGTCCTCGCCGACGAACTGCAAGACTCGCTCCGCCGTCTCAAGCCAGAAGGTAATCTCCTGAAAGATCGTTTCCGCAGCATGATCATCCGCGGCAAGGTCGAGTCACGCAAACAAATTTCGCATGCGAAGAAGCCAAAGGTCAAGGTCACGGAGAAATGGTCGTACAAGGACTGGAGTTTGGATAAGGTGAAATAGACAGCAACACTCTGGTGCATTTCCTCGGCGTTTCGGGGTGTAGGCATTTCTTTAGTTAAGCTCATCGAATTCCAGATGGGGAGCCGTTCGTCTTCCCTCTTGCAATGATTCGAGCTCAACTGCGTGGTGTCTCTATCACTTTGACATGGTACTCACTCATGATTAAGAAACCACATTGGGTAAGGGTCCTGAATGATGGGCCGTGAATTACCTGACTAAATTGCAAACCAACTATGGCCACCCTTGAACCCCGGGTATTATTCCTACAGAGATAGTAATAGTCAAAAGAGAGACGTGTTCCCAAACGCCACGGAACATGATAGTATGGAGTAAACAACGAACACCGTATCCCAATGCAAGAACCCAAAGAACCTGCAGCCCCATACACTCTCGTTAATCACCAAGGCGGACCCCTGGTACATATACCTAATCAATACCTTCGCCGGTGGCAGTGAGATCCTGTGGCTCGAGCAGACTGGAAAGGTCAGTCGCTGAGTCGACACTCAGCCAGAGGGACAACTTACGAGAATTGTTTGTACAGGGTGCCCTCTCCACCCTTCTCCAAATCGATATTGAAGACGTAATAGTTGCCCTCACTAGTGACGACCATAACCTGCGGCCCATTATTGCTGAGGGCCACTACGTTGCGCATCTGCCCGCTCGAGGAAGATATCCTGGGAATCTTCACCCAGGCAAAGTCGCGCGTTGGCTCCCAAATCTCAGCGACCGCGCTTGGCAGATATCCTCCGACTGTTGCTGCAAATGACTTGCCCACGTTCTGCGAAGTGCGCCGTATCATGCTCGCGAATGTTGGGTTGATGGCTTTTCGCTCAGGCTCAGGAGCGTCGTCTCGACTCTCTTCGTACTCATAGTCCGCGTTGTCAAGCTCTTGACTACTACGGCTGTTGCTCCGCTCCCGGGAGCCTGATAGAGGCCGGCTCGTTGCTGACGAACTGTTCCTCCGACCTGCATTTTGGGGGGAGAGCTTGAAGATGTGGACGGTGTCTGAGGTGGAGGATACCGCGAGAAGCGTTGATGTGGAGTTGAACGACATGCTGTATATACGGGCTGGTATAGAGCCTCTTCGGAACTGATAAAGCTTCTCTCCCGCTGGTACAGAGAAGACTCGGATTATAGTGCCCTTCTCGGATGCCGTGGCCAGGAGTGTACCCTCGTTATTCAGAGCTACGCAGGACAGTGGAGCGTGGTGCGCGTCTATTATGTTCGCAGGCTCCAGCTTGGTCGCGTCATATATCATAACTCCGCCGCTAATCGGCACATTGTTCTCGGTTTTTGGAGGGGCATGCGGTGGCGGTTGGAAGTTAGCCGGAGACGTTTTGGTGGGCAGTGGGTATGCGAGGTAGTTGTTCTCGGAAGATGAAGAGAGCGAGCATATTGCTGCATCTGTCAGTATGCAGGCTTTACCACCCGACCTAGGTGACGATACCATTTGGGTTTGAAGCAGACTTCACCTGCTGTAGCAAATGCATATTGCTGATGTCGTAGATATAGATCTCATTCTCCAGTAGCACCACAAGTCGCTTCCTATTCATGCGCAGCGCAAGGATAGCCGTCGTAAAAGTCAGCTCGCATATAGTAGAATGCCTCTGTACCCGATCAGTCCCGCCGGATGTTTAGTTGTGGCATCTGCGCACCGACCTTGGTATTTTGTATCCGGAGGACTCGGGGAGCGGTGGTGAGAGCAGCGAGCGACGTCGAGAACAGCATCTCCAAACATGAGACATCTCCTTCGTTCGCCTCCGAGTGCTTGCTAAACGGTTCGGTATTGAAGATACGATAGCCCTTGGTTGTTCCTGAATAATATGGGATCAGAGGGTGGTTCGTAGAATCCAGGAGCCCGGTTCACGTACCCACACCCAGTTGGCTGTGATCCTGGTTGAAGGTGACAAAGTTGAGGCTCGCCATGTTTGCGTTTCCCTACTGTTGTGAGCTCTTGCGCATTCCGTTAGCGATCGGATAGGGAGTGGCACGACCGATAAATGATGGCAGCCTGTGATTAAAAGAAGGTCGTGAAAGTGCTTGTGGAAGCTCTGCGGAGCTCGCGCTTTCTCCTGCCTAGCAGGCGTCCGAGGCGTCACAGATCTGATCGATGCGCACGGATCCCTGCCCCGCACCAGATCGAGTGGCGGTGCAGTGGCTTGACGATCCAGAAAATCTTCATGTAGAAGGCCTTGTTGTTGAGTAAACGCATCACCGCCGAACGTGGTAATCTTGAAAGAGATGGAATTTTCAGAAAAGAAACTAGACGGGTCAGAATCTCGGGCGAGGCCTCGAAAAGGTAGAGGCCATATGCGTTCAGCTCAAGCCAAGCGGGACGATGACATTATGAATGTCTGTCTGTTCAAGCAATCTTGATTCCCAGAGCAAGCTACTAAATTGCTCTCAGACAAATGATAGCAGTATCGTCTCGAAGCGAAGCGTCTCCAAGCTGTACTTTCCAGATGAGCCTGATTTCTATGAACCATTCGTACAAAAATTCGTCCGGAGAAATCCCCTTATCAATCGAGGCTACTGGCTGCGTATGCACGCCATTGAACAGGTGGTACTACGTTTCCTCAACGAAGACCCTCATGTAACCAAAGTTGTTGTAAACTTGGGCTGTGGCTAGTGAGTAAGAGCCACTTACGACATGCTGAGTGAATTCATGGCACTAACCATCAAGCAGTGATCCGTTGCCGTTTCAGTTTTGGCATCGGTACGCTTCCAGCTGCCAGAATGCTACCTTCGTCGACGTAGACTATCCTCAGCTGATAGAGAGGAAGCGAGACCGTATACTAATGAATGCTCTGACTCGGGAGGCGCTCTTGAAGAGTTCTGTACGCTCCTCCGGGGCTCCCATTTATCTGAGAAGCGATAGGTACATGGCATTGGGTTGCGATCTCAAAGACCTCAAGACTTTGGAAAGAGTTTTGAGGAGCGAATTTGACATGACCTCTACGGCAGTTATCTTTGTTGCAGAGGTTTCAATAACCTATATGCCCCTGGCCGATGCTCAATCGCTCATTGAATGGGCCAGGAGATTCAGCAATTGTAAGATCGGAATCACACTGATGGACTTTCATTGACGTAGAGCTAGCTCAGTTTTGCCTACTCGAGCAGTATCTTCCACAAGGGCCTGACCACCCCTTCGCCCGTACGATGCTCAAGCACTTCAACAAGCTGCAGACCCCTATCCAAGCAGTCAGAGATTACCCTTCTTTAGCTCTTCAACAGAGTCGATTTACTCAGTATGGCTGGAGCATATCCACTATGCAGAGCCTTTGGGACCTGTGGTCAGACGATACCTTCACATCACCTGAGCTTCGCCGTCGCCTAGATGCAGTGGAACCCTTCGATGAATGGGAGGAATTCGCACTGTTTGCCGGCCATTACTTCCTGCTGGTCGCTTCGAATAAAATCCCAGAAAGTTCAACATGCGAAAAAGAGGCACGAAAACAACCTGAAGCTCAAGTTGAACCTGGCGACCTCGAGGTTTCGAACTCGACTGAGTCCATCTTGCTGACAGCTGGCTCTGATGTTACGGTGACACCACGTCGCCTCGCTGCAGCTTTTTCGCTTCGTCCGGATACCATAGGACTTCACGGGGGCCAGGGCGTCCAGCATCGGTTAGCAAGCATCGATGTCTTGGGACATGAGAAGCCGGATCGCAGTGATTCCGGCGCTGTTATTCCGCCTCTCCCCTCGCCACAAGCGCGCATCTGCCACACCATCACCAGCATCAAGAACAACACCGCACTATTGGTGGGCGGTCGAACCTCTCCGTCACACGCACTTTCGGAATGCTGGTATCTCCATGACCGAAAATGGGAACTGGTCGAGGAATTACACCCCGCTCGTTTCAGACATGCTGCAGTCGGAGTGAACGTCTCTTTATCTGGGCCCGAGACAGAGGGCGAGGTAGTGAGCGGCGTCTACATCTTTGGTGGCAAGACAAGGGAGGGGCATATACTTGATGACAGCGTCATCTGGCTACCCAATCAAGGCTGGCAGTCACTCCCAGTAGTCGGAAATGTGCGTCCTACAGCGCGCTTCGGTGCTGCAATATGTACTCCAGGGGCGAAAAGTTGGGGGCTTCTCATGGGCGGTATGACATCCGACGGCACGGTTCTAGACGACGTTTGGGAGTTTAGAATCCTGGCGACACCGAGCCTGCAGATACAGTTTACCGATCGCACCAGAGACATACGGCATTCGACTCCAAGGCGAAAAGCGCATGCGCGCTTTGGCGCTTCGCTGGTGCCATTTGGGAACGACATGCTCCTTGTAGGAGGTATTGCCAGCAAAGAACTGCTTCCATTATCCGAGGACTTCTTGCTTGTTTCTGCCATGGGTACGAAGATCCACATCGAAGCGCCAAAGCTCTCCGTCCCTAGGGATACTTGGCCGTTACTCGTTGGGGCTGGTGTGATTGCAGTATCTGACGATGAAGTTGTCATTGCAGGTGGAGGCGCCGTGTGCTTCTCTATGGGCAGCTTTTGGAACAGAGGTTATATCAGCATAACGAAAGCGGGGAATCAACAGCCTTCTCCATGGTCTGTCCTCGCCATAGAGGATATCCCTGCAATGGTAGAGGGTTTTACGAAACCTTCAGTAAAACCGAAGACCCAAGGTAGACGACCTAAAAGCAAAGGCAAGGGCAAGAACAGTAAAGGAGAGAGTGTGGATAGAGTCAAACCCACCACCAAGCCGAGAGAAACGACCGTTCAGAGAGTCCAAATCCAGTCTGCAGAAGGGTTCTCCCGTCTAGTCAAGGAGTCCAAGCCAGCCATAATCGAGAAGCTCGACCTTGGCCCTTGCGTAAATCTTTGGACTCTTCCCTATCTAGAAGAGAAGCTCGGCGCAGACCGCGAAATCGTCATCCATGACTCAAGCTCTCCTCGCATGACATTCGCCTCCAAGAATTTCACGTATGAGAAGACCACTGTCTCCGCCTTCCTCAAAGGCATAGCCAATGGTGCAAAGACATACCTCCGCGCCGTATCTGCCGCCCAACCGAACAAACTCCCCACAAAACTCGAAGATGATTTCCCTTCCATCGCGCAGGACTTCCAACTCCCTAAGATGCTCGCGGAGATCATCGGAGATACTTATCACAGCTCTCCACTCCGCGTCTCCGGCCCAGTGAGCCTCTGGCTCCACTACGATGTCCTCGCAAACGTACTGTGTCAGATTCAAGGGAACAAGACGCTACGCCTATACCCGCCATCAGACGTCCGATATCTGGGCTACCCTCCTGGCGGATCCAGCTCCAACATCGACGTCCTCGATCCTTCTACAAATGGATTGCAGAACACGCATCCGCACGTTGCACATCTTCGAGCAGGAGACGTGCTGTTCATTCCACCAATGTGGTCACACACTGCAACTCCTGAGGAAGGGCACTCGGTTGCTGTCAATGTGTTCTTCCGGGATCTGGAGAAGGGCTATGCAGCGGGGAAGGATGTGTATGGGAACAGGGACTTGCAAGCGTATGAGACGGGGAGGAGGGATGTAGAGAAGATAGTGAGGGCGTTTAGAGATGTACCGAGTGATTTGGCAAAATTCTACCTGGAGAGACTGGCGGGAGAGATATTGGAGAAGGCAGAAGCGTTGGGAAAGGGCAAGGAATAGGCAAAGAGAAGCTGAGATGATGTCTTCGTGGCTGAGCACTTCGAGAATTTTGTGATAGGGTCGAGGCGGTAAATGAGTAGTTGATATGCTCCTGTTCCTGAATAACAGAAAATGTGAAGGTGAAGCCTAAAGAGTGAAGGTGAATACAGCCTTGCAGCCCAAGCTCCCCATCCCTGGCCCGCCAAAACAAGCCTCCGCCACACTTTTAGCGTCAATCCGCACGAGCAAACGAGCAACATGGCTGTGCAATACCCCGCGCCCCACTGTGGCTGAAGCTTTCTCAAACGACGTCAACGCCTGCCTAGCCCTAACCCCAGCAACATGACCACCGCTTTTTACAAGTAGACGCCTTGAGACCGCTTTCACGACCACCTCGAAGCTAGCTACTCCGTTCAACATATACCCTCGTCAATATCATTGCATCTCAGAAGGGAACTAGTCCCAAACGACAATAACGATGGCTCCCGCGGGTAACCCGCTCAGCGCGGCCTCCCTCGCCGCCACCATGGCATCCGCGCTTCCCACTCCGCGCGGCAACGAAGCTCAGGTGAAGAATGCGTACGAAGCTGTTGCTTTGGCGGTACATGCGGGAATGGTAGCTGTAGGGTTTAGACTTGTGGGGTTGGGAGAGGAGGAGCGGATAGGTAAGGGTTTCTTCTCCCCTCCCTGTCTGGTATCTCTCACACTTGCCTCTGATCGCATCCATGTCGTAGTGTAGCACGTAATATGAATGTCATACTGACAGCTATTACAGAGCAAACAGAATCCACGACTTCCCTTCCACCCGCCTGGAACCACAACACCACATACGCCTTCCGCTATGCGCACTCGCAATCCGCCATGCAGTTCATCCTCAAAATCACACGTCTCGGAAACAAAGCTCTCATCTTCGGCACCGCGCTCGGCGCCGACCACACCACGAACTTCGAAATCACAGTCCGGGACTACATCTCCGAGTCTTCATTACCCGTACAGCTTGCGGAGGGGGCGTCAAACGAGGAGATAGCGCGGAAATTACAAGACGTATTCATCTCGCCCGCCCGTCTAGACGACCTGGGCAAACTTCTCAAAGTCTCCATCATCCAGCGGCTCGCTCCAGGCATCTACAAAGAAGGCTACGAAGAAGACGCCACATCCACCACCCAACGCGGCGAACCCAGCGGCGCCCCGCCCCGCCGCCCGCCGGAACCCGAACCCGCGCGACCATACCCCTTCGACGACCCGCTGCGTGCTCCTCCGCCGGCAGGGCAACGGCCACTACCGGAACCGATCCCGGGCTTCGAAGACGAATACGAGATCCTCCGGCCTATGCGGGGGCCCGGAGGTAGAGAGGGTTATCCCGTCGGTATAGGCCACGATGACCTCTATCCGCCAGGTTTGGGCCCGCATGATCCTATACGTCCGCACTTGGGCGGTGGATTGCCGCGGCCCGGTGGTGGTATGGGCGGGGGAATGCATCCTACGTTTGATGATCCGCTTTTTCGTGGTCAGGGGGGAGTAGGCGGGTATGATGCTAGAGCGCCGCCCGGTGCGAGATATGATCCCTTGGGGCCGCAGGATCCGTTGAGGGAGGATAGGGGGACGGGGAGGTTCCCTGGTGGAGGTGGTGGAGGAGGGCCGGGAGGGCCAGTGCAAGGGGGGTGGAGGGGCGGGGGAGGGGGCGGGCCGCCGAATCCGTTTGGTGGATTTGGGGCGGGGGATTTTATATGAGGGTTGAGAATGCATGTGGATGGGCGGAGGTTGTTTCTGCTGAGAATATGGATTCTTGGGAAGGTCATGCTTGATTTGGTAGGTCCTCTTCAGAGGCAATGGAGACGCCAGGGTCAATGGTTCACACCAGATTGCTGGGCAATCGAAATAAGAATGGATCAAGTCGAATTACCCACCTGTAAGATTTGCCAGTTGTGAATGATGACATATTTTGTGGATCCATATCAGTACCGTTATTATATGTATGCTCTCGGGAGATTGATATCATAAATGAAGATGTTGACTCTGCGCGAGATACCTATCGTAGACAGTGCCAGCAATCGACACTCTCAGCACCTTTGACTTAAACTCGCCATGTCAACGCGAGTCAGCAATACCTACTACATACTAATAGGCCGTTGACGTGACGTGACGCTAGTCTTATGTAGCGGCGACGGCCCGCCCCCACGCGCGGGAGCAACACATCCGGGCAGTTAGTGTAGACGTGGGAACGTGGCACGGGAGTCTAATTCAACGACTACCTTTTTTAGTTTGTCTGGTTGTGTGTCTGAGTCGAACACAATATCCCGACTCGGATATCTGACGTCTGACATCAGACACAGGAGAATAATGACCGACTCCCCTGCAGAGCATCTCTCCTACCCGACCATAGTTCTGCTAGCTACAAGTACAATAGTCAGCCCACCTACACTGGTCAGTTAGATGAGCCACAACCCATCCATCCATCCACTCACTCACTCATCGACGAAAGGAATCAAGAATCATAATTGCGTGCCGAGCCCATTCAGCGATGGACGTAAGACAAGTAGTAGGAATCCAGATCCAAGGATGGTGGAAACCATGAGAGCAGGCGAGTGGTACGGGAAATCTGATCGAGACAAACTTATCCAGTCTAACCTTATTAGTCTAGACTTCCTCGATATAGAATTATAAAGTGGATAAAAAAGTGAATACACCACACTAAAGGCGTTGTTACCTTTCCATCCCTACTGCGTACAAAGTTAAAACCCGCGCTTATTTCTTGCAACCTAAGCGCAATCTATCCTTCCACCAGCCTTATCCTTCACCACCGTATAAAACGACATGTATACCCGTTCTCTTCTGCATCGCAATATTAGCGCTGGTAACTACTAGTCATACCTACCTGAATCGCATACCCCAATGGATCCCACAGCTTGTCTAAGCGTGCAGGACAGTAGAAGAGCCCGCCTTCCAGCTTCCCAGCGACGGCCTCATTGAGCGTCTACACGGCTCCGATACGCGACCGGGAGCGATATCAAACGGACTTGCAGATATCGCATACCAATCCGCCGAAAGTCCTCACCGATCTCGATTTCCCGTGCCTATCGATCACCGTCTTCCTCGATGAAAAAAGCTCGTGCAAACCTCCAATCGCAAAGGCGAAAACCAAAAGGCAGCTGATCGGCCTTTCGCCCCGGCAACTTACAACAGCGACCTGGAGGACTGGAAACATCGGCTTCGTATATCACCGATGGAAGAAAAGCGCTGCACGAAGCCATGTATCGGGGACCTTCTGTAACTTCCAAGCTAGACCATGTTGTGCGAGTCAGCAGCCTACAAAGCATTGATCAATCGTTCATCCATCGAATGAATCGAGACAGGGTCATCATGCCTTCCGCCTTCCGCATCCCCGACCACAGCACGGTCGAGAGACGACGGGAGCGGAGGAGGATTCGGTGCTCAGCTAAGACGGTCCGCATTCTGTGCTTGCAGTACCGCAGCTTGGCGAATCTGACAGAAACCTGGATTTGTGATCGAGGCGGTCAGCCGGGTCGTAACTCGTCAGTCATGTATTTATTCATCTGATGCCATGTGAGGGAGAATACTGTAATGAGTCGGCCCAAGAGGAGAGAGGAAAACAGCGCTCCGCGTCGAAGATGCCTCCACGCATCTCTCGTATTAATTGCCCGCGCAGGGCGAAAATGTTCGAGCGACAAGGTGCATTCACGCCCAACGAGTAGGAGACCTGCTTGGTACGTAAGACACGAGGAAAAAGCATTGCAAGCATGCAGCTCGAGCGAGTGGGACAATCCCAAAATATATACTGTACCCAACCCACCCTTTCGGCGGTTCGCGGGCGCCTACGCGCGTGTGTTGCAATGCCTGGCGCGCGGAGCGAGAAACCTGGGAGCTGACGTGGGGAAACGATGGTGTTGTTACACCCGAGTCAGACGCCTTGCTGAAGCGCTTACCCTGGTGAGGCGAGGATGCCACAGCCGCGCGGTTATGCAGAGCTCGGACGGTTGAGGCGTAATGATCGTCATTGGCTGCATTGCCGCGCCTTTCGTCTGCAGCGGCAACTGTGTGTCCGCGTTGCCATCGCCCGCGCGGCTCCACAGGTTCGTCAAGGGTCTCCAACTCCACAGGTGGGTATCGCATCGGATCTCAACCGATCGGAAGTTCCGCCCCGCGATTTTGATGGTGGAGGTCCGTATTTTCGTGTTACTGAATGTCTACGTCCTCTGAAAGGATGACGGCTGAGGAAGGACTTCTGGGCTACCACGTGTTGTCAGTGAGTTTGAGCCGCTTTCCCATACTTCCGAAGTCAGGCCAGCCAGCCATTAGCATTTCTCCTTCCACACCGATCACTGCAGTGGAAAATGGCGCTGTCCTCACAACCTTCTTTCAGCCGCAGGAGGACCAACACGTTTTGTCGAGGTTGAAACTCAGGTTTACGGTCAGTGGCGTTCTTGTCTCGGTTAGTGAATCATAGCGACCCGTGAGTTGCACAGAAACGGTGTCATGAGAGTCCCGCTGTTTGAAAGAGAAAAGGGAACAAAGGTCGGAATACCGAGCCTGGCATGTATCGCGAAGCTGAATCCCCGTGCGAGACACACACAACATGCAGATGTCTCTCCAGGTCCATGGCAGAGAGCCGCCCAAGGAGCGCCTGCTCTGCGAGCCGTTGTACGACAATGCGATAGTACTGATCCCTTGTCTGAGGACAGATATCAGTGTTTCACCACGTCACCGAGTCTCAGTGAGTGTAGTATCGGAGTCCATAGAGTCTGTTAAGCCTGTTGGGGCAGGCACGGTCCTTCGAGAGCAGAGTGTTGGCTAGAACATGGTGGCCAGAAAGAGCACGTTATCTTCGACTTCAATAATTAGGCCGAGCTGACGACGGAGACCACCTTGCAAGAAGGTGTACACAGGAGGGACGTGTTTGACGCAGCCGCTGAGGAAGTGTCATGCGTGATGTTCTGCAGATCATATCATCAGTGCCCAATGGCAGGGCGGGCCCGCGACACCAGGTAGTGGAAGAGCCCGCGCCTTGCAGTTCTCCTGTGACACTGCAGATACAACAGAGGCAAAACGGGCATGTGGACCAATGGCAAATTTCCCAGCGTTGGGAAGGACCAGTCTCGAAGTAAAATGAGGTTGGCGTCTGCGTCTGCTACTTGGCCGGTCGGTACCTTTGTAAATAAATCATGGGCCGATGCTCGCGAGAAGTTGTACGCAGGTACGGAGTACACGCCGGAGAAGTGAGAATGAAGCCGCCATCTGGCGTCGGGCAGCAGGAGAATGGCAGGAAGCGAGCGCGGAACAGGACTGAGGGGTCCCCGCAGGTGGTGACAATCATGTGCCGCTCGCCCCGGGGGACTGTGGGTTGTGAAGTTCGAATCCCTCGCTCAACCTCGTCGCGGCTACTGTGGTGCCGTGATTGGCCTCGACCACGGCAATTGTGACTTGGACATGAGCCACACTGGCACTTGGGCTAGGCGGGATCCGCGGATGAGGCTATATTCGTCGTTTCTGTTGGCCCTTGACTTGATGGAGTGCAGGCTGGGGGCCAGATGGACTGTGCGGGGCGACGGACCCTTCCGCTCGGGTTAGGCAACACTGCCCATTTTGAGTTGTGTTGAAATTGCACTTTGGGAACCCATGGTGTTTGCTGCACCGAGGAGTGGTGCAAAGGGTACATTGAAGTACATGCAGTACATATTGCAGCAGAGGGGTGATGGATGGCGGGAACAGCCCCGGTATTGCGAGGGAAGGTAGACGGAGTAAGCTGTGCAGCGGTGCGGAACGGATGACGGGAACGAGAGGAGGGCAGAAGGAGGGAGGGGAGGAGGGGGAGGGGGAGGGGTTGTGGGGAGAGAGAGCAGAGAGTGGATTGATGAAGGGGGGGTTGATTAAGCTCGCGACTAGCATCCTAGCTCGCACGCTAACGCTGGCCGCTAGCCCTCATTCGTGCACCGCGCTTTGGTCTCTGCCACGGGCACCATCAGACGCTCAGAGCGCACAAGAAGACAGGGCAAGACAAGACATGATCGCCTCGCATCATCCGCCGGCATGAACCCCATAGTCTAATCTGATAGCATCGTCGACTAATTATCCATGGCATCCCGGACGTTGCCAACCCTCATCTCAACGTTCACCGGCAGCAGGCACCAGGTGGGTGCCATGCACACATGGTCCCTCAACCTCCCAAAAGCAGAGCGGAGGTGTAAGGGCGCTTAAACACGACCGAGCCCAGCATCAAGGAACCCCCAGTCTCGCACAGAATGCACGCACCCAACCTGTGTGCGGCTATGTATACGGACAGGTAATAACAGGTTGCTGGCCCGGCTCTGGCGCGTCGCTGGCCACTGGGATCTCGTCCCAGCATATGCGGGCGGCTAACGACACGTCGCCCTCTGCAGCGTGCATGCAGCCATCACACTTGAGTGTCGCATCGCAAGAGGCCACAAACCTGAAAGTGCATTTGCCTCGCAGACGCGCAGGCCGGCTTGGACTGCTCCCCGGCCCCTCCCACCCCTGCCAGCGCGGGTCGTTGAGAGCTCGAGCTCGGAGACCTGTCCCTTCGACAGCACTCCGATAACCGCGAATACATGTGAGCGAACACCTGCGCAACACAACCAAGCAGGCCAGCCCTTTCCAAGCTTCATCTTCTCCAGGGACCACCGCGGATCCACCATCCCCGTCCCCGTTTGCGCCAGTCCCGAATCCGGCCTGCTCATCTTGTTTTCGCTCCCTCACATCATCAGTCATCACTCGGCCTATAATAATTGCCGTACGAAGTAGTGTAGTCTGTATCATTGTCGCCGACGGAAAGGTTCAGATTATTGCTATTCGTGCTGATCTATCGCAACAAGATTAACCAACACAAGCCCTCCCGCTTCACATCCCCAACCCATCATCTGCATGAGGTCCCGTCTCCCAAACGCCTTTGTACGCCGTGAATGCAAATCTCTCCTGATGTTCCTTGAAACCAGTACAACGCCAAACGTGCCAGAGCATACAGAGCATACAGAGTACAGTCGAGGGCTGGGCCCTTTGCCAGCTCTCCCAAAAGCAACAACAAAAAAAGGAAATAATTAGAGCCACTCGTAAACCGCTTGCGTCCAGCAATGCCTACAAGCAGGTTAATCCCACCCCTCTAGCCTTGTCTAGTAGCCACTCGGCGTGCCGGGGAAGCTGCCGTCGCGGAACAGTGGCGGAGATCGCGTGTCATACATGTCCGCCCTAGGAGAAGGGTAATACGCAATGCCGCTGCTAGCTCGCATTGCTCGCGTGCGCGAGAGGACGTTGGTAGGATCCGTGAGCTCGTTTCGTTTCGGGCAACCGTCTTCCTCGTGTCTGAGATACTTATTTAGCAACATTGCCTCGAAGCCAACCTGGAAAGTCGGGCGCCTTACCTTCGAAGAGTGTCCTTGCGAGCAAATTGTGCATCGCACTTGCGGCACCGGAAATCCTTTCGCTTGAGGTGCACACTCTTCTCGTGACGGTCGAGATCCGTCTTCCGGACAAACTGCTTGTCACAGTCTCGGTACTGACAGCAGTGCTCCTTCTTCCTCGCAGGATTGTGCGTCTCCAGGTGCGTCTTGTGGTTGTAACTCCTCTGGAAGAGCTTCCCGCACGTAGCACAACTGTAATTCGCGTTCTCGGGTGTTGTAGGGTTTCTCCGCACCCTGGTACGTGCCGTGGCTCTGCCGCCGCTTTCCCTTGTACGAGGGCTGGGTGCCCGTTCCTCGTGGCTCAAGGCCGCATCTTCGTAATGTCTATAAGAGTATCCGCTTGCAGGCTCGTATCTGGGGACAGCCGGGGAACCGTAGGCCTGATCGTAGGGAAAGATTCCCGTCGTCAGCCGTTCGGGGGCAACGGTCAAAGGCAGTTGATGCGAGACATTCGGTGGAGATGATTCACCCTCGCTTGCCCATTCCGATCCGCCTTCGAGTTTGACGTGCGGGGCGTATATCATTGCTGACCCTTCGCGGGAGAAGGTCGACATGTCTTTTGTCGAAGAAATGGACGAACGAGGAGGTGTATCCTGTGCCGCCCACGAGGGAGAAGAGTGAGACGAGCGGTGGTCGTAGTTGCGTGCCCAAAGGTCTGCCGGAGTCTCGGCCACGAGCGGTGATCCCGAAGATGAAAAGCGTGACCAATGTTCAGTGGACTGAGAGGAAGGTGTATACAGCACGGAGCTTGTTGAAGGGCCCGACGTGGCAAAGGAATGGGACAAGGAGTAGAGTCCGAGGCCTTCAGCAGTGTATTTAGAGGGTTCTGAGTCACTGCGGGCAGGCGAGGGATATGCGGACGGTTGTAGCATTGAGGTCGGCCTCATAGCATGCTGGTATGGAGAATTGAAAGGCGGCGTAGGTTGTTGGCCCTTGTCGGACATGGTGAAACGATGGAGGTTTATCGGACTTCAGTATGACGATGCTGCAGGACGAAAGGTGACAAAGATGTGGAGGCAAGCGCGGAGGGGTATGGGGAGGGTAGAAGAATGGGTGGACGGATAGTGTATGGAAAGGAACGAGGTGGAGTGTATAAGAAGGAAAAAGATGCCTGGGCAGATATGGACAGGCCGAGATCCAGATTGGGGAATGCACTGCGTTGCAGTGCTGCGGCGGTGTGTACTCTGGCTATGATCCAAATCATCGGTACTTGAAGATGCGAGGCAGACATGGACACGCTGGAGCTCGAGCCGCGGCGGCAGCGCCTGTGGGCAAAACATGGGGCCGTGTCTCTCATCAGTAGTCCATGCCCAGCAGCAGGAGGGAGATGCACTCGCACTTCCGGCGCCAGAATGGGGCTAGCACACGGATGGATGCCAAGATTCACCCCCGGTCCTGCCTCCTGCAGAGGAGACATGGTGGCGGTTGGCGGTCCCAAGCGGGCGGGAAGCCCCAGCGGCCCGACTTGAATCAAAGCGGCGCCGAGCGCAACTGACGGTGAGCAGAGAAGACCCTGGCCTGCCGTGGTGAAGGGGTGGGGGAGGGGAGGAAGGGGAGGTTTGGCCACCATCTGCCTTCTGCTCCCTGTCCGCGTTTGGGCTGCTGGTGGTCCGTGGATAGTCCTCGATGTGGGAGGCAACCAACGTCCATGCCTACGCGCGCTAATCTCAGTGGTTCTCTGCCGAAAGGATAAGCTCCACCCTTCCTGTTGCTGCGCGTCTTGGTCTCCTCGAGTGTATTATCCGTCCTGCTATGTGTCGAGGACGGCTGGAAGCGCCGGCCATCAAGCGGCCGTGCTCGCTTCACGCTGCTGCTGGAGCTGCGCAACCACGGCTGTGAGTTGCTCAACTTGCGTGGTGAGCTTGAGAACCAACGGTCGGAGCTGGGCTTCTGTTTCCGCGACTCCCGCTCTAGTCTGAGGCCGTTGAGTAGCCTGCAACCTGCCCGAGCCTGCGCCGTTCCCTTCATCGGGGAGGTTCCAGGCTGCCTTCCACGGGCCAAGGGAGTTGACGGCAGGCCGGAGGGGACGTCTGATGTGTCCAGGTGTTTCCGGACCAGAGATGGACGCTGCAGCGGAGCTGCGCTGTTGTCCGGCGAAATGCTCGTAAGCCCATATCGCCGCTATGAAGGGTAAGTGTGTAGCCTTGAGAAGTAGAATCCGGGCACTCCTGAGCTGCTCCGACGACACAAACAATCGGAGCGGCCGGAGACCAAGTGGAATGAGGTTCTGGTTCCACTGATCAGCCTCGTCCTGGGGAAAGAAAGCACACCAGCCACATCTAAACGCTGAGGCACTCAGGGCCGGCTATGCATCGCAGTACCGCAAGACCTGGGGAAGCATGGCTGAGCAGAGTGGAACCCTACAACTAGCGAGCATGTAGACGCAAGAGCGCGGAAGCAATTGATGCTCAGAGCACCGCTTGTCCCTCTCGAGGCTATGCGTGGCTTGACGGTGATAGACCCGGCGCTTGAGCGTCTCGGACGACCCAAAATAGACGTCGATGAACGAACTTACCAGCGGGGGAAGATAGTAGGTTAGGCGGTTCGATGTAGACGCCTCAAGCACGTAGACCGAATAGCTGGATTGAGACGAATGGTCAGTTCGGAGCAACCCGAATCCTCCATGGGTACTGACACGAACAGGTATTCTTCTCTTGCATGTTCCAACACCTAAGCCGAAATCAGCAATGCCCTATGGCAAACATTCAGATGCGAAAGTTTGAGCTTGTCCGCGCCCTCGATTCCACACCGCAACCTGGTAAGGCATAACGCCGAAAAGCAGCAGCAACGGTGCCAGATTGGGGCGCCATCTAGCGGTGCGGAAGAATCGCTCTGTCCATACCGGCATTGGTGGGCGCGGGAACAACAGATGGAAGCATGGGAAGCAGGGGGTTTCTTCGGTGAGGCCGCGGCTTTGGGTTGGGGCGAAGTCGTTCTCGCTTCCATTTTCGAGCGTCGAGAGCCAATCGATCTTTGCCAAGCCGTGTTTTCTCTACCAATATACCGCGAAATGAGACGGACGCATACACACCTTGGTCAAGGAATTACTCAAAAGCGATATGAGCGATGTGATGAGCAGGATGTTGGTAAGAGCGATGAAGACGAGCTGGAAAATCAGCAGACCGCCCATGCATGTGGACTGCGGACAAGCCTACCATGACGGGTGGGCCGAACCACGGCGATCTGTTCTCGTTAGCGGACAACATGTTTGACTTTTGGAAGAAGCATACATCTCCTTAGCCACATCCTAGCTTGTAGATTAGTGACTGTTCTGGCTCTGGAAGGAGGCGGTGCTCCCCATGCACGTCTGTTGGGTACTCACAAAACCAAGATACGAAGACCTGTTGTCACGAGTTAGCACTTCTACTCCGAGCAGAGAGCATAGCTTCACTCACCCAAAAAATACTTTAACAAGAATCCATGCCTAAAAAGACTTGTTAGACCGCAATCAAAACCTGCCACTTCGACTCTGATCACCAACGCACCATTTCCCTTGGAGTGAAAACACCCCTTGCCAGCAGGATAAACGTTGTCAGGAACCCCAGGTAGAGGATCAGGACTAGCGATAGGAATTTGACAAAATCCTTGGTCTGTCCGCATCAGCTCCGGCTTCTGTTCTGCCTCGTCTGGATTGTACAGACCATTTCCTTGAGGCAGGGAATCTGCAGAGACAGGGTTAGCTGTGATGTGACCAACAGAGCTCTGATGTCGAGAAGCACGATGGATGGCAACCACTCCCGTGCCGCAGCTGTCAAGCGGCCCGATGGTGCCGCATCCGCTGAGGCGTGGAAGGCAGATCAAGGCAGCCACAGCGATCAGATGGCGGATGAAGCCGTTGCTGAAGGCGGGTGGCGCCTAAGGGGAGGAGAGCAAGGGGTGACTCACCAATGTGCCAAAATATGGGTTGAGAGACAGGAGAGAGAAAATCCTCGGTACAAGGAAGAGCGCTTCGAGGCCGAGCACGTCGTAAGCTAGCTCAGTGATTTCAGACGATGCCCTAACTATGCCGACGATCCCTTGCGGGCACCGTTAGCAAGCGGTCCCAGTGGAGAGAGAGGTGACTCACTTAGTACGAAGAAACCGACCGAGACGAGCACAATACTCTGTGTACCAGTAAGCCGACTGAAGCCTGCAGAGGCAAGTATACTCACGATGTCCCAGGCCCACCAGAAGTCTGACGCGTAGAAGCTCGTCTGTCCGGCATCATTCCACTCCCCAAACTCATCGTACGCAAAGCCGGCTATCCAAACGTAAAGGAGTACCTCCGCAGGAGTGATATGGGACTCACTCCTATCAACGAGTACGGCGTAATAAAGGGCCAGAAAGGTGGCAAAGAACAGAGTCTCAAATACCTTGAGATATTGAGGCACCCGAAGACGCGTGAATGGATCAGCGCGTCGACGATTATACAGCTTTGCCCTTTTAACGGAGTTGACACTCATCGTCTCCCAGAAAACGATGTCGCCCTGGTACCGTCAGTTGACTGTACTGGTCATGGGCTAAAGGGGAGATAATACCCGCCATATGCCATTGATGATTTTCTGAACTGCTCTTTGGCTGAGGAACTTCTTTGCATTCGAGACCGCAGCAACCTCCAAGGCGCTCAAGAGTTCGAATTGAGAGGCGAACTCGTCCGAGCGCGGAGCAGACGTCGAAGAGGTACCATGTATGCTGTCGGTGCCGAAATGAGACGTTTCTTCTATTTGGGAAGCACGGAGAAGAGGTGCGTCTTCCGTCACAGCGCTGCTGGATTCGCCATTGGACATATGCTCTACGCTGGAGCCATCGTTTGCTGACCGTGTGGTAGGCGGAAGTTCGAACAGCAAAAGATCAACGGCCTCACGTTCCGAAAGACTAGTCACGAACAGCCATGCCACATATTCACACGCGTAACCCCTGCCCTCGTTGACGCCGGGTTCGTCACTCGTCTCCTCAAGAGCAGCAAAGTGTGCTTTGAGCGCTCTACCTCTTGTTAGCTCCCGCACATCAAAACCGGTTCATGAGCTTCTGATATGCTTCTTCTACGGAATGGCTATGCAGCAGCCAATCGCCTTGTAATATCTTTTGTCCCCCACCAGATATATCTCTTTAGGATAAGTGCTAATGTCCAAATAGATGGTTGGTGTGAATGTGAAGAGATGTCCTACGCACAAGAGGGCCGACACTACAGCCGGGTGATGGACAGAGTCCGTAAGGTATTCTATCAACGGGGTCAAGGCACGTCCTTGTGATGAAGTGCGGAGCTCGTCGAAGGTGGTCGGCAGCGAAAACGAATCGGTAAAGTAGCTGATAGCTGTTAGCATTTAGATTTCGTCACTAATGGGCTAGACAGCACGCTCAATCACCGTAGTACTCACAAGGATAGTTTCCTAACGAGATCGCCGAAGCTGTCGCTCTCGGAGATGACTGGGATGTCGGGATGGGGCTCCGGCCAGTATGGGGTGGAGGGCTGGGACGCCATGCTCAGGGCGAGCACTGCACTGGGAAGCAGAGATCTCGAGCACAGAGGAGTGGTAGTAAGTCCTCAGGCATGGCCAATGTGTCGATGAAGCGGACCGGTTTTTTGTGGTGTGTGGTGGAAGTCGCGACGTCGGGAAAGCTTGGCGTTTTTCCTGTTCCGCAAGAATATCGTCATCCAGATTCCTACTCTCTCCCAGTGTTGCTCCCTCAATGTTCGGTGCGCCATGGCCCATAGTGACAATTATGTCAACGGAAGGCTGCGGCTTTCTGCGTTCCTTCGTATCGTGCAGAATATTCCTCAGCGTCGACCTCTCCGAATCAGGCGACGGGTTCCAAACGAGAATTCAACACTAACTTCAATCGCAGCTCCTGCTTTATCAACGGAAGCGGAGCAATCAAATGAGATAGATAAAGGCACTGGAGTTGCAGAATCCCATATGGTGCAACCAGCAACACTCTCGGACCACCAGGCGGAAGCAAGCCCATTTGGCATATTACCTTCAGCAGCACCACCAGAGCGGGGCTCACCACGTCCGCATTTTGATGTTCCAGTGATTGAACAAGTCTCGACGGTCGAAGTGGAAACCTCCGCCGTCTCCAGAACCCCAAGGGGAGACTTAATCGTGTATAGAGCCCAGAAGGGCAATGCGGATGCCCGTCTCATTCCCAGTACTCGGCGGAGAAGGCTCCCTGTTAACGAACTTGCACTCGTGCGAACAACAACAGATGATAGCCTCTTTGACCGAAGTGTAGGAGGCTAAACTACTACTGTCTCCTTCACTTTTCTAACCGCTGGGTGTTGCAGGAAGAAATGCCAGAAACACCATCCATCACTGACACCGACCCCATTGAAGACAGCCAGACTCCTCAGTCACATTCCGCTGTTAATCCCGCTTCAAGAGCAGATCGTAAACACAGGCCTCTCATCAGTCTTTCGACTCCGTCTTTAGCTAACAAATCCCGCTGGAAGATTGACAAGGCAAAGAAACAGACCAACACGCCGGGCGCCAGGTTGATGCCTTCTCACGGTAGTCTATGGGGCCTCAGTGCAGACGGTTTTATAGCTTCTGAATTGGATCTTCCGACGAGAGTCCAGACAAAACGAAGGGCGCCTTCGCCTGATAAAGCAAGGGCGAGCCGGAAAGCAGTATTGATTCCAGCGCCAGTCGGGACTTTGGAGCTGAGAAGCGGTGCCCTCCCAAGCCCGTCTCAGCTACCGGAGCAGCTGCCCCCGCGAACAGAACTGGCACGAATTGATGATATCTCGTCCGACGACGACTACACCATACCCCGACCTTCACTGGAAGGGACGTGGTTATCCTCACAACCTCGCCGGCTGCGAAGGCGCACAGAAGACATCGTCACAGCGCAACTATCCGCCGTCACAGCACCAACCAGACCCAGCACCGACTCTGATCAGGAAGAAGAAGCCGATGATATGGATGATGAAGCAGTCTCCACCGCAACCGAAATTCTCGAAGCTGGATCCCACGAGAGCGAGTTACCCGACTGCGATGAGGAATTTGGCATCCATCCACCTGACGAACATGACGACAGCGGTTTCTGTGAGGACGATGCCTTATTTCAGGCACTCCGCTCTCAGACTGTGGTGTCGGATTTCTGGGAGCACTATGGGGGTGACATGGACTGACTTCTGAAGCTACACAGTACAGGAATATCTTAATGAGTGCTTGACATGCGTGGGTACATCCAGAATATTTACAACAAACTCTGCATATCTATTAAATTTGTATTGCTAGGAATATCGACCACCAAATTAGATCAAGCCCCTACTTAGAAATGCTTTCACAGCTTCCTCTGGGCTCAATTGATGTATTCAACGACATTGCACAGTACGGCTCGCACAGAACCTTGGAGCATTAGAATGTGAGGGGTCAACGTGTGTAGTCGGGCATCGGGCACAGCGAGCTCTGCCCGACGTCACCTCTGGGCAATATCATTCACAGTACTCCACACTCGCAGCTTAGCTCTCACCTTCCTGACCATCGGCCCATTGACCTCGCCAACATCGGTTTCTGTCTCAACTCAACACTGCTCCTCAATCCCAACAAGGTATCAAGAATTAGTGTACTAATCTGCCTGTAATATTCTATTAGAGGACGCAAGTTGTTCTAATATCTTTGAAAGAGCGCAACTCTTCGCATTTCCCTAGCTAGTTATCCATATTTACTCAATCTACTAGAGAATAGTTACACATATCTATTCGTCTTTGCCCTTTGTCAATTCCTGCTCTCTACAACTAACGCCTTTCTTCTTTCCAGCAGGCATGTTACTATCCCGAATGCCACTGCGAAATGCACAACTCATGTATCGCAACTAGTGAGAGATACATATACACGCAGCATGAAATTCAAATCCCATCATTTAGGAAGTCTCCTGGATGCATCGCATAAGAGCTTCACGGCGCTCGCTGAGCAAATCGTTCCCAGAGTATCCATTACGCTTAATCGCGAATCCACACTCCGCCCGATCAGGCCGGCCATCCCCTTCTCCATCAGAAGCACTCAAGCCCCAGCGAAACCCTCATGCACCGAATCGAATACCCACACCTCCATCTCCATTCCCCTCGTTACCCGGACCTCGACACCACGGTCACTTCCTCAAAACCGCATTCCAAAGCGTCAGCGTCTCCCCCCTGGGCCCATGCTTGCCCGCCCCCTTCCTCAACTTCGCATCCGTCTCGCCCAACCTCAACATAGCCTTACTACACTCCGCCAGCATGGTCACGAGCTCCTGCATCCTCCCCGCCGCCAGAAACGCCTCCTGTATCCACTCCCTCCGTTCATCCGCAACCACCACGGCAATATCTAGCGCCTTGGTCAGATACTCCTTGCTATTAAAGTACGCTGCGGGCTGCACGACGGATATATACGCCAGTACGATCTCGGGAATGTAGACGCGCTTGACTTCCCAGCCGTCGGTGCCGCGCGAGCTGTCGATGGCCTCGAGGAAGGTTTCCAGGAGGGTGTCGATGATGGCGGAGATCTCCTCGAAGAGCTCGCGTGCCTTTTTGGTGGAGATTTTGGTGCCGGTTTCGCCCGAGTCGCGGATCCTGCGAGGCTGGTTAGTCGGTGCTACTTTGCAGTATGCGTTTGTGATGGGACTAACCGTATGAGATTGTCCTCCTCCTCGCGCCAGTCGCGGAGAAGGGTGATTAGGCGGAGGAGCTCGGTGAGCTCGAAATAGGATTGCGTGCTCTCCTTTAGGGATTGGACAATTTCCCTATGTTCTTCGGCAGTGGGGATCTTCGTCGATGGCTTCCAATTGCGGCCTGATCGAGATAGTTCTTCCTGCCGCAATGCGTCGATTCGCCGGCTATCTTGCACTTCGGCGCCGTCAGCCCTGATGTCGAACGAGTAGCCACAAAGGATCTTGGTCTTGATTTGCACCAAGGTGTCCAGATTCACTTCGTTGACCAGCTGAGTTGCAGCACCGAGGCGGCCCTTGCCTGTGACAAGAAGTCAGTAAAATCTACAAAAAAAGAATCCCAAGGGACTTACGCAAGAGGAACATGAGACCGCTGTGCAAGACCATGAACGATTCATCCACCCACTTGTCCAGATGGAGGTGCCAGCGCAACGAACTCAGCATTGCCTCGTCGTTCTCGCTGATGTCAAAACCTCCAATTTCGGATTTGACACGCTTGCCCGGCCATAGGTACAAGTGCGGGGCAACGGCTTCGGATGGCGTCTCCAGTAGAGCCAGCGATTCAATATCTGGAACGTCAAGCGTCTCCAAGTATTTTCCAATGGTGAGCCAATTGTCCTGGACCACCTTTGCAGCGTCAATACCGTACAGGCCCATCAAACCGACGATGCTATTCTGTTCCTCTGGGTTCTTTATATCTGAAACCACCCGCGAGAGGCAGTGGTAAGTCCTCTCCTCGTGAAGCTGCGCGGCATACAACGGTATCAATTGGAATCGCTTGGTGAGCCGAAGCAGCTCGATGTAGGTTACGATTATGTTGTCGAACGCTGTCCACTTAGCGTAGTCTTCGCGGTCAAACAGATTGAGGCCTTTTTGCATGACGAGGAGGATGTGAACCAGTATCCGTAGAGCGTGCGTATCCCTAGCCAGAGCTTGATGATGCTTTTCTGCTGTTAAGGTGCGTGATTCCATGGGTACTGATTCCTTCAAGTCATACTCGCCTTGTTGAACTTCCGGCTCAAGGACCAAGCTCATAACCCGATCGTCTTTCTCTTGTAGCATAGCAATGGCGACACCCACTTTCAAGAGCAGCTCCTCCACTGTTGTGCTGATGAGGCTGCCCTGAATGAGCTTCATGGGAGCCAATGAAAGAGCAGCCGTGGCCTTCTGCTGCTTCAGCAGATTGATGATGAACGCGGGCGAGTTTTCCCAATCGCCAACGTCTGCAACTGCATCCTGAAATACGAATTTATGCGTGATATTCTGTGGTAGCCGCCGCGAGTGATGGTTGAGCAGATAGTCGTCAAACCTCGAGAGCAACAGGGCGTTGTAATGTGCGTAAAGATGGTCATCCCACGATCGGCAGACGCGCTGCACCGCTTTATAGTCCCCACTGAGAAGTCCATATACGGCGCCTTCGAAATGCGATCGAGCACCCCTCGCGGCAAGGAAGCACATGCGACGAAACAGGTAGCCGACAGACTCGCCCGCCAGGCTAGGCCCTCCTTCTGGTCGAGACTCATCTGCAGCGCCCATACTGATTCCCCGCCACGCCTCGCTCCTGTCTCTGCACCACTCACTGACTTCCCTCCAGGGCGTACCGCGACGCAACATCTCATAGCACACCATCCACAGTGCGCGCTCATAGTCTTCGTCGGATTTCTCCAGTGCCCTTCTCTGTCTCCCAGGAGCGTCCGGGTCCAGTTGTGTGATGAGTTCTTCCGAACGGTCGCTAGTCCTCAAACTCCAACCCTTTGAACCCAGAGGTCCCTCTGTTCCCTGTAGGCGCTTCGCCTGCTTGATCTTCGCCCTTGTGTCAGTCCATCCACTTGTCCACGTATGAGTGTCTTTCCCGGATTCTGTGCCTAACTGCTCGATAATGGATTGAATGTCGCTCTCCGTGTTCCTGGCCGTTCTTTCAAGCCATCGAAGCACGAGTTCCTTCTCCTTAGCCTGATCATCTACTAGCAGGAAGCGGTCCCAGAGCTCGGGCTTCGGGGTGAACTGGTGTAGTGGTTCATGACGCTTGGAGATCTTCGATTGCCGGTCGGCTTCGCGGTCGAATCCAGGTTCGGGATGGTAGAAGGAGATGATGAGGTGCACAAGGTCCCAAGTCGCAGCTTCGGTCTCCCACTGTCGTAACTCTTGCACGCGAGCGGAGTAGGAATTGGAGTTTCCTTCGACCGAAGACAAGTTACTTTGAATTGACTGCGAGAAATCGCCGGCCATAGGGGCTTCCTCCTCTATCATCGTCCTAATGCGCCGTTGTACGCTTTTCCGGAGCTCTCCTCTGTTCTCGGCGTCGCCTTGTTCTCTGAGCTCCTTCACAGTCGAATCGGCCAAGCCTTTGAATTGGTCCACCATCCGCAGAGTCGCATGGTATCGCTTTTTTGCGTCCTGTCCTTTCTCCTGGCTGTACCATTGATCGACGCGCTCCGCGAAGCTTTCCACTTCTTTTCCGACCCGGTCTGCCATTGTCCGAAGAGGCTGTAGAGGGTCGTCGTTCGTGCTCGGTCGGTGAGTAACGCTGGCGGGGCCAAAGAAAGACCCATTGTGGTTTCGCGGCTGTTAGAGTTAGTCAATATGGGGCTTTGAGAGAGGTAATGTCCAAGTCCAAGCTCCGAAACGGCGTACCTGCAGCGCAAAGGACTTTCTTGAAGCGGTCGCCATTGTTCGGAGAGGGGAAGGAGACTGGCAGAAGCCCGAAAAATTATTTCGCAATCCTCGCGACGGCTCTCCGACTAGGCGGATTGTAATGCCGCAATTCTGGTTGTTGAAGATGCTTCTTCAAGCTACGCAAAACACATGGAGCCACATCTCGCATCAGTGTCTGTGCGGCGCGTCGCGTCCGCTTACCTAATCCTTGGCAAAGTGGCTGAAGAAAATCCTCACCACTCGAAGCCGCTTCGCTCTTCTTTTTTTCCTCATCAATGTCTTTATAGGCAGTCATTAGAGTCTCGGTTCAAACTCGTTCAGTGTTTGTACAGGTCCATGCGGCCTCTTTGCGTGCTCACGATTGTCTTAGAGCAACATATCTCCTGTTACCTGGCTGGACTTCCTCGTGAGGTGTGATGGCTCAGATCCCAAAGGAGGTGTGACATGCGCATTGGATGGGTTATATTCCACTTATTTGGACATTTCTAGTATACCTGGGTCCCTCATTTCCCTGCCTCTGCTGCCCGCTGCTTCATTTTCAATCTGGACGAGTCAGCGTATGGCGGACAGTGGGCTTTGGGAACCATCACCTTAGAAGAGAGGCTTTGGGGCAGCTCACGGTGGTTGCATTTTCTCCCCTTTCTTGATAGAAGGCGTTGCAACACTCATATAGAGCGTCGACCTGGATGCGTAAGCTGGAATAGTGCAGAGATAGAGTTCATATCTACCTCCTTTCTGCATTTCTCTTCTTGGTACCCGGTCCTCTGCAGGCAGTCTTGGGTGGATTAGTTGTGTTGTCCAAATGAGCAGTGAGTATCCCAAGCCTACTCTGAATAGCACATGCTCGTGGATGGCACGGTGGATTGGTTCGGAGATCCTCTCTGAGTCCCTGAGCCACTGTTAATTGCGCGATTCGACTGTTTACCGGTGACATCAGACGGAAAGATTGATTGATCAAATGCATACCATGGTAACGATCACGTGAACAGATCAGTCTCGGATGAAAGTCAGGAACGAACAGCAAGAAGCCGACAGACTATCATGTGTGCAGAAAGTGAGTAAGAATAGTGTAATGGGCTTGTACGACTGCCAACTATAAATCACATAGTCTTGCCTTGGCTGGCAGGGTTTGGTGAAGGTGAGAGAACCCCGGCCCATCTGTTCTTTGAGCCGCCAACCCAACCCCGCTAGCCCGCTAGCCCTTATCGGTGTTCCCACCTCACTTCACTTTCCTGCGACTTCACAACCGCCAAACGCGTTTCCGCTCGCCACCGCTTCTTCTCCGACACTACATAAGGCTGTCATCTCTCCCGCAGCAGCTCCGTCCCTACACCTTCTCTGCTCGCTCCCTCTACGAACCTAGTCACCTACTATCCGCGCAAGCAAGCGACCTCGACGCGAACAACTAGTCAGTCCCGCCTCTTCTACATCCTTCCACGATCCCACTCTTACTACAAGCGCAACCTCGAGCTACTATCTGACAACCCGCAACTCCCAGATCCTCGTTCTTAACTGCATAACTGGTCACTATGTCAGACAACGACAACACGAATCACTACCAGCACCAGCCCGAGGAGCAGGCGCCTACAGAGCACCTGAACATCAAGGTCACGGACAACAACAATGAGGTCTTCTTCAAGATCAAGCGGACCACGCAGCTGAAGAAACTCATGGACGCCTTCTGCGAACGGCAAGGCAAATCGATTCAGAGCGTGCGCTTCTTGTTTGATGGGACGAGGGTACAGCCGCAGGATAATCCAGAGTCGGTGAGTTGGAGAAATCTCTTCGTGCGAATCTTACTTCGCTTCCAGGTTATGGATCATTTGCTAATACTGTTGATTAGCTCGGCATGGAGGACGGAGATACCCTCGAGGTCCACCAGGAACAGATTGGTGGCTGCTGAGACGCTGTGCTCTTCCTGCTGCACATTGCGGGCATCCAGACAACAGCCGATCATTTCGGACCCACACTCGGCATCCCGCTCTGCTCTGGTAACCGACCAATCCGCCGTGCTACATACCCTGCTACAAGTTTGGTGGTTGGGACGAGGAGTTCGAAGGCTAGGGTTTGATCTTGGGACACCTGATGCAATAGCTGGCTTTTGGTGAAGAATTGGCTACAGGGGAAGACTGACGACGGCTGCACACGGAGGGTAGTAGTGCCGTTTTTTCTTCAGTGTACCTTACTGAGGTCTTGATGGGAGGCCAATGTTAAATGAGGAATGGTTCATGAACACATTATCTCTGCGTTTCCTAATCTGAAACTGTGAGCTACTTATCGATGATTCCGGCATTTCTAAGCATCCAACCCATGCGCCCAGGGAGACCCAGATATTATCCAGATAAGACGAACGCCCTGGCACCTTTCCCAAACCGTTGTATCCAAATAGCAACCTCTCAACACCTTCCAAAGTCTCCAAACTGTCCAAATAGTCTCAACATCTGCCTTCCCCCCTCTGCCCCTCTATCATATCTAATCATTCATTCCCATTTTCACAAAACCAACGCTACCCCTCCCTAATCCTCCCAAACACTCCTCTTCCTCCTCTCCGCCTCCTCCCTCTCCCTCCTCTCCCTCTCCCTCTCTTCCTCCCTTCTCCTCCTCTCCTTCTCCCGCATAGCCCTGTCGTACTCCCTCTCCTCGGCCGTCCTCCGCGGCGCCTTCACGCCGAGCGCACCAGCAATCAATCGTCCCGCTACGGCCGTCGTTTTCTCCGGCCGGCGTGCCGGTGCCGTATTGGCTCCGCGCAGTGAGCTTTGCGGCGGTGATGCAGGGTTTAGCTGAGCGTAGGGGACGTTGTCGAATTCGAAGGGGGTGGGTGATGACGGTGTTGGTGGGGGAGGGTTCGGGGGTGCGGAGGTGGACGAGGGTGAGGCGGTGGTGGTGGCGGTTTTGATGGGTGTGATGGGGTTTTTATCTTGGGTTGCGGTTGGAGGAGTAGTAGAGGAGGAGGTATGGGGTTTTGAGGTTTGTGCATCTTTTGTAGGTTTCTCCTCGTCCGATGAGAGCGGTTCGTCGTCCCAGCTTTCGGCGACGGGGCCGGACTTGGGCTTGGTTTTTGTGGAGAGTTTGAGGTCGGAGAGGGTGCGGGTGATTTCGGCTTCGGTGGGCGTGGTGTGGGACATTGTGGTTGGGATAGTACTGGTGATGTTGTATCTGTCTATAGCTATGATGGGGGCGGGGTATTCGGATGTCAACTCTAAAGGACGGCTCGAGAATCGTAGATATATATAATGAGCGATGGGATTATTTTATGCTTGGAAGAAGTGCGGAGCGAGTAGTATACACGATGTGATGTTGAAAGCAATAGAGAGGAATTCTCGTGAAGGACTTCAGCTATCATCTACAATAAGTCGCAAGCTCTTGCTTAAATAGGCGTGGTGGGGCACTGGCAGCTACACAGCTCCCCCTCCTGAGACAACCACCACCGCTCCCCGGCCTTCCCTACAAGAACCCATAGATGCGGCTCAGCCTCATTGTTCCTCGACATCTCAAATATCCCCGTTTCTCGGCCACATTCGATGCAGGGTCAAGCACAAGCAGGATCCCGAGGTCGGGACATGGCCTCTGATTACAAGCTGAGGGGCTGTCGGTTACATGCATGTAGCCGTCTTGGGAAGAGCTTCGGTTATGGCGTTGTGAATTCGAGTGCGAATGACTCTCCTCCATGAGCGTTCTGCTCGGCCTGCTGTTCTGTTATCCAACCTTCGGGATGCTTGGATATATCGACGGAATGGCTACTCCAGACACCTCATAAAAGCGCCCTGACACCCAATCTCACTGCTCCACCAAAACCCAGAAGTCAACTAGACCGAGGTTAGATATCACAGTACTCTCTCCCCAAAACAAGCCTTGAAGTCCTCCCACCGCAACCACCAAGATGATACCTCACCGCTCGCGGCACCTAGGCCGCAAACTCTCCCTCTCACCTCGCATCCTTTCCTGCCGCTTCTCCACCACCACACGCCGCTCCGGCTACGACGACACGATCACAAACCTCAAAATCGGGAAGCACACTCGAGTCATTTTCCAAGGCTTCACAGGCAGGCAGGCCACCGCCAATGCGAAAGAGTCGATCGAATGGGGCACCAACATTGTTGGAGGCGTCAAGCCGAACGGTTCGGGCGAGCACCTGGGACTGCCTGTGTTGCCGTCTGTGAGGGCCGCCATGGAGCAGCTGAAGCCGGATGCGACGGGTATCTATGTAGCGGCGCATCAGGCGGCAGCGGCGATTGAAGAGGCCATTGAGGCCGAGGTGCCGCTGATTGTGGCGGTTGCGGAGCACATTCCGGTGCATGATATCATGAGGGTGAGTTGGGATTTGACTGATCCCATTAGTATCTATTCCAATTAAAATCCGCAGATACACTCGATTCTAGCCACACAGTCAAAGTCCCGGTTGGTGGGCGCCAATGCTCCTGGTATCATCTCAGCAATTGGTCACTGTAGGATCGGTTTCCAACCTCTACCTACCTTCTCCCCTGGCCATATCGGGATTGTAGCCAAGTCCGGGACGCTGTCGTATGAGACTGTCGGCTCATTGACGCGTGCTGGCTTGGGACAGAGTTTATGCGTTGGAATGGGCGGAGATGTGATTGCAGGGACCGATTTCGTGGACGCTCTCAAGGTGTTTGAGACTGACGAAGATACGGAGGCTATCATTCTCGTGGGAGAGGTGGGAGGCACGGCGGAGGAGGAGGCGGCGGATTGGATTCGGGATTACAAGAAGCGTGTTACCGATCCCAAGTATGTTTCGCCCGTCCCACGTGCCTAGACGACACTGACGGATTTTAGACCCATTGCTGCCGTTATAGGCGGCTTCAACGCTGTCCCAGGAAAGGTCATGGGCCACGCTGGTGCATGGACCGGTCTTGGAGAGGGTACTGCTGAGTCCAAGTATAAGGCGCTGGAGAGTGCTGGTGTCACCATGGTGGACCATCCGGCGAAGTTTGGCGGTGTCATGAAAGAGATTCTGGCGAAGTCTGGCCGGAATGTAAGAAAGATAGTAAGCTCTTATCCACTACGTACCTCCAGTCACATTGTATACTAACTTCACCCCGAGAAACAATCCACCGCCCAAACCAAACAACAAAGCCGTTCATACCACACCTACCGGCGTCCTGTCGTCCCCTCTGCCTTCTCTCCCCACGTCCTTGACCGCCACCAACATCGCTCCCTCCACCTCTCCCCCTCCCAATCCACCACTCTCCTCCAATCCTACGAAATATCCGTCTCCTCCTCCACCACCTCCTCCCCCAACACCCCCAACACTTCCTCCACCCACTTCCTCGGCATCACCATCGCCCGCTCCGCTCGCAAACCCTGCATCATCGCCGCCCCGCCCTCGCACCCGAACCACCTCCCCACCCGCGTCCACCGCTTCCCCTTCGACTACCTTTCCGGCCCCTCCCACGAAGCCATCACCTCGGCCCTCGCCCACGCCCAGCTCGACGCCGCGCCCGCGAAGGCAAAAGCCGAGGCCGCCGCTCTGATACGGAAACTGTGGACGTTATTCCGTGAGAAAGAAGGGATCCAAACGAGCGTGAGTCTGACTGTTAAAGAAGAGGAAGGGGAAGGGGAAGACGGGATTGATGTCTACGAACCGTATCTCTTCTTCGACGACGCGGCGTTTAAGAGTAACGGGCGGCATGCGGAGCTCCACGCTCTGCGCGACCCGAGCACGATACCAGAGGTGGAGCTCGAGGCCGAGAGGAATGGAATCGTATTCGTACGGCTCGATGCTCCGGTCCAGGGCTCAAATGCAGCAGAGTCACATGTCGATTCGCAGGACGCATCCGCTCCTCCGAAAGAAAAGGGGCCTAGGAACTTCATAGGCACCCTCGTCAACGGCGCAGGCCTCGCAATGAATACCATCGACGTTCTGCATTTCCGCCTCTCCCAGCACTCCGACTCTCCAACATACCCCTCAAACTTCCTCGACACAGGCGGCAAAGCCACCGCCTCCACCATCGCAACCTCGTTCCAGCTCATCCTTTGCGACCCCCGCGTCGCCGTCATCTTCGTCAACATCTTCGGGGGGCTGACGCTGTGCGACATGATTGCCGAGGGCATCATCATGGCGTTCAAGGAAGTGGGGGTCGAGGTTCCTGTCGTCGTGAGGTTGAGGGGTACGAATGAGGAGGTGGGGAGGAGTGTGTTGGCAAGGGCTGGGTTGCCGATTCGTGCGTTTGAGGACTTTGAGGATGCGGTTAGGGAGGTGGGGAGGTTGGCTGGGAGGGCTGCGAGGGGCGAAGGAGTAGAGGAGTGAAGAGTGGGTTGTTTGTTGTTGGAAAGGGATGGATTGGGAAACGTAAGCACGTCTTCAATGAGGAGCTGGGTATGATCTATGCATATTCGAGGGAGGCGTGGGTAGAGAGAGAGAGAGCCATGAGCATTTGCATAGCGTATCGTATATTCGGTTGAATAGGTTCTTGCTTCAACATGCGCAATCGCACATGTCGATCGGGGTTGGCCCAAGCACAAAGCAACTTGTGCATATATTGTGACCAGCGGTGCTACCTCACAAGCTTAGCCCCCTCGTCTTCCTCGCTCTCCGTCTCGTACTCCTCTTCCTCCTCCTCAGTCTCATACTCGCTCTCCTCCTCCTCACTCTCCGTCTCCCCCTCCTCCCCCTCCTCCTCAGCCAACCACTCATCCAACGTCTTCTCCTTCTCCTTCTCCCTGGCTCCCCCAACCCCATTCGACGGCGACGAGGACAACGGCGCCCCAACGAAACCCCTCCCCCCAACCGCCTCATCCAACCTCTGCGCCGCACTAACCCCTCGACCCATCCCTTCAACCTCATACGCCGAAGAACCAGCACCCACCTCTTCCCTCAACCGCGGATCCGGCTCCTCTCCCTCCTTCACCCACTCCGGCAACCCTTCTTCCCCCCTCAACCCCCCAACTCCACCCTCATCTCCAATCACCAAACTCGCACTACCTAGGACATACCCCTTTCTGGTCTCACTCGGGCTCGGTGCATGCGGGACCGGTTTCGGTGCCAAGAGGAGGAGCGAGGCGAGTTGCGTGGACGAGGGGGTCGACAGCAGGGCTTTGTAGACGCGGGTGCGGTCGCGGAGGTCGTACGACGTGTCGTAGCGGGCAAGGAGGAGGATGTAGTGGTAGAGGGATTCAATGGGGTGGGGCAGGTTGGCAGGTGGTTGCTGCTCTCGGTCAAGAGCGTCGTGGTTGTCGAGGTGAGGATCACGGAATCCGCCTTCTTCTTGGAAGCCTTCGAGGACGGGGGGAGATGGTTGGAGGTTCGACGGTTTGGGCGGCTCGGAAGGCGGGTTTGAGTTGAGGTGGTGGACGTAGACTTTGGCCGCCAGGAGCACAATTTGCAACTTTGCGGGTTCCGCCTCGTCCGCGAATCCCTTGGCCAATATGCGTAACACATCGGCGGCGATGTTATTCTCCGGATCCAGACCGGCGAATTCTCCAACAAGCCAGATAATGCTCGCCCTCGCCTGCGGACTGGTCGCGGCATCCAGATGCTTCGCTAACCGAACGACGGTCGTCCGATGGCTCTGCGGATCCCTCTGAATCAGATGACGGATGACCTCCAAGCTCTCGGCCACGAGACGCGCATCTGCAGACCCGATGTGGGCAAGCAGAAGTCGCAGGCACCGTGCCGAGGTTTTCGGGCTCGTAGCACTGCTCTGCGAACAGCGGCCTATGGCTCGAACGGCCTCCTTCACCAGTCCCGGATCCAGACTCCCCGAATGCGAAAAGTGGCTCAGTTCGGCCAAGATTAGGCTCTGTAGCTTGGGTGGTGCGTAGGGGAATATTAGAGTGAGGAGCTCCAGTTTTAGGCGCCAGATATGCGGAGCATCCGTCGATTGGACGAGGAAATGAGTGTAGTAATTCACAAATGGCTGTGGGTGAGAAAGGCAGACCTGCACGATATTGTAGAGCGCGATATGCTGCACGTCTGGCGTCGACCGCAAGAGAGCAACCAAGGGGCCGATGGCCGTCTGAAGATATTCCGGAGTCCCTAGGTAGAGGTATCCCCTCGCAACAGCTATTACCACAGCTGCATTCCTGGACTGGAGAAGAGGCTGACAGGACTTGAGCAACAGTTCCAGATCTGGGTCCAGGATGACCACTTCATCCATTTCTTGCTCGTCCTCCTTCTCTTCCGACTCGCTGTCGGAGTCGTAAAAGCCTTTGGCAGACTTCGTTGGTGCTGAATGATTGTTTGCATTAGCCTTCTTCACCTTCTTTGTCCGCCGTGGGAAACATTTCCGCGCATACACCACCATGAGCCGCAGGGTAGCCAGTTGACCCCACTCATCCATGTCAACCAGCTTGCGGACCAGAGAGCGGTAGTGTGGATGTATCAGATCCAGCCGATTCGGGCACACTTCGAGGAAAGCAGCTACCGCCGCACCAGTGACGAAGTACTGCTTGTCACCTAGTAGTGTTGACAAGTAGTCGAGGAGCTGCGGTTCCGTCGCCGGATCTAGCCTGTAACACTTGGGTATAGCCAGGGCAGCAGCGCGCCTCACATATGGCGACATATCGCCTACCCCTCGCTTGATACCCAGACTGACGATTTGGCTTATTACTGGCACCCGTATCCCAGACATGACGCGCAGGGCGAGGGCACGTAGTTGGGGGTTCTGGTCTGTCAAGGATTTCTGAATCGTGTTGATTGATAGCAAGGCGGTGTCGGGCTCATGTTCGGCATGGTGGAGGAGGTAGATGTAGACGAGCTTCTTGACTTGGAGGGATGGCGACGCGATGTTCTTGATTACGTGACTGAAGAAGGGGAGGGTTTGGGAGGGTGGTTGTCGATACGACATCTAGAAACTGTTCAGCGTGCGCACACGGGAATTGAGAGCTAGTCGGCCTACCGTAACCACTCTCCTGAGGCCATCCAGCACATCGCGCTCCGAGCGGCTGTCCAGCAACTTCTTAAGCTGGCTCGAAGGGAGCAGCCGCGTAGGCGGCCTCCTCGCATTGCTCACATCGCGGGCGGCTTCGAGGGTCAGTTCGCGAGCTGTAGCAAGGGACCAGTGAGCATAGTTGGACGGATGCATAGCTTGAGAGCAGCACAAACGTACGCTCGCATCAAGGGAGGCGGGAGGGCAAGGCGAAGAGTGTGGCTGAACGGGGGAGAGACGCACCCGTTTCCAGCATGCTCGAGATGTTTGAGATGGAGAGCGCCATGGCGTTAATACTACCGATCGGCTTGCTCCGAGGAGCACCAGGGCTGGGCTCTGTGATTTATGCAGAGGTGGGCAAGGGACGGTGGAGTGTTTCGGTGGGTGAGCAGAGTTGTGCTTGTGCTGGTGACGTGAGCGTCTGCAGTTCGCTCCGGGGCTGCTGAGATGCGGGCCCACCTATCCTGGCGTGGTGGGTGAAAGACAAATGGTGGGGGTTTCGCCGGGGGGAAGTGGGAACGCGAGCTAAACCGTTCTAGGACAGCTCCAATAGGTCCACCCCCACCATCGCAAGAAAGCTCCAGATTGTGAACTTCGAGGTCCATTCATCAACACGAGAGCTTCCCAGCAGAATCCGAAATGGAGCCATGCCCTTCCAGCCCACCGTCCTGCACCCCTTGACCCTTCCAGCCCTCTTAGACGCCATCCTCGCAGCACAGCACACCCCCCAGGCATCTCGCACCACCCTCATCGTCTGCTCCAGCAGGGAAGACTTCCTGCAGGACTTGGCGCAGTCGGCTCGCAGTCATGAAGATCAGGAATCAGCTGAACAACGGCTGCAGCAATTGACGGCTCCGACGTTGAGGAATCTGATGACGGCGAAGCATGTCGAAGTGATGTTTTGCCCGTCGGTGCCCGTGTTGCTGGCATACCTTACGGCATGCAGTGTGCAGAGGGACGTGTCGGGAGAGGGATCGGAGAGGAGGACGCTTGTGCTGGCGAATCCGCTGTCATTACATGTGCCGACGCCTTACTTTTCGGCTCAGGGGCTATCCAGGACTTTTGCAGCAGCCGTGGAAACGGCCATAAGAGTGCATGCTAGACTATTCGTCGTTGAAGCTCAAGGGTCACATAGGAAAACCGGACATGGCGATGCGGAAGATGAAGTGGACGCAGCAATGAGGGAGGCTGATGAGGCTATCCCCGAGAAACCAGAGACCCAAGGGGATCCTTGGGAGCAGGAAGTGCCAATCTTGAATGACTCTGTGAGAAGGTTGCCTTCGGGCGGTGGGGAGCGGTCATGGGCGGGTCGCACTGTCAAAGTCAATAGGGTCGCTGCAAGATGGTTTCGGTTCTGCAGAGTAAAGGAGGGCAAAGAGGGAGGCTTAGATTTCGAGCATTGAGACACAGGCAGAGCGAGCAGGAGACTGAAAGCGAAAGGCCGAGTCGGCCATGGATTTTGCTCGAATCACCAAGTACCTTTGGACCAACACACTTGTCCGCACTCCGAATCGTCAAGATCATCATTCGTTCGCAACCCCAGATCTGAAGAGATCAATGTTGCCTTGTATGGAACATGCACCCTTCTCTCACACGACATCAATTCGGCTTGCCTAGGCGCTATGCCCGTAGGGCTAGACTTAGATTCTTTGCATCAAATCAAAAGAACAGAGTCGATCCACTACCAGTCCTTCTCAACGTTGAAAGCCCACTCGAATTGAAGATGCGTCTCGTTGTCGTCGTCGATGAACTTGGAGACGGCCTTGTACTTGCCACGTCCGAGCATGCCCGAGGGGGCCGTGTCTGGCTCAACTGCAATGTCCTGGTCAGCTCAGAACCGCTAGTGCAATCCAGGATACATACACTTCTTCTCGTAGAATGGCTTGTCTTTTGTATTGGGACCGTAGGAGCCCTGGCAAGGGTCAGCAAGGGGCTATTTTGTGTAGTAAGGGGATATTGAACATACAATCATCTCCTGGTGCTTCTGGCTGAGACCCGCGCGCTTCACGACCTGGAGGTACTTCAAGCCAGACAAGATCTGGTGCTGGACCTTGAAAGTGACCTTCATGCGGAACTCGGCACCCTCCTTGATTGTGAAGGGCTTGGTCTTGAGGGTCTCGAGGGAGGAGGGGTCCTTTAGGTCGATGATGATGTCCGGGCGGCCCTGGACTTCGAGACCCAGGGAGAGGATGATGCACTTGCGGGGATCGTTGGGGTCGGAGAGGTCGCCGCCTCCGATGAGGGACTCTTTCCACTTGCGTACGGATTCATCGTTCTTGTCTGCAGGGCCATGTCGTCAACAAAGGGGGATGTGCAGAGGGTGTGGGAGGTTACGTACCTAGCTCCTTCAACTCTTCAATGGTGCGCTGCTGGCCGACCTTGAAGCCGGCAGTCTGCTCGGGCTTCAATTCTTCGTCGTTGTCGCCAGCCATTGTGTGGACAGTGGTTGCAGTTGCAGAGAGGGAGTGAATGGGGGTTCAATTGGGCGTGGTGTTGAGAGTTGTTTTTGGTGGGGTCCAGTCAAGGAGAGTGGAGGCACAGAGGCACAACGGGCAGACGATCTAGATGCTTGGGCTGGGGGTCCATGGCCGCAGCGGGGCAAAGGCTGCAATAGCTGCTTTCACCGCAACTTTGAATCTGGGACACTGCAACGCCGAGGCCATGTCCGATTCTACCAAGTACTGCCATGAATGCTTTGCCATGGTAATGCAGGCCGCGTTACCGACTCCTCTTGTACATACGGGTGTACGGTCGAGCTGGAGCTGTCTCCAGGGAGCAAAACTGCCTCATATTCTAGCCGACGGATAGCTTGGTTGGGGGTTGTGTAAACCAGACCTGATGCTGTAGGTGACGACTTGGAGAAGACATGGTCATTGTAGAATAAGGAATGGAATTCCGGAGAGCAAGGAGAATAGTCATCGGACGTCAATTCAGGTCCCTTTCTTCGGGCAGTGTACTCCGTACATGAGAGTATTAAAGCAACATTGCGGTACGTGGCCAAGATGGGAAGAGTGGACCAAAAAGGAAGCTTGGGGGAGAAAGGCGCTATTCCGCTTCGAGGCTGCATACATCTCTCCCGATGCCTAGGTAGGTAGTCTACCAATTCACCCCTCCCAATCTCATGTGTCGGCGAAACGAAACGACGCATAGGTTTAGTTTACTTTAATTCCGCCCAAGCAACGAGACAGAAGCGCAGAAGATTTCGACGCTGTACTTTCTGTACCGAGTACCCGTAAAAGCGACGAACCTGTCAACGTGGGGAGGCTGGTCGGCCCGCCAGCCAACCAATGACATTGCGTGCCAGGATCATCTATGAACTGTCCAAGTCACCCCGGACCGCCCAGCTCCCCCCATCCACGGGCCCTCTGCGCCAGACTTCCTTCATCCTCTTCCTCTTTTGCATCGCTCTCCGTACCACCCACGCTTACCTCTGCATCTCGACAGCGCCTCCGAGTCGCCCTCTCTTGTCGCTGCGCATTTCTTGCATCACGACCGCGGCTCCCGCTTGATCGTGTTGCGCCGCCAATCGAGGAAGCCCTGCCGTTGCGCGCACCCGAGGACACGTTCACGTCACGTCCCCGTCCCGTCGCCGCATCCACCACCTGCACCTTTCCTCCCGCGCTGCGCGCATCTTTAGTACTACTCCTATCGTCTTGTAATATTCTCACCTCACACCATACTTCGGAAATGGTCACCAAGCGCACCCTCCCCGCCCGGAGAAACCCTCTGCTGGACGATGAAAACTCTCCGCGTATGTATCTTCTCCGCCTTTACTCTCCGCAGCCCGACCTCTCATCACTAACGCTGCTGCAGACGAGGAGCTGCTGAAGAGGCGACGATTGGGCCAGACCAACCTCGCCGTCAAGCCAGGCATTGTCGGCGTCTCCGATCAAACCAAGGCCGAGCACTTGGGTACCTTTGACTACGCGCATTTGCGCGTGCCGCTCCCCAGGGACCTCCATGGGTCCGGCATCTTCGGTCTCAAGACCGCGACCACGTATCCCGAGTCATATTTCTTGATGGTACGCAGATGGAACCTTGACGCGTTCGACCCTGGCAACAGATGGACTGACGAAAGGATAGAGGCGAAGTAACGATGGCTACATCAGTTCCACGGGCATGTTCAAGGCTGCGTTCCCTTGGGCGTCGCTGGCCGAGGAGGAAGCCGAGCGAAGGTATCAGAAGACTTTCCGGTCGGCGGGCCGCGAGGAAGCTGGAAGCGTTTGGATCGCGCCAGAGGAAGGTAAGCCGTCATGCGCGAAATTCACATCGTTTTCATCAGCGACTAACGCCTTGTCTCTTCTACAGCCCTCAAGTTGGCCGACGACTACGGTTTGCGCCGCTGGATCGTGGCTCTGCTGGACCCCAGCCCCATAGAGGTTTCCACGAAAGATAGGCACAACCCGAACATCAAGACTCCACCCATCTTCGACATTAACAAGGCTACTACTAGTCCTGCTGCTACCAGTGCCACCACTGCCACCACTGCTGCTCCCGTCCTACCACCCAGCTCGTCGCTCCGCTCTACACGCGCAAGGTCGACCCGCTCCGCATCTCCTAGCAAGATCGCGACGCCAAGCCGCAAGATTGCCAGCCCACGCAAGTCACGGGCCACGCGGAGCTCAGCCAAGGCGGGACCTACGAACGGAGAGGAAGTGGTAGAGATGACGGCGACTGAAGCCGTAGAGGTGACTGCGACATCGGGCTCGCTGCAGACTGTGACCGAGACGGGCTCGGTGGTGACGGAGTCCGTCGCATCCGAGCCGGCGGAGGACGAGCCCAAGGAGCCCAGTACGGTGCGCATCGAGGTTGAGGAGCGTGTCGAGCAGCACGGCGACGTGGAGACGAGAAACACGAACGTCAAGATCGACGTCCCTGCAGACCACCCCGAACTGCCCACGCCCGATGACCCTACCAAGATGATCGAGGAGGCCAGGCGGATGGTGGAAGAGGCCCGCGAGCTCGACAAGGCTGCCGGAGTGGATGTTACGTCGTCGAAGCGCAAGGCAGAGGATCTGGTATCAGAGGACGCGGAGGCGGCTGAAGAGCGACCGGTCAAGGTGGCGCGGAGGGTCGAGACGACGGAGCAGCGGTGGAAGAAGGAGAAGGTGACGAGGAGGGCGCTTGTGGGGATGGGCATCATGGCTGCTATCGGGTATGTTTTTGAAGTTTGTACCCTTTCCGTGGATCCACTTTGCTAACTGTGTTCTCTAGGACGGCCTTCCAGTACTTTGCGTAGGCAACGCGCTCACGTCCGGTCTCCACGGCTGTGTTCAACGTGTAGGAAAGTCGCACATGGTTGGATACTCCGCCTCATCTTACCCCCCTTCCCCATTACCCCTTACTCTCTACTTTTTGGTCCCCAGTGTTCGCAGATACCACCCTAGCCCGCCTACTCCTACTTCATTCCAATCTCTCCCTCCATCTTGAGCCCACATCACGAGATGACTGTTGATATACTTTTTCTCTTACCGGCGTAAGGAAAGGATCCGGTGGTCGTCATTGTGGTTCTAGTTCTGTCTTTCGGTTTTCTTATTGTCTCGGTTTGTTTTGCGCCTTCCAGGGCCACTTGCTCGCTCAGATGGAGAGAACAGAGGAGAGTACAGAGAAGGAAGAAGAGGGAAGAGAGGGGATATTTGGTGGTGCGGGTACAAGGAGTATTGGCCGTGGAACGCAGTGATTGATTGAGTGATTGGGTGAATTGAAGTAGATTATTTAATGGCATTTTCGGCACCCCCTTGTCTCAACTACTATCTCTGACGTTAGATTTGGTTTGGGTTGACGATCGATGGTTGATTCCGGTCTGTCGTTTCTGTAGGATTTTCTTCTTTTCTTGGGTTGGGGGTGCAGGGTAGGATGGTGTGGCGTCGTTAGAGGGTTAGAATATTGGAAGGGAGAAGGGACGGATGGGAGAGTGAAGACGAGTGGATGTTTGAGGGGGTTGTATAGATGGTGGAGTTGAGAATGGTGATTTCTGTCAGTTGCAGTCTGGTGTCGTGCTTGGTGGTGCATGTGTTTTGGCTGTATTGTGTCAAATATATCCAGACTATTAACAAGTTAAGTGCCGGGTCGCTCGTCCTGAACCGTAAAAAAAGGAGATATTGATGGAAAGTAAACATAATAGGAAATGCACGAAGCATCAAGAGACTAGAGTCTATTCTATTCTCTAATATACAACTCTTGATCTCCTGAATACTACAGATTCCTCTACAAATAAGCACCATCAACATCCCCATCCACTCCACCACCTCCCCCTCCCCCATCACCTACCACCGCCCAACCACCCACCACGCCAACGCCGCCGTCCCCGCACACATCCCCGCCAACCCCCCATTCATCCCCCCATACCCAACCCACTCCCTCAAACCCCCACTCACCAGCGGCCCCACCGTCAACCCAGCACTCCACAACATACTATTCAGCCCATAAAGCTGCGCATACGGCGGCGCCGCCACCCCGCCAAACACGTCCCTATTCTCCTCAAAGTACGCCTCCAAAAGCCGGCCTGACTCGACGATGGACGTCGAATTGATGACCGCCATGCCGACGCCGTTGGCCGCGAGGAGCACCGCGTAGAATAATATCTGCATGCCTCTTCCTATTGATCCTTTTATGGGATCCATGAAGGGCAGGCCGAGGGTTGCGAGTGCGAGGGCGAGGAAAGAAAAGCCAGCGACGGCGAGGGGACGGGTGCCGAAGGTGTCGACTGCGGCGCCGAAGACGGGGCTGAGGAAGAAGTCGGCGAAGCCGAGGGGGAAGAAGAGGAGGCCTGCCGAGAGGCTGGTGAAGGAGAAGGAGGCGGATGCGACGAGTGGGACGGTGGCGTCGAAGGCGCCGATGAGGAAGGCTTGGACGAAGGAGAAGAGGAGGGCGACGGGGAGGGGTGGGAAGAGGAGGGTGAGGAGGAGGGGGAAGGTGGTGGTGAGGGGGTTGGTGGGTTGGGGGAGTTTGTAGGGCGAGGGATGGGAGGGGGAACGGGAACGGGAACGGGAGGGAGGGAGGAGGGAAGTTTGTTCGTCCGGTTCGTCTGTGTTTGAAGGGGAGGAAGAAGACGGGGAACTGGTTTCGTCTTCGTCTTCGTCGTCGACGTCCATGTATTTCGCAGCAACGCGCTTCTCAATCATGAGGACTCGCATGATGAAGTCGACGACCAACAGCGCGATTCCCAGCCCAAACACCGCCTTATACTCAGCCTTCTCGTAAAGGAGTCCCCCAACAATAGGCGCAAACAGCGTCGCCACGGAGCAGAAGCTGAAAATGGTACCGATCGTCTTTCCCAGGTTCTGCTGACCCACCGTCTCTACTAAGAGCGTCATGCCAATGGTCCACACGACGCCTCCAGCTGCGCCTTGCAGGAACCTTGCAATGACAAGGACGGGCACCGATTGCCCCACGGCCAGCAGAATGGTCGAGAGTAACTGCATCGCCAATCCCAAGAGGAACGGTAACTGGCGCGACGAGACGAGTTTATCCGCCAGCACGCCGGTGATGGGGGATGCGAGACAAGAGGCTCCGGCGTTCACGGCGAGGAGCATGGATATGGTGGATTGGAATTTGGAGTCGGGAATGTGGATGCGGTCTTGCAGCATGAAGGGGAGGACGGGGACGATGATGCCGTAGAGGAACATGTCTGTGAAGGCGGCTAGGCCAACGGTGGTGCAGACGAAGAGGGTGGAGGAGCGCCATGGGAGGCCGACGGGGATGGAGGAGGTGAATGTCATGATGGTTTTGGCGGAGTTCTGGGAGAGTATATGGTCTTTGGTTTTGCTCTTATATCTCTTGCCGTATAAATCGTATAATCTCGAATACACCGCCTAAAGCGGGGATTAAACTGGCAGTAGGACAGGCCAATAGGAGGGATTATAATAGCTAGAGATCTGCGGACGGAAAGCAACAGAATCTCTTCCTTCTCTTGAGTCAGGAGCAGACTTTTGAAAAATTGAAAGTGTTGAGATCATGTTGTGGAGTCCAGTCTGGTAGAAGCGACTAGGTAGAGGGGTCCAGGCGCTCGTGTATAAATAATGACGAGAGCCGTGGACGTTGAATCTGAATATCTCTGATAGCAGCAGGAAGGTGCAGCCGATTACGCTAAGCCATAGTTGGCCCAGCGTAAGAGGAGCTCCAGAAATTCGGAACCTCAGCAACGCGACCTTCCGACGACAACACTGCACCATCAAAGCATACAGTGGTCAAGCAACACGTCCAACTTCAAGCAGAATACCCACCATGGATCCAATGGAGGGAGTGACGCACAGCGCTCCGCCAGGCGGCTTGGATCCGTCCAAGTATCCTGTACCCATCGAGACGTACGTATTCCTCCTCACCTGCAACTCAACCTCCGCTAACGTACTTGCCTTCCTGCAGAGTCTACGTACGTATATCCCAGCTTCACATCATGCGAACACATTGCACCCCCGTGGCGCTCAGTGGGCTGACGATATCCAGGTCAACAACCTCGAGGAACGCATCAAGATCGACACCATGAAGCAGGCCCTCCACGCCGTCTTCGACCACTACGGGCCCATCCTCGACATCGTCGCCAAGAAGAGCCTGAAGCGCAAGGGCCAGGCCTTCATCGTGTTCGATAGCCAGAAGTCCTGCCTGGACGCCATCGAGGAGATGACTGGCTTCGAGATGTACGGCAAGAAGATGAGGGTCACCCTGGCCAAGACGCACAGCGACGAGACCGTGAAGCGCAAGGCGACGGACATGTTCGAGGAGCACAAGCGCGCACGTCTGACCATGAAGGGTATGCAACCGCAACGCCCTCGCGCACATTTTACTAATTCTGTCTTACAGAGCGCAAACTTGCCGAGGAAGCTTCCAAGGCAGAGGCCCGTCCTGTCGCTGCTAAGGCTAAGCCTCGCAAGACCGGAGCGGCCGCCGTGCCTGACGAATACGTCCGGCCCAACAAGATTCTCTTCCTGCAGAACATCCCCAAGGAGGTCACCCAGGACGAGCTCACGGCCATCTTCGAGCGCTTCGAAGGCTTCAAGGAGCTGCGTTACGTACAGATCAGGGCCGTCGCATTCGCCGAGTTTGAGAACGAGCAGTTCGCCATCACGGCCAAGGAGAACACGGCCAACACTCTCCTCGGACCGGAGCAGAAGCCCCTCAAGGTTACGTATCAGCGACAGTAGGTTTCATGTGTTGCGTGTTTTTCTGCGTTTTACACAGTTGCTTTTCTCCTCCTCTACTGGCGGTGCACGGGACGGCGTATGCTCTTCGTTTTCACATTCAGTCTATCACACATGCTCACCGGAATCTCTCCTTTTTCTAGGCTGGAAGTGGGAAGGGTGGTCAACAATCACGCCACGACGGCCAATCAAGACAAAGAGGTACCCCAACGCAGGAGGGCCAATCGAGACAGGAAGCGCTCTCGTTGCTAAGCTCCTGGCGGCTCTCTTCTCCACAACTTGAGGAGGACTTAGGGGATGTACCGACTTGAGGAGGATATGTGAATGATTTCTGATAGTGTCGGAAAGGCCTACTATGGATCGGGATGCGGCTATGCTACAAACGGTTGTTTATACCCAGGATTGCAGGTATGGAAGGATTAGGGAAACTGGTTACCCATTGTGTAACCGATATATAAGTACGAAATCAGAAGATGACATCTTCGTCCTCCTTCTCACCAAACAGGTCCTGTGTTTCTGGAGCGTCTTGCATACTCTTCTCCGGTTGATTCGCTTCCGCCAGCGCTTGCTTCTTGTCCTGCCTCTCCTTCTCCTCTGCCGCCGCGTCTCTGTGCTTTTTTCCCGAGACTTTCTTCAACCGGTAGAACTCCTCGCGGTCGAGTTCGTCCAGCTCTGAGTTGATGTATTTGATGGTGTTCTCCGTCCGCGGAATGATGACATGTTCACTAGAGTACGTGAGCTTCAAAGGCGTGAGAATAGGGGCAGCAATGGACCTACATGGCGTTCACGCGGCGGTTAACGACCTTGATCACCTCATCTAGAATGACAAAGGCTGTCTGGAGACTGGCCAATTCCACGAGCGTCTCCACAGCTCTGGCATACGTCTCCCTGCATCTCTGCACTTGCTGTCCGCCTTTGCCCAACCCCGTGAGACCGAAATCGTTACTACTCTCCTCTATATAGCTCTCGAACTGCGGCAGAAAGACACCCGAGACGTTCTCCTGCTTGGACCGTACGCGGAAGCGCGCCTGCTTCGCCGACTCCTGAATCTGGTAGCCTATGTCGCCGCCCACGGCATATGTGACCTCGGCAAGCGAGAAGGCGGCTATCTGCATCACCCGGCCCATCTTGCGCTTCGCCTCATCGATCCGGCGTGTAATCTCTGCAAGAACGTTTCAGCTTTACGAGACACGGGATAATCGCATCAGCAACGGTCGGGGGTATTGCGCACCTCTGAATCGTCTGCAGCAGGGTTAGTGTGGTCAGCATATGTCTATATCGGAAGCGACGAGCGATAGGAGAGACGTAATGGCACACGCACTTGGTGAGGGCTTCACTCTTCCGCTTCAACAGATCATGACCTGTCTGGGCGCCCTTCAATTTGCTCTTCATCAAGCCCAGCGACTGGCGGGTGGGGAAGACGGCCTCCCGGGCCTGTGGGTGATGTCAGTCGTCTTCTTTCTGCCGCATAGCTTGGGATGGAGCGGCAGTGCGACATACCCCGCTGCCAGACATGGCGAGACTGTGGGCTGACGGATGCCTGAGGGAATGTTAAGCGCGTTGGATTGTAAGAGAGCGGGTGCTAATTCAGTAGTCGTGGGCGGCAAGAGGAGAGTTTATTGATAGTGAATTGCAGATGGCGCAGCGAGAGCTTGTTGGTGTTGGCCGTGAACGTTGCTGAGTACCTGGTAGCCATGACATGAGCCGGAAGCTCAAGCCAGCTTCGAGCTGATGGTCTGTGCGCCGGGAGCCAGGCAACTCGCGGACAAGCGCCATGCTTGGCTCCGTGCGCGCCGTTGATTGGCTCCGCCGCCCCATGCTGACCGCAACTCCCGGGAGCCATCACCTCTCTGCTGCTGGTCCCACTCACTTTTCACCTCCATCGCTCCCCCTCACTGCCCTCGAGACAGGACCACGCCGTCTGCGATCGATTTCCCCCTCTGTCCCTCGAGCCCACCGCGGGGCCGTTGCGCAACAATGCCTGGGGAACTCATCCGCACCGTGGCGGCCAGCGTGTCGCGCCCTGGCAAACGCAATGCCCGAGCCATGGACCGCCCCAGCGACCTCTTCCTCATCACCGACCAGGACGTCGTCTACGAGCAGGACATCTTGCGCAATCCCGGCAGCATCAAGCCCTGGCTCGAGTACTACAACTTCAAGAAGTCGCGCGGCAGCATCTTGGAGCAGGCTTTCGTCCTCGAGCGCGCCTGCACCACGCTGCCGCGCTCCTACAAGCTCTGGAAGCTCTATCTCGAGCTGCGCACCAAGCATCTGGCCAACAAGAATCCGGCCAAGTTCGCCCCGCACTATGTCAAGGTCAATGCGCTGTTTGAGCGGGCGCTGGTCCTGCTCAATAAGATGCCGAGGATTTGGGAGATGTATCTCTCGTTTCTGATGCAGCAGCCGCTCGTTACTACTACTAGGAGGACATTCGACAGGGCCCTGAGGGCTCTCCCTCTCACCCAGCATAATCGGATATGGGCGTTGTATAGGCCGTTCGCCACGTCCGCGTCTGGCGAGACGGCTGTCAGGATATGGCGGCGGTACATGCAGATCCATCCGGAAAACGCAGAGGAGTTCATCGAGCTGTTGAAGGATATGCGGAAATACACCGAGGCCGTCAAGAAGTACATGGAGATTCTCAATAACCCGCGTTTCAAGAGCAAGGAAGCCAAGGGACCGTTTCAGTTCTGGACCGAGATGATTGATCTGATGATTGATCATGCCAAGGAGATTGAGACGGGCGATGACAGTGGGATTGACGTGGAGAAGATTATTCGCAGCGGCATTGCAAAGTTTCCGGATCAGCGCGGTATTCTTTGGGTGGGCTTGGCGAGATACTGGATGCACAAGGGCGAGTACGAAAAAGCTCGCGATGTGTTCGAAGAGGCTATCACTACGGTCATGACCGTTCGGGACTTCTCGGTGGTGTTTGACACGTATGTGGAGGCGGAGGAGACGATGATTGGAATCAAACTTCAAGAAGCTGCTGCGCGATCAGAGAAGGGCAAGGTGGATGAAGACGCTGATGCTGATCTCGACATCCGGATGATGCGCTTCGAGTCACTGATGCAGAGACGGCCATTCCTTCTCAACGATGTCATGCTCCGGCAGAACCCCAACAACGTCTTGGAATGGGAGAAGCGTGTCGCCCTCTGGGGCGACAACAAGAAGGAAGTCGTGCAGACCTACACCGATGCTATAGCCGCCATCAACCCGAAGAAGGCCGTGGGCAAGTTCCACGAACTCTGGGCCAACTACGCCAAGTTTTACGAGAAGGGAGGTGATATCCGCAATGCACGGGTTATCATGGAAAAGGCGGTAAAAGTCCCGTTCAAGTCCGTCGCCGAGCTGGCGGAGATGTGGTGTGAGTGGGCCGAGATGGAGCTGCGCAACGAGAATTTCGACAATGCGATTGAGATTATGGCCAAGGCGACACAGGCGCCGAAGCGGTCCACCGTCGATTACTTTGACGACTCGCTTACACCGCAACAACGGGTGCACAAGAGCTGGAAGCTGTGGAGTTTCTATGTCGACCTGGTCGAGAGTGTCAGCACGCTGGAGGAGACAAGGAAGGTGTATGAGAGGATATTCGAGCTCCGCATAGCGACGCCGCAAACGGTTGTGAACTACGCCAATCTGCTGGAGGAGAACCAGTACTATGAGGATTCGTTCAAGGTCTACGAGCGCGGACTGGATCTATTCAGCTATCCCGTGGCATTCGAGATCTGGAATCTCTACCTGACCAAGGCGGTTGACCGGAAGATTGGCATGGAACGGTTGCGAGATCTGTTCGAGCAAGCCGTGGAAGGATGCCCGCCCAAGTTCGCAAAGCATCTGTACCTCATGTACGGTGCGCTGGAGGAGGACCGCGGCCTTGCGAGGCACGCGATGCGCATCTATGAGCGTGCCACGCGTGCGGTTGCAGACGAAGACCGCATGGAGATGTTCAACTTCTACGTCACCAAGTCTGCCTCCAACTTTGGTCTCACGTCAACAAGACCCATCTACGAACGCGCCATCGCCACATTGCCCGACAAGGAAGCCAAGGAGATGTGTCTCAAGTTCGCCGAAATGGAGCGACGGTTGGGAGAAATCGATCGCGCACGCGCCATCTACGGCCATGCAAGCCAGTTCTGCGATCCGCGGACCAGCCCCGATTTCTGGAAGAAGTGGGAGCAGTTTGAAGTCCAGCATGGCAACGAAGACACGTACAAGGAGATGCTTCGCATCAAGCGCAGCGTGCAGGCTCAGTACAAGTATGTGATTTTCCGTATCTATGTCCATCAAGCATCTGCTAACGGATTACAAGCACCGACGTCAGCTTCATCGCCTCCCAGGCCGTCGCCCGCGTCCAGCAAAACGGCGAAGCCGCGCCCAACGGCGAACACGCCGCCGAGGGCGAAGACGCCATGGCCGCACTGGAACGCCAGGCTCGCGCTCCTGTCGGCTTCGTCGCCGCAAGTACGGGGCCCCAGGGCGGGAACATCAAGCCCGTTCAGGAGGCGCCGGCGGCGAACCCGGACGCGATTGATCTTGATGACGACCTCTGACGATATCATGAGCGGGCTTCGGTACACCCAGGCTTCATATTCTCCTTTCATTACATCTTTTCCCTTTGTCTGAGTTGTTGCATTTGCGGCGTTAAAGGGGGCTTGTGCATACCTCTCTTCTCTTTTCCTGTGCCTGTTCGATTCCCTTCGATTCCCTTCGATACCGGGAGTACGACCTCCGGTTTCTTGGATTTTCTTCTATGAGGGCGGGTTCGGCGGTTTCTTCTTTGGTCTGGGTTGGAGATGTGCATATCCGGCGCTTTTTGGTTGGGAGTTGGCTTTTGCGTGTGCAGGCTTGTCTTGTCTTGCACTGCAGCGAAGTGTATGTATGGACCTTGTGTTTTCCTATGTGCTCAAGGGGGTTGGCTCAAACATTGTCGAACATGGACCTGAGGGCTGTGGTCGCAGCGGACAGACAGACAGATTTGATTCCACATATGTGAAGATATAGATAGAGAATTTTGAGTATATACTCCTACCCTTTGGGTACTGTGTTTGTGTTACCATAGTAGTGTATGCGTGGCTAGCATCAGCCTAGGATCCCTTGACTGCTCTAGCCTTAGTCGGGGAACAACAGTATCCGTGGTATTGCTATCCGCGATGGTCGTTTGCTTTTTGTGATACTTTGTGTAGATCTTTGGTGATGAATCAATCCTAATCTAAACATATTAGGTCTGATGTTGAGCCAAGGGTGAGGGACCTGTGGTGTGACGTTTGCGGGAGGGAGGGGAAGGCGGTTTGGGGATCGGCGGGCGCGGGGATGGGGGGTTGTGGATTTTCGATCATGGGGTTGATGTTGATGATCTACTCTAGATCAGCATGCTATGGAGATGATGGTAGAGAGGAAAGAGGAAAGACGGGAATGTCTGTCGTGGTACACAGTAGATTGTCAACCTGTAATCACGATTGTTAGTATGCCGGAGGGAGGAAGGAAGGAAGGAAATGGGCTCCTAGAGTCCGTACTGTATATGCACCTTTGAAAACCCAACTCAGTGTCGACAAATACCTCTCTCTCCTACCGTTGTTACCTATCCATCGCATCACACAAACCCCTTCCCTCAACAACAAAACCCCAGCTCCTCAAACCTCAGCAAACCTCAACCCGCCAAGACCTGTGCACGAGGCAGTGCACATCCCATCTCCCTTCCCCTCCCACCACTCCCGCTCCATCTGATCAGCACAACGCTCCTCAAACACAAACAAACATCCACACCACTGACGTAATCCGCCCTCTCCACCCACCAATGCTCATCTTCCCCCTCTCCCTTACAACATCCGGCCAAACACACAGCCGCCAGCCCGTGCGAATCGTAATTTGCGTCCATGTCTGGCTCAACGCTGTTTGCCGGTGATGGGGTGTGGGCGTGGTAATTGGATGAGGGGAATGGAAAGAGGCTTGCGAGGTGTATCATGTGCATGTGTTTGTTTGACAACCCTGGACAAGGGGTTGAGGAGGGCTGAAAGGTGGTTGACGTAGTATGCTGGGCTTTGAGGGGCGAACTCTGAGCTTGAGCTTCGGGGGCGAGGAGGGAAGGGGAGGGAGGGCGTTGTTGGGTATATGAGGGGGATGGGTGCTTGAGGGATGAGGATTGAAAGTTGAGATTCTGGACTTTGAAAGGGACATAGTACCTTTTCCACCTACTTCACCTAGCTATCTACGCAACTGCAACCGTCCGATATTTATCTCTGAGATATTGGACGTTGTCGTCTTCTTGCCGTCTATCTGCCTTCAAAGTATAGAGAAGAACATCACTGCAACTCCCGTCTGCTTCTGCTCCACAGCGTAGCTAGGATGACGGACAACACCACCACTACCGGTCGAGACGGTACTGTGTTACATCCCCACCTCCAACCCTCAATCAACCCAATCTCTAACACCCCCACCCCTAGGCCGCTCAACCTCCCTCTCCGCCATCGCAGGCCCAGACACCATGGCCCTCACCCACGACTCCGACATCAACACCACCACCACCACACGATCCCTCACGACCTCGCCCTCCAAAGACCGCCGCATGAGCAAAGAATGGGACGCCGCCAAGGTCCCGCCATCGCGGTTCCAGCGGCGCGAGGGCAGCATCTACAGCACGCCGGCGAGTCGGGATGCACATGTCAAGGGGGCCGAGAGGGATAAGGGGTATTGGGAGAAGTTGAGGGAGAAGGGGTGGGCGGGGAGGCGGAAGTCGTAGGTTTGTTTGTAGGTCGGGTATTTATGGGGAGTTAAGGGGATGGAGGAGCTGCAAGTATATGTATATGTATGAATATGTGGTGGGCTTGTGGGAGGGTAGGGTATGATGTCCTGAATATGCTATCTCTTTCTTTCTACTCTGTTTGCTTCTGAAACTGTACGGTTTGTTCTTTGGAATGGAGATGTAGTGGATTGGTGTGCGATGGTCTATGATAACGATGCCTTGGTGTAATGCAGAGCTGGAGGCATGTAGTGAAGATAGCGTGTTGCTGGGTCCACTTAGTTTCCGCACCGTGGACGTGGACGGGGCCAATTGGGTCGAGGACAGCGAGGAAGGATCATATTTAAGCACTGCAACCTTGGAGGGGAAGGATTACGATGTCGAATAGTACCTAATGCGTTGGATTTAGAGATAGTGATAAGATGAAAGCCTTCTAATCGGCGGAGACAACTTCGGCACTCGGCATCAATGGATAAAGTCCGCTGTCATGTCCTATATATGCTATACAGGATGGAATCCTTTCGTATGCTCACTCAGTGGCTTTTTGTAGGAGGAAACTTGCGTTCATGTATCATCATTGGTATCGTACAGACTCTACTCTAATTACTATGCATTGCTCAAACGCTCGAAACGCACCAGAGTTCCCATCCCCACTGTGCCAACTCGGCCACCTGAAGCCTGCAATTACAACCCCATATATCCAATCCAATAGAACAACCAAGACCACCCATCACCTCACCTCCTGCAAATCCGCCAACTGAGGAATCCTAATCTCCCTCGGTGGCGCCGGCGGCCCCGTCCCCGACCTCCGTCTCCTCTCCCTCTCATTCACCCCCTGCCCAGCCTCCAACCCAATACTCGCCTTGCGGAACTTGCCTCCAAGCCCACGCATCCAGTCCTCGCCCTCATCCGCACCGAGCCAATACACAGGCGCACCCTTCAGCATAATCCTTCCCAGCTTGCCCTTGAACCCCGCCCCCTCCTCCTTCCCCTCCTCGAACGGATTCTCCGCGAGATTCGCCGCCCCCGCCGTCGTCTGCATGTTGGAATCGTACCAGCCGGCCGACGCAGTGGTCGCAATGTGCTGCCGCAGGCACTGTCTCGCAAACGCCAACATGACAAACACGAAATACACCCTGAGAGCCCAGAACCCGACAATCATGGAAATACTCATGATGCTGCCGGACTGGAACACGGCACCGCCCAAGCCCGCGCTGCTGGCAGCTCCCGCCCCGACGCCGGCGGCTACGGCTTCCTGGCCCGATGGCAGACCGCTCGCCGGCGCGGCGATGACTTCGACTTTCGACACGTTGAACTGGGGACTCGTGAAGCCTGCGTTTTCGGAGATGGTGGCTGCGCCGGGGGCTTTTGAGTCGCCGGGATGTTGCGCCAGGAGGGAGAACCACGCGATGCCGAAGATGGCCGTGTACAGCGCATTCACCACCGAGTCGAAAGCGTACAGGTGCGCGAGGAGCAGGTTCGGGAACGGCGTCTGCAGTTTGATGTGTTTTGCCAGGAGGAGCGTGGCGAGGAAGGCGAGGGCGGAGTAGAGGTACATGCTTAATTGGAGGGCGGTGAGATGGGCGCCTGTTAGCAGCGCGAGGAGTCCGAAGAATCCGGAGACTTTGTTGATCAGTTGGAGGTACGTGATTATTTCGGCGCCTGTGCGGAGGGAGAGGATATGGAGGAATGTCTTTGTGGGGGGAAGGGTTAGCTATGTCGATGAAGGGGTCGCGTGCTGTAGAGACGTACCCGCGGACGCGGAATCTCCAGGAGAGAGAGAGGCATGGTTGGTGTTTTGAAACAGGAGCTGGTGTGCGCTGGGTTGCGCGCTCCCTTGTGTGCGTGTGTTTCGTCCTGGTGCGCACGGTTGCTGTCGAATCGAGGAGTTGAAGTCGGACTGAGGAGGTGTGAGCAGTGAAGCGTGCGACAAGGGAAGATGGGGCGGTAAAGACCACGCTAAGCCCCTTTCTTCCAAGACCCGGCCGAGATTCGTACGCGTCACGTGCCAATTAATTCACCTTCTCAAATACTGACTCAGCGAACAATGTACGGAATGCGCATATTAGAATGTTACAGATTCATTGACACCAGCCTTAAACCGTAAGCGAAAATGTATGTATATAACACTTACATCACTGCGTCTATATCGATTCTCCCTTTTCGACCAAGGCCGTTGGATGAGAGGGTCTCGAAGGACTCAACGTTTTATAAGGGGAAAAGAGGAGATAAGCCGCATGGGGGCTCTATCCTAGCACTTCATAAACATCCCTTAACTGCATAGGGAAACGCATGTATGTAGAGTCTAGTAATCATTGTATACTGCAATTCATCCTCTTAGGCTAGGTAGCCAAAGTAGAGTCGTGCGAGTACTCAAGGGTTTACGAAGTCAGAATAGGATATATGACATTTAAGAGCTATGTTTGAGATTGCAGGCAATGACCTTTGTCTAAGTAGGGAAGTAAATGTTCGTAAAATCCGAGTAACTGCGCATATGCCATCTTATCCTGTTGGTATACGAAGCTGAAACGGAGAAGTACGGAACATTAACCGTGCCAAAGAGGAGGAACAGAGAAGAGACAAAGAGAACGACTCCGAGAAAGCCATAACAATTCCATAACGGCAGCTTAGTCGATATCCTAAACCTCAATGATGTATAGACCAGAGCTCTGTACTCACACCACCCCTACCATCATAATCACCATCACAAACCCCACACACCCCAGCAGCATCTCGAAAAGAGTCTAATATTGGAGGACTACTTAATCATAGCTATCATTGGGGGGGTATACAGCTCCCTTCCAGCACGCAAACAAAAACACAAAAACAAAAACAGAGCAGACCAGCCACCTCCCTCCCAACACCTCAACACCAGAACGCTCTGAAAACAAAAACAAAAAACAGAAACAGAAACAGGTAAGCTTTCCCCCCCTCCACATATTCCCACCCCCCCCTCCACCCTCCCCCCTCTCCCCCTTCCTCAACCACCTCCTCCTCACGGGGCAGGCTCCCCGTGGAGCCTCACCCGGTAGAGGCAGGTGTATTCCTTGCCCCAGCTCCTCTCCACCCTCACCATCGCCCTCTGTACGGGCTTCGTCAAAAGGCCATCCAGGCCAAAGGTTTGTACGTGGTTTTCGCCGTGGACATTGTAGGCGAATTTCCCCAGGCAGACCCAGCCCTCTGGCCCCTCGCTGCATTCGCGGACCCCAGCACCGCGCTCATCCGACTGCACCCAGAGCTCTATGTCGCGCGGAGCGGTGCTGGAGTCCAGCGAGGCCTGCTTGGGGAGGTGCTCAATGGTGACTTGTGACGGGATCATTGGGTGCCCGAGGATGACGGAGAGTTGTGCCTGGCCCGGGGTGGATGTGGAAGGGGCTGCGCACCAGCAGTCGCCGGGTTCTTCCCAGTTCTGGAGGGCGGCCATGGGAGGGAGGCGGCGGGTGGATTTGAACAAAGCCTTGTTGTAGGCCCAGGATTTCCAGGTGGCGGGCGGTGAGTATGTGGAGGATGTCTGGTAAGGGTCGACACGGGCGCCTAGGCCGGGAGAAAAGTAGTTGACTTTGCGGAGATTGAGCTCGGTGTTGGCGAGGAGGTTGGCCAGGGCGAGAGATTCAATGCGGAGTTCGTCGAGGACGATGTTGCGGCTTGCGTCTTTGGCGATGGTCTTGGACATGACTTTGACGGCTTCGGAGACTTTTGTGTCGATGAGGGAGGAGAGCTTGGCGTATTCAGCTCGCATCATGTTCATGAGTTCGTCTTGCCAGACAATTCTGAAGCTGTTTTTGAGAGGGGATTTCTTGATTTCATCGTCCATGAAGCGCAGAATCTTGGCACGGTTGTGTTCGAGGAAGGCGTTCCATTCGGAGACGGTAGAACTGTCGCTCAGGCCTTCGGCTTGCATCTTGCTGGCAATAGCGCGCCAGAAGTCATCGGGAATGGAGAGAGTGCCGTCGGGACCGCGGGTAGCGAGAACTGCGGTGGGAAGCTGGCGCTTGAACTCTTCGAGTGTGGCTTCGAAGCCGGTCGACTGCTTTTCCATGACAGCAGTCTTGTCCTCTAGCCTAGCAACTCTGTCCCAAAAGTAGTCGTAAAGAGGATCTCCGGGCTTCCTTCCATTACGGTCGCGACCGGGAATGATGGTAGAAACAGGAGGAGCCTGGACAACAGGAGGCTGGATGCGAGATACGAGACCATTCCAAGTGTACGCGGTTCGAGACGCGACAGCTCCGAGCATTCCATGGTTGTAAGAGGAGTACATCAGGTAACAGAACAGAACGGCACCAGCAACGGCGAAGAAGCCTTTGGCCGTGTGGACAAGGAAAGACCTAACGCTAGGGATTGAATCGCGCATGGTAGTCTTGATTTGGTCGTCTGCACGTGCACGAGCATGGGAGCGATCAGCAGGAGCGGCAGTAGTACCCGCAGAGGCCGCACCCTGTTGACCGAAGCGATGGGCTCCCTGAGCGGCTTGAGGACGACTGGCGATTCCGCCTTGAGAAAGAGGCTGAGCGCGCTGGCTGGCCGTGCTGAACAAAGGAGGAAGGGGACGCCTCTGAGCTGCCAATCCAGCAGTGTTGCGAGCGATGGGTGTGATACCGTAGCTGGAGGAGGCGCGAAGACCGTTGACTGGGGTAGGACGGCCAAAGAGCATGCCGGCCTCGTGCTCCATTCCGTACGACTTGGAGGTGTCCAAGGCAGAGGGGGTCTCGGGTTCTTCTTCCTCCTCCTCGACGACCTGAGAGCGGTTTGTGACTTTGCCATTCAGAAGCGCGGGGGTCTGGGACTGCAAGTGAGAAGGCGGGCCATGCGCAGCAAGCTCCTCGGGGACTTCGTTGTTGTTGTCATGATCAGGGCGGTCGGCTTCATCGCGCGTTACCGCCGTGTCGCGCTGAGCGTCGAATGCCTGAGCGAAACCCGTCACCGGGACGGAGAGCTGCTCGGCGGCACCGACGCGGCTAGAAGAACCATAGGCATGAGACTCGCGAGCCTTGGCCTTGGGAAGAGTGCCCTTGCGGCGATTGCCCGCCCTGGAGGGAGTCGCGGTGGTGGTAGCTACCGATTGCACGGACGCGGACCCAAGACGAGCGGAGCGACGAGGAGTAGGACCAGTCTGAGACGGACCAGGTTGAGTGGAATTCATGGTGACTCTTTGTATTTTGATGAAAGAGTCGACAGAGGATGATGTTGAGTTGTCGCTATCAGATAGCTGGAGAAGGCGTAAGAGGAGGTTGACAAATCGAGAGAGGATGGGAGAAGAACTTGGGAAAATGTCGGGGAGAGCAAAAAACTTATAAGGCCGCTATTGACGCTGGTGGACAATATGATTGTAGTAGTGAAGAATAGGAAGAGGAGGACGCGACAATAGGACGTATATGCACTGTCAACAGATGATTAAGCCGAGCGGAGGCCAAGATGCCCGGGCCGCCAACTTGACTACAATCGAACGACAACAATGACATTGAAGGAGATGCAGCACAATAGAAGACAGCAGCATCAATAATAATCCAAGAGAATTAGGTGAGGGCCGAAGTTTGGAAGGTGCAGGCGCCAAGGTGGTGAAAGTGAATCCAAGTAAGAAGTCCAACTTACCAACGAATCCGAGGAAGTCATTACCCACACTGTCCAACCACGCACAACTCCAAATACGTAAGAATAATAGTTCTTTCAGGGTATACAAGATTATGCTGGGGAGCAGCTTTATCAACACGTGGTAGAAAACGCAGCTTCAAGACTCGACGCGTCGAGCGCAGACGCTATTCGTAAGAGGCGCAGGAACAGAAAAGACGGAAATGTTTCAAAGAACTGACCACGCTCATCTTCCCGGAGCCTGGATGTTCCAGTTCCAGTTCAGGCGGTGCAGCGAAGTTGAGAGTTGACAAAAGTATGATGGACAACGTTGAAGTCTGATGAATGCGCGTTGTCAAGAAGAAGACGGGAACAGGGGGTGATGGGCTGGAAGCGGTAAACTAAGCGAGACCAAACAAGTCCTTCAGATGGCACATAGAGGAATGCTTTCATCTTTGTAGTGCCGGACGGGCGAGCATCAAAGCGGATTACTAATGCCTTCATGTACGGCATGCCTGAGGGGAAGATAGCAAAGTGCAATAGAGTGTAATGAAATATCTATAGCATCTGTGTACTGTGTATAGCGAGGACGGACCATGCCTGTCTTCTCCTAAACGCGGAGTCTAGTCCGCTTCAAGTAACCGTTCCGCATATATAGAAGTGGCGGCCTCCGTTTCGCAACATCTCGACGGTAGCACTTGTCACGGTGGCATTCTTCAACCTCGCACTTCCACCTGTCTCTAACCTTTACCAGACACATCTCCTTCGAATCAGCGTCTTCAGCAAACCCAATTCGCAATGGTCGTCGGATCGGTCCTCGTCACTGGGTACGGTACATTCTAAACCATCCCCCACTATGTCTCATCTAACCATCACAGTGGAACAGGCTACATTGGCTCCTTTACGGCCTTGGCTCTTCTAGAGGCCGACTACAAGGTCGTCATTGTTGATAATCTCTACAACTCTTCAAAAGAAGTCATCAACCGCATTGAGCTCATCTGCGGAAAACGCCCAGTGTTTTATGAATTGGATATCACGGATGAGGCCGCTCTCGACAAGGTGTTTGACGAGCATCCGGACATTGACAATGTCATCCACTTCGCTGCATTGAAGGTAATCCGGTGCTCGAAGCATGGTGAGTAACCTGCTAAATGATCCAACAGGCCGTCGGAGAGTCTGGGGAGATTCCTCTGGAATACTATCGCGTCAATGTTGGAGGCAGCATCTCGCTCCTCCGATCCATGACTAGGCACAATGTCACCAACATTGTCTTTTCGTCTTCTGCGACTGTTTATGGCGACGCTACACGCTTCCCAAACATGATTCCCATTCCGGAGCACTGCCCCATTGGCCCCACCAACACCTATGGACGCACCAAGTCCACTGTGGAGTTGATCATTACCGATCACATTGAAGCACAGCGCAACAATGCCCGCAAGGCTGGCACGTCCGGAGAGCAGTGGAACGGTGCTCTGTTGAGATACTTCAACCCTGCTGGTGCTCACCCCAGTGGTATCATGGGCGAGAACCCTCTGGGTGTCCCGTACAACCTCCTTCCCCTTCTCGCTCAGGTCGCAATCGGCAAGCGGGATAAGCTTCTCGTGTTTGGAGATGGTGAGTCCGCGCGCTCCGTACTAGGCTTCAGCATTGACTCCCTTCAGACTACAAATCGAGAGACGGAACTGCCATCCGAGACTACATTCACGTGCTCGACCTCGCCAAGGGCCATCTAGTGGCACTGAATTACCTCCGTGAGCACCACCCGGGCGTCAAGGCATGGAACTTGGGTTCAGGCCGCGGCTCAACTGTTTTCGAGATGATCAAGGCGTTCAGCACGGTGGTCGGTCGCGACCTCCCCTATGAGGTGGTGGAACGCCGGCAGGGCGACGTCCTGGATCTCACTGCCAACCCTTCCCTGGCGAACCAGGAGCTCAAGTGGAAGACGGAGCTCACTCTGGAGGATGCATGTGCGGATTTGTGGAAGTGGACGAAGAACAACCCGGAAGGCTACAATCAAGAGCCTCCCAAGGAGTTCGTTGATGCTCTCAGGAATTAACTGAGCACGGCGAGACAGACATGAGCCATGATGATGCCCGTCGAGGCTACCAAAAACGTTCATAATAATGATGTGCATAATCAAATGGATGAGACCGATGCGGTTGGGAATCGTGGCTTGTTCTAAGTGTGGCTGACTGTGGCGCATGTGCCCCTCCTGTGAATTTTGTTGCAAGGTGCATGAGAGTCAACGGCGGCCATGAGTATCCGCAGAGGTACCTCCGTCTTACGCTCTCTTACGAAAACCCACAACCAGCTCTCGCTCTCGACTCCACCGGTGCTGCGGCGAGCATATCTTCCAACGTGCGCAATCCCACAACTTCGAACCGCATCTTCCACCACCAAGAACTCCCTGGTCCACTTCTTCACCCCACTTCAGCCCGCGCGTGTCAACTTCTTCCAACCTACAGTGCCCAGAATGGCGACGGCAAAGATGGACGAGGGATTAATCACGTACCTAGAGTGCCACGCGCCGAATGACGCCTTTGAAGCATCGGACCCCGTGAAGGCATCTCAATTGCTCTTCCCACAAGTCACATATACGGACGCCGAGAAGGCGGAGATCGCTCAATGGGTCACTACTGCTTCGCACCTCGGATCGAATGTACGTCGATACCCTCAGGAAATCATGCGGACCTTGCTATTCGTCTTGAACCCCCTACTAACATATCTCCCCAGTCCGAAGGCGCTGCCAAAACCAACGAACACCTGTCAGCACTCAACACGCACCTCGCGAGCCGCACCACCCTTCTCGGTTCGAAGCCCTCGGTCGCGGATATCGCCGTCTACCTGAAGCTCGCGCCCATTGTGTCCAAGTGGAGCGCCGAGGAACGGACAGGAGAGCGAGGATATCATCACATCGTGCGGCATGTGGACTTTGTGCAGAATTCCTCCAAGTTCGACTTGAAGCTGGACGAGAGGGTGGATATTGACGTGGACAATGTCGTCTTCAAGATCAAGCCTATTGATGCCAAGGCAGAGAAAGAGCGCAAGAAGAAGGAGAAGGAGGCTGCTGCGAAGAGCGCAGCTGCGGCTGGCGCTACGCCGACGACAGGCACGGGGGAGCAAGGGGCGGAGGAGAAGAAGAGCAAGAAGGAGAAGGTTAAGGATAAGGCGCAGGCTGTAGGCGAGACTGTAGCGTCTAGGGTAGCCGGGAAGGCCGGCCCTCCCGAGGGTGCGCCTACGCAGAAGAAGGAGAAGAAGCCGAAGCAGGCCAAACCGCAGAAACCCGCCCCGTAAGTCCATCACGCTGCTTTCCGATATCTCAAAAACTAACAAGACTACAGTGTCGAGAAGCCACTGTCACCCGCCCTCATCGACCTCCGAGTCGGCCACATCCTCAAAGCCGAGCGACATCCCAATGCCGACTCACTGTATGTGAGCACCATCGCCTGCGGAGACGCGCCGGGCACGGAGAACACGCACGAGTACGAGGGCCAGGTTGTGCGGACCGTGTGCTCTGGTCTCAACGGCTTGATCCCCCTGGAGGAGATGCAGAACCGCAAGATTGTGACCGTGTGCAACCTCAAACCCGTGACGATGCGGGGCATCAAGTCTTGCGCCATGGTGCTTGCCGCTTCCCCGAGGGTTGCGGAAGGGGAAGACAGCCACAAGGGCCCCGTTGAGCTGGTCAACCCGCCCGCCGACGCGAAAGCGGGAGACCGCGTGTACTTTGAGGGATGGGAGGGCGAGCCCGAGGCGGTGCTGAATCCGAAGAAGAAGATCTGGGAGACGATCCAGCCTGGCTTCACCACGACGGATGCGCTCGAGGTGGGATTCAATGTGGGGGATGTGCCGCAGCTGTCAGGCGAGGGTGCGGACAAGAAGACTGGAGTGGCCAAGTTGAGGACGGCAGCTGGTGTTTGCACAGTGAGCACGCTGAAGGGCGCGACGGTGCGATAGTCTTCGTGTTGTACAGATGCTCAAAGCTATAGAGGCACGATGTCGTCATTAGCGGAGACGTCGTATTGGATGCACAGCATATGCAAGCACAAACCACCTGAATAAAAATATTCGCAAGCAAACAAAGCTCTATTCTCGAAATGCAACAAATGGATATGGGACAGATGTTTGTAGTCACATTCCAAGGCTTTCCCCGGACTCCGTCGTTGCGTCGTGTTGTTTGCTGCCTACAGCTTGCCCCGCGTTCCCTCCGGAAAGCTGTACAAAAAGATGGAGCTCCCACGCATCCCTTTCCCTCTCCAACCCACAAACTCCAGCTTTCCTCTCCATAAAAACGAAAATCCCCCTTGATACCCAAAGTGAAAAAGGAAACAGCCAAAATGGCAGACGACCAATCCCCCGACTGCCCACCCACAGCCAAGCGCTTCATCCCACTAGGTTCGTCCACACACTCTCACCACGACGAACCATGGAAAGAACCCGGCCCTGATTTACCCCCACAGAAAACAACCCCGAAGTAATGACCACACTCGTCCACAAACTAGGCCTCTCCCGCACCCTCGCCTTCCACGACGTCTACAGCATCGACGAGCCGGACCTCCTCGCCTTCGTGCCGCGACCCGCCTACGCCCTGCTCCTCATCTTCCCCGTCTCGGAGACGTACGAGCGGTTCCGCGTCGCCGAAGATAAAGAGCGCGAGGAATACAAGGGTTATGGGGAGGGGGAGGAGGTGGTGTGGTATAAGCAGACGATTGGGAATGCGTGCGGGTTGATTGGCTTGTTGCATGGGGTGTCGAATGGGGCGGCGAGGGGGAAGATTGGTATGTAGAGTCTCTCTTTTGCCTTTCTCTCTGGCTTTGTCTCTGTCTCTCTTGTCTTCCCTCTCTCTAAGTAACCTAACAAAATCCCAGAGCCAAACTCCCCCCTCGCCAACCTCCTGCAATCCGCAATCCCCCTCCCACCCCCCTCCCGCGCAACCCTCCTCTACGAATCCCAAGCCCTCGAGTCGGCCCACCAGGAAGCCGCTGCGGGGGGCGACACATCCGCTCCCTCAGCCGACGACAGCATCGACCTGCACTACGTCTGCTTCGTCAAATCCGACAAGGACCACCTGTGGGAGCTGGATGGGAGGCGTAAAGGTCCGATCGATCGCGGCGAGTTGGCGCCCGACGAGGATGTGTTGAGCCCGAGGGCGCTGGAGCTGGGGGTTAGGAGTTTCCTGAGGAGGGAGGAGGAGGCGGGCGGTGGCGAGTTGAGGTTTAGTTTGATTGTCTTGGCCGAGTCGCTCGAGTGAATGGGGTACCTTTTTTTTCAAGAGGGTCGGTATTGGGGACGACACATTGTACGGGGTAATGGTCGATACGGGAGACGTCTGGCTGCTACCCTTTGGATGAAGCTTGGATGAAGGGTTCCAATCATATAAGGGACCGCCATGAATCCGCGGCGAAGGTGTCTGCCGCAGTGGCTATATCCCGCGTTGGTGTCTCAGCTATAGACAGGCGAGCGTCGAATAGCAGACAGAGAAGCTGATCCATCACGCATCTGGTTCGGGCGGCCCAGAAGAGGGATCATATATCTACTTGGTTCGGAGAAGGCGGAAAGAAATATGGTGTATTCAGCCCCTTCGCCCGCATTCCCAAATCAGCCATATAAACAGCCCTTCTCTAACCCCTTCCTATGCCCCATTCCCAATCAAATTACCAATGGAACCCATGAAGCCATTTTCCAGAGTTCCGGGCCTTCCAAGAAGAAGATGAAGTATAAAGATGCAACGAAAACGAAACCGTACCTAAGAGTCCCTCGTCTACTCCCATGTAAACCCCGTACATAATCATGACAAATCGTAAACATATAGCGTAGGTCCGTAGCTCATGACATCATACTTGTCCATCGTATCCTGATCCCAGATTGTCTCTCTGGGGTAGAATAGGAGAGATTGAAACAGAACAGCAGAGGAAGCGAAAAGAAGAAACGTCTGGTAGATCGACAAGAATAACAAGGGAAGCGAAAATCATCTCGAGTAGGGCTTGTTCATGAGAGCAATCTCTCTTGCTATCGTAGCCCACTCGAGCTCTCGACGAAGCGGCAATTTGCGTCGCAGACGCTGATATTCTTCCCATTTGAGGAGTTCATACCTGCTCAAGTTAACTTTCCGCTATTCGAGGTACTTTTTTTGTTGGTCAGAACGTACGTGAAGCGAAGGTGGGGTTGGATGATGACGTTGAGCCTTCGTGCTCGTACAAAGCAGCTGCGTCGAGGTTAATCAGGACTGCATTTGATTTCCCCGGAAAAGAAGGAACTTACTAGGCCCTGGGAAACGAGAGACCCAGCTCGTTCATGACTTCGGCGATGCAGATTGTTGCGGAACGCGAGACGCCTACTCTACAGTGCACCAGCGTTGCGCCACCATCAGCTTTCCCGGCCTCTGCAAAGCAGTCAGCATGCACCGCAACCATGCGTCAGGCGATCCGACCCACCGATGAATTTGAGGCACCGGCCGAATTCGTTCCAAAGAGGATCCACACCGTTATCTTGCACCCCGTCCACCATCATCAGTTTCTCACTGGGCCACTGCAGTTTCTCCTGGACATCCTCGGGCCACGTGAGGGATTCGCCCACACTCAGGATCTGAGTGATGCCCAGCTGGCGGAGTACCTAGAATCAATTAATCTCAAAGACATAAAAATGTAGATACTGTTAAGAATATACAGAAACAGAGACTGGCTCTGCATGATTTGCCGTCCCTGTGTTTCTCCGGAGGAATATGTACTTGCCTCTGGGTTGTTGGCATGTAACAGGTTGCCGAGATAGAGATAGGGAAGAATTCTGCTCGGTAAGCTGCCGTCCAGATTGGCCATCCATTTCGGTTGGCGTAGTTCGAGGACGTTTCCTTTCCATTTTGGCGACTCTTGAAGGATGCGCGGTTCGATCTGGGAGAGCAGCGAGACGTCGGTCGGGTAGGCGAAGAAGTTGCGTCTCTTGTCTCTATGCAACTGGACCCAGGCTTCATGGGCTTGGACCCTTTCGGCGTACATGTAGTAGGCGAGAGCAAGGAGCGAAGTTTCCGTGTAGCCATCCGAGCAGTGGAGGAGGAGCTTCCTTGCGGGCGCCATGTCGTTGAGTTCAATAGCCTCATCGTCCTCATCCCTCCTTCGCTTGCTTCGCCTGACGTCTTGAGGGTTGGCCAAGTTGTAGATCCACCTGCACGTTGCCAACAGACCGTCCACCTCGGCATGAGACCAAGACGGCGGCAGTATATTTCCCGAGGAAGGGAATTCGAACTGGACACGCTTGTCACCTTTTTGAAGCCTCTTTTCAACGTATTGCATCACGAGAGCGTCCGGGATCTGAGCGCAATCACTTGCTTCGATGAGAACATCAAAGTCGTGCTCGCCCCAGGCATCGCACTTGATAGTGGGGTCTTGCGAGGGGCCTAGGAAGACATTGCGGCTGATCTCGGATGCTTTGGACATGGTGCACATCTCATACCGTTCCCAGTAGCCTGTACTGTTTAGCACAAAGTAGAATGGTCGGAAGAAGATGGGCACACACATAAATCGGAAATGTTGCCCGTCAGTTGTCCCAGCTCATCAACGGCAACTAATTGAGGATGCTGCTTGTGCACGTCGCTAAAGGAATCTGGTGCATGGGTGAGCTGGATATCGCGAACAGGAGCAAACAGACCATACCCGCTAAAATGAAGGTGTTGTACAAGCCTTGGGGCAGGCTATTGGTCGCCTCAAACAGCCTCTGGGCCCTTGAGATTCTTCTGGCCAGGGCGGCGGTCTCGCTCGTCGGTGTGTCGTCGTCTCCATAAACGATGATATCCGACACCATGGCCAATTTACAAGCCTGGATTTGGAAGTTGCGAACCGAGAATCCGTCTCTGGGGTCGCATTCCAGAAAGGCATCGCGGCCTACGGGGGAGGAGGCCAAGAGTTCGTCAGGGGCAATGGCGCCCCTCAGCCTTGAGGTGGACAGGTCGCCTCTAGCCTTGACGATGGTGATGCTGCGAAGACATCGTGGGACCCTTCGGACGCTCCTTCGGCGAGCTACAAAGAAGTTGAGTTGGACCTGGTTGTCGGCGTGCAGTCCATGGAGCCAGGGGAATACCTTGTCGGGATCGGGTAGAGGTTGGGAGAGCATGTGCTCGAGGGCAGCCAGCAGCTTATCGGCAGTGATTGTGTAGAGGGGCGGATCGCTGGAGAAGAGGTCGTATCGTAGGGTGGGAGGGTGCAGGAGCGACGAGGGGTGGGTAGCGGGATCCTTGGTAGGAGGGGAGGAAGGCGGAGTGTCGAGTGGCTGTACTGGGACGGGGCTTGGTGGGCATAGGGGTATGTGCTTGTTTGGAATGGCAGAGGGAGCACTACGGGCGGAGGTATTCAGGTTGAGTTGAGGGGGCGGAGACGAGGAGCGACTGGAGATGTGCAGTACCCTCGCCACGGCAGTTGCCATGGTGGGTGGTGGTGATGGTGGTGGGGTGACGTTTTGGAGGGAAGCTGCTGGCAAGCCAAGTCAGTGAGGTGGGAGTGGATTGATGAAGTGTAGCACACACAGCCAAGGGTGAATTGAGGCGAAACCTACCAATACAGCTCGAGGATCTTCCAGCTCAGACTGATGTTTGTTGTTGATGAGCACGCGACTGTTTAACAGGTACGGAGACGGGAAGGGAGGCGATACGAGGCGGCAGGAAGGTGCGATATCTACAGGGCAATGAGGGTTGCAAGGAACATGGAGCTGAGCAGCATGGTGTGTACAATTGGAGAGGCAGAGGGGAGAAGGGAGGAGACGAGATGAGAAGGGTAGAGTGAGTACAGCCTCACATGTTGGGGGGAGCAGCGGGAAGAGAAGAAGCTTGCAAGGTCGAGGGCGAAGAAGGGGAAAGGCGTGGTGATACAGAGCTGGCCCAGGGAGAGGAGAGTCGATAGATGGTCGACCGGCCCCGCATTAGTGGCTATCTCCAGCCATCGTGATTGGCACAGGCCAGCCGTTTGTTGCTCAGGCTCAAAGGCTCCACTGGGCTCCTCGGATGTGTCCACGCCGCTTGCCCCGTTGCACCGCGAGGCTGCAGTGCGCCCCCCCAAGCTTCAAAACTGCTTTTCCTTTCCCATCGTTTCTCCTCCGGGAGCAGCTGGAGGTGAGGCGCAGCTTTCGTGAGTTGCATCAATGTCGGTTTTGGTGTCGTGCCTATCTTATCGATAGGGGAAGGATCCGAACCATCCGATAGCAGCGATAAGCTTTGCCGGCAGTCTAGAAGCGGGGCCATGTCCTCTCCCAGTCCCAGGCTAAGAGCACGCCAATATTGCATCCTTTCTTCCCCGGTTGGAGCATCCTCTGCAATCTCCATTCTCCTCCATTGTGGGCGGATGGAGAAGCTTGACGAGCATGGAGAACAGTACAGCCTTGGACCGTCTTCCAGTTTTGGTCGACAGGGCGAATAAGAGAAGCTTTGGGAAAACGTGCAATTCTGGGTAGCCTTTCCCCACAATCCACCATACCGTGATAGTCGATGGTCGGCTCCCCCAAGACATGGATGGCCTGGCGTGCCCAAGCCAGCTCTGTCGATCCTGCTCCACCCTGCCTGCTGACTTACCAACGTCATCAATTGGGAAGTCGACACTGATGGAAAGAGGCGGATTCCTGACCATGATGAGTACACCATGAAGAAAAGGGAAAAAGAGAGAAGGGATAAAAGGATCCTCGCTGCAATTGACCGTGGTAGAGGCCACAACGAGAAGTGACTGTAGACATTGCGAATCTTGCAAGTGGCCTGCGCAATGACCGTCTCGCCTTGCGCTTCTGTGCTGCGTTAATCGCCGGGAAACCGAGAACCGGGAAAAAGATGGAAAGTCAAAGCCCTCAATGATTCGCCGACGCCAAACTCCTGTGCTTGCGTGAGCCTGCTTGTTTCGCCACCATCCAGCAGTCATCACTTCTCCTCACACAACCCCCATCTCCAGCTCCAAGCCATTGCTGTTGAGTAGCTCGTCCATCCGTGATCGCTGGACCATGTTCGCGTCCCCGCCCTCCTGCTCCTTCAGCAGCACTGCGAGCACCTCAATGGGCGGATTCAGCTTCAGTCGATGCGCACGTTGCCAACGTCTCAATCGCGAGATGCCGACGCATGGCTGTAGCGTTCGTGTCCTGTTAGCCTGCATCCGATCCTCCAAGCGACCACGTTCCCAGCCATGCATTGCATGCGTGTAGGAACAGCCATCCACTTACCCCGTAGTGGGAGCTCATGTCAAACTCCCGCAATATCTTCTCATGCACGCTCAGGTCGTCCTGATGCACCCGCGCTGCCCTGCGACTCTTCTCCTTCTCCGCCCAGTATTGTTTGATCCTCTTCTCGGTTATCTTCCGCGCCTCAATCTCCTCCGGTGTGCTCGCTGGCTGCTCCTTCACAGCCGACTTCGCCGGTTTCTCCACGACAGTCGGTTCGAAATGAGGCGACTTGAGGACGTCACCCCTCTCGGCCTCCTGCTCAACAGCGCTCTTCTTTACATCGGACAAGTTCTTCTTAGCAGTCTGTGCTCGTGCCCCGGATTTTGTGACCTTGTTCGACGACCCATGGAACGCTAGTGTCGATTGCTTCGCTGTGCGGGCTGTGCCCGAAGCCTGTCGCTTCGGCGGCATCGTGACAGTTGCGAATATTTCTATGTCTCAAATTATGCGGTTCGATAATATGGCATGAGGAATATAGAGGTTTGGTTGGTTGCTCGACGTGTGGTGAATCTGCATGTGTGAGCCTGGAGAGTGACCTCACGATGCACAGACCAAAGCTTGGCATTTTCGTTGACCTGGGAACACGCGAGACGCGCTACCATGTGACTTCGCAATTCACAACGCGTCCGCCTGGGACGCTGTTGGTTTTCCTCTATTGTCCACTTCGCATGCATCACGTCCCACCCCATCTGAACTATCTCTAGCGCCACATCTGTTCCCTTCATCTCGCTGCACTGACTAACCAGCTTCCAAGGTTCTGTTAGGCTGCATCTCAACGGAGTCCGGCGACTGCATAGACATCATGACTTCTACGACCCCTCCGGAAATCGCGGCACACGCCGAATCCCTCATTCCCAAATTCCAATTCACACGACTTCTCAACCAAGACCAAGCCGGCCGGCGTATATCTCTTCTGGGAACCATTGAGTCCCAGCCTGCCCTCTTGACCGCAGAGCGTGCTGCATTTGCCATTGACAATGACCACCTCATGTCCTTCCCTACTTCGCTCTCTACCATCAAGAACCTCGGTGCTAATGACATCTACCACTGGTTCCTGGCGTCCTCTCGCACCTCACAAGACGACACGCGCTCCCAACCGCCTGACCTGAAGCTCAACCTCATCTATCCATGCACAGAGCAGCACATCAAGAAGTATTCCGCCCAAGGCTTGCGCATGGTGACCGAGACGCCTTCCATCTACGCCTCTTACATACGGCCGTTTATGCAGCAGAAGCGGGAGCAAGGGCGCCTCAACTGGGTCTTCAACATCCTCGAAGGCCGCACTGAGCAGGAAGACGTCATCTACCGCGAGCATGGTGACGAGGGCTTCTTGCTCCTCCCCGACCTGAACTGGGACCGGAAGACCATTTCGAGCCTCCACTTGCTAGGCCTGATAGAGAGGCGAGACATCTGGAGTGTTAGAGACCTGAAAAAGACACATGTGGGGTGGATCAAGCACATGCGGGAGAAGTTGCTTGATGCAACAGTGAAGTTGTATCCGGACTTGGAGAAAGATCAACTGAAGCTCTATGTGCATTGTAAGTCCCCGCGGCAACATTTGCTGGCATATCTTCAGCAGCAATCCCGAAGCCTTGCGATGCTAACAAACCTTCCCAGACCAGCCTACTTACTACCACTTCCACATCCACATCGTTCACGTCGCTCTCGAAGCCGGCTCAACACAGGCGACCGGCAAAGCCCTCGGCTTGGAGAATATCATCTCGCAGCTCGAGACCCTGCAAGGCGGCGATGACGCAGGCATGGCAGATGTGAGCCTAACGTATCATCTCGGAGAAGCGAGCGAGCTCTGGGAGAAGATTTACCTCCCTCTAAAGGAAGGACGAGAGGTTGTACTGTCCTAGACATCAGCATGTGGCACCTGTTTCGGAATGGAACTTCCCCGTGCCAATACGACGACGCATTTCGGCGCCACGATTTTCCGGTTGTGCACACATCCCCTGGCGATGAGATAGATTAACGCAGATGTTCCCTGAAAGATGAGGCTGGGATGAAGAGCTTGTTCCGACCTTCACCTCCCACAGGGCGAGTGCGGATACAACATTGGATGTACCATTCATGTCAACAGTCTGAACCTCCGACTGCCTAGCGAATGCCGACTAAGTGACTCTGCTTCCAGAACCCCTACGCATATTGCTCGCGTCAACTTATGCATGCAGGAGCGTTGGAGCACTCAACGGACTTAGTGACGCTCGGAAGGAGGGAACCATCCCGTATTCGGCGCTGGCCAATTCCTGTCTCAGGCGACCTCCTTGTCTTCTTCCCTTTACACACCACGATTTCCTCCTCTTACGCCCAACTCCCTCCATGGCTGCAGGATCAATGTGTCTCACTCTCAGACCCGCACTGAGCGGCTTATACAATATGCCAACTGCGTCGTTGTATTACTGACTTCTTTCTGCCCAGATTGCTTGCAGCTGTTGAGGCAAGCACCGATCGGTGCCCGCAGTTCCTGTCTGGATCCGGGCCTGAAATTGCAACTCATCATCCGGTTTCCTACGGATGCCATGCGATTGCAACAGCATGATCGTCAACCGATTTGTTGAGCATACTCGGTACAACAGAAGATGGACAATAATGCAGTTCGCGAGGCCGTTGCTTTCAATCGACTGACGATACCGGCCGCAGTACAGAGTGCCCCCACTCAGCAACGTTTCCAGCTCTGTCCAGTTACCTCAAGCAACGAGAGATCTGCTCCATTGCTGCATGCTGAGTCGACACAGCCCCTGATTTTGATTGTATTCGGGGAAGCTAATCCGCAGTGGCATGTATCGTGGCTCAGCACTATATTCCATAGGGTGTAAAGCGACCTTCGGAGCAGGTACGTCTTGGTACGTAGAAATACCTCACTTTCAACCGACCAGCTGATCCTTGGCCCTTATATATTTCTCACATCTTCCCCTTAGGACCCTTACTGGTTACACTAGATTGCGGTTGTAGTAATATATAAACCCCTGTCGAGGCTGACCATTCGCATTGCCATTCGCCAATTCATGAAGGCCATTTACGCGAACCTGGATACGACTTCCCACAACCCGTCCTGCGTGCTGAGCTTGCCTTGAGCCTCAGGTCGGGCGCGCTAATTTATATTGTCTGCACGCGTCCGACTTAGCCTGAAGTTTGCGTTGTTCAACGTTATCGCAGACCATGTTCCGCGGCAATGTGACGTCCATCCACCAATGTCCGGGATTCTCGCAAGTCATGCGCGGCACTACTGACTACTGGCGGACGGCTGGGTACGCTGGAGCATTCGTCTTGCCGGATTATACACAGAGGGAATCGCTATGGTCTTGCAAGTGTCGACTATGTTCTGTTCACCCCACGGCACAGTACATATCCTGACGTACGTCTAATATCAATCCTTGGACGGCGACGCAGACTGACTTCCGACCTTCTGGTCGACGCTGGACGATCTTATAACCTTTCGTTATAGTTTATGATACTACACAGTACACGGCATGACTCGCTGGAAACGTTCCCGTCTACTCCGGCACCCTCACCTCCCATGCCCAGTATCCACCACCACAACTGTTAGGAGGCTCCACACCATATACTATGCTCAATCTGGAGGTGGACCGCTTTCAACGTTACCCTGGTTGAATAGATGACATGTTTCCGTGCTGAATACTCTCATGTTAAGGCGCGCACCGAATGGCCTTCGCAAGGAGATCATGCCAACTTGGCGGAAGCGAAAGGTAGGGCGAAGAGGTGGCAGTGGTGCCTTTCTGGTCATGGTACCCGCTGATAACACAGAACTGATATGCCGTTGGATGCGCCGAACCCTTCACCAGTTACAAACAGCTCATAAAATCATCTAAGCCATAACACTATTTCCTGGAGTGGGTCAAGGGACTATACACTCATGACCTTCCGCATGTAGCAGAGTCCAGCTTCTAGAAGAAATTTGGAACTCTCGCATCCGGGTACGTAGTGATTACAAGCAGATTGGGCGAGCTAGTAACATCTCGCCTCGGAAAACAAGACTTGGGGCGTCGAGTGGAACTGTGAGGTTTCCAAGCGGATCTCGCTCCGGACGCCAGTCCGTCTCCGCTCCGGACGTTAAGTACCGAAAACCGTTTGTGGAGCCGTGAAACTACTCCGTAGCTTCAACCTTAATCATGCAGACCTTCACAAGCCACCGTCGACTTACACAGTACGCAGAGTACTGTTGGTCTATCCAAGCTCCATGAAGCTGAGGCGGAGTGGCGAGTAGCCACCACGGCGGCTAGCATATGTCAGTGATTGATTGCACGCCACATCGTCATTTACAGTGATCCCAAGCCCTTTACCCAGAATACCCCAGATGCTCGGGAGCCCTGCTTGTCTGGGGGCGTCACGTTACCCCCATTCTTCTAGAAGGCTACACCCCCAGGTCACGACGCACAGATCTCCGCATTTACCCCAGAATCTCTCCATCATGGAGACGATCTCATCTACATTCATTATTTCTTCACCCCATACTTTGCCAAACTTCCCGACGAGCCGCTACTGGCACGAGATTGGTGGCAATTCTTCTAGGCGGCCATGATGATTGGATCTACCTCAACGCTGGGGACCAAGGGTCTCACTTTTGATCTATCGAGGATGAAGACCGGCCGCAAGCACTGGCGTATATAAGGTAGCCATTCCCAAGGACCTCTGAGCTCTTCAACAGCATCCATCAGTTGTTCTTCCACCAGCAACCATGAAGGCCTTCACCCTCGCATCCCTCTCCCTTCTCGGAGCCGTCACTGCCCAGCAGGTCGGCAAGGAGCAGACCGAGAACCATCCCAAGCTGTCATGGCAGACTTGCACGGGTACCGGTGGAAGCAGCTGCCAAACCAAGCAAGCATCCATTGTGCTCGACTCCAACTGGCGATGGGTTCACGTCACCAGCGGCTACACCAACTGCTACACGGACAACACGTGGAACACGACCTCCTGCCCCGATGGTGCCACCTGCGCGAAGAACTGCGCCGTTGATGGTGCTGACTACTCTGGTACCTACGGTATCACGACCAGCGGCAACGCCCTTACCCTCAAGTTCGTCACCAAGGGCTCGTACTCCACCAACATTGGTTCCCGTACCTACCTCATGGAGTCGGATACCAAGTACCAGCTGTTCAACGTGATTGGCAAGGAGTTCACCTTCGATGTGGATGTCTCCAAGCTGCCTTGCGGTCTTAACGGCGCTCTCTACTTCGTCGAGATGCCTGCCGATGGCGGTATCAACAAGGGCAACAACAAGGCTGGTGCCAAGTACGGAACTGGTGAGTTGGTTGCATGCCGGCAGGCCTGAAACGGGTCTCCAAAGCTGACACTAAATAGGCTACTGCGATGCTCAGTGCCCCCATGACATCAAGTGGATTGAGGGTGCCGCCAACTCTGAGGGATGGACCCCGTCCGAAAACGACAAGAATGCCGGCAGCGGCAAGTATGGCGCATGCTGCCCGGAGATGGACGTCTGGGAGGCCAACTCCGTTGCCTCTGCGTACACTCCCCACCCTTGCAGCAAGAACGGTCTCACCAAGTGCTCTGGCACGGAGTGCGGTGACGGCGACGAACGCTATAGCGGTACCTGCGACAAAGACGGCTGCGATCTCAACGTAAGCTCTGCTACCCCCCTTCTGCACCAGGTTTTCCAACGCTGACTGACCATTCCCAGCCCTACCGCATGGGTAACACGGACTTCTACGGCCCCGGCGCCACCATCGACACGACCAAGAAGTTCACCGTCGTCACGCAGTTCATCGGCTCGGGCACCAAGCTCCAGGAGATCAAGCGCTTCTGGGTGCAGAACGGCAAGACGTACGCGACGCCCGAGACGACCTTTAGCGAGATTGGCGGCAACTCCATCACGGACGCGTGGTGCGAGAAGCAGAAGACGCACTTTGGCGACAACAACCACTTCAAGCAGATTGGCGGCCTCGCCAAGATGGGCGAGTCGCTCGCCCGCGGCCACGTCCTCGTCATGTCCCTCTGGGACGACCACGCCGTCAACATGCTCTGGCTCGACTCCACCTACCCCACCGACGCCGACCCCAGCAAGCCCGGTATCGCTCGCGGTACCTGCCCGACCGACTCGGGCAAGCCTGAGGATGTCGAGACCAATGCTCCGGACTCGCAGGTCACCTTCTCCAACATCAAGTTTGGTCCCATTGGCTCGACTTTCAAGGCTCTGTAAGCGGTTTTGACGATGGAGGGCAGGAGGAGATTTGGAAGGGGGTATAGATGGGGGCATGAGGATGCTTCGTTTTGGGGAAGCTGAGATGAAGCTTTTCTCGAATCCTTTCTTCTGTGAATATTTTTTGAGGTGGAAACATGTAGATAGATGAGTGCGGAATATGATATTTGTGAAAATCAGTCGCTTTTGCTTCTGCCGTGGTGATTGGAGATGTGCTAATTAATGATACTCGGTCGAGGCTAGTTAAGATGCTTCCAGTATGTCTAACGCGGACATACTGGGAGTGAAGTGGGTGCCGTCCAGTTTTGGAATTCAGGCTCCCTTGTGAGATGGAGTTGCCGCTGACAATAGACCCCGTAGGAACATTTGATCCCCGGTAGCATGGACAACATCTATAGTGCCGGTCAGGAATTTTGATTTCCTTCTTCTCTGGTTCTTATCGGCCCTGGAACTGAGATTGAATTCATGGGCATGACATAAAATGACAAATTAGGCAGTACAATGATATACACATGAACTGTATTTCCATGCCTTCCCTCAGACAGATCCTATGAACCTGCAGAGCGAAACCTTTCCCCCCTACGTCGCTGGGACTTGTCTCTCCATGTATTCCCCTACCGCTTGTGAATATCTACGTGGGCAAGTTGTCATGGACACAGATAGATAGTTGCCCTTGACTCTTAGATGGATGGATGGTCAGGGCACGCACATGATGCATATGATGATGGCGGCGAAAGACCGGTATTATAGATACGGCCGTGGAAGCTTTCCCGTCTATAGCACCACTGAGAGCAGGGGGAGGGCTAAGTTCGACATTTTCGTTGTGTTTGGGTGTAAAGGATGCTGATTTTTTAAGTCGCCATGGTAGATAAGCTGTAGCATCGATTGAATATGGCGTTCCTGTGAGTGTCGGCTATCTTCTGCACAGATGATGAAGCAGTATGCCCAGAGAAGTGTCTATGTTCTAAGCCTGTGATTATTCTTTGCCTCCCTCCCTACCCACCCTCTCTCCCACAAAAAGCACTGGGTAAGAAACTCTGTGTTTCTAGTTTAGCTATCTCGTAGATAATGCCTCCTCCATCACGCTTCGTTTGCATAAGAAGGAATGTATTGCTACATAGGAATTGCTTCGAGAGCAAAACAGAGGGAGGAGGAAGAGATAAAATATCCGTAAGCATAATCACCCACACTAAGCCTACATCCCTTAACATCGGCTGAGAAGTATATCCAGATAAGATCGCAAGACAATATCACATCATTAATCATCCTCCTTCCAAAAAGACCCTCAAGCGTCCTACTCCAAGTCGATAGCACTCGCCGCAGCCGCGACCGCAGCCTCATCCGCAATCACCTCCATACGAGCTCTACTCCCCTCCCGCACCTCCATACCCTCGACCTCACTTCCAAACTTCCCATTACCTCCACACTCCCCATCCACTTCCACTTGCACTCCTTCCATCCCCTCCTCCCCGTCCCCGTCCGCCTCCCCCACCAACACGTCCGCACCCACCTCATCCACACAATCACACCCAAACCTCCGCTTAAACTCAAAAACCGGCAACCCCTCCAACGCCTCGACCGCCTGCTTCGCCGTCTTGATCTTCGCATACCGTATACTCACCCCCGTCGCCCAAAACCTGACCTGGCAATGCACCTGCACCATAGCAATGACCTGATTTGGTTGCCCCGGGATCACCGATTCCTGCGTCCGGTAATCCTGCCGCCAATTCCGGCACCCAAAGTTGACGGCGATGAGATGCTGCAGCCGCGTCACGGGGTGCGAGTCGGCAAAGTGGTCGTACAGCGTCATGTCCTCGAAGAAGCGCCGGATGTGCATGTCGAAGAAGGTCTGCACGACGCGGAAGTCGAACTCCGAGTCGACGAACATGGCGGCTACGTAGGCTTCGACGACGTCGGCGAGGCACTTGGGCGGTTCGGTACCCACGCGTGTCCAGTAGTCCACGGCGCCCGTCTTTTCTGCTTCGCTCGCCGCTTCTTGCACTTCGGTGACGTAGTCTTTTATCTGAGAGGTGAGCGCGGCGTTGTTCTGGCGGATGTGCGTGTGGAAGCCTAGGGAGACGCAGAGGGCGCCGAGGAATTTGTTTGAGACCATGGGGGACTTGTGCTCAGTGAGCCAGTGCGGATCTTTGGTTGGATACTTATAGAACATGTGCATAATGAAGACTTGGTCGAGCAATGCATCACCCAGGAATTCCAAGCGCTGGTAATTGGGAATCTTCTCCCACATGAAGGCCTGCGAAGGGTGGATGAAGGCGGACCGAAGGAGACGAGGGTATTTGAAGTGGTACGGATGCACTTTCTCGATCTTCTCGGCTAGGTCCAGCTGCGACGCCGTGGCTTCGGCGAGTTGGTATTTGGGCTTTTCGTAAGCCGTGTAGTAGTCCGAGAACTTTTCCATCAGGTGGTCTTCCGAGTCGACGAGGATCTTGACAGCTTTGACGACTTCGTCCCAGGTTTGGGGTTCCCATTTCTCCCGCTTGTTGTGCTCCATGAAGGCGGCTCCGATGAAGGCTTCGCAGACGTCGGCTATTGTCTTGTCTCCTAACTGGTGCTTGATGACGTTGGGACCAGTCCGTTTCATTCCCTTGCCCTTCGTCAATTTGAGTCCCTCCGGGTACCAAGTACGACGGGAAAACGCCATCGACCGCACATATTCGTACAAGTTGTACTTCATGGCCGCCCGGAACAGATTCTTGTTGCACAGCATGCACATGCGGCGAACATGGAACTCGAATTCGCTTTCATCAGGCTGCTGGACGAACGTTGATATCGACGTCGCCATCTTCAAAAAGCAGTCTCCCATGAACTCCAATCGTTCATAGTTTGGACCCATTCCGCTCTTGAATCTGACTTGCTCCACCCCGTGTTCCTCGGTATTTTCCGAGTCCTTTGTGAGCGCTTCAAGTGCCAGCCCTGGACCCACCCGAAGATCAAGCCGTTTGCAAGCGTCCAGTGCCGTAAGGTATGCTTCAAACCGATGAATGATGGCGGGGAACACGTAGCACATGGCTACAAAGCGGGTAGTGAGCGCCGATATCCTGAGCGGTTGCGGGCAGACGTAGGCAATCGGGTTCTTCAACACTTCATTTTCGTCCTTCTCTACGTGAGCGAGGAAGTTGCGTCGGAACGGGATCTTCTCGACTTCCACCACAGGCTGAGATCGGTCCCAAACATTCTGCCATTTGACCCGAGACTTTGCCCATAGACTGATGGAATAGTCCAAGATACTTTCCATGTACTTGTACGCTGGAGCATCACCTGGCACTGGATCGGTCGCCTTGTACTGGGGGGCCACACACTTCGAATAGAATCGTCTTCCACCATCGTTCGGATCTACAATGTACTTGTCTGCAAGGAATTCGTGGCTCATTTCCGGGGTCCAGCGGTATTCGCCTTTGTCGCAGATCTCACGGACCTGATCCCAATCGACCAGTGATTCTGGATCTTCACTCCCAGATAGCCCCTTGGTTTTGTCAGCATCCAGCGGGACTATCCAGTACGACATCTTGGCTTCATCGTATTCGAAGACTTTGGCGAAAATCTCGCTGTAGACCTGCAGGGTCAGTTTGGTAAACAATTCCAGCTTCTCCTTGGTGGCCTCGAACGCCGTAGTCATTGGTAGAGACACAATATCAGAGGGAGTCCCGTTCGGGAGATAAATCGGAAACTGTGGCAACTGCGGAAATGGCTGGCGAGTGACGAGACCGATAGGTTGATGCGGACGCTCAAGTCCATTCCTAGCATCCAGAACTGTAAGATAGAACCGCTTAGGGATGGTATCAAACCCGTAGTTCCAGTACTCGGGCTTGATCCGCATGGGATACTGGTCCTTCTTCTTCGCACTGATCGCCAACAGGGCATTTCGCATAGCGGGAAGCTTTCGCTTGAGCGTGGAAAGAAAAGATTCGTCCAGAAACCCTTTTCTGCGCAGCTCTAGACACATCTGAAACGCGGCAGAACACCTCGCCAGAGCTTTTCTCCTCTGTGGATGGCCACGCATGGAAATGATGGGTGAGCACTCCGGCAGTATAACTTCACAAACGAACTTTCCAGCATCCCGATCAACGACGTATGTGGGCTGTAGAGCCACTTCTTGATTTGTTGTCGGAAGAGTTGCAACGAAATGTGCAAGCACAGCGAGACTGGACCTAAAAGTGAGTTTTGCACCGGACGTTGGTTCCGTATACGCGGGAAACCCTTGATCATTGGCGAGCAGCTTCGCTATCTGTTCGTTATCATCGTCCAGAAGGCGATCGCTGGACAGCCCATTACAGAAGTTTCGCATGAGCTGCTCGGAGTGCAGGGCATTGGCAAGGGTAGTTCGATGCGCCAGATTGTCTCTCTCGAGCATGTGGAGGTACTTTGAGTTTTTATGCCTGGCCCTTCCCCGCGACTGGACATAGGCGATCATGGTTTTGTACAAATCGAACCGTACTACCAGGTTACACTGCGGTATATCCAGACCTTCTTCCGCGACCGAGGTGGCGAAGAGACAGTTGAGGTCTCCTCGCCGAAATTTGGCCACCGTCATAACCTGCGCTTTCAATGAGACGTTCTCGTCGGAGAGCCTAGATGTACTGCCGACAAGGATATCGTTGTGGAGATTCGGGTCTCCCAAGTATGTGAATATAGTATTCAACAGCCTGGCAGTGGAACGCCGTTCTACAAAGACAATGCACCGAGCCTCAGCAGTTTTGCAGTAGTAGAGATGGAGCCAGCCATGGAGGACAAGGACCTTCGAGCTCAGGTCCTCCGCCGTCGGCGTTGGTGGTCGAAATTCGAGGCTCTGAACAAATTTGGCTGCCTCCTGCAATTGTGCTATATCCTCATCGAGCTTCTTCACCGTGTCCTCCTCTTGCTCCTTGTGAAATTGGCGCTGAACTCGTGCCTCCGTCTTCGCCGCCTCTTGCTCTGAGAAAGCAAAAGTCCAGTAGTAATCTGAAGCCCAGGGACCCAACTCCGAAGCAATGATTTCCGCATTCGTAAACAGTTTCCGGAATACTGGAATGTCGCCATAGCGTTTCTTGAGCTCCTCATGGAAAGGCGTCCTGAATGGTGGCTGGAGTTTGTCATACAAAGCGACCTGCTCGTTCGGACGGGTAATGTGATTTGCCAGGAGGGTCATGTCTGATGTAGTGGCAATCTTGCAGTGCAGCAATGCCTCTAATTCTCTCGCTGCTTGCTGAACGTCGACATTAGCATCAACGGGTGAAGCTGTCATACCGAAGACTCGCGGGCGCTGAGCTGGGTCTGGTTCACAGAGATAATAGTCCTTGATAATCCGTGCGAACGGATGATCGCTCTTCGCATGATGAGCTTCGTCAAAAATGAGCAGGTTGATCCTCCGGATATTCATGAAAGAATGCATCATGCATTCGTAGAGCACTTGTGCTGTGCACACAATGACCATGTTGCTCTCGAAGTACTTCTCCCAGGTCGTTTTTGACCACAATGACGGCCCCATAGAGCCGCATATGGGTTGGACTTTATGATCGAGACCACACTGCAGGACGTTTGATTGCTGGAAGACGAGATTGACGGAATTGACCTGATCTGAGTGAGTACCAAACTGGTATGCGCCTGGAAGAAGGACGCACCAGAAAGAAAGCAATCTTATGAGGCGCACCCTTTGCACGATCCTCCAACTCCTTATCGAGTATATGTCTCAGCAGCAAAGTCGCAATATGCGTCTTGCCCGTACCCGTATCCAGCACCGCAATGATATTCTCCTCCTTTGCACGCTGAAACAACTCAGTCTGATAATCCCTCGGATTCGTAATCTTCGCAATGTTCTCCTGCTTGGCCAAGATATCCCGAATGGACAGCTCTTCATCCTTGGAACTCTTGATAGCCTCCTTCACCACCTTCTCCGTAATCTCCTCAGTCTTGGTCGCAGCAAAGAGCTCAAAGGCAGCATTCTGTGCTCTTCTCACTTCGGCTGACGTGGAAGCTCCGTGCGCGACGTCGAGGTCGGCATCTTGGTCGGAGTCGGAGTCTGTTTCGTGAGGGTCTGAGTGTGGGGTGGCGTACTCGTCGCCGCTCGACATGTAGACGTCGTCCTCATCCTGGACTTCGGTGAGGTATTCTCCCCAGGGAGCCATTGCTTTCTCAGTGTAATGGTCAATGTGAGTACGATGGTGGGGATTGGAATGACTGAGAGAGTGCTCTTGGTTCTCTAATCTGAGGGCAATCGCTGAGGAAGTTGTTTGGCTTTTCAAACTCAATGAGATACACCCAGTCCTGCACTGCAGCCGAATACATGCAACGGGTTCCCGCCCTGTTACAGTCTACCTACAGAGCAGGATATTCCTCGAGAGGGCCAACCTCGAACAGAGATCAAAGGAGCTGAAGATAAGTGAGAACTGAAATTCTTTTCTCCCTTCCTAGAGGTCAGTGATAAATCTTCGGTTTGCCCAGCAAAGACATTGTCTTAACTAGGGTACGGCTATGGCAAGCGGTCAGAGCGGAACCCACACCGCACCGCACATCGACCGCAAACGAACCTGCTCCGGAACCCTGCATATCCGTGATCATTGCCCTCACCGCATCCCAATAATATGCAGCAAACAGCAGCTCGGAGAGGGTAGTTTATTGGGCCTTTGAATTCGCGGAAGCTAAAGACGCGTCCACGCAGATGGTGGGGGATGAAGCGTAGCAGGATTGATTACTCAGCGTAGAAGGAAAAGGCCAGTTCACGTGCATATTACAATGAACCACCCATTACATCAACACTCCCCAGAATCAACATTCCCAGCATCTTCCCAGCATCATCAACCCATCAACATCCCTTATCTTCAAGAGCTAGTCAAGGCAAAACCATTCGCTTTCCTTAAGAGGTAGTCAAGGCAAAAACCATGCCCGACGAACCCCAACCCCCCCAATCCCTCCGCACCCTCTTCGCCTCAGCAACCCAAGCCCGCGACACCCTCACTTCAACCCCGGACCCCAACAGCCCCTCCTACCAGGAAAGCCTCTCCACCGCCATAAAAACCTACGAAGAATGCCTCACCCTCACCTCCCAACTCTCCCTCTTCAGCCCCAACGAATCCCTAGAAGACATCTCCACCTCGGACCTCCCCTACCTCACCATCCCCTACCACCTCGCCGACCTCGTGCAAAAGCTGCCCAGCGCCGGCGACCTCAACGCGCGGAAATCCCACCTCCTCCGCGCCCGCGACTTCTACGAGCGGTTCCTCAAACTCCTGGATTCGTATGATATCCTGTCACGTGACGACGCCAAACTGTATGAAGCCTACCAGGAGGACCGAGATACGTTTACCACGGCCGGCGGCGGCGGGACGCGGGACCCGGCGAAGCGGCGCGAAGCCAAGATTGCGCAGTTCCGCCGGGAAAAGGAATTGAAGCAGAAACTGGAGTATCTGCGGCGGGATCCGAAGGTGGCGGAGGAGGAGAGGGACGAGCAGGCGGTGCGGGAGCTGCGGTTGGCGGAGCTGGCGTTCATGGTGCTGCAGACGTTTCAGGGGTTGGAGTCGTTGGCGCAGGAGTTGCAGGTTATTTCTCTTGCGCCGCCGCCGCAGCCGACGCAGCAGATGCAGGCGGGGATGAGGGGCGGGGAGGAGGAAGATGGGCGCGGTGCTGGGCGTCGGTCGAGGGATGCGTATTCGGAGAGATTGGATGCGTCGGTGCCTGGGCTGAGGTATTCGGGGCCGATTCTTAGCAGTGATGGGAGGCCGCTGCGTCCTTTTACGCTTACGAGCACGAGACAGACGATTCAGAAGGGGGTGTTTAGACCGGGTCATAATCTGCCGACCATGTCGATTGACGAGTATCTCGAGGAGGAGCGGCGGCGGGGTGGTATCATTGAAGGGGGTGGGGAGCAGAGTGGTATCAGGCCCGAGGTGGATGAGGATGATATGGAGAAGGCGGATGAAGAGACGATGAAGGCGAGGGCGTGGGACGAGTTTAAAGAAGAAAATCCAAAGGGGAGTGGGAATACGCTTAATAGGGGGTAGACTGTCATCGGTACATGCTTGGTCAAGTCTGGCGCTGAGAGATTCTCGCATAGACCTTGGTTGGGCTTCCGTATTGATATTGTGTAGTAGAGGATCAAGTAATGTATACTCTTCCACCTCAATACCCTTGCACCATCATTAGGAAGGCATAACAGATTCCTCTATCGTTTCCCAGCTCCGGTTGAAACCCTCTCCATCTACACCTCCAACCCCAACTTTTCTGGCGCCAACTCCGGCCACGTCTCCAGCACCACCTTCAACCACTCCCTACTCACAACCTCGTACCCCTGAACCAAAGTCAGCACATCACTCAAACCTCACCTCCCCCTTCCCTCGAAGCACACTACACTCACCTTCGTCCCCAAATGCAACCCATCAACAAAATACCCCTCAACGCCCGCCTCAAACTCCCTCGCGCCCTCCAACCCACAACCAGGCAACCTCTCCTCATTACACGCATCCACCCCTCCCTCCTCCTCCCCCAACACCTCCCCAACCATAGCCCTCCAAACATCCACGCCCACCACCCTCCCCGTCTCCGCATAACTCCTCGCAACCTCCACCACCGCCTCCGCATACCTCTTCTTACTCAAATACGTCGCGTACGCGCGCCTCGACCCCTGGCGTCGCGGGATACTGATCGGCGGCGGGCCCATGAGGACAACTTTCGTCCCAAACTCCGCCAAACGGTCCGCAATCAATATCTCCTCGATGAAGAAGCGCAGCGTCTCTTCGAAGCGGGGTAAGGGCACGATCTCGGTGCCGATGAAGTCCTCGGCTGAGCTGCGGAGCCGTGTCGTCGTCGGCGTGAAGCACGCGTCGTTTGCGCCGAGGAAGATGGTGATGAGGAGGGTGGGCGGGGTGGTGGCGGATGTGGCGCGCGTGAGGAGGTGGGTGAAGTTTGGGATGAGGAGGGTGGAGGTCCAGCTAGGGGAGGGGGTTCAAGTATGAGAAAGGAATCATATTCCAATTGGGGTAGAGGGGAACGGGCAAATTAGCGGAGGGAGAGAGAGGAGAAACTCACCCTGCTTTTCCTATAGTACTAGATTAGCAGATGCAATTGAATAAAACCGTAGTTGATCGTACATCGAGAAAAAAATTGTATAAGGGAGACGTGAGTAGCATCAGTTACTTACCCTCGTTAACCACCCTAGCCTTCCCCTTGTACATCTCCTGCAACACCCATCCAAACCCGCGATTGTGTTCAAAGAAGCTCCACTCGGTGAGTGAATCCCCCAGGAGCACAATCTCAGGTAATCCCGTTTCTTTCTTCGGCTTGTCCGCCATGTCTCGTGATTATGCAGCTCGCAAGGCAGTAACAGCTGAGCACACGCTGGCAGCAAAGATGCACTGCTGAATTCCCAATACCTGTTGGACCTAATTTCGTGATGTGTAAGTGGGGTTGGCGTAGACTGCACTCTGCTGTAACGGATTCGGTAGTGTCGGGCGGAAGAGAGGTGGAATAGACGAGGCTGAGGTCGTACAGACATAGACAGGATGCCTGCAATGCGGCTAACTAACCGCTTTTAGACACCTGAGCTAGGTACGCGAGGAGTGAGAAAGTATAGAACTGTGCACACGGTGTAGGCCAAGCGGATCTTATTTCAATCGACAGCCGGCATTTCAGGCCAAGATCGAGGGCGGTCAATAATATCTTTCCTTGTATGACTGGGAGTAGTCCCAGCTTCCAAATCGGTACAGACAAGTCCATGCTACCTAAGGTATCTAGTCCGAGTCCGTCATCACCAACCCTACATGAAACCTCTCACCCCCCGAAACCCTCCACTCTTCGCCTTATCCTTCTTCTGCTCCTTCTCCTCCTTCTTCCTCTGCTCCCTCTCCTCCTTCTCCTTCTTCTTGGCCGCAGCCTGCGCCCCGCCTACTCCAGGAGTCAGGGCCGGGTCCATGAACGGGTACACCAGGAACGGCGACGTCATATTGGAAGATGCAAACTCACCGCGCCCATAGACCCTGCTGCTCTCGGACTTCGGCGCCTTGCCGCTGCCATTGTTGCCTTGGTCTCCCTTGCTGCTGTTCGTGTCGACGCTCTTGGAGCTCCTGCCGCTCGAAGCCACGCCGTCGCCAGGGGTGGATGCGTGGTAATGTGTGCTTGGGGCGGCGCCAAAGGCAGCGGAGAAGTCCTGGCCAAAGCCGATGGTGGCGGGGGCGACGCGTTTGGAGGGCTTGGAGTGCAGTTTTTCGAGGCGGACGGGTCGGGCTTGCGTTTGGTTCGAGGATCTACTTGATTCTTCGTTGTGAGGGGGACTTTGTACCGAGACTGGCGAGTTGAGTTGGCTATAGTTGGAATCGTAGTCCTGGTATTCCTCCTCCGTAATGAGTGGTGCGAGTTGCCTTGAGTTGCGAGACTCGCTGCGTTTGCGGAAACTGAAGGCTCGGCTGAGCGACGACTCGGTCTCAGGACTGCCAACAGTGTAGCTATGTCTTTCCTCCTGAGGCCATTTCCGGCCCTGGTCGGCCTCGAGCTGGGCCTCCAGTTCTTGGTGTTTCATCTGGAGTTCTATGAAATCGTCCTGCAGCTTACGATGGATCTTCTTCAGCGACTGCAGTTTGGCGTTACTTGCTGCCAACGCAGAGTCAATCATCTGCTGTACGGAAGAAGGAAGCTGTCCCGATTGCACTGGCTCCTTCCTCGCATTGGCCAACTGCTTTTCTAGTTCCGCGATGCGGTTTCCATAGGTCCGAATGGCTCGTTCACGCTCCCGGTCCCTGCTATTCAGCCTCATGTTCGCCGCTTCGAGATCCAGCCGAAGTTGATCTCGTTCGTGAATCAGTTCATCCATTTCCTGGCCCTGATCCTGGAATGATATGGTCCTCTCCTGCATGGCCTCCAGCTCGCGTCGAAGGTTGCCGTAATCTTGAAGCTCGAATTCCAGAGCACGGCTCCGCTGCTCAGCTCTGAGCTGCTCGGCCTCCGCCTTCTCGACCATTCGCTTGAGGTGTTCGCAATCCTGTTGGGTCTTCTTCAATTCGTAACGCAGCTCATCTTCGCTGCTTTGCCACACCTTCTGGTCCTCTCTGAGAGCCTTGACCTTGGAGCTCAGCTCGACCTCCCACTTCTTGGATTGGCTGCGGCTGGTAAGAGTCTCTTTCTTCAATTGTGCGTAAAGCTCATTGGCCTTGGCGAGCCTGGCCTTCAGCGTACGGTTTGCATTGATCAGGTTTTGCGTCTCTGCAGCATCCGTCGCCTCTTTGATGTGTTTCCTCTGCAGCTGCCCGATATGTGCCAGGTGCTGTTGCTTCAGATACCGTTCAAAGTTCAAGTCGTTGCGGAGCAACATGACCTCCCTTTGCAATGCGGCCATACTCTGTTCCCTGAAGTAAGATTCCATTTGATCAGCCGTTGCAGTTGAAACGGTTTGCGCAAAGTCTCCAATCCGATGTGCCGGCGCATTGAGTTGCAAAGGGTTGTTCATCAACGAGTCGCCGAACAGGCCTGGCTTGTTCTCCACTTTGGCAGGAGGCAAGATCGGCGAGTCCATGACATCAAGAGGTTTGACCAATTCAGATGCAGAGCCGGGGGACTTTGGCGATGTGGGCGGAGGTGGACCATCACCTGGGGCCCCGGTGGCCGAAGGAGAGAACATGGTTGACTGCGTATTCCGCCAACTGACGGCGCCGTCATTGTTATCGTCTCCCGTATCTTCTTTCGGTGTGGTGGGATTCTCTGTTTCTGGCACAGGAGGGACGGGCAGAGGCGGGAGTTGGGAGGTAGGCGGCGGACCTGGATCGCACAAGGACGTCGAGACAGCCATGCAGAGATCCATGCACTCCGTGACAATATCCGCAGGGTCGGCCTTGGCCCATCTGTTCTCGGCCAATTCATCCTCGATGGTGGTCGTGAACAGGTTGGGATGCAAGACATGTACTCTCCGATAGGGCTCACTTCTGCTCTGAATCAAATCCTGGTCCAGGTCGAGATCCTGGGCGCCGGGGAAATTCTGGGACTTGAGGTACTTTCGTGATTTCCTTAGGAAGCTCATAAAGTTGAGAGGGAATAGACCATAGAGAAAAGTGAAATAGTGGAGGATTGTCGGAGGAGCGCCATCCGGATAGGCTGTCGACTGGGGAAGCTGTTCCCAATCCTGGTCGGCATTCATTTCTTCCTGAGAGCCTTGGTCCTGGAGTCCCTCGGATTGTTGATCGAGGCTGCGAGGGTTCGAGGTAGCAGTGATTTTATCCCAGCACAGGACCCTACTGTAAATAAGGAAAAGTTTGGCGAGATGGAAGTCCGAAGTCAGGGAGGGAGCGATGTGCGGCAGAAGCATGATCAGGTTGAGCAAGGCAAGGTCAATAGCCGTGGAAGATGTGTCGAATAGCAAGCACTTCTCCAGATGCTCGATCAGCGGGGTCTCCAGGACGAGATATAGGTGCGGTGGCTGCAGGCGGACGAAGCCACTTAGAAGATTCAGGGCCTGTATCCTGGTCTCCTTCCTTACCAAGAGGCTATCGAGAGCGAGGATATATTCCTGTAGCGACAGTCAGCCTTACCGTGCGCGTTCTCGGGAGATAGGGATGCGAATGCTACTCCAATTCCTGATATGACCCGGTGAACCTACCTTTGGTTTTCGACGCCCAAAAGCTACCAACACATTCTCCACCTCGTGCGTCGCGAACTCATTATCCGCCGTGTTCGCCTGCACATTCGGAATCCTCGTCCTGGCAAGCCACTCGGACAGCAGCTTGTCGGAGCACTTCCTCGACAGCTTCGCCCTCTCCCCACTCTTGTCTTCATCTGCATCAAACACCAGTATATCGAGCAGGAAACCCCGAGCCTCCTCGATATCGCTTCGCTTGTGGCCAAGCTCACAGATGACGGGCCGTATCATCATGTCATACCAGTCCAAGAAGCGCGAGTCGCCGGCGAGTGCTGGCCAGACGCGGCGCAAAGCTGTGAGAAAGGCGCAATGCTTGTCGGGGCTGGTCGCAACATGGCGCTTATAGATGGAGACGAAGTCTTTGTGGAAGCGCTGGGAGTCATGCTCCTCTATGTTGCGGTAGCGCTCGAGAAAGGCATCGATGGTTTGGAGCAGCTCATCGGGAAGAGGGCAGGGTACTGTGGGCGCGGCGAAGGCGGTGTTGAGCGCTCGAACTGTTTCGTGCATGGACCTGGAGGAGAGGGTAAGCCGGCAACCTTTGTGTTGATGAGGAAGGGAAAGGCAAGGAGGAGCACAATATGGAGGCTTGCAGAGGTGGAAGCTCACCCAGTTGCGGCCATGTCGAATGGATGTCGCTGTGAATCAATTGGAGGTCTATAATCTGGTCCGGCGCATTGGAGAGTAGTGTAACTCTCTCCACGGGCGCTGTGGAAGAGAAGACGAAAGGTAGAAGCAGATCAACAAGTGGAAGTCGGCTACAGAGAAGAATGCGTGGGGTCGCGACGTATGAGTGCAGATGGCTATGGATAGTTAGATGTGGAATGACGGCGGCATTCTCGATCTTTGCTAGCAAGTTGATTGGGCGACTATGGCGAATGATTGTGTCAAAAGAAAAACTGCGGCTTTTCTCTGACGAGACGGCCCTGCAGCGTCCTCAAAGTCATCACCTTGGGGCCAGACGAACCGACAATGTTTTCTGCTTGCGACGCCCCAATTCACCCTCTGGCCGTTACGAGGAGGCGTTCGCGTGAGGCTTGGCATGGGTGCTTGCAAGGGTACGCAAAGAGTCGTGTTCCAGCCCCGCCGCCGGCGAAGGGAGGCGCTCTTTGGTGTGACCCTATCGCCCTCTCTTATTCACCCCACGTGGGTGTTCTCTGTTGGGCTTCTCTATCATACTACTGGCGATTGTTGCTCTGCCTCAAACATATTTGTCCAAGCGAAATCTTTTCGATAGCTTCATGGCGTCAGATACGATCATCCACGAGCAACTATCAATCAATTAGTTCCTCAAGTTCATCTGATGGGCTGGATCGGGTCTTTTCACTGAGGACAATGGCATCAGTCAGCACTACAGGGCTGGGGTTTCCAATAATGCAACTCCACTCCAATTCCAATCATGCAGCACCTTTTGCCCCATCACAAACCCCCCAGCTACATCCGAAAGACTTCCCTTCCGGGTTTGACTGAATGGAAGCATCGAATCGCTCAACCAATCCCCTCCCAGCAGCGACCAAATCGAAATCCGGCTCCATTGTACCGAGCAGTACTCCGTACAGAATACCAACTTGTTACTCTCCACGAGCCTTGCCCGCATTCCTCCTCCAACGTACGATTCTTTGGTCCCTATGCCCCTGGTATTGTACCTTACCTTTCAGTGCCTGTGCCGCAACCGAGCAGTCCTCTCCAGGCTTACCTCCACACGCATAGTAATAACTCTTATCTCTGCCCAGATCCAGGCCCTCTGCGACCTCCGTAGTAGCAAGAAGTATTTTTGACCTGCTAGCTAGGTCTTCGACTTTATTAGCATTTCTCTCTCAACACCCATACCATACGCCTACCCAGATATCCAGTCCGTGGGAGCCACACACCGTATCTGCATCCGACCCCAGACCCTCACGGTAACCCCAAGACCGTTGTTGATCAAGTACCGGCAGTGCGGCCGTCCGCATGCATCTCGCAGACATTTGAGCATGGTGGTACAGCTCGAGCAGGGTACTTGTTGGCTCTCCGCATCCCTTCACCCCTGAGTTCATATATCATATCGGCTTCCTTTTTTCCCAGGGCCGGAACTCTAGTTCTTCTCCGAGGAGACGACGGCTGTTGTACGTTGTACATCTTCGGGATAGCAGAAGGGCTTGTTGTGATGTGTAATCCCGAGCAAGTCGTGGACCTGAGGTCGTATTCTGCTCGCACGGGCGAGAATTCCTCGATTCCCTCCCCCTCAACACCTCTCAAACACCCTATACAACCCCTTCAGATTCGCCACCTCCACCACCCCCTTCAACAACCCCCTCGTCCCCACCAGCCTCGCCTTGCAAGCCGGGAACAGCACAAACTCCACCGCGTGCTTAACTCTCTCCCTTCTCACCGCAATCTCCGCATCCTCTTCGACAGCCTTTTCTTTCCCTTTACCCTTGCCAGACCCCTCACCGCCCTGAATCTGATTCTGGTCTGTATTCTGACTTGTACTTGGCGGCGCCAAAGGCAGACACTCCGGCGTATAGAAAGCCGCCAACTCCCTCAGAAACGAGTGAAAACATTCCTTCTCCTCCACCCAATTCACATGCGGACCCAACCTCAGCAGAAACTGCGGCAGCTTCGCCAGCGAAGGCGTATACCCTTTAACCAGCAGCGGTAAGCAGCACAGCTCCCCCTCTTCCGTAATCTCCATGGAGAAGTACTCCTCGAGCAACGCCCGCCGATCCACCAACTGCTCCTTCACCGTCGCGACAACCTCAGCCCAATCGACCTCGTCGGCAGCGTCCCCCGCATTCCGCTTCTCCTGCTCGGCGCCTATCCGCAACAGTTCCTCCAGATCAAGCGGCGGATGCAATCGGATTTCGCCAAAATTCGCAAAGTCGGTCAGGCCAAGCTGGTAAAAGTACTCGTTGAAGAGCATCCCGTAATCGACGAGGAAGAGCTTCACCCCGCCCTGGATCGCCGCTATGCGCTTCTGCTCGTCGACGATGCCCACGAAGGTGTGCGTCGAGATGATGTCGGTGAGTTCGTGGTGCATGGCGTCGCGGACCTCGGCGCGCAGCTCTCTGATGCTGGTGAGGCGGCAGGTCGTGGGTTCGCGCTCGACGTACGTGTATTCGTATTCCTTGTCTGGTTCGTCCGTGGTGGTTTTGCCTTCGCCGATCGAGGGCCGGGATTGCAGCATCGAAGTGATCTTGCGGGCGGAGGCATCGGTACGAACAAGGTTGTTTACGTAGGGCTTCTTGGTAGGCGCTGGTTTCTGCGACGGTCGAGGAATGCTGCCGTCCGGAGTGTCGTCGGTGGCAGGAACGGTGGGAATAATCTGCTTCATTGGCGTGGCAAACGGGACTTTTGGGTTGGTAGAGAGAAGGGACTGCGTCATGAAGGAACGGCTTGTGTCGACTTTGCCTAGGCTGTTGCGGATCTCTTCGCAGATGATTTCGACTATCTCATCTTCGTTGAGAAAGTGCACTTCGCGCTTCGTCGGATGGACGTTGACGTCCACTCTGTGTGGTTCGATCTCTAGACTCAGATAGACGAACGGGTGACCACCTTTTGGAAGAAACGTTGCGTACGTCTGTTCGATGCTTTTCTTGATCGCTGCAGATTCGACTGCACGGTGGTTGATGAAAAGCAGCAAAGTGGTACGTTTGGCGCTGTAGTTTGCACTGCTAATCCACGCCTCGCACTTGAAGCCCCATCGGTCGTTGCCAGTCTTGAAGCTGACGAGTTCATTGGCGACAGCGCTGCCATGTATCTGGCGGATGCGATCCAGCATCCCGGCACTGGCGGGGACCGAAAGTCCGCTGGAAGAATCGCCATGTTTCTTGCAGGAGAAGGCGACACCAAAGCAGTGGACTGCGTAGCGTCCAACCATTTCCAAGATTTTGGCGTACTCTTCACTAGCAGAACGAAATGCTTTTCTTCTTGAAGGCACGTTGTAGAAGAGATCTTCGACCTGGTAACCATCAGCTCGGAAGGCAACGAGGTACTCTGCGTTCCACGGACAGTGATTTGCGTGCCTGGCCGTCCAGCTATAGGCTTAGGCTCAGCACTCTGTCCGGGTTTCGGACTAGTAAGTTTCCCATCGGCATAGTGTGCTCTCCATGCACAACTGGACTCCTTCGTCCTAGTGGTAACGGTCAAATGAGCGATATGGCTAATACTAGCCAACGCTTCGCCACGGAAACCGTACGTCGCAATCGAACTGAGATCCTCAAAGGCTTTTAACTTGGACGTTGTAAACCGCTCACATAAAATCGGCAAGTCTTCTTTCTGGCAGAACTGTCAGTTGGAAAAGCAAACGGGGTGGCAAGACGGACATCGATCCCGTGGCCATTATCAGTGATCTGGAGAAGCTTAAGGCCGCCCTCTTTGGCTACCACGTCGAGTTGAGTCGCTCCAGCATCGACAGCGTTCTCGATAAGCTCTTTGAGAGCGTGGACTGGGGCTACGATGATTTCCCCTGCAGCGATCTTGTTCACGACGTCTTGAGCGAGCGCTTTGATTCTACGCGGAGCCGGCAGTGGGAGTGGATCCTCCGCTTTTCTTTTCGTGCCATGCGGAGGCGGTGCGTCGACTTCCATTGCCTCCGTCATTATACTATACAATTGAAGCGAAAAGTGATTAGAAGCTGAGTGGTGTTGATCGATTGATGAAGGCAGGCGGGCACGTAACCCATCCCAGAATGGTTTAGCGGACAACACGCTATCACGTGATATGGTTGGACCTTTCAAGGCCAACAATATACTAGGTTTTAAGATGGTATTCATACCTGCCTTGAGGTTCCGTTACCTGCTCTGAAATAGGTCAAGAGTGTTTGGTTGTAACATGGCGGTCTCCTTTCAACTTCTCTCCCGACATCGAGCCTAATCTTCGAACGCATCGTGATAACCTTTCGAAGTCAGTAACCCCGCAACCAGTGCTTGTTTATTCACAACACGTCCATCTGATGCCCCTTTGGGAGTGACATTGAGATATATCCTTATACCCTATCGACGGCGACCGAGGCCTCACTTGCAAGGTGAAGTCTGAAGTCCACTTGCAAAGAGAGGAACTACACCCTAGCAGCCTGAGCGATCCAGCATCAGCAGTAACATTCGTCAGGAACATCCAGACCGATCCGTACAAGGGGACGATATGAGTGCAAGCCATATACTGTGATAATACCTCGCATCTTATCTTGAGGTGAAGGAAAATACATGATTTTTCTCTAGCCTCACATAATCCACCATGATCCAAGGCAAAAGAAACCCCGACATTGTTTTGAACCGCCTCGAAGGAAACCATGCCGCATCGAGTAGCCAACCGTAACGCCTATGCAACCGAATTCGCCGGCAGGTAGATGTTGACTGAAGAACTAAGGAGAGGATCCGCCTGACACTGGTACACCCGAGAACGCCTCGCTAATGTTTGAAACCGGACTGCACTATCGAGACCCCACATAGAGTTCGAACAAGGTATCAAAGGAATCTTGGGTCGAAACCGTATATAGGTTTCCCCAGCTGTTATGTGTTAGCACCGCAAAGCTAGACAAATAAGTTATAGGACGTACCTTGTTGAGCGCATATATCACATGTTTCACCAGGACAGTGGAGTGACCGCAGTGCTCTGTTCGTATTTTGTCAGCGTGATCCAACCAAGCCAATTCGCAAGAGCAGCTTACCGGCTACGGCTACAGCGTCCTTCAAGATCTACCAAAACATGTCAGCATGATCTCTCGTGAACAATAGGTCGCAGAGGCCTTACCATCTCCAATCTTTGCCTGAGCGCAGCGCGAATGTCATCATAGATCGTAGCACTCATTCTTTTCACACCTCCACGTCGCGCCAGCCGTCTACGCGAAAGAGTCAGCTTCGAATACGCCAGTAATAAATGGAAGCCGAAGACCACCGTACCGGATATCGCCCTTAGTGATGCCCTGAATGGTATCGCGAGGGATTTTCCTGCAGTCGTAATCAGTATTCCGCTTTCAAGCGCCCACAGCAATTGACTCACTTGTGCCTTTTCATTGTTTTGCCTTTCCCAAGCCCGAGCCCCAGCGATCCCTTCCCGCGGCCAAGTCCCAAGCCCAGCATGTTAGCTCTTGAAGCCTGGGGAGACGCTGTGTTGCTCGATGCCGCAACGGATCGCCTCACGCCCGCAAAGGGCTGGGCGCGCTCGTTGGACATGTTGATGAATGTGGCGACGTTGTAGAGTCGATGAAGTGGAACAAGAACAAGATACCCGATGGCGATTGTCAACTATCAGTCTACCATATTTAGCGCGGGGACGCACCGCCACAGGTCTTCGACGAAACACGAAACGCGGGGGCGCGGAATCACATGTGTACAAGTGTGGCGCAACGGCGACCCGACAGCAATAGCGAATCAAAGGGAAGTATAAGATGTGAAGAGAAAACGAGTGCTGCAAACGAGAATCGCAGTCAGACGGCCGAGAGAGCGGGCTGGGCTTACTATAGTTAACGATTCTGCTGCTTTCTCAAGCTCACCGACAGAACTATATTGGACAAAGTTGCGGTGGCAGCTGTGTACTGCGCTCACCGGTCAAAGTAGATTTCACAGCGACGCAATGGGCAAAAGTAGTTGGTATTGATTAAGTAGGGTATTTCTCAGGCGCCGGTCCTGCGACGTGAATGACTATAGTCCGTAGTAAATGCAACTGTTTGCTCATGAGATGAATGTGGCTTCCATGAATAGCGAACCCTCCTCTTTCTTGACCTCATCACCAATCTTGACCTCAAGCGTCATCTTGGGAGCGAACTGATATATGTACGGCTTGGTACCAACAGCGCTAGCGACAATCGTCTTCACGAACCCGGGCACCTCGGCCATCACGTCGACGCGATCAAGACGGTCGCCAATCGAACCAACAAGGCTCGCCGAGACGTCTTTTCCATCTTCGGTCTTGCCATTCCAGTGGCATGCAACAGCACTAGGCTGTGGCCAATCGTTATCGGAATCCTGCCCGCTCTCGGTATGCTTGACTTCAAGACCAGCAGTTCCCGCCATGAGCAGTTTATCGTGTGCAACAATGCCTCCAACCCGCACAACAGTGGAACCATAGGACGGCGGAGTGGTGAATTCCATAATCACAGCAGAATAGCTGGGGGAATGGAAGTTGACGAAATTCCAACGAGAAGCTTTAGAGGCGCTGTGAGCAGACATTCCGGGCAACGCAACGGACAAGTTAACATACCTGCGTGATGTGGCTTCATGCCCTGCAAGGCAAAACTGAAAAAGCCGCGCCCTTTGCAGTTGATCTCTCCTTCCTTGGTGATTATCCTGCCTTCGACATCGCACCTGGGCCAGAAAGCATGACGCATGGATCCCCACGGGTTCTTAGGATCTGTCCCGTAATTGCTTGTGCCGTTCTCCCCGCCCATAAAACCAGGAGCCGTTCTTACGAACTTGAGATCGACGATGCTATTTTCGTTCGTGACCGATTTGATCGTGTACGAGTTGCCGTCCTCGGACAGCTCGACCGAGAGGTTATCGGCAAAGAATGAATACTGTTCCTGGTCGAAGCCGTGATTCGAGAGCGGATCAGAAGACCAGAGGGGCTCTTTCTCCTGATTGGGATAGAATATCTTGCAGTTAAACTGGCACGTGATCCTCAAGCCCCTAGCACAAGGGGTTAATACTTGTAAGCGAGGGAGACGTTTGGGCACGTGTCCTTACACGACATTACTGTAGAGAGCTTGTACAAATCCGATATGGCCCGACTCGGTGAAGAAGTAGAACGTCTGCGTTTCAACACACGTTTGATTGATGGTCATCCACTTCAGATGATCCTTGGTAAGTTCCGTGTAAGCAGGCTCGCCCTCTCGCTGGCCAACGGGTTGAATGGCTGTTGGACCATACTCGGGCTCCTGAGTCCCGGCCACGTTTGCTAACCTGGAGGTTGGTAAGTCACAGTCGTATGTGATTTAGATCGGGAGAGGCGCCCAGGGGGTAGTGCAAGAGACTCACTGTTGCTTGAAATAGTTAAACATGATGATTCTACAGAATCCGCGTGGCAGTACTGCGTATCCAAGAGACGAGGGGTAAGTTGGGGCAGAGCCAAGGGTGCAAGAAGTCTCCGCGAAAAGACAACGCAAAATTTGGAGGGCGGGCTGAGGGGGTACAGCCGGTGAAGCGTGACAAAGCGTGGAAACAGATACTGTGCAGCTCCCTGAGCGCACCTATGATATCCCAATAGGTATCTGGAAACCAACAATGTTGTACGGTGATATAGCGTGGGTGATGTGCAGGGGGAGTCGTGTCCAGGGGAGAGAGAATCTATGGCAAGCCTCGGAGAGACGGCGGCGTGACGTCTTTCCGGTGCCCAGGTGGGCTGGACCGTGCGCCTGATTACGAGCTCCAAAATCTACCTCCATCAAGTCCCCGCTACAAGCAGTCACACAAGCTATCCACCGCCACTGTACCCATTTGTGCAATCTTGAAGCTGTTTTTGCCTCATTTGTTCACACAGAAGACGGCCAGCAACAGCAATCGTCGATCCTGGAGTGTCCGGTCCCCATTTGGCCCACGCTGAGGGACTGATTACTCCACCGCGGGGTCTATCAAGGTCCTCACACCGTTTTCTCACAGCACCACAATTGGCATACACTCTTTTGCTCGCGCCTCTTTTCTGTCGTTGGAATTGCTTTTGGTCTTGCCTGTTCGCTTTGGAGCATCTTATCGTTGGTACCGGCGACCCCATTCTGGGCAGCCGAAGCTGCGCATGTGTAGTCAATACACACTTAGTAAGTCACCAAAGTTCGTATGCATCTCCATATTCCTGTCGCTAAGAGCCAGTCTGGTCTACGAAGATCCTTTGTACTTTTTCCTGGCTTAAGCGATGGAAAATACCTCTCGAGAAGTCCCAGCGCAGAGCGTGCGCTTCAGCGATGTGAACGAGGAGATAGAGCCTGCCACGAAGGAGGAGTTGAGATCTCTGTCCAATGCCCTACAGAATAGTCGTTGCCAGGTCCGGCGCATGGAGAATTTCTCCTTTGAACCAGTATCGCTTCCGCCTTCAAGAGTATGCAAAATCCCGCACATAGGCCCAAATCTACTCTAACACGCTAAACAGGCCCCTTCACCTCCTCCAGCCTCACGCACGTCTTCCGGACATTCTGTGCTCCGATCTCCAGCTGTTCATCGCCCATCTCCACCCTCATCCGCATTGCACTCCCCGCCGTTGACCCCAGCAGGAACCGCCTCGCAAGATGGAAAAACTAGCAGCGCTATTGGCGGCCCCAAACCTTCGAGTGATCCTGCTATGATGACTCCACAGATTTCCCCACCGCATGTACCGCCACCCACTTCAATGGAACCCGTCCAGCACAATCGCGAAGCTGAGCCGGTTCGGCGGTCGCGCTCTCCTCGACGCTCTCCACGCTCCACTCCGCCGCCCACCTCCGGTTCCGATGTTCCAGGGGTCATTGGTGCCCATCCAAAGCATCCCCCCATCTTCTCGGTCGGCCCAGCAGGGGACTCGCTCCCTCCGTCACGAGACTCGAGCCCATCCGCATCTACTGGCATTCGGACCCCAGGTAACCGCACCCCTGGAACGTTCACGCCGACGCATGGCCGGCCTCTCAACCCAGCAGGTGACAGAGATGACCCATACGCTCGCTCTAAACGACCTCCGCAACCGACCAATCCGCTTCCAGGTTCGCTGGACTCTCGCTTTGTATTTGGGCCATTCGGAGGACGAAGGAAACGCAGGGAGGATTCACCGACCATGTCAGCAAACACCTTGCCTAAGCCGAGAGGGAGCATGGAATCGAGTTGGCATGGGAATAAGCACCATATCCATGTAGACGAGGCCGATTCTCGCTCGATACTAGGTAAACAACATCACCATGGCTCTATGTCCGAGCTAAAGCGCTTTTTCAAACTGGGGAAACATAAAGAAAAGAGGGCTCAGTCACCAACGCCCTCTCTCAAGACGGAGAGGGCGGCGAAAAGTAAACCCACGGGATACGCAACTCCGCCAACCACTGCCAGTCACGAATCTGTTAGTGTTCCCTTCGCCGATGATCATGGCCTGCAAAGCAAATATGGGAAATTCGGAAAAGTCCTTGGCGCAGGCGCCGGTGGCTCCGTGCGCTTGATGAAACGCAGTAGCGACGGGGTCACGTTTGCGGTCAAGCAGTTCAGGCCGAGACACTCGTACGAGAAGGAGAAAGACTACAAGAAGAAGGTCACGGCAGAATTCTGCATAGGATCCACATTGCATCATGGCAATATCATCGAGACCATGGACCTGGTCAACGAGAAGGGGAATTACTATGTTGTTATGGAGTACGCACCGTATGATCTGTTTGCCATTGTCATGACGGGAAAGATGAGCCGTCAAGAGATCAGCTGCTGCACACTCCAAATCTTGAATGGGGTGACTTACTTGCATCAGATGGGTCTTGCCCATAGGGATTTGAAGCTGGACAATGTTGTGGTCAATGAACACGGAATCATGAAGATCATTGATTTTGGTAGCGCCATTGTCTTTCGATATCCTTTCGAAAACGACATTGTTCCGGCTACTGGTAAGCGGATCTTATCAATCGTTATATGACGTTCTAACAGGCCCAGGTATCGTTGGTTCAGATCCTTATTTGGCGCCCGAGGTGTATGATGCGAAGTCATATGATCCTCAACCGGTAGATATTTGGTCGCTCGCCATCATCTTCTGTTGCATGACACTGCGTCGATTTCCCTGGAAACAGCCCCGGCTGTCTGACAACTCCTACAAACTATTCGTGTCTCCGCCGAATGATGGTCCCCGACTAAGTCACCACCATCACGACTCGAATCCCGATTCTTCAGTTGATCCACACCGAGGTGCACGCTCAGAGCCGACATCTCGCCTGCCATCAGCTCGCGCGCCTGAATCCACTCACCAGGACAAGGACGGAGCCGAGTCCATCTCGACCGAACCGGGCCCCGAGAAGGAGAAGGAGAAGCAACCGCCAACGGTGATCAAAGGCCCTTGGAGGCTCCTGCGTTTGCTGCCGAGGGAGACGAGGCATATCATCGGGCGAATGCTGGAGATTGATCCCAAAAAGCGTGCGACCCTGGACGAGATCTTGAACGATAAGTGGGTTCTCAACAGCCAAGTGTGCTCGCAGGAGGCTGCAGGCAGGATTATCCGCGCAAGCGACCACGAGCACACGCTCGAGGGTCCGTCATCGACGTCGTCTGCACCACCCAGCAAGCAGCAAAAGTGAATGAGTGTATAGCAGTGATCTTCATTACCGTTCTACTCCTCAACAACGCATATATGGTCCGAACTGTAAGCAGAAGTGGCGAGCGGATAAATTGAGACATGTACATGGATGTTCGTAAGGAGGATGTCGGCGTTGGAAAAGGGTCAAGTATTTTGGTCGTCGCAAGCGATTTCGCATTGGAGATGTGTGATAGACGGTTGGGTTTTCGTCCTTCTAGGTTTTTCTTATTGGATATTCTCTTCACTCGGTCCATCGATGCATTGGTTCGGGTTTTCGTTTTTCTTGTACGTTTATGACGTATATGGTGGACTGGATATCACTCCCTTTGTGGGAATGTATATATTGAGCGCGTAGGAAGTAAATAGCGAAAAGTAATATAGAAAAGATCATATGGACTTTTCTTTGAGATTGCGATTCAGAAATGGGAATGGAAAGGGATAGATCTGCATTTATGCCGACATTATGCAGAATCAAGAAGAGATTGATTTTGGCCAATGTTGAGGGTGAGTGATGTGTGAGTGGTTTTCATGGGGTCAGATATCCGTCTTCCTCGTGGATGTAGCGGTGTGTTGGGCTTTTGAAATCAGCTATAGGTGTCAGCGTGCTATATACCGTCCTCCAAAAAAAAAGTGATCTACCTTGGTCCACACAGAGGACAATACAAAGTCGATGAAATAGCGAAATACATCAACTCAAGGCACTCACGTGGCCCCATCACATCAATGATCACACAACCGTTCTCCCTCCCGATCTCGCAACCAGGTCACACACACCATGAGCAATCCTCGCCTAGCATTTCCCCATCCGGGAAATACGCACATGGGGCTGGGATGGGGCGTCAAACAAAAAGCTCCGCATCCGAAACGAAGGAGGCGGAGGCGGTAGCTTTAGACCGGGGTGTGAGGAAGCGATGGCAGGCGATGCCGCGATGGATCATGGCGTTGGCAGGCGATACGGGATGGGGTATTTTGCCGGTAGGACTATGGGAAGGTTTGGCTCAGAGAAAGCGAAATGGTAGATATGAGTGGTGTGAGCGGAGCGGGGAGATGTGAGGGCATAGACGATATGGGATATCGCGCATTAATGTGGTTCTTGACTATGCGTTCACACCATTCACGAACGCATGGCATGGCATGGCATGGCATGGCATGAACGGTCCAAGAGTGTCAATGGGAAGCTTCTGCCACAAACTACCGTCTTGACTGGTATGAATGTGGGGAAAATGTCTCCCGCTTGCGTGATCAACAAGCTGAGACGAAACGACAGGGTGCGTGCGTGTGTTTCGGATCTGTGGGTTGGGGTTGTTTCAGGTGTGGGTTCTGAGGCTGGGGGGAAGTTGGGAGTTGTGAACGAAAGGCGGGGTTAAAGACGGTGAAGGAAACTGAGATTCTTGTGAACCATATTATCCAGTTGTGAAGACCTGGTTATGCCAGCTGTGAGGATATGTATAGTAGGATAGTCATAACAGCAATCATAGTAGAAGTAGTTATCACTCCTAGCACGATTCCGGCGCCGCACATAGACAAGTCACAAACCTCTCCTCTTCCTGACTGGCTCTCTCCAAGGTGTCACAAGGTCATGCGCATCACCGGGACATGATTGACGACGTCCCACAAACCCACGATGTCCATGTCCGCATCGGAATCCAGCGGGGAGACTCTGAGAGGAATCTTTCGCCGTTACGCCGCACCACCAGCATTCCCACCGCTGATTGGCGTTCGTCAGCATGCAAGATAAGCCGTTCGTGTTTCCACACGGCGTGGTTTGTGACTCTGCCTCTCGGCGATCCCCAACGCCATCGCGAATTCCTGCCAGAACTTGCCTGGGATCGTGTTGGCTGGATCGACTGTGGACCCTCTCTCCTTCCAGGGTTGCGTGCGCTTGGCCTTTGATACTTAGGGGCACGGGCTTCCGCTGGTTTGTTGAACTTTTTCAGCTGACAAGCTTTTTCCTCTCGTCTCCTTTCTTTCTCAATTTTTTGTTTGGACCCGCGTGCGAGAAACGCTTCCCACAGATACCTATTCTACCTACCTAATAACCAGTTGAGGGCTTGGTTTCTCTTCTTGTTGCGAGTGGCAGTGGTTGTCTCTGGCAGATCAACGTCATTTTCACACACTACTTAGACGAGAGGGTTGGCGGGTTCACCACCGACTTGCAACGACTACGCCTCCTACGCCCCCTACGCCTCCCCCACTGCCGTCTTTCAGCGGCAACTCTTAAATTGATGAAAGCACATCGACACGCAGTCCTACTAGCAGCCGTCATCTCTCCTCAACTGCGAATAACCATTGAATAATGCGTCGTCTCGCACCTCCTCAACGCCTCGTCCAGCAGTCCGCACCAACGACTGTGCCGCAGGTCACTGTGAACCACTACTCGAGCACCGAGAAGCTGATACCGGCGATTCCAGGATTCCGCACCAGTGCTGGTAAGTAGTACACAGTATTTCAACCTCCTCTTCGTTCTTTTGGACCTTGCATATACGCATATCAGAGCTATCTCGTTGGTGTTTTTGTGGTCTAGTGGACCCTTTCTCCACTTACTTTCCCACTCCGCTCCATCCAGATCCACCAAACCAGCTCACAACATCTCTGATTGCTAATTCACACCTCCACCAGCCTTCCTCAGCTCCCTCAGCGCCAACCTCCGCATAGACCCGGATCTCCCCTCGCCCCTCCTAACCCCCAACTTCCGCGCCGCCCCCTCGGGCTTCCCCCTTCCACCTCCATCGCCCCTCTCCTTCTCCACCTCGTCCGCCCAAGACCTCCCAAACCCAATCCCCTCCTCCTCCTCCTCCGAATCCAACACCCTATCTACCACCACCTCGACCACGACCAGTAAAAACGCCTACCTCGCCATCCCACCCCCGTCCTCCGGCATGGACCCCAAACCCCTCCCGCACCTGCAAACCTACACGGCCGAAACCCACGCCGACCGCACCGCCGCCCTCCGCCTCGTCGCCGACAGCATCGCTCAGCAGCGCCAAACGGCCGCCAAAGCACTCATCACCCACCCGCTCAATCTATCCGTGTACCTCGCCGCCGTGGCCATCGTGGCGAAATCCCTCTGGCGCACCCAGGACGACTTGTTCCTTTTGCTCACCACCCTCGCGGGCCTGACGTCCATCTACCTCGTCGCCATCCGCTTCGCCGTCGGCGGCTATCTCGCGCTGGCGGAGCAAATTGGGTGGGACTGGTTGGGCGAGGACCGCGTGTTGGTGGTTAAGTGGGGGGAGGAGATCATCGGGGCGGTGGTGCTGGGGTGGGCGGATAATAGCGAGGGGGCGAGGAAGAGGGGGACGAGGAGGAGGAGGGGGAAGGCGGTCGTTAGGGCTTGGACGGTCAAGCTCAAGTATAGGGGTAAAGGGGTTGGGGAGGCCTTACTGGAGGAGGCAGTGAAGGTTGCGGGGGAGAGGGGTGCGGATGGGATTGTCTGGGATGGTGAGCATGCTAGTAGGTTTATCCGTTCTGAACTGTTAGATGGGGAGAGTGGGCTAACTAGATGTCTGCAGATTCGAAGCGTATCCTGCCTTGGATCTATAACGGGTTCCTCGACAAGCAGGAGCGCCGTGCAGAGAAGAAGCTGGAGAAAGTTGCTGATGAGAAAGGGAATTTCAGGCAGAGGCGGTCGTCGCCGACGTGGGGGAGTCGTTGATTTGATGGTATTATCTTGATTTTTGGTCACAATCACACTACTACTATACTTAATCCCAAACTGGATGTTTGCAAATCGAAATCACGACCAATGCCTCACTGTCCGTCCTAGTCAGAGCTAGCATCGTGAATGCGATTGCACATCCAAATCCGCCCACCAGGCACACCCCCTCAACATCTCTCTTCCACTCCTCATTCACTGGCATACGTCTTATCTCGCATGCGGCATTCCGCCATCCAGCCCCGGAATCGCGATAACCTTGCATCATCCATCTCACTCATCCTTGCCTTCGTAACACGACCAAGTTCAGCTCAAGCTGTGCCCCGCTCCCCCTCCCCTCCTCACCACAAGCTTATTCCAGGCGCCTTATAGCTTAATACCCCGATTTTTTTGTTTTTGCTCGCCTCCATGTCCGCATGTCAGACACCCCTGGTAAGCCATCATATCTCCCCTCCAATAGCACCGTCTTCTCAGATAAAGTCTCAACGCTGGGAAACCTCCTCGAGGCTCGCTCTCGTATCGGCGCTGGCACTGCATAACCCGGAGTCGCGACCCGGGTCTCTTGTTTTTCGTAAGGTAGCTAGATCGATGAACGCTCTCCCACTTCAATCTCTGCAGCATCACCGCGCAGCACCTTCGCCGGCATACTCCTCACCCTCTTCAACGGGATACGCTTCGCGGAGGTGGCGGATTACGTTCTATACCCCGTAGCAATCTCGTTAGCCTCTTTTCTCCCTCTTTGATAAGGAAGCGAGCAGTCAAGCAAGCGAGTTGCAATCGCATCCGGGGACGAAAAAGAGATCTTTCCTGGAAATGAGACGGGCTTGCACGTACCGCCAGAGCCTCGGGATTGGCACCATTCTCAATCAGAGAGACGCAGTACGAGAGTTGGTGTCTGTCGAGGTGGGTATTCTACTCTCGTCAGCTTTCTAGTCTCGAGCTCGTGCTTGTGTTTGTGTTTGTGCGGTGTGATGAAGGGCTTGGCGAGGGCAGCTTACGAGGAGCGTTGCGATTTCGTGCAGGATGTCGATGACCTTTGCTTGTAAGTAATATGTTTGGATATATTATACGTGTTCGAGAGGGGAGGGGAGGAGGAAATGGTACCTCTCGCGCTGCTTTGCGCTTGGCTTCTTGGGACGGGGGAGGGACTTGAGATGGTGGCATGGTGAGGTTCGTGTTGGACTGTTAAAAACTCGACAGTGGGTTGGAGTTGCGCGTTAGTTGACGCGTCAAGGTACTGACGGATTAGAGGCAGTGACGGAGGTTTACGGGCACCAGTGTTTTGATGACTAAGTCGTCGGAATGGAGCTGGGTTGCAGTTCCGAGATTCCGATCGAGTGTTCAGTGAACTCCTTTTGGATGCAGGAAGGGTACCAATTCGTCTCAGAAAAAGCATCTTCTAACTCCATCTTCATGTCCGGCGGATCAGGAACATATTCGGTCATGCTTCGTGTCTCATAACTTCCCTTCCCAACCAGACACTGTTTCCTTCCAACGCTGAGCTGTTCTAGTCAACCCTTCCTTGCTTTCCTCAGCGATACCTGTATCCCATCTCGTAGACAAAACCCAACATTCAGTCGAACCAGCATCGGATTCCTCGTCGTACCCATGACGCCTGGGAATAAAAATGTATTTTCGGAGCTATCTCATAACGCAAAAGAATGCAATATTGCAGATATCGGGAAGCTGGATGCTGCTCCTGGTTACCATACATACTGTAGTACCTGTCCCGCCTCGTAATCGCCTAGACTTAGAATAGAGCTGTCACCAGCCTTGTATAAGCTCGGTTATCTTCTCTACGCAATGACAAATTCTCTTGAAGTCCGTGGCAAAGAGCACCATCATTGGTCGTCTCCACAGTTACCATCGATGGCAATCGGCATCCTATACCTTTCTCATCGGCATTGAGACTGCGGCATCTCCTGCCTTCAGTCCTCCTTGTCTGATTACCAACACTTCTTTGAATCCTACTCAATGCAGCAATTCTCTCTAACTCCCCTCATCATTACTAATACGTCCGCCAGGGGTCAACCAAAACTCCGGTCCACGTCCGAGGCAACTCCGATTTCCGACCGCGTTCCCATAACCACTTCGCGCTCAGACAGCAACAAAAACAACAACCACCGACTCTCCCTCCCATCAAACCCTTCCCTCGAGCTTAGAAATCGTTTCTCTAATCGCCATTAACCCCAGAATACACATAGTAATCATCGGGCTTTTTTCCCGTCCTGGATAAAATCAATCAGATCAGACCTGCGTCACACCGCGAAAGAAGGCCCGGCCCCACGTCATGGCCATTAGAAAACTCCACTCTAGTAATAGTGTAGTTGCTGGTAGCTTCCAAAGGCAGCAGAAAAGAACCTCCCATTGTACCGGTAATGGCATATATATATTAGATGCAAGGCACACCCGCATCATTTATTCCACCCACGTTTTCGCAATCTATTCCATCTAGATCTCTGTCTCCGCCTACCTCATCTCTCAAATCTCTTTCCATCCTTCCAATTGAACACGGGAGCTTTGCTCAAACCCCTCCCCCCTCCTTTCATTCTTCTTCAGTACCATAGACCAATTCCCATACCGACCGCCATGGCACCACCCACACACGCCAAACAATGGACCGTCGAAGGCCAAAACGGCTTCGACAGCCTCAAACTCAACGACAAAGCGCCCCTCCCCCAATTAGGCGATAAAGACGTCCTAGTCAAAAGTACGCCCGCCCTACATTTCTCCCTCACATCCATCTCTCCATCTCAAACCGCTCCCGCTTCTCCAATTGACCACTTCCATCCCACCTCCCACCAAACTCATACATACCTCATGTACTAACCTTTCTTTCTCTTGTCCATAGTCCACGCCGCCTCCCTCAACTACCGCGACCTCATCATCCCCAAAGGAAAATACCCCTTCCCGATCAAAGACAACGTCGTCCCCGGCTCCGACGGCGCCGGCGTCGTCGAAGCCGTCGGCAAGCACGTCACGCGCTTCAAGCCCGGCGACAAGGTCGTCACGCTCTTCAACCAGGGCCATATCGCGGGCTCGCTGACGCCGGCTTCGCTGGGCACAGGTCTCGGTGGAGCCGTCGACGGCACGCTGAGGGAGTACGCCGCGTTCGACGAGCACGGTCTTGTCCATGTGCCGCAGAATTTGAACTTCGCCGAGGCGGCGACGCTGAGTTGTGCGGGCTTGACGGCGTGGAATGCGCTATATGGGCTGGAGAGTAGGGCGTTGAAGCCCGGAGACACCGTGCTGACGCAGGGAACTGGTGGTGTTAGCATGTTTGCGCTTCAGGTACGCACAACACACCCGATCCCAATGTTGACAAAATACATGTATTCTAACAAATCTATCTAGTTCGCCAAAGCCGCCGGCGCAACCGTCATCTCCACCACCTCCTCGGCTGACAAAGCCGAACTCCTCAAGAAGTACGGCGCCGACCACGTCATCAACTACAAGGAGAACCCCAACTGGGGCGAGGAAGCGAAGAAGCTGACTCCAGGCGGCCTGGGCGTCACCCACATTGTCGAGGTCGGCGGTCCGACCAGCATGGCGCAGTCCCTCAAGGCCGTCAAGATCGACGGCGTCATCTCCATCATCGGCTTCCTAGGAGGCTTCTCCAAGGACCAGCCTTCGTTCCTGGAGTGCTTGAACAATATCTGCACCGTGAGGGGTGTGCTCGTTGGGTCGAGGCTACAGTTCGAGGAGATGAATCGCGCCATCGAGGCCAATGATATCCATCCTATCGTCGACGAGAAGGTGTTTGATCTGGACCATCTGAAGGATGCGTACGAGTATATGTGGGATCAGAGGCACTTTGGAAAGCTCACTATCAAGGTGGCCTAGGTCTAAGCAGACAGAAATGTGAAGTAATATCTAGCCCAATTGAAAAAATAGACTCCGTTAGAACGTACCACAGGTGTTGTTTTGTTGTCCTTGCCCATGTGCTCGGCCGCCACAATAGCAGCTGGACGCCTTCCTATTGGAGGCACAGGGTATCGACACTGCTTACATATGACTAACACTTTGCAGTCGGTACAACCTGCGAGCCTGGTATGCAGAACCAGCCTGTTCCAGCATCTAAAGCTGCAATTGCAGTACTTTTGACGTCGATCGCATCAAGGAGATGGATGTATAAATTGACCGGGAGGAACGGGACGTGGACGATCCTGATCATAGAAATGGACCGGACAGACAGGACCGGCGGAGGAAGCCTATGATGAGACCTCCCACGAAATATATGATTGATATATGATTAGACATGGAGAGTGACATGACAGGATAGAAATAGCAAGTATTACGAGCAGATAGAAAGGTGAATAACAACCCATTGATAAACCCTGGAAGGGACAGGCTTTTGAAACATCGACTCATTGACCAAGAAGTCAAAATGAGATAGCAATAAGCTGGAGGAGTCCAGCCGCCACATGCTGCTGTGATAGAAAGTGACACCAGAGAAGGATAAGTAAAAACAAGAAACAGACTCCCCTTTCAATATATAGAAAAGCAAAAACTCAAATACCTAAACACCAACTGCACCCGGACAAGCCAGATGGTCGTCATACTTCAACGCGGCATACCCCCGGCGCGCCATTTAGCTCCACGTACTCTTGCTCTAAGCGTCTATTCTGTGGAGTGCTGCTACGTTAGTCGTAGCGACAGGTCATCAAGGTGACCATCGCAGTGCACCGTTTCATCGGGCCAGCCGGTAGTTTTCTGAAAAGAACCAGAACCAGGCGGCCGAATGGCTTGCCTAATGGCTGCCTTGAACTCCCACTGCTAGCGGCGACTATATACTGAATCCACTTCGGACCGTCGTTTGCGTTTGGCATGATCGCCCTGCTGGCGCAAGGTGTCTTCTGAAGTTTCAGTCTCCCCATGGCTTCGCTTTCTCGAGATCGAACTATCAGCCCGTTCCAGATCCGCGGTTGGCTGCGGGCCTGCATTGTAGGCCTCGGTCGTTTTCTCCGCATTGTCCACGCCATTGATAGGGTTTTCTGCAAAATCGGATCCCGCATAGGTACCGTTGCTAGCTTCCGACCTCGGAGGGCTTGCCTGACCATTCTGCACTGTCTGGCCTTTGGACGGGTTCCAAGGATCGTACTGCGGCCCGTTGGGTGATAGATTGCGTTGCGCATGGGCCACCGATGAAGGGGGCGGAGGGTGTTGTGGCCTAACAGTTTGTCAGTTTATCGAACATTGTTCGACTATTGGCAGGGACTTACGGAGGTGGCGGCACCAGCGCTTTCTGCGGAAGTGCGGCATTTGCTGTCTTCTCCAGCAGAGAGAAAGGAATCTCGATGGGTTCGTCAGACGGCGGCTTCGGAGATCCGGTTACTCCAAGTCTGGCCAGGATATCTTCTTGCTCTTGGTTGGACTTTGGTGCTTTCGAACGGTCAAGACCTGAAGGCTGTGCATCCTCGGGCTTGCCGGACAGGGCTTGTTCGAGGTTGTCCATTACACTCCAATTAGAATCATGCATCTCCTCGTCTTCGGACTCCCGAAGCTCCAACGGTTCATCTGGTCTATCACGTTTGGCTATACATTCCTCCAGTGTGATGAGTTCCATGTCCTTCTCTTCAGGGAATACCACAAAAACAGGGTCATTTTTGATCTTATGCCAATCGTCTGTCTGTCGGATATTGAGGAAAGCCTGGTGGGCATTTTCCAACGAGAAGTACTCGGACACGGACTCTCCATTGCCCAGTTTCGGTGCAGGGGCCTTCAACGCCTGCTCTTCGGCCTGTTCGAAGAAGGCTGGTAGACATCGCGTCACTTGTTTCGCGGGTCTCCAGATAATAACACCCAGACTCAGATTCTGATCCACAGGTTCATTGGCCTTGGGCCAGATGGCACCTTCAAAATCGAAGTCCCAGTCATCCCAGCCTAGATACAGGGGCTTCTTCTCACTATCTTCTGTAGCAGGGTTATTCGGATCGGGAGCAGGTGCAGGATCTTGTGTCGAGCCAGGATGTCCAGAATGTGTTCCGGTCGGTGCTGGTGCAGCGCTGGGGTCTCCATTGGCTGCCGGTGGGTTATAAGCGACGGACGTCGGATATGGGGCCTGTGTACCATGCTGCTGCCACCCGTGGGGCTGAGCATACGGCTGCTGGCTGGGGTCCACTACGGCAGGCTGTGGTGGATATCCTGCATATGTCGCTTGCTGGGCCGCGTATGGGGGAGCTGAGTAACCTTGAGCTCCTGCATAGGCCGTTGATGGCTGAGTATATCCCTGGGGGGGCGGATAACCTTGCTGTGGGTATTGATATGCAGGCGCACCTGCATAAGGTTGCTGAGGATAGGGCTGCTGTGGTGGATAGGCTGGAGGTTGTCCATATGCGGAGGGTGGATATGTGTAACCCTGGGGGTAACCGGTAGGGGCAGAATAACCCTGCGCAGGATAAGTGGTGGGAGCAGCATAACCTAACCCATATGGAGGTTGGGGTGCCTGTTGGTGGTTCTGACCATAAGGTGCCTGCGGTTGTGCAGGTCCACGATATCCCGGAGGGGGAGGGTATCGAGTGATTATCGGGTTACCTTTCTTCTTCGGCGGCCTAGACAGCATTAGTAGTGGCCGGGGAGAGGGGCATGGAGAAGAAGAGAAGATAAATGCTTGGACGGATCCCATGAGACAACTATTATGGACGTACCGAGTATCGGGCGGCCGCTGGGGTGCCGTGCCAGCATACGGAGGTGCAGCAGGGTATGGTCCATAACTGGCTTGCGGCGCTGGCTGTGGCTGTTGAGCATTATATCCAGGCTGTCCAGTGGGGTATGAAGGCGGTGGATAGAGTGTGGTTCCCACCACAGGGGCACTCCAAGACATCCTCCCGCTGACGGATTATGATGAAGAGTAACGAGACAATTCTGAAAGGTGATCCCGTGGTTCGGAGGGCGAAATAGACTGAGAGTGGGAGGAGAAGTGACGAGGAAAGAGTCGTTGCCAAGAGAAGGGATGAGTGCGCGTCTCATGCATCAGAGCTAGGGGAAGAGAGATTCGGGGGTTGCCAAAACCAACGGATGGTGGACATTCCCTGGGCACACGGCCGCGCGTCGTCAAGATGGGAGAGTTGCCTCTATACTGAGAATGTACATAATATGGAGTTGTGTGAGATATATGTGGAGAAAGACCAGAGAGGAAAGGTGAGGAAACTGCTGATTATGGAGACTCGACCTCGGGATGGAGCAGCTATTGACTGACCGGCCAGGCAGTGCTGAAAGCAGGCGAACTGGAGACAACGGGATCCCAGAGTGTGCTGGACGGCTTCGGGATGGAAGCAGATGGATGTCGTTAGTGACTTGGAATTCGGTGAAGACTGAGCGACGTTAACGCATGAGAGAAGTTGTGAGGAGGACGAGGGGAAAGTTCTCAATTGGAATGTTTCGAGCGCCAAGTCACGTGAATCTGCGGAACGGCGCCCGCGCTCGGACCCCAGGCCCTCATCTGTGTACTTGTAATCACTGACTCCAGGAACGACCGCCACCCTTTCGCCGCGTATGCTTTGAGCTGCCGCCGCCGCTATACAGTACACTTCGTTCCCATGCGCGACCGAGGATGATTGTGAGGTACCGACACCTGCTCGCGACCAGTACAGACTCCTCCCCCTGAGTTTGTCGCGAATGTCGGGGTCCACCCGTACCGCCTCATATTACCATGCCCGGTCTTCCGTGTACGTCTTCAACCAGACAACTTGACCAGGATGCTTATGCTGACGTCCACCGTATAGCCACTGTCGATCTTGATGAATGTATATCCCGACTTTACAAGAAGGAGCTCCTGGCCGAGTCCGTCATCGAGGCAATATGTGCCAAAACGAAAGAGCTCCTTATGAAGGAGAGCAACGTCGTACACATTCGCGCGCCTGTAACTGTCGTCGGTGACATACACGGACAGTTCTTTGACATGATTGAGATATTCAAGATTGGCGGCTTCTGTCCAGACACAAATTATCTTTTCCTTGGTAGGCCTGACCCTCCCATGCGCATGGGTGTGTCCTATACATATACCTAACCTGTCTCCAGGAGACTACGTAGACCGCGGCCTCTTCTCCGTCGAGACCATTTCCCTCCTCGTGTGCCTCAAACTCCGCTACCCCCACCGCGTGCACCTCATCCGCGGCAACCACGAGTCCCGCGGCGTCACGCAATCCTACGGCTTCTACACGGAATGCAACCGCAAATACGGCAACGCCAACGTGTGGCACTACTTCACCGACATGTTCGACTACCTGACGCTCTCCGTCGTCATCAACGACCAGATCTTTTGCGTCCACGGCGGCCTCTCCCCCTCCATACACTCAATCGACCAAATCAAGATCATCGACCGCTTCCGAGAAATCCCCCACGAAGGCCCCATGGCCGACCTCGTCTGGTCGGACCCCGACCCAGATCGCGACGAGTTCTCCCTCTCCCCCCGCGGCGCAGGCTACACCTTCGGCGCCCAAGTCGTCCGCAAATTCCTCGAGATGAACAACATGTCGCACATCCTGCGGGCACACCAGCTTTGCAACGAAGGATTCCAAGTGCTATACGACGACAGGCTGAGTACGGTGTGGAGCGCGCCGAACTACTGCTATCGCTGCGGAAATTTGGCCAGCGTATTGGAGGTTAGTGACGCAGGGGAGAGATTCTTCAACGTGTTTGATGCGAGTCCGGATAACGAGGTGCATAGGCAGGAACAGCAGCAGCAGCAGGGCAAGGAGGTCACGACGGAGTATTTTTTGTAGTGCGGCTTCTGGATGCTAGTGATATGATGGCATACATGAACGTATTCGGAAGGGTACCGAAGCGTTCGAGCTGGTTAAGCAGTAGCGCGTACATAGCGGAGCTATGGATTTTATCCACAATGAATACTGAAATACCATGCCATCAATTCCTGGACTCGTGAACATCCTGTACACATGTTCCCTAGCCATTGTGTAATAAGTACAGTGCCAGTTCCGTAGCCTCAACCAGCTAACGTACACCAGCTCTGAGGGTATACAACTGCTGTCTCCTTAACACTTACCCCCTAGAAAACACTCCATTCCAAGCTGAGACGACCCTCTTTCCCTCACCCTCAAAAACATCTCCCTTCCCCCTCGTCTCCACTTGCTCACCTAAACCCCCATCACTTCCATCTTCTGAACCCGTAGTGTTGAATCACACATCATCGTCAGCAGACTTCACTAAGCGTAGCAACTCTAACCACCTACCTCCCACCACCATTCGAAGAGTACGATTCATCCTTGCTCTGGTGTTGTATTGCAGAGGTACGCACCAAGGTGATGGAAAGATGAGCCGCTCTCTGTAGTGAAGCTGTGATGCTTGTGCTGGTTTGAGGTATACTAACTATCGTCAAAGAGCTCGGGTAGTAGGAGATACTTGTATTATCTCCCTCGCAGCACCTTTCGAAGGGTCCGATTGAGTTATACTCTGGTGATTGTGAGAGAGGAATATGGCTTTCGTGCGTCGATGTAACGCTTTTTCATTACCTCTCTACATTACACCACGCACCATCAGCACAGATGCACAGGCCTGAATAGCAGCATCTTCAGCATCTAAGCTCCAGTACAAGTGTGAAAACGAGGCCATTAGTATGCTATCGTGAAAGTGGCAACTTCAAGTGCGTGTGCAATAGGGAGTATCACTTTGATGGGATCATCTTAAGGAAACGCCTCTGCACCATAGATCACGCACCAGTAGCAAAGCACTATATCCTCGAACCATTGCATTCCAATCATCTAGAGTACAAAGCGTGCAAAACCGCAAAGCTAGCAGTAACCATCGTGAAAAGAGGCATCACCATGCAGGTGTGCCATAGGGGGTATCACAATCATCCAGTCATCATGAGGGAAGACCCCCCCAAAACTCCTTTCCATGCATCATGATAGAGAAGAAAACGCGCCAAAACCATGCAAACCCTCGTCCATTACTCCCCATTGCGGAAAACGTATTGCAGAGAAAAACAGAGAACCGAAGCAGAAAACAGAAGCACAAAAGATAAACGTATTGACCCAGCAGAGAGAAAAGCCGCCTGAGGGGCGGGGGGTATCATCCATCCGAGACCGCCAGTAACTCCGGTGATGATGCGTGAAATTGAGGAATAGGACCAAATGGTGAAATGGTTGAGCGATACTGTAGTGAAGTTGCAACAGTCCGCGAAGTGGTGTTAAAGAAGAAAACATTCGTAGCGGCGCCAGTTTGGTTCGCCGTCGAGAAGTGTAAGAATCGGAACTGTGGAAGGCGTCTCCTCACAGTTCTCCATTGACATGTCCGGAGAGGAGGGTAGCCGCAATATGACGACGCGCCTCGTGCATGCCATCAGTGATTTGGACCAAACTCGGGTCCTCGGATCTGAGGAGTGCGACGGCGTTCAAGCAAGTGAAGACACCGCAGTCGCTCGCATTCAGCTGTTGCATAGACCTCTGATGCTGATCGTAGGTCCACTCGCTCTTTACAAAAGCGTCGCCTAGCTCCTGCTCAAGCCAGGCCAAAAGGAGATCGACAAGGTCCTTATCGGGTTTTCCAGACCTATGCAAAGAATCCAGATACTCGACAGTCCGCAATTGAGGCCGAACTGCCATTAGCCTCCAATGACTGCCTTTGCAAATGGGAATCAGTAGCAACTCCATATCAAGGAGGTTCTTCCCTCCAAACTGCTTCCTAGAAGCCCAACGCCGGACAGACTTGATGTCTTTGCTGGCATTGACATACCATTGCGACGGAAAGGCGTGCACTGGCGGGGCAGGACCGCCGGGTTTGTGTTGGTATCCCGCTTTCTTCTTCTCATGTTCGACTAGAAGGCTTAGATACTCATTAACAATGTTGTCGTTAAGCCAGGCAATAGGATTGCCGTTGAATTCGTGGGGAAGTAATGTCTTCAGGTCATGAGTATTGATCCCCTTGGCAAGATCCATGTGTATCCGACCCCCATTAGTCTTCTTGGATGCTTCAACAAGACATTTAAGCTGCTCGATGGACAGCTCAGGGAGTAATGGTTCAGGAGGAGGGGAAGGGCTTAACTCCTCAACGACAACGGGTGGCGATATCTTCTGATACATTGGCGAGGAGAGGATTTCCCGTTCCTCCTCAACCCCCTCCCCAGAGAGTACAGTAACGTCGAAGTGGACGTCCTCAAGGAACGACTCCACCTTCTCGGTAGCAAGACCATCTCGCAAAAATGTGCGGATGTGGGCCTTTTCCGCGAACCCTGTCTCCTTCAAAGGAGGTGCATCGTCCAGGGTTGACATCTCCTCAGTCCACATTGTCGGGAAGATCTGGGGGACATTCAACAGTTCAGCTGCGATAGCTGATCCGGTGGACTTCTTGTGTGTGTCCTCTTGACGAGTTCTGTCTGTGGCATTCTTGATGACTGCTGCAACCGCCTTCTTTTCGAGTTGATGCTGAGACTTTGAGGGCTTGCCTTTCGCAACTGGTGTAAGCAGAGTGCGCAGGGGTGATGGCCTTTGCTTTGCATGGGCAACGGGCGATAGCTTGGGGGCTAGCTCTGCTACTCGTTTATGTTTGGGGACTCCGGTTGGTGGGATAAACCGAGGAGTCGAAGTCAAGAGAGGGGTGGGCATCCCCTCGGAGAATGGGCTCAATGGCGTTGGCGTGAAGGTGACCTCGCCGACCGACAGCTGCGAGTCCACGCCCGGGGCACTGTGTGCTTGATCATTTCGATCCGTATCCTCGCTGGCCGTCGCAACACCCGTCAAGATACGAGTTGCAGGCTCCGCCGTAAGCTGCGCTTCGTGCTCAGTTGCTCTTCCAGTGGCTAACTCCGGCGTTGGCTCCACAGCTCTCTCAGCATGGATGTGGGTGGCAGGAGCAAGCTCAGCAGTGTCCACGGTTGTGTCAGAAGCCTCGCTGTCGAAGGAATCCTCCATAGGCACATCGCCAAACAGGTGCTGGGACCCATCATCGGAAGACTCATCGGAGGAACCCTCGGAAAGATAAATGTCGTAACGTGGGATATGATGTTCCTTGGGCTGAGTACCAGGATAGAGAGTTCGGAACGCGCATTTCTCCCATAGTTCTCTCGCCTCGAGCTCCGAGGCCTCGGATTCCGCAGGCGGACTTGTAAAACTCCTGTCTCCCTCGAACTCGAGCTCCAAAGGTTTAACACTCAGAAAGTCATCGATGCTGGACCGAATTGGGCGGTTCTCGACTGGCAGGTCTGAGTCTTGGTTAGGACCTTGGTCGATGAAGCGCCTCTTTCGAGCACCATCTGGGCGATTGACGGGCTCCGCGCGGACACGACGTCCTTGGGTGTAATCCCGATACAGTTGTACCGTCGCGTGACAAAGGGCCCGCAAGGTTTCAAGAGGTTGTTGTGCTATGCGCATGACCATTCCTACAAGAGCAGTGCGCGCGCCGTCGGAGGGTATGTCGGGGACATAGACAGGTTCCCATTGACCGGGGATGAATCCCAGCGCAACTTGAGCCGGCGTCTATGGCGCAAGATTAGCAGAAGTCTGTTGCAGGGAACAGCAGGTACAGACCTGCGTGGGGAAGCCGCGACGCATAGGACCGCCGCGACGGCGACGTTGCTGGGGGCTTGACATGGATGCAATGCGCGGGAGAGACTGGCGAGGCAAGGCACCGGGCGCAGGCTCCTGGATTGAGGAGAGTTTGCGCTTAGGCATCGCGCAAGCAGAGTGGGGAGGAGAGCAGTGTGTATGTTTGTGGTGTGCAATTGTATCGCGGGATGTTGTGGTTGTGGGTGGAAAGTTGTGTAGAGAATCTATGAAGAAAGCTCTCTCTGTCTCTCTCTCTGTGTACGACAACAAGCGGCAACCTCGCCGAACAAGCGCGGGGCCAGCCGCAGTGCCAAGATTCTATGTAGCCACACCTGATCATGTGATTTTTTGGAGCACGAGCCATGCCAAGATGAGCAACCCGCCAAACAAGTGTGTGGATTTCATCAGTGCTGGGGGGGATCATCCAGCAAGCTTGTTTGAACTTCCCCTCCCCCAATCCTGTAAACCATCTGCCGCCATACATACCCACGATATCTAACCCGATTCCTCTCCTTCGACGCCATCATCACCCTTGCATACTCGAGTCCCTGCCAATCGCCCCGAGTCCCTTGCTTTAACCCACCTCATTGACCAGGTGGGAAGCGACTGTCGCCCGCTCGACGAGCACCGCCCCTCCTCGATTCCACAACCATGGACACCAACATGGAGGACGTCAACGTCAAGATGCCCGATCCGATGCAGCTGTCCTCGGTTCCTGCTACTGAGCCGGCGTCTATTCCCACCCTCGACGGCTGGATTGAAAGCCTCATGCAATGCAAACAGTTGGCAGAGGCCGATGTGCAGAGGCTGTGTGAGAAGGTATGCCCCCCGCTTCAATCACACCGTGCGCCCAAAGCTAATAGGCATGCTATTTCCTAGGCGCGTGAGGTCCTTCAGGAAGAGTCGAATGTGCAGCCGGTGGTAAGTGGTCTGCCTTATCGGTCAAGTCAACCAGGCGTTTGACACCTGCCAGAAATGCCCAGTCACTGTCTGTGGCGATATCCACGGCCAGTTCCACGATCTCATGGAGTTATTCAAGATTGGAGGCCCGAACCCCGACACAAACTATCTGTTCATGGGTAGGCTATCCGCCCTAGCAGCCGTTCTATGCTGACACTGTCAGGGGACTATGTCGACCGAGGATACTTCTCAGTAGAAACAGTTACTCTTCTTGTTGCACTTAAGATTAGATACCCACAGCGCATCACGATCCTGCGCGGAAACCACGAATCCCGTCAGATCACACAAGTATACGGCTTCTACGATGAATGTCTACGGAAGTATGGCAACGCCAATGTTTGGAAATACTTCACCGATCTCTTCGATTACCTTCCCCTCACCGCTCTCATTGACAACCAAATCTTCTGTCTTCACGGAGGACTGTCGCCTAGTATCGACACCTTGGACAACATCCGCGCGCTCGATCGCATACAAGAGGTGCCCCATGAGGGCCCCATGTGCGATCTGCTCTGGTCGGATCCCGATGATCGCTGCGGCTGGGGAATATCTCCCCGAGGCGCCGGGTATACCTTCGGCCAGGATATCTCGGAGGCGTTCAACCACAATAACGGCTTGACCCTCGTTGCTCGCGCTCATCAACTTGTAATGGAGGGATACAATTGGTCGCAGGACAGGAATGTGGTGACCATATTCTCAGGTAAGAAATACAGTGGAATCCATGATGCGGTTCGATTCCTGACATGTACAGCTCCGAATTACTGCTATCGATGCGGAAACCAAGCAGCCATCATGGAGATTGATGAGCATCTGAAGTATACATTGTGCGTATATTCCGGATGGATGTTGAGTGTACTTGTATTGACTTGCATAGCTTACAATTTGACCCATGCCCGCGGGCGGGTGAGCCTATGGTTTCGCGCAGAACTCCAGACTATTTCCTGTAGACGGACCGTGTTGTTGCTTCTGGAAAAACCCCGTATCGGATGGAGGCATACACGTAGTGCGACTCTGCGAATAGACAGTTCTGCTACCTCGTTTTCGCATGCCGAGCGGCTAACAGTGATTTGAGTGCGAGCCGACATTGGGAGGGTTGCGGCGCTACCTTCGACAGCAGTCTGTCCCTGTATCACTTGCAAGCTCAACCGAAAGTCGAGCGTACACGTAGTAATGTATTTGGGAGGGTACTCCCCCCGGCAAGGTCGAGGACTTGATGGCAATGCGTTTCATCCATATCAATGGCCCAGCAAATGGAAATCAGGCGATTCCATTCTAGCGTCCGATGTGCAATGATTCAAATACTGAGATTTCAATGTTGTTCCTCTTTGATCTATATGCATACCTGACTTCTTCCTTGATTGCTCGGTACTCTATCTAGGGACATCAGGAAACCCCAGACATCCAAAAAGGGCAGTGTAATTGATTTCCGAGGACGCGTCTTGCACGTGACTAGAAACGCGTCGGGAACGCGATCCTGGACCCTAAAATTCACCCTCAAACACCCCCACCAGCGCATACACACATCTACTCCACGCTCGACCAAAATGCCCTCTCTGTTAGACGCCGTCCTCAATTCGGATTCTGCGCCGACCCCTTCGAGTGATGTGGGCAATGCACATGCTTCCCGTCGAATGCGCGGTTCCTCCGCTCGACCACGCGGTCCCCCTTCAGAGAGCGCCGGCGCGAATAGCGATGTGGAGGGTTTCCCAGAGGATGAAGTCCTAGGCGGAAGAGTTCCTGGACGGAGAGTGAATGGCCCCAGAACGGATATTCCGAAAGTCGTGGATGTTACAGGCGAAGCTCTATCTGCGAGATTTCAGGAGTTCTTGGAGAGGTAAAGGCCCTTGTACGCGTTGGAAGTCGGGCATCTAATAAGGAAATGAACAGTTTCAAAGAAGACCTCACGTCCTCAGAACAACCGATTTCTAGCGCTCCAACAGACGACCGCTACTACATTGCCCAAATCCATGGCTTGAAACTGCATAACTTGTCCACATTATACGTCGACTACAACCATCTTCTGGGCCATGGAGACGGCGTCGTTGCTACAGCTGTGGCGAGCGAATACTACCGCTTCTTGCCTTACATGGTCCGCGCTTTGCACAATCTGATAGCGAAGTATGAACCGGAATACTTCCGGGAACATCGCCAGCCAGCATCCACATCATCCGTAACGGCGGCTTCAAACGCAGGGAACGCCATGAGTCAGAACGAGAGTATCAGCGAGAAGAACCCGAATCAGCAAACGGACAAACTCTTCACCATAGCCTTCTACAATCTCCCGTTGGTATCGCGAATTCGCCAATTACGCACATCTTCAATTGGACAGCTCCTGTCTATTTCTGGAACCGTTACCCGCACATCAGAAGTGCGGCCTGAGCTTTCGGTGGCCACATTTATATGCGAGGCTTGCAATACCGTAGTTCCGAACATCGAGCAGACATTCAAATACACAGAACCTACACAATGTCCGAATCTTCAGTGCATGAACAGGGAGGGCTGGCGTCTAGACATCCGGCAATCCACGTTCGTCGACTGGCAGAAAGTCAGAATTCAGGAAAACAGTTCAGAAATCCCGACGGGCAGCATGCCTCGAACCATGGATGTCATTCTGCGAGGAGAGATGGTAGATCGCGCCAAAGCTGGTGAAAAGTGCATCTTCACGGGTACTGTCATTGTCATTCCGGATGTCAGCCAATTCCGAGTGCCAGGTGTCAGAGTGCAAGCTCAAAGGGATACCTCGAGCCTGGCGCGTGGGAATGATGTTGGCGGCTCTGGTGTGAGCGGCCTGAAGGCCTTGGGCGTGCGTGACCTCACGTATCGCATGTCTTTCCTGGCGTGCATGGTGATCCCAGACACATCGACACCAGGTCAGACATCCAACCATCATCTCACGGGTCGAGCCGAAAACATTCTCGCCTCTCTGAATCAGGGGCAAATTGAGGACCCTTCCGCCAGCGGAGAAGAAGCACAGGCAGAGTATCTTTCCACTCTGACTCAAGCAGAGATCGCCGACCTCAGAGAGATGGTCCATAAGCCTAACATCTTCATGCGACTGGTGGATTCAATCGCGCCCATGGTCTACGGCCATCAGGTGATTAAAAAGGGCCTTCTGCTCCAGTTGATGGGCGGTGTCTCCAAGGAGACTCCCGAAGGCATGGCCCTCCGTGGAGATATCAACATCTGCATCGTCGGCGACCCCTCGACATCCAAATCGCAATTCCTCAAGTACATCTGCAGCTTCCTCCCCCGCGCGGTCTACACCTCCGGCAAGGCGTCATCCGCCGCCGGTCTCACCGCCGCGGTAGTCAAGGACGAAGAAACCGGCGAGTTCACCATCGAAGCCGGAGCCCTCATGCTCGCAGACAACGGCATCTGCGCCATCGACGAGTTCGACAAGATGGACATCGCGGATCAAGTCGCCATCCACGAAGCCATGGAACAGCAAACCATTTCCATCGCGAAAGCCGGTATCCAAGCCACCCTCAATGCCCGTACATCCATCCTCGCAGCCGCGAACCCAGTCGGCGGCCGCTACAACCGCAAAGCTACACTGCGCGCCAACGTTAACATGTCTGCACCGATTATGTCGCGTTTCGACCTCTTCTTCGTCGTGCTCGACGAGTGCGACGAAAACATTGACCGCCACCTGGCCGAGCACATAGTCGGCATCCACAAGGACCGCGACGATGCCGTGCAGCCCGAATACAGCACCGAGCAACTCCAACGCTACATCCGCTTCGCCAAAACGTTCAAGCCCGAATTCACGCCAGAAGCGAAAGGCACGCTCGTGGAGAAGTACAAGGAACTCCGCGCCGACGACGCACAAGGCGGGATCGGAAGGAATAGCTATAGGATCACGGTCCGGCAGTTGGAGAGCATGATTCGTCTCTCTGAAGCCATCGCCAAGGCGAATTGCGTCGAGGAGATTACGCCTGAGTTTGTCAAGGAGGCGTATAATCTTCTCCGGCAGTCCATCATCAGTGTCGAGAAGGATGATGTCGAGATCGAGGATGATGATGACGAGGCTCTGCTTGCGGCTGCTGCGGCTGCGAAACAACAAGATGGGGATGCCGCGATGGCTGATGGTGAGCAGCACGACGCCGATGGCAGCAGAGCGCGCACGACGAGTCGGACGCCGGCGCCACCGAGAGAAAAGACGGCGATTACATTCGACAAGTATGTCGCTATGCGGAACATGTTTGTCAAGCGGGTCAATGCGGATCAAGAGGCCGCGGAAGACGGTGTCGAGGAGCAGGAGCTGATCACTTGGTACTTGGAGCAGAAGGAGGCGGAATTGGAGACGCAGGAGGATTTGGAAAAGGAGGCCAAGTTGGCGAGGAAAGTTTTGCGAAAAATGGTCAAGGTGAGATAGGGCCCCTATTTTCTCGTGTGCGATTCTCGCGGTGATGTGGGATGGTTTGCTAACGGAGAGGGACAGGAGAATTACCTTATGCTCATCCGCGGCGAGGGTCTCGCGGACGAGCAGGGCCAGGGTCAGCAGCAGCAGCAGGCTACCAAGCTGGTTTATGTGCTGCATCCTATGTGTCCGGTGGAGGACATTGTTTAAGAATTTTCGATGTGGTGGACTTATGGATATGGCATCCTGGTTTTCTGCATGTGGCATGGAGGGGGGGAATAAATGGCGTTACGAATGGAACTGGTACATAGGGCGCCTTCTGGTTAAGGCGAGTAGGATAGCTCGATACCTAGGTATATTGTGTTGACCGTAAGGAAGCATGCGTATTCTTCACTAGTCCAGGTGGGTACTGCTAGACGAGTATGTCGCGACACTACCGGAAGTGATGGAATATCGCGGTATGAATTGGAACTATAATTCATTTGGTCTCATGCAAGAGACTGGTATCATTTACTATCCGCCAGTACGCCGTGATACGAATAAAAGAGTGTTGCCTCCCAAACGCCAGTCCCAGCCATATGCCCAGCCCTCGGAATAGCAATAAGACATCGGTTGGTTGTAAGTCAATACAGATCATATCGTCGTTAGGGGCGTCGCACGTGTGGCAGCGGCCACATTTGAGCCGGCGGCAGTGTTGGCACTTCTGCGCCAGAGACAGCGGCGTGAATTTTGCATGGAATAGCGGCGCCACCCTATGATACCATGTCCCCGCAGTCGTGATTACCGTTGGTCTCCTCCGCGCCATCCTGAGCGCCGTCAGAGGTCAAGGGCAAGAATGGGGGAATATCTAGGCCGGCAGCCCTAGCCTTGTCCTCGGCCCAGGTCCGAAGCCGAACTAAGCTGCGCAGCTTGGATTCGCCTCTGGCGCCCATGCTCTCTAATATGGCCTTATTTACGCGGCTTGCAACATCTAGCCGTAGCGACGGCTTAAGAAGTTCGGCATATGGTGATTGGACCGGACCATCGCTGGGGAGAATGATGAGGAGACACATGGTCACCTCGAGCTCCCTGAGGAAGTCCGGGTTCGTAGCCGCGAGAGGAGCAACCTCCATCTGTGAGAACTCCAAGGCGGGCGAGACGTCGGGTTCAGGCGACGAAGTGCATTTACGGATGAGTTCAATTAGTTGTAGTTTGAGCAGCGCAAAATCCAAAGGAAGATCTTTGTCAAGGATCTATACATTGCAGTTAGTAGATGCGATAACAGACAAGATAACGATGCAATGGCGTGGTAACTCAAAATCATACTGAGGACTGAAGGTTTGTGTATCATCAGAGCCCGAAGACTATGCGTGGTGCATGAAACAGTGTATAATCATAAGAGAGGCCGGCAATAAGGTATGGATAAGCAGAGATTTCAACTTACCTCGGGATTGAGGTCGTTGATTTGGTTGCGGGCACTTTCGATGTCGCCAGAGAGAATAGCTCTCCTGATAGTAACCCGTGCCTGTATTGATCCTTCTATGACTGGGTACTTCAGGTTGGCCTCCTTTGCGAACTTCTCAGCAGCTAGGGGATATCCTTCGGTAATCAGATAATCCATAACGACGAAGTTGATGTCTCTAATCGCGTTTCAGTCAGCACAGTTAGCACACATGGGAGCCGGCTAACGAAGGGGTAAGTTCTGTAAATCAGATATACAAGCTAATAAAGTCTCCACATAGATGTTCGGAGAGATTCCCAACTTGATTTGGCAACATCATATGTATAACACCTCTCGGAAGAGAGAGAAGATGGGAGGATGGACATACGATTTGGGGATTTTGACGTCGTCGACACGTCTTTGGAACGCGTGTTGCGTTGGCGTCGGAACTGACACCGTGGATGAGCTCTACTACCTCAGTCAGCGCCGTCTATGTGCAGGTCGAAGCAAACGTACCATGGTGATGGGACCTGAGCGGTCAATTACATCTCTGACAGTCTGAGAGCGAAGGCTGCTCGACAGGAGCCGAGATGCCGTAAACTACGCCGCGGATGGGTGCGAATGTTTGGAATGTGGGAGGGTGAAATGGTGGGAGTGGTGAGGGAACATCGCAGGAGCAGAAGAAACCGCATCTTAGCGCAGCTTGGCACTCTAATTACATAAGCCATTGTTTGAGTTCACACTTGTGGACCGAGGCTTCCAATCTTCTTCTACATAAAATCGACTTTCGCTCTGGCATAGGTTGGCTTTGGCGTTCGCTTTCCAGCCCACCGCCGCTGCACAAGATTTCATTATGATATGACCCTGTGGTGGAGTTCCGGTGGACAGCCATGCCGACCACCGCCCGAAATCAATATTCTCCCCCTTGGGGCAATGCGAGTATCATTGGGGTAGCTGGAAGTTCTGGATCTGGCAAAACTTCCCTTGCATTAACTATTGTGGCCTCTTTAAATCTCCCCTGGGTGGTTATTCTGTCTATGGTACATGCTGAGTTTCGTTCTGCATTTACAAGGGATTTTCTGACTTTCACCGGAGGACTCCTTTTATAAGCCCTTGACCCCAGAACAGTCGGCCGCTGCCTTCCGGAACGAGTATGATTTTGACTCCCCAGAAGCAATAGATTTTGATGTTTTGGTGGAGCAGTTACGCGCCATCAAGCAAGGGTACGTAATTTTCTGCCGCAGGATGAGGTTGTAGATGGACTTACAGATAGCTTCAGCAAAGTGGCAGAAATACCAGTTTACTCTTTTGAGAAGCATGCCAGGCTGGAAAATACTACGACCATCTATTCGCCCCATGTTGTAATTCTAGAGGGGATCTTCGCACTCCATGACCAGAGAGTATTGGACCTGCTCGACTTGAAGATTTTCGCGGAGGCGGATGCGGACCTCTGTCTTTCGAGAAGATGTGCGTACGCACGAGCATAGTTGAATGGCATATCGCTGACTCGAGTTAGTGGTACGAGATGTGAAAGAACGCGGGCGTGATATTGACGGCTGCATCAAGCAATGGTTTGGTTTCGTCAAACCAAACTTCTATAAATATGTCGCGCCGCAGCGGGAATGCGCAGATATTATCGTCCCACGTGGCATCGAAAATAAGGTTGCAATCGCCATGATCTCCCATCAAATTCAACGGACGTTGACCACCAAGTCCACTCTGCATCAAGCCGAACTTCAGAGATTGGGTCAAATAGCAGAGGAGTCACCACTCTCGCCGAACGCTATCGTGCTTGAGCAGACAACCCAACTCAAAGCCATCCACACCATGCTCCTGGACCCAGGGACGAGCAAGGAAGACTACATATTCTACTTCGATCGCATGGTAGCCCTGCTCATTTCTAAGGCAATCGACTTTCTGCCGTTTGAACCGCACCAAGTCATGACGCCTCAAGGGTATCTCTACATGGGACTACATAAAACCGCGGACATGAGCGCCGTAGTTATTCTGCGTGGCGGAAGCGCTTTCGAAACGGGACTACGTCGTACCATCCCGGATTGCCGAATGGGAAGAATTCTTATACAAACGAATGCTAAAACAGGAGAGCCGGAGCTGCACTATCGGTCCTTACCTTCGAACATCAAGGACGATGGGCTTGTCATGCTCTTGGATCCACAAATGTCCACTGGAGGGGCTGCTCTCATGGCTGTGAGGGTGCTGGTGGATCATGGTGTCCCAGAAGACAGGATAGTCTTCGTGACGTACATGGCTGGGCCCATCGGGGTGAATAGGGTACTCAGCGTTTTCCCCGATGTTAAGGTCGTCATAGCTCGAATGGGAGAGGATATGGAGGACCGATGGGTAGAAACAAGGTACATGGGATGCTAGTATGGCCAAGTTTCCATGTTCAATGGAACAAAATCACCGAAGGAGCGAGGGGTTGGTTCGATGTCTCGGATGGAAATGAGGATGTTGGGGACGCAGTGAATTGAGTTGTTAGGGAGGGTGTTGATGCGATGTTGGGCGAGGATCTGAAAGCCATGGGCGAGAGAGTCGCAAAGCTATGATAAGTGCGTCGGCATGGTACGGGTATTAGCGTCGCAGAAAAGCGTCTGCTAATACCTCCTATAGGCCTGGACTTCCGTTGAAAGGTCCCGGGTTGGGCCACCTCGGGTAGAGGGCATCATCAACCAGTGGAAAGCATGTGCTTTAGATATGCTGAAATACCCTAGGCTACTACCGAAAAGCACTGCCCAGAGACCTATCTCCAGCATGCCCCACCTCCTTACTCTACATTGATGCGGTACCGACTCACGTGACATCTCGGTAGTTGCATCCTCTACAAAGAGCTGGCAAATGTTGGGGCAATACTTTAATCTATTCACCCTGGCGCCTATGGGAATTCGACCGCCGTGGTCAGTTTCAACATAAACGCCCAGGCTGTCGAGGGTTAATCAGATACCCAAGGAGGCTCAGTGCATGGGTAGTCATATGCGGCTTCATCGCTCATAGGCCAGTAGGCGTTGTATTACAGTGTTGATATATGAAGTTGATAACAGCACCTCAACGCTTACTCAGTAAACAGGATTAGACTATTCAAGACGCGAGTTGCAGATTTAAATCCTGCGAGTACCGCCCTTCACTCCCTTCGACACATGGTCCCAGAAGAACTGGTCACTGCAGTTGACCAGCTCTCTCCTTGCTTAAACAATGAAGTGGCAAACGTTCTTCCTTCCGATGGGCATTGCCCACGCCGCAATCCGCTTCGGCTGCTCCCAAGTCTCCATCCAACGCCTCGATCCCGTCGTGCAGCCTGGCATCATTCCTTCCGCTCACGTCCATCAAATCGTCGGCGGCAATGCATTCAACGCCACCATGACGGGTGACATTGGCGAGCAGGCGTCATGCACCACTTGCGCATACACCGAGGATTTCTCCAATTACTGGACAGCAGTCATGTACTTCAGACACCAGAATGGCAGTTATAAGAGGGTAAAGCAGTATCCTAATGCTCAGTTGGGAACTCTGGGGAGGAACGATAGTACAATCAACGGCGGAATGACGATTTATTATACGCAGAAAGACTTTTACAATAATGGTCTCAACGAGACGAGGATCACTGCGTTCCCGCCCGTAAGTAGCACGAACAAGCTTCCTACGATCGTGTTCCCAGACCTATAGGTAGTTTAACGCGAACAATATGCTAACAAATTCCTCTCAGGGATTCCGCATGACCGTCGGCAACCCAGCAACCGACAATCTCGAAACCGCACAAAAGCACAAGGGGCTCCGCTACACCTGCCTTCAAACCGTCCTAACTCGCGGCTTCGAGACACCAGACTTTCCATCCGAGCCGTGCCCTTACGGTATCATGGCTATTTACCATTTTCCAAGCTGTTGGGATGGAAAAAACCTCGATTCTCCCGACCACCAATCCCACATGTACGACACCACGCTTGGCGCATTCCGGGAAGCTGGACCTTGCCCTCCCAGCCATCCCGTGCGTGTACCCCAGCTTGCCTACGAGACTATGTGGAATACAACCGAATTTAATGATATGTGGCCCAAAGACGGTAGCCAGCCGTTCGTATGGAGCTTTGGCGGAACGAGAGGATATGGGACGCATGCGGACTATGCATTTGGGTGGAAGGGGGATAGTCTGCAGCGGGTTATGGACGATAATTGCTTCTTCCATGACTGTGGTAGCCCAGGGGTGCAGGGCATTCTGAAGACGCAGACTGTGGAGGAGATGAATGCTTGCGCGGTGAAGAATACGGTGGAGGAGGATACGGAGGGGTGGTTGGATGCGTTACCTGGTGCAGGTGAGGCACCGCCGATGGTGCACAGAAGGGCTGTGGGCTTTCAGGCTTGAATTTAAGTCGATTTTCGACAACGATTTGGTTAAGCAGATGGCTAGGGGTTGAGAAGGAAGTTCCGCCACTACGGCTCAGGGGAGTTAGGTGCAAATCATTGGGTCCACAGTACATTGAAATAGAAACTGGTACCGCTATTAAGGTGTATCAAACCCCTCTTGCACCCGGCTTGAATATACGATACTCTTCTGGCTGTTTAGTGCTATTACTACTGAACTGTTTCTACCCCCAATCCCGTCATCACGACTCAACCTCGCCCTCCTGACTTAAAAATGGATATAATGTTCAAACCTATCCCGACCCACCATCGTCCTCCCAAAATCCAGGCTCACGCTCCAATCATACTCTTCCACCGTAACATTCCCATCTGCCACCTTCGTAACCCACGCCACATGTCCCGCAGGACCGGCAAGTCACAGCCACACAACTCGCCCTGGGGATCCCATTCACCATGACGCCCGCGCGTCGCGCAGCATTGACCCAGTTATTCGGATTGCCGAAACGCTGCCCTCTGTAGACGATCCTGAACTGCTCGGCGAGCCGGTCGTTTTTGTGCCAGGCGACGAAGGATTCACTTTCCCACTTGTTGAAGTTCCAGCTGTCGCGGCCGCTGCCGCCAGGGCAGGAGGATTTGTATGGGTAGTCGTTGGCGCGAGAGACGAAGACGACGTTGGGTTGAATGTCCTCTGTGGCGGGGACAGTAGAATCGGTGAGGAGAGCGTAGCTCGAGAGGGCTAGGAGGGTAAAGATGGCTAGGAACTTCATAGGGATGGCTTGAGTGGCTAGTGGACTAGTGGGTTGAGAGGATTCGAGCGATTTCAATGCCCAGAGTGGTGGTTTATGAGTGGCTCGCTGGACAGTGGCCTACGGTGCTCGATGGTAAGGTACCTTAGGATAGGGCAATCTTTTGAAGAGTCCTTCCCTTGCATTTATACTCGATTTTGTAGGCACCTTCTACCCGTTGTTGGCACAGGAAGGAACATTAGCATCTAGTATTCCCTCTTGATGAATTAGAGCTAATTGCGAACATTCGAATCTACTAGACAAACGCTGGGGGTGATAATTCGCTAAGTAGGAAAACCTAAATTCTCAGGATAAGCTTTAGATGTGCGTAAACGCTAGGCGTAGGCAAACGCGAGATGTCAATAGCAGATAGGACATTAATGTCCAATCAACCGATCAGACGCTGGCTGCAGAGAACTCGTAGGGTTTAAAAGTTTGTTAGAGGGAAGATTCGCTATAGGAGGATGCCCCAATGAAGCTAATCCTAGAAATAGGACCGGCCAGTCATTCGGTAAGCATATCCTAACTCAGAACCTCTGAGGCATCAATTGGGATGGATTATGCCTGAACATGCTCGGAAGTCCCTTTCGGCGCAGGTCTGATCGCAGTTCAGTTTCAAATCCGGAGAGAACTTTGTGTGAGGGCAGATTGCACTCTGTCATCTACCAGTAATAGCGAAGCGTTTTCCTCCTACACAGTCTTTAGAGCAGCGTTGCCAACGGTCAGCTCCCCCGTAACTGGAGTCTCGAAATTTCCACCTACGGTGGAGGATCGCTCTAGTTCCTGCCTGTACTACATACAAGATTGGCATCTACGGCCGTAGCGGCAACGGTTTAAATCGAAGAGTTGAAGCTACTGTACTTCGATTTAAACCGTTGCCGCTACTGTACAGCGTAACTACGGGAGAGCTGTCGGCTACCGTAGTAGAACCATCCCTGTTTTGACAAGAGGCCAGCTCCTTCCTGTAAATGTATCTACTAGGTAGGGTAATTAAGCTTACTGCTGACGGCCTTCTAGAGGATTCCTTAGATATCTAACAAAGTTCGGCTGGGGCACGGTTAGTAGCACCTACTACTGCAAGCCGCCAGCTGCAACACTACAAAACTAGCTAATCAGCAGTTACGGCATCTACGGGAGCTTTCCTACACCTACGGACTGTATTACCTACAGCAGGGCCTAACATCAGCTCTTAACTGCTGAGCTAAGTCGTAACCCGTAATAGATACGGCCCGTAGTACTGACTGTTGAGAACGCTGCTTTACAGATGGAAATGGTCCGGCCAAAAACACCTGCTCAAACTCAGCAATCAAAGCTACGGGCACATCCCGGTTCAATTCCTCCTTCTCCCAACCAAAGAAGCCGATCCAACCGTCAATCGCCGCTGCCCTCCGCGAGATGCTGCTACGCCATAAATTCTCGGCGTTCTTCCATGCTGAAATGGAGTCAGAGCCATCAACGGAGCAACGATAAGTCGGCAAACAGCTGGTCTGCGCTAGGATACCGGAGGAGGGAATGCTCGGGTCCGGCACGCCATCTGTATTGACATCTTTGGAAATTGCTTCCATGGCGTTGAATTCTGGAATCATCCCCATTAAGGTGGGCTTCGGAACGTGGAATTGAAGAGACATTGGAAGAGAAATTGTGGGGTTGTCTGGTTTGAGCAATTCCGAGTAATCGCCATTGGGGATGGAAGGGTCCGCATGTTGATCATCTGAAGTACGGTATCAGTATCCATGCTTTGAAGGTTGATGGTTGCCGTCACTGATTGGCATGAAGAAATGAGATTATTTGGACTTACAGCAACTCCAGATTGACGATGGAGCCAACTTGGTGACGACTGAGATTCCAAACTCGCCAATTTCATCCTGAGGAACATCGGGGGACGTTATAGTCACCTTCAGGGAAGAACTGTCGATTCTTTCATCAATGTGCATCGGCTTGATGAAGAATGTGCAGTCGGCAGGGTCGAATTTGACCGGTGTCGCACCGTTGCAAGAGTACTCGGTAAAAGGAACTTTGCTATCTACTCGAAAAGAAAAGGTGCCGGCGCGAACCATCCAGTCTGCCCCGGCACTGAGCGGACCAGTTGTCAATTTCGATTGTGGCTTTACTTGGGCCGTAGGCTCTGATTCGACACTTGGAGCTGCCGGCGGTCCACCTTGGGCTGGTGTGTGCATCTGTGCCTTGGACGGAATGGACCCAGAGACAACGTTGAAAATGAAAGTGGTATTTGCGCCTGCAGTGGCAGGGACATCAGCAGGTAGCTTAGCCCCGTGAGCGGCTAAGCTGGCGTTAGTGCTTTTTTGCACCAGTAAATCCCAAAATTCATTCCAAATAAGGGCGCGAGGAGTAACAGGCGAGTGGCCAAAGGCAATGTCAAAGCCGAAGACCCAGAAGTCGACATGGGCAATACCACCGAAGGGCGGGCCCTCGATCTCGAGTGTAGCACCGATGTCGCAGCTTATATGGAGCGTAAAGAAGAAGAGGTCCATCGAGAACTCGATACCAACTGAGACGCCGATATCACCTTGGAAGTAAAATTTGTTGAAGTTGATCAGGAAATCGGCGTACGCGTCGAAGTGGGCGGATAGAGGACCAAGAATGAACACCGCGGAAAGACTGCCCCCACCCATTGCCGCCTTGGGCGTGATGGCAAAATAGGCTGCCCCAGTCATGCTGAGGTTAGAATCCAATTCCCTATTTAGCGGTTTAGTAATGTCATAAGCGCAGATTTTGAAACTCACCAGCTTATAGATATTCTCTCGCACGACGGGTAATGTTGAGGGGCATGGTAGGCTGGATGATACCTAAAATGAAGACAAATTGTTAGTATTCGTGTCAACTGTCTCGTAAACCTTGGGCTTTGCGATACTTACCCACCAACAGTATAAACCCAATCCCCGGCATAGAATGATTTGCCGAACCAATACCGCATTCCAAATTGACCGCCCAGATGACAGGCTGGGTCTAGAAGGAATGAATTTGGGGCAAGCTTCCCGTCAGCCATCATTGAACCAAGATCAAAGGTGACACAGGAAACAATCTGTATCTCGGCATAGACAAACGAGTCGTTTGCATCGCTTCCGTCTCCAGGCAAGGCCGCGATAGCATCAGCGAAGATGTGGAGACTAACGCTGGGTTGTAGATCCACAACTACAATAGCACTCACGGTTAACATCTCAAAGGCAACAATCGTCAAACCTAATGCAAACCAGAGAGAGTCATTCTTTGGCGACACCCATGGCGTCGGATCTGTTAAGGGGACTGGAGCACAGAAACCGGATAGGATTTCGAGGGGGTTGTTGTTGGCACTGGTGGATGGTATCAAGCTTTGTGACTGGATAAACGGGAAGATCGAGAGCTGCGGGAGATCGGGATTCCGTAACCTGGAATTGTAACCAAACCCCAGTTTGACACCAACGATTTCCATGAACCCCAAGTCAAGAATAGGGCCATCGAGCTCGCCGTACACAAAGATTGTCTTGAATTGTGCCGGTGTTCCCGTTGCAGGCTTTGGCGGTTGCTCGCTGGCCGGCCATACCATGCCGCTCACATCTTCGTCCATCTGGCCATACGTCCCAACTGCCATGAACGTGTAAGGCTCCATTGAAACATCGACACCCCCACTATAGATCTCATCTCTCTTGACGAAGAGACCAGCAATGGTCAGAGGCGGTTGATTAAAATCCGCCTGGAGCCCGTCGAGATACGGGGTCACAGTGATGTTCCTGAAATCAGCCAAAGTTGATTTCTCTCGGAAGGTGAATTCTAAGCGCAAGTTAAGCACGCCAAACTCAATCGGGCCGATCTGAAGACTGGCATCTAGATGGATGGAGAGTCGTTCCCCTGACACCTGTAGACCCATGTTCGCAATGGACAAGGGACCGAAGGTTCGATGCAAAGGACCCATGGTGGGTGTCGAAGACTCGTCCTCTGGCGCAGGCTCAGGCTCTGGAGCCGGATCACGGGTTGCCTTTCTCCTAGCCAAGGCCGTCGGACTCTTCGGCGCTGGGGCTCCAAAATTGTAATCCAAGATTGCCGTAGAGGATGAGCTGACAATAAAGTGGCAGCCAACGGAGAGGAGGACATCAGTGCCTTGTTGGGCAGAGACAGGAGCAATTGTATCCTTGTATGGGATCCACAGCGACTCTGGAAGGACGTCTTCAGTGTTGATGATTGCTAGGTCTGACCGCAGGATACCTTCGCCAGAATCGTCATGCACCCAAACGAAATTCATTTCATCAAATGGCTGCGGTAAGGAGTTCACCGTTGGAACCGGGCCATCCATGTCTGGGAATATTTTCGATGTATATGAGATTATTCGTTTCGGTGATGGCGCCGACGGCTGGTCTTTAACCTTGTCATAGCGGATTTGCAGAAATGTAAGGTTATGGCCATTGCTCAGGGTCAGATTGAGTACAAAGAGCACATAAGGATGGGGCAGCGTTGCCTTATGAGAGATTAGAACCTCGTCCAGGCCGGCTCGTGATCCCCGAGGCTGGAGGGGACCCGGCAGATCGCTCGGTGCTTTCACGTCGCCCAAAACGATGTTACAGAATTCTGGAATTAGATTGACAATTTCGGAGGGACAGAACTTGAGCAGCACATCCTTCAAGTAGGTAGTGCCATTGGAGCCACCTAGTGCGGCTCGGAACTCCCAACCGGAATTGTCATAAACGTAGGAGAGTCCGAATGTCAGCTCCGAGATCTGGATGATGCCCTCGAATGTGAAAGACTTTGCAACAGCGCTTTTCGTGCCGCTGGCCTCATAGTCGTAGGCCACGTTTAGGTATTGGACGTCCACCTCAGCCAACAATTCCACCAGGAAGTCCTTCGCGAGAGGATCCATAAAATCTCGAAGCCAGCTGAACTTGAGAGTTCGAAGCGTGCCAGAGAAGCTCCACGCCGAGGTATTCGCGGAGCTCTTCAATGCGGCGCTCTTCTCACTGTCGTAGTCGAATTGGCCAAGCAATCTGGCGCCTACATCACCATCTTTTTCCACATCATCTGGAATGATGTCCAAAGCCACGATAAGGGTCAGAGAGAGAGACGTGGTCTTATCAGCACGGCGAGTATATGTCGCCAATAGGTCAACAGTGTCAATGAGGATTGGTGGAACCGCCCCTGAAGTTTGATCCGACGAACCTATGGCGGCTACAAACTCCACCGACACATCTGGTTCCAGAGTGATTGATAAAGTGAGCTGTTTGACTTCAAGGTCAATGCCCTCAGGTGGGTGATCAATCTTTACTGAACCTCCGGGAATCAGATCCGTTATCTCGACACTCGCCACCTTCAAATTTGCATTCATACATTCACCGTACATGTATGATTCATACTCTGGGAGGCAGCGTAGGTCAATCAAGTCCGAGGTCCATTCCAAGTCGTCTATCAGAACCGGCGCAGGCGGGACCCACAGAGAGGCCGTGAAGGTTTCACTCGGCCAGGAGAATCTCAAATGGAATAATCGCTGCGCTTTTCCCATGGAAATGGGGAATTCAAACTCAACGGCCACTGAGAGAACGCGAGGTTGACTGTCATCATTGGAGACGACTACATTGACCTGGCGGAGAACGAGATCTTTCGAGTCTGCCCAATCAGGGAGGTGGGCAGTGATGTTGGGAAGACGAAGAGAACTGCTGCCCTGAACGTGAATTGCCTTCTCAAAGGCGCCGAGCATCGCATCCACAGAGCCGTTGGGGGCAGCCTGCTGGGTATTCACAAATATCAACTCGGCTGAGTGGAGGCCGAAGTTGAAGAAGAGTTCAAAGTCAAACGTCTCGAGCCGCAGGGGAAGTTGAATCATAATCGCAGCATTCAACTGCATCCCCATGAATGCCGATCCATCCATGAAGTCAGCACTATCGAGTCGTGGTCTGGCAATCTTGCGAGCAATAACCAAAGGGCTGCCTGTGAAGGCGATTATGCCACTCAGAAAATGGGTCTGCAGCCAGCTCTGAACTGGACCCTCGTCAATTTTGAACTGAAGACGGAGCGTCGTCAAGTATGAGTCTGCGGAGGAGAACCAAATGCAGTTTCGTGGTCCTTGGCCTTGTTGATCAGGCCCCTCATCCACAGTTAGTCCGATCGTACCCGCCAAGCCATACAACGGCAAGCTCCAGTCGGATCTCAAATCTGACGGCAATGCGGCAGATTTTCCCGATCGAAATTGTACAAGAGTAGCGACATCCGCAAGAGAAAGTGTTGGTGGGAAGTTGCTACCGGGCTGCAAACCAAGTACTACCATCCCAGCGTCTTGGACAGACCCGTCAGTGTACAAGGATGACTCCGGACGAAGTTGGTCAGCTGCGTATTGGGTTGAGAAGCATAACGAAAATGTGTCGGAAAGGGATGTCTGGGCGTCCATGACATAGGTAAAGCCGCTCAATTGCCACGGATTGGCATTCAACAGGGCTGAGAATGAGAATTGGCTCGCGGGAATGTTTTGAAATAAGCGCATCCAAAGGTACCATGGATCATGAGCAGCCAGCGACACGGAGACAGCATCTTGAGATGAGTGTTTGGGTTGCGGTTGACTTGCTTTTATACTGTCTGCCGCGAGCTCGACCGTGTTGTTGCTCAGCCACGAGACGAAAGTGTCAAGGTTGCTTTTCGCATCGGCGGGTGCCAACAAGACAAAGTTCGAGTCGCGCTGGACTGGGTCCAGAAACTGCACAAAGTCTTGCCAGACAGAAGAGGCGAAGCAAGAAGGCGTGACGCTCGGAGGGATATCCTTTGGAACGAATTCTGCCACTCGTGAGGGTTCTACCGGATTGAGGGAAGCTGCGATTTCTCCTGGCCTTCTCGACAAAGAAAAGCTGTCCCGTCTTCGTTTGACGGCGAGAGCTTTGGGATCAGCCGCCGCAGTTGCTGCAACGGGGGCCGTCGCACCACGCCGGATTTTGAGCATTTCCCGTGTGTTTCCTGCCGGCCCTACATCCGCCGTTGGGAAGTGCGTACGCGGTGGTAATGCTTTCCTCTCCTCCGTTATGTCGGTAGGGATGTAGTTCAGTCTTATCAACGTATCGGCGCCGTATAACCATGGGAGACACTCCAGATGGTGGTATTCGCCAGTTGCTGGGTCCTGTTCGAATTGGAGGAGCCACGAAAGGAGCTCATCGCCCTTCGCGACAAAAGTGCATGAGCCCGCTTTCTTCGATTGGATATGAGTACTACAGCTGAAGGCCGTGTGTGTGTTGTCAGTATCGGACCTAGTCGGCCACCAGCGTTCACAGGCTTCCATGACCTTTGATTTGATGGCTGCGTCAGACATTGCGGACATGAGGGTGTCCCATGGAGCCTTGTCAAAGTCAAGCCCATTTATACTGGCAAAGGTCGCATCATTGAAGGGCGGATATCCCGTTGCCGCCATGTCTCTAAGTTCCTGTCTCCACGTCTTAAAGGCTCCACCTGGCCCGTCGCCCCCATTGATGGCCTTGATGCTAAATCTGCTTACTAACACGAACCAGTACGGGTAGGTTGTTGACAGCACCCTGCCCTCTTTCCAGTTGAAGAGAGCTTGTAGATACATGAGCACCTCATACCCTATCCGGAGTGTCAGCCTCATCTCACTCGAATGTAAAGTTCTATAGTTGACTGACTTGGGTGCCCATACTCTGAACCGCAGGATGCGACCACCGTAGTTGCTGGATTTGAGGGTCATGTTAGTCTCCGTTCTAGAACATTTGGGGATAGATCAAGACTGGGAAGAACAACATGAGTTTACTATGCGGTGAAATGAAACCTCCCACTTCATCCAACTTCAGTTCTTAAGAGAACACCGACTGGCTCTCTCCTGTTACGTGAAAGACGAAGTGGGCGATACCAGATAATAGCATGTATAGCTCGTGTTCCTCTAGGATACATACGTCTTAGTTCTTTGAGCATTGCTGTTGGCGTAGACGTTGCTGCGCCATGATGACCCAGCTTCAGAGCCAAGATGCGTGGAGGCAGGGAGGGAGGTGTGGTAGATTTGTGGAACCAGCCCACAAGAAGTTTTTCACTCTCGAAGGCAACATCACCACCAAAGTAATGCAAAACCGTGCCGTTGGGAGCCAGAATAACGCAGATAATGGACGCCCGGTTCACTGGAGTGTTTTCTCCTCCCTCGATTACTATTGGCATGTCGGGAGTGCCCGGAGCTTCCAGAACATTGCCGTGGCCGATGACAATGGAGTCGGCACCAATGCAGAACAGTCCAGGTGCAGTGGTAGTGGCAGAGAGTAATTCAGCAGGTGCACCGATCTTGGTGAGGTCCGCCTTGACGCGAGGACTATTCGTGAATAGATCCCGGCCAATCATTCCAACTTTTGGATCACTTTTCTCATATCCGGTTTCCGTGCACAAGATGGCAACCTTGTGCACCCAGTCCCCATCAGCTTTGACTTTCCCCACACAGACATCTAAGAACTCTGCAGTCCCGTCGACTTTTTTTCTCCACGAACTAATATGCCCAGGTGGGCGGGGTTTACCCTTCTTGTCATTCGTATCACCCGCTTCCCAGTAAGGGGCGTAAAAGAAGGTCTGTGGTTCTGGTGGGGTCGCGGACATGTCGTACTTCATATACCTGCTCCTCAAATCTTTTGGACTTGTCGTGCTTCCAGCAGCCTTCCATTGATCTTGGAGATCAGACGACAGCAGCCTTTCAATGCCAGTGTAGTGATCGTCGTCCCAGTGTGTGACCACGATAGAGTCAAATTGAAGTTGGGGGTGCCCACCAAACGTGGTTGTGATGGTGTACCAAGTTGGAAGTTGGTCAATGGCCGAGACGAGGGCGGGAAATCCAATGCCACGGCCGCCATCTACAAGAACTGCTCTGTTTACAGTCCAAACATCGCCCGCGGCTGAGGATGTTGTCTCCACGAGCAGATGAATCGCGGAATCTCCAGCCCCGACATTGAGGTGGTAACTGTGTACATCGAATCTCGGCATTGTATCAGGACGGTCAAGGCTCACAGGGGCAGCAGTAAGCTAAAAGCGAAACGCTTATATCTTGGGAACCGACCGCTATAACTAGGATAATGGCTACGAGGGCAAGTTTGACAGCTACATGCGCTACGAATGAAAACGCACTGCGATGTGGTCTGGAATTGCATTAGCTGCAGGGTGGTGCGGCTGAACATGCGGAGAAGCACAGAAGCTGGCACCTCCCGTTGCGCTGACATCAACATGTCGTTAAGTCAGATCAGTCCACGTAATAAGACTAATGTCTGGCGAGTTAGAACGCCACAATGCCGCTTAGCTTGATAAGCCGATAGAGTCTTTTCAACCTCTTGCGAACCAATCCCTGGAGGGGAATGCTCTCCCAAGGAGATTCGGACGAGCCTCACATGAAACCCCTAGATTGCCTACCGGAGAGCACGGGTGCATCATGAGATTTACGCGAGAATCTGCAATCGTGATATATCCTACGCGTACACTGCAGAGCACCTAGTCACTGCCAGCTCTTAGCACGTTCGCAACGGCTTTGCGCATTCCTCAAGCTCTAACGTGTTCCACGGGCGAGCGCCACACACGGGCGAGCGCCACACACGGGCAATCGCCGCACCCCACCAACTTTGCCCACCTGTTCAAACGTGCAACCCAACCACCTTGTAGAATAATAGATAAATATTAATAGAGTAGATCAAGTAGTATCTTAAGTATCTTTTTTACATGTACGTGAGTTATGCCCAGGCTCTCTACACCTTGTGCAGCATGCCAGAGCCTGGCAGCTGAGACCTGAGCGCCCACCACCTTGACGCTGTTCACGAGCAATCTGCTCCTCAACCACTTGTTGAGCTAGTATATCCTCTCCTGCTCCCTTTGTTAAGACTCCATGCTTCTGGATCCGCTTCTTCTTACACTGCCTCCACTTTACAGCTACCTCATTAGCTCTCTCAAAGCTAGCAAATTCGATCACACATCAGCTCAGCTGAGAGCATCATCACTTCAGCCCCCTTCTTGAGCTGATTAATCACTTCAATAATTGAGGCTGGTGATGAGCTCTTATGCTGCCAAATACGATCATGTATTAGCGTTGATTGAGCTTCAAGCTCACGTATGTTGCTTGGTATTCGAGCCTCCCAGAGCATCTCTACTAGAGCAGCTGGAGGAGTAGGTATATGGAGCTACATATCTAGCTTTGACTGAACAATATCTGGCTGGAGAGGAACTAGGTCTATGCCTCGAAAGGCTGAGCAGATGTTGGCTGATGTAAACGATTGATCAAAGGCTACCTTGAAGACTGGCAGAAACTCAAGCTTCGTGATATGGTTGATGTGGTTGTGGATCATAGTCTCAATCTTACAGCTGTACATATGCTTCAATGGTAAGAAGCAGCCAATGTCAAGAGGCTGGAGCAGATGTGACAAGTAAGCTAGCATGCAGAGTATATAGATATTGTTCTCTTTGCAGAATTCTTGAAACTCAAGGGAGTGGTAGCTCTCATGGCTATTAAGGATAAGTAGATGATGAGCACCTAAAACATGAGTCTTAGTATAAGTGTTGAAGTGCTTTAGCCACTCAATTTCTAGCTCGTTGTTTGTCCAGCTATTATCACTAACTGCGATCACCCAGTCATATGGGATATCAGCTTTCTCATACCAGGCAGAGAGATGGTGTTGGCCAGCAAAGATGATGAACGGTAGGATGGCCCAGCCAGCTGCATTGATTCCTTGGATTACTGTCACCCACTCGTGATTTCCTGGCTGAACAGCCTTCGGCTGACCTCTTCTCTCTGACCCAGTTACAACAAGCTGAGTCATGATCTTGCCTATTATAAAGCCAGCCTCATCAAAGTTGTAGATGTCCTCATCGTAGATGCCGTACTTGGCCTTCGTCTGTTCTACAAGCTCAAACCAGCTCTTGATTAACACAGGATCCTTGCATAGAGCTCTCTGCCTATCGTACGCCCGATTGAAATGTGTCGTGAGGCTGTCTGTACGCCTGACAAAAGTAGATGGCCAGTTAACTCCTACGCATCCTCCACCACGCGCAGCTAGCAACTTATCGGCCATATCATGTACAGCAGCTAGGCTAGGTGCAAAACCACGTTGATCTAGATCCAATATGTGACTGACAATCACCTCCTCTTCTAACTGGGTAAGCTTCTTCGAATTAGGCTGGCAATTGCGTCAGGCAGGGACACCAGCGCATCGGCGGCGGATTGTTCGTTCGGACACGTTATAGATAGTAGCAGCACGGCGATTGCTCTGGATATGGTTGTTTTCAATAGAGGTGATAGCAAGCTGAACATCTGCTTCATTTGAAGCTGATTGAGTAGTGCTGCGTTGAGCCATTGTACGTTGAGATGAGAGAGGTGGGCAAAGTTGGTGGGGTGCGGCGCTCGCCCGTGTGCGGCGCTCGCCCGTGGAACACGTTAAGTGGCAAAGGTAGGATGAAAGCATCAGCAAGTGACCACGACAAACATTCAACACTTGATTGTGGAATTCAAGTTGCTGAAGTTAAAGCTTGGAGTGCCAATGCCGAATTACAGGACGAACATCGGAGGTAAGCAGTGAGCAAGTTTTCACTTGACTCTGCCATTTGAAGTCAACACTAAAAGTTACTTATGAGGGACGCTCGTCAAGATAGCCACAAGAAGGAGCACTTGCAATATCCATCACTACAAGTCCAAAAAGCAAAGAACTTCTCATGTCTTAATCTTCGCGTCCTCCTTCTCAAGCGGGCCCCTCAATTGCATATACCCCTCCACAGCCGTATACGGCACCTTCTCGAACTTCGCCAGCTCATCGCCATTCGTATTCAGAGCCAAGGGATTATGAACAAGCAGTCCATCTTGAAGATGTGGTTGCAACCACATCCAATCCCCCACCGCAACTGCGGGAACCGGCAAGGCAAAATCTGGGACCAATTTCTCGCCGGCCGCGACGGGACTGTCGGAACTGACAATATAGTCCTTGTTGAAGGGTGGCACGTCTTTGGGCACTAAGAGAGGCCCAGCTTGGAAGAAGTATGTCATGGACCGCAGTGCCTTTTCAAGTCTCCAGTGTGGAAACGTGAGTTGTTTGACTGGGAGGATACTAGAGTAGCCATGGACTGTGTTGAATGGATCTATGATTGCGCCGAAGACTTGGAGTTCTTTGTTGTAGGAGTCCGTCACAGCTGGACCCGAGCCGCTTGTAGGAGCCGGGATGTAGAAAGGTGAGAGCGTGGGGAAGGGTACTGTAGATGCGGCGGGCGGAGGCGGGCGCGGGAACACGGAAGGTTGGGTTGCCTTGTCGTAGTACATGATCGTACTGTAGTCCACAGCATTGTTCGAGATGGCATTGAAATAACACACGAGCCCATCGAATTTGCGATCCTGGTCCCCGAGCTTTAAAGGGAAGGAATACGTTTGCGGCACAGGCGAGCGGGATGTATTGGGCGGCAACAGGAATGGAGGAGGTTGCGAGGCTGTACCACTTGCTTGGTTGTAAAGAGGTGCTGTGGCAAGCTCGAGCGACCAGCCCATGTTTACGATGGCGAACGGCCTCCCGATCAGAGCTTGGAGATAACCCGAGTACTCGTTCGGGGTGCTTTGCAAGTCTGCGGCAGCGGACGAGAGAAGCGTGAAGATATGAGCCATGTATTCCGGCTTCTCCAACTGTGCAATGAACTTGTCGAGTGCAGTATCGTCTGGTGGATTCTTCGGCCGTTCAAATGGCTGCCATTTCGCGCCGATGCCCTCTCCAACAGGCCAAGGACCGCCGTTGCGAAGCTCTCGGTAGAATGTACCGTCGGGCTGGAAAATTTGCAGTCCAAAATCTGGAAAATTCACGACTATCCACCCAACGGCCTGCTGCTCCCATTCCTCGGCAACGCGCCATTTGCTCGAGGTATTGGGATCCATGTCTTCAACGACAATGTGGGCGTTGATGCGAGCATCTTGATTGATGTAAGGGGGGATTTGGACAAAACTACACTTTCCATCAGGGTCTGGTTCAACGGTATTGAAGGTGCCGTCTGCTCTGAGCTGCGGCTTGTAGTTATCGCTCAGACAGGGATACAACCGATTCTTCTCCGTGGTCCCGTCAGTCCGCCGTGGGCTGGGCGTTATTGCGCAGACAGTTTGCCCAAACCTGTCGATCAGGTTGAACTTTGTGAACTTGAACTGCCCATGCGTTGCGGGTTTGAATGGACAAGTGCTTGGGTCTACACTGACGAGATTACCGTATGGCGTTGTTCCCGTCTTCTGGCCCATCAATGCCAAACTGTCGATGGTAAAAGCGGTGTGGCTGACGACGCCCGCTTCCATCGGCACAGGCAGTTTCCCCGGGGATCGTAGAAGAGGCTTGACATGGCCTCCTGCAAGTTGCGTCCTCAGGTGATTTGTGAAGCCAGTCAAGGTTGCCGACAGCACGGGGAGCTGTCTGAGGTTGTCTACAATTGTGGCGACCTGGCCAGGATCCAGGGGATTCTGGTCGGGGGGTGTTTGCGCGAGTATTTGCTTGACGCTCTGCTCCAAGGAGAGAGACGCCTGCGGGAGGATGAGCGTACGACCCGAAAGCGCACGCACGCTCAATTTCTTGTTACGCAAGTCCGTACTAACAACATACTGGAGTTTCTTCACTCCTGTGACCGTGCCTGGGGTACATGTGGACGCCACATCTTCCAGAGCCCAGCTATCATATTCAACGTGAGAATACTCACCTTCCCACTCTAGGAATAGAGGGAAGAATGGCTGGGTATCCATCCACCTATCGAGTCCATCGATCCTACTCATTGTACCATCGTCATGAAAACTAGGGAAGGTTGCGCCGCTTGGACTTAGATCGAGGGGAACGGGCTTGCCATCTGGGTCAAGCTGGGGACGCAGTGTACGAAATTCGAGTAGGAGCCGGACAATGTTGTCCCAAAGGTCTGAAGGGAAAACAAATCCTCCCCTTCCGAGCGCGGTTATGTACGCATCCAAGCTCTTCCAGTCGGGTTGGGAGTCCGTGGAAGGGGGTACTGGTCCAATAACAGTTGCGCTCGTCGCAATACGAGAAGCCAAACGTACAGCCAGATTATCCGCGTAATTTGTCGGCCATGGGGATGATACTCCAGCCAGGAGGACGGTGGGGTCTTTCAATCCGAGGAAGGGCTGTTCCGTTGCATGTACTACTGTCGACGAGTCGCTCAAGGAATGCACTGAATCCTTGATCTCCTGGAAAGCCTTGCCGATCTGAGAGCCTGGAAGGGTATCGTCCCCTAGATCAAGCAGGCGCCCAATAATCTTCTTAGCGAGGGTGTCGTCAACTTTAGTCCCGGCAGGGAGCGTGACAGCTTTCCACCATTCCGCGAATAGCTCCCATTGGAGAAGTGACTTCTCACGACGCATGATGTTTAGGGCCCGTTGTTGTTTATTGACATTATCCAGCTCATCGAGGGGGCTTTTAGTGCCGGAAGATGTCGCAACGCGCGAAAAGGAACCACTTTGTTCGCCAGAGAGAGTCCACCAACGGCCGCCCGTCGAGCTGGAGAAGTTCCGTGTGCTCAGCAAGTCCGCTGCTTCCTGCTGCACATCTACGCCGTCATTCTGTTTGATCAGTAGATTCTGAAGCGCTAGGAGCGCAACCTCCAACTCTGTGGGTTTTGCGATGGTACGTAGATATGCGACCAGAGCATCCATGGCAGTGTTTCCCACGGCAAGTGGTTGCGAATTGTTGAAGGACTTGGCGAACTTATTTCCAGGCCATGTGGACGGTGTACCATTGTCGATCCAGTTCACGTTGTACATTGCACCATGGTAGATACCGCGGGTGGGGGACGACTGTTGCACCCAAGTATGCTCAAAGGAATTTCCTTGGTCACTCGCATATAGACTCATAAATGATCTCTGCAGCAGCTTCGAGTGAGGTACGTTAGAAACGCTGAATGGGTCTTGAGATGCATCAGAATGCCATCCTATAACAGAATAGCTCGCAGTTGCTTCAGCAAAGTAGTCGATGGAATTGGTCTCGTCAATGTACTGGAAATTGTCGATCAAGGAGAAAACGCCGGAGTTGAAAGGCTGGTAGTCGGCAAATAGCGGGTTCGAGCTTGCTAGGACTGACAGATTCGCGCGGGGAACAGTTCTGTCCTCGCCCGGCCATTCAGGCGCATCAAAGACTTGACCGACGAATACCTGAGCTTGCGCCTTGATGCTATCACTTGTTGTGTCGGCGCCGTGTAGGAAGGGGACGGACTCAACCTCGATGTCGGCATTCTTGGGGAATTCATCTAAAGTCCGGATGCGATCACTCTCAACCACCCACGACCGGAATTGCGGAATGGGTTGGGCTGGCTGCTTTGATGTTGGGTTGAGAACGACAGCGTCTGGGTCAATCCTCCTGGTGACCAGCCATCGGTTTGGGATGGGTAAGAAGTCGGGAGTCGCTGGAGTGGCAGTCTCCTCGGAGAGCCCCTTTTCATTCCGAAATTGAGAACGGGAATCGCCACTCTCGGTCGCTGCCGCACCCCCACGGTACATTCTGGGGATTTCCCAGTGCAGGTAGACACCGCATCTGGAACGACGTAGTTCTCCGGTATCCAGATGGGTGATTCGACTGTTTGTGGTGCTCGGCTTTGCGCTGGTGGGGTCGACGTGTTCCTGGACGTCGTTCTGGATGACAGCAGGATCTATCCTCAAGCCCGTGAAGTTGGGCTGGGTGATGGGGGCCAGTCGCACATCTCCTTCGTCAATGATAGACTGGTTGAGCACAAAGGCCTGTAGACGGAGTGGCACAGCAACTTGTTGCTCCGACATTTTTGCTCTGGTCCCGTCAGTCTGTGCCTTGATCTGAATCGATGGATACCTAACCTTATGATGGGGATTATGGGTGATTTGGAGACGGGTATGCGGATCTGAGCATCATGGCAGCGCCACCATGCAGCCCCATCTCACTGGACATTGTTTGGCTGTCTTCTCACATGCATAGATCGATAATCGAGCTTGTCGGTGGAGGTGGAGTTGGCATGTGAAAGAGCATTCAGCTGGTCTCAGAGGGATCTATGGCGTCAAGGGTGCGTGTAGTGTGCGGGGGGCGGGGTACGCCACATCTATACCCGCGCATGTGCCTGCTGATATCATGATTTTGTCGGAAAATTCCCTTGAGCTTTCCGTGGAGCTGCTCTACCGGGTAACCGGGCACCCGGGCGACGGAAAAGGAGTGACGCCTTACACCAGGGTGTGCAAGCAACGCCTTGGATCCCCTAGTTGGAAAGAGGCTTTCCATTGTACAACCTTTGTTTCTACTCTACCGTCTAACATCAAGGCACTTGCGGGCTGCCTGTACTTAGGTGAGCAGACTTTTGAAGGCTCTTTCTGTCAACCATTTGACGAGCAAGACCGTTTTTGGTGCAGCTAATTAGCAAACTTCCCAATCCCATTATGAGACGACGACAGAAACACCAGCGGTCCTTCCAAAGACCGCGTAGTCCGCCAGCAAAACTAAGTAGAAATGGTCTTTCCATTCTAACAGATCCCGGGGACGTACGTTTGTTCTCGGCATATACTCCAACCCTCAAGGGAGGAACGTACAACATTGGTGTGACGCAGGACATCACCCTCCCAGGTCAAGCAGCGCCCATTTCCATCCAGAATAAAGACTCGGAGGGCAAAGCAATCACCCAGACTTTCGAAGTTCAGGCACCAAGGTGGTCTTTGGAGGCAAAAGACATCCATTCGACGTACCCACCCCAGGGCCACGCCGATGATCCTCGAATTCTTCCGCACGTCGTCCTTAATGATCCCCACCTGCCCTGGGAGAGGTCCGTTGGAGAGGAGGACGATGGGTTTAATCAAGTTCCCTGGCTTGCTGTGCTTGTCTTCGAGCCGGATGAGTTGCAAGTCGGCCAGGAAGTCTTGCAGGGCAGGAAGCTTAAAGTGTCACCAACTCGTATGTAACTTTATTAATGTTTCCTTGCCCTTTTCGACCTTTCAACACTTCTTCTTAGCTTGGAGGCCATTTCGACGATGGCGACACTCGCCTGGTTGCTATCATGATGGAGTCTTGCAAAGTCAATGATCCGTGAGAGGAATCTTATTCTAACACTTTCAGGCGCAATCTCCGTGACGATTCAAGACATTCTCGACACGAAGAATGCTTCTGTTCCTATCGACAGCATCGACAGCACCGACATATCCCTTGATAAGGCAACTTCAACCAACGCGATATTTTTGAAATCCTCCCTTTTTTGGCCACTGTGGGATCTCGAACCCAGCGGTCCTCCGCAAATCAATCTGCAGAGGTACAAATACCTCGCCCATGTACGAGAGGTAAACAGCAGTGGCGGGGCAATTACCAACTTGGGGGATGAAAACGGCCTCTACAGCATCGTGGTCTCCCACCGAACAGGCCCGCTGTCCAACGCCGTTCCAAAGACAGTCATTGCCCATCTGGTCTCCCTCGATGGTCTCAAAGAGAACATTCATCCCACAAATATCAAGGACTATGTGGGACTCATATCACTTTTTAGCTGGCAGTACCAATGCCTTCCCCCATCATCCGTCGACTTTCCAAGCCAAATGGAGTCCATGGGACTTCAAGCGGCCATGTTACGCCCAACAGGCTTCGACACGGTGCACGACAATCCATGGTTGAGTGCCCGGCTTGCCAACGGGTACAGCATGGTGCGACATCGCCTAGCCAACGGCGAAACTACTGTTGCCTTCATGAGGGGGCCATTATCCCCAGTACCGGTGCCATACCCCATCCTACCTAGTAGAGCAGCAGGCAGCGGACAGGATGCCGGAGCTTGGCCGAGCGAGTCCTTCTACTCTACAGACTACCAAATACTGGACTCCGATCTGGGCATCGCCGACATTTCTTATGCAACCGCGTGGCAGTTGGGTCGGGCCATGGCGATGGCTGACCGCTCGTTTTCGCAGGCACTGGTGAACTTCCGGAATGAAGCCCACTCGATGGCACTGGCGGGCGCGAAAGCAGAGTACTTGGGCTCGAAGGGCTCTTACAAGAGTCGAATGGATGTCCTCAATGGATTGCACGACTTGATCGCCGCATTGAGCGACGTCTCCAATTTAGACCATCTTTCCACGAAAAAGAGGTCTATGAGAACAACCGCTGCACACGTGGACTTATCCTTGGACAACCCCGAGCTTCAAGTACTTTATGAACAACATCTTGTCATGGCCGTGCAAAAGTTGACGGGAGTACCGCTCTCATCCAACGATCCCGGAGAGTTGAAATTTGAGACATCCTCAAATTGGCCGGTGCTGATAGAGTGGCTTTTGGACCGCATGAAGCTGCTCAATCTCCCCGCAATCTACCTGGTAAACATGCCTGAAAATCTGCCAAAGGAAAGCATCCGCTTCTTCCATCTTGATCAGAACTGGGTTGCAGCTCAGATTGACGGGGCGCTTTCTGTTGGCAATGTCTTGAGCCGCCCAGACGCAGAGGGACCGCAAACCACCCTGCTGGATAAAGTACGTCAAGAAATCAAGGCGCATTTTGCCCTCTACATTAAGGCTGCCCCGAATGTGGCAGCGCTATGTCCAAATGGCGGTTTTTTCATGCGTTCAACTGTGGTCAAGTCATTTCCCGACCTCATAATCACATCCGCCAATGCAAATACGCAGGTACTGTCCACTTGGAGTCTCGCAGAAGACGTCCTGGTCACTTGGATGCGCAGATCAGATTCACCCAACGTTAAGCCTTCTAAAACAGCGATTATTATATCGCAACCGCCACATCAGCAGAGATTTGCCCTCGGCTCCAGCCTTAAGAAGGATGCTTTAATCTTTCCATACAATAAGGTATATACCATACCAAAAGACGCGCCTGAAGGGGTGTGGGGAGCTACAGGAGTAGTAGATAATTTTGCTCCCCCTCACAATCCTAAAGGAAGCAATGGAACTCAGCTTCCGATTTACGATTGGGATTCTCGCACCATCCAGGTTCAAAATTTGGCAGATACGGTGTTGAAGGTCTTGCAGGCGAAAATGACCGTAGGCTTCGACCTCACCACCACCCTCACGTCTGCGGTCATGGCCTTGCAGTTGAACGACCCTGTGTATCAACTTCGCTTCGAAGAACCTACATCGGGAGAATGGGGTCCTTCAGCTATGTACGGGAGCCACTTCAAGCCAATCCAGGCTGCGAGAGCTTCAACGGTAGAGGCTCCCAAGGCCTCTCTTGTAACAAAGCCCACGAAACCCGTAGCGGCTCCATCCCCAGTAGGTATCAGCAAAGGTGAGAATGGTAGTTCCCATCTCTTATCGAACACAAACTAATTCACAGGAAGGAGATACAAGTCTCTCGGTTTCCGACATCCGACCTCCCCATGTCCCCCCTTGCCCTCGTCTACCTCCATATATGGTCTCAGCCGGTCCAATTTCAGAAACAAGTCCACCCGGCTTTTCCAGCTGTCTCTCGCTCGACGTGTTTGCCAACCAGCCCTCACGAAATCCAGGAGGAATACCTACCAGCATATACTTTCTCGACATTGTCTTCTCCCTGAAACCCAAGAATGCAAAACCAGGCCTCAAAGTTCGATCCATCTCCATTAGCTTCCCTGTTGGGAGCCCTAGCGGGAACCCTGGGTCCGTCCCAATACTGACTCAGAAGTATGACGGCCCCGGTCCAATAATGCTGGGCAACAGTCGGTTCAACGCCGTGCTCAGTCCTACAGTCAGTCCCGGGTCGAGGCAGACGTCGCTCGTTATAACATTGTCACCAAGGACAATGTCGGATACTGTTCTCTTTGACAGCAACCCTGATTTCTCATGTTTGTTGCGGCAGGTTGCCGTGGATACTACTACGACCGGAAGTGTTGCTTTCACATTGACAGAACAGTATATTCTACCGTCTGGGTCGAATGCTACGGCTCAGAGTTCGTTGAGTGTTGCGAAAGTGGCGTCCTAAATAGGAGAAAATTACTAGGCTTATGCTTGATTAATATTCTGCATTTGATGGATTAATTCTTCTAGCTTGCGCGTGTTATATACATATACCAGTAGTTTGCTGATGTCAACATTCCTAGAGACAAAAGTCCTATATTTTGCAAAAGCTGAACGTGGGCTGAAGAATGTCAAACACGTGCTCAAAATGTTGCCCACCAGGGGTAACGTTTTGGGGTGCTGACTGCGGGTATATAAAGACATACGATGTAAATGCAAAGAGATATGCGTGGTCAAATCGAGTTGTAAAACGTAAATCGGGCTAGAACCCATCTATGAGCGCCACTAAAGATTCGAGGGTCCAATTGTAAAGATGAACTGCAGAGCTGAACTGCAGCTTTAACCGATGATTAGGTACGGCGGGATTAGCCACCTCACAGTGATGTCAATTGCCTTCATCACCCCGCCCTTGAAGTATTGCCCATAACAACGTTACTCTGAAGTGCCACCTTCTGCTCCACGGTATCATAAATTGGTAACCACTGTTATCTGTCCCCACTCCTCAAGACTGACACCATGGTCAAACTCAGGGTTAAATCATCAGTTCAAAAGACTCCACGACTTACAACCCCAATCCCCGCAATATCATCATCAAAATTGATGTCAACGTACACAGCACAGTATGATCTTGCGGGAAATCTTTCTATCTTCCACCTATATCAGGGAGAGTCGACCTGGGGTGTATTCCGATACTACCAAACAGGACCCTGCATGCAATGGGTCAAACAAGACACCGGAGTCCAAATTCCGACCAGTCTTCCAAGGTTCTCGATAAACGATACGGGCTTCATTTCCTCCACCGTGGCCGAGGATGGAACTATTTATGTGGCAGTCGCTGGGGACTATCTCTACGACGGGATGCTGCGGTCCATGGCCGTGAATATTCAATGCGGTACTTTCCCGCCAAACAATGTTGGGCCGCCAACCTGGGTAGGAGGCCTACAATTTTATCCAGCCTCCCAAGATTACGCGGGGTGTACCATGTCATCCATCGCCCTCTCGATGGTACCCCTGGGACCTGATGCACAACAGCCCCAGGTCTGTGCCGCAATCACCAAGGTTGTCAGAACCAGTGATGTTGACACAGGCGCGCCAGCTCCGTGCATCTTTGTCTGGAACCCCATTTCCAATACCACATTCGAAGCGTTCGGTGGCAAGGAGGAGGGAGACTTCACCCCCTTCCCCCCGGGGCCTGTGGCCCGCCAAGTGGTCGATGCGTTCTATGGCAAATACCAAGACCCTCTGCGGGATCCGACATGCGCTCCTGTCTGGGGCTGGCACAGCCATATTGACCCTCCACAGCCGTCCCCTTCCGGTAGGACATTAAGTCGCGATGCTGATGCTACCCAGGCATTCATACCGCGGCTGGGGGAGGCCGGTCCAAGTACACACCTCGCTGTGAAGATGAAAGTTGTTTATCTGGACGACAAGTTGAGGCCCAAACAAGGACTTTCGCCGCTCCTGTTTGCCATTTCAAAGGACCCAAGAGTCGGAGACCCCGCGGCTGGCAAAGTTGTGTTCCTGCCGAATACACAGTACGACAGTCAGTCGCCACCCGAGACGTTCACTGTTCTGTTTAACCACAACCTCTCTTCGCTCAGTCTTGATAGCGGGGCGTTCAAAGCGACCTGGATTGACGCGGTAGTTGAGGATTTGTCGGATCATCCAAATGGGGGCGTTCAGGGTACCAACTGGAGGGTGCATGTATTCGCTTTATTCACTAACGCCGACGGTCGCTGTAAACTCATGCACACATGGAGCTTTCAGGCCGAAGGAGGAGGCGGTAGCGGCGTGGTGGAAATCAGTCCCGGGGTTTTTGAGTACGTCTCGAATTCACAAACTCCAAGCAGAGCACTGATCGAATTTGACAGCATACCAGAAGCAAATTGGAGTTTGCCCGTGGTCATTACAACCGACTTGCTGAATGTTCCTTGCTCCCTCTCCATGTTCGGCAACCTGTGCACGTTGACTGTCTTGAATGGTGATAGTTGCTTCACAACCTGGTCTCAAGTATGCATACTTCACTGTCCTGTTCGGTCTCCATCTACTCACTCTTTACAGCTTTGGGATTCACCTACAACCCGGGGGGTATGGACGATGAAGACCGTGGCTGTGCCGAATATGGCCCCAACTGCATCGGGACAAGCGATGACTGATACCGGAACCGAGAGTTGCTTCTATCTTGAGCTAGCAGCAATGGATGAATCACCTGACGGCCTGCACCATAGCCCAAAACCGTACACCATAGCGACATTAGGTTCCGACTCTCAGATGAATTTCACTGCGAATGGCAGAAATGTGCAGTTAGGTCCGGGGTTGGAACCCGTCGTTCTAACGTTCAATGCTGCAGGTCTGCTGGGAATAGAAATGCCGATAGCGATAGCTGGATCAAAAGCACAAGCACTCTTTTCTTACCCGTTGATGTTCCCACCCACATTCTGGTGAGTCTCAGGCATATCATTTTCACAATGAGTATGCACCTCAAGGGCCTTATTGACGCTGTTGTAGGATCGGAGTGGACGGAATGGATGGCATCCAAATCGATTTGCTCTTAACCCCGTCAAGCCTATTTGACACGCTGATATCGCCGAAGTTTGGCGTTGACAGTCTCCGGCATGTCCAAAAGAGCCAACCACCAAGCGGAATCCCAGGTTTGAATCCGGATTATTTCAACGATGAAGGGTCAACATCGAGCATGATCTTAGGCCTCCAGCAGATGATATCGATTCTACTCCGGCCAAGAAATCCACAACCCTTGGAGCAGGAGTATCTCACGCGGAAGACCCAGTTCTCCCCAAATGCCGCCGTCCGATTGAAATCTGACCCTTGCAAGATAGAGCCAGCCACCATGAACCCAGTAGCTTTCGAGATGAACTTTGTCTTGAACTACTACAGGACCCAAAAGAACCCCGCCAAGGCAATACTCAAGGCGACCTACTCCACTACCTTCGCGCCAATCATTGTGCATTCGGCCGTGGAGCCAGCATCCCCAGTGTCCGTTCTCTGCTGCGCAGACATGATTCAGAATATTGCCTCCGAATCGCAAGGCTACATTAGATCGATTGCGGTGGATTGCAGAGGTCCGTCCATGCTTGTTCGGGTAGTGTGGGCGCGGTACAGTCCGCTCGGCGCATCTGACAGCGGTATCGGTTGGGTATCCGAAGTCAAGACGGCGCATGATTTCGGCTTACTTTTCTCTTTCTTGTTATCGTACGCCGGTCTCTACGGGGATACGATTGCCACATGGTTGAACGGCGCCACTTGGATTGCTGAAGACCGGCCGGCTTTGCTCTCTGTGCTGAACTCGGTGCAGCCGCTCCTCAACCGGGCAGAGGTCATGCTGAGTGTATGTCCTTCTCTATATTTAGGCTACGGGATCCGTGCTAACCACAACATAGGATTTCAGCAAAAACGTCCTGCCTCCTCTCGATGCCAGCTTCTTCAAGAGCCTATACGGGCCTAATGGGGACGGAATAACAAAGGTCTTCAACGATCCGCAGACCCCATACGGATCGTATAGTCCCCACACCGATAATATGACACTCAAACCAGACGGCGAATTAGGTGGGCTACCAGCATGTGAGATATCGAATCGACTTGTGCCTAGTTTCAGTTGGGTGTATAATCAAGTAAGCGGACCAAGCTGTAACCCTGGATTATGAATTTAACGAGGCTAGTTGTTTGAAATTGACGAGGAAATTGTACCGACAGTGGCGGGTAGAACTGCTGGCCCAACGATCGCAAAGGTGCAAGACCTGCTTTTGGACATCCACAACGACCTCGACGCCTTTTCCAATGCCAACCTCTTTGATAGCCTCTGCACGTTGTGGAATACTTTTACAACCAATTCGGCCTTCGATAACACGCCGTGCACATCGATCTTCCCTCCGACAACGCCAGTATTCTTGAACGCCGTCGATTATGCGCAAACACTTTCCAAGACCGTCACGAGCTTGGCTTCCGTCCTAGCAGATGATGAGAAGACTACCCTTCTCGGTCAACCCCTTCAATCCCCAAGGCACATTCTGCTCTATCAAGCCTTGACGACCGAGGTGGGGAAGCCGGCCCCTGTTCCCACTCTTTCCGACTTTCTAGCTCTCATCTTGACGATCCCGATATATGCCATAGGCAACCTTCTGCCAGAAGACCACCCACCAGCCGACTGGGCCTTTAAAGATGTTGGTCTACTTAGTCTTGCTGCTACATACTACGGTCTCAATGGGTTAATGCTCCCCTCGTTCGGGAGCGCAGACGTATCGCGGTAAGTACGGCGAGTTTCCCACCTTTCATCGTGTAGTGCTCACGTTACCAACTCTGATTTAGGTCTTTTCTCTTCCTGGCATTCACTGGATTGTCAGTCACATATTTGGAAGAGGGCCCCCCAGAGCACCCTTCAGGCGATCCGGATCCAATCATACTACCGTACATGGTACCATGTCTGGAAGCTCAATTCACCGTGTCGTATCTGCAAGGCTGGCTTATGACTTCATCCGAACCGCTGCCCATCACTCAGGCCGACATGAGGTTTATGCTCACGTATCTGAACGGACTGGCCTCCTATGCGCTGTACGCGTCCACCATATACAGTATCCTGAAATTAGGGAATACGGTATGTAAACTCCCAAATAGGTCTTCCTTGTCGTCGGTCTAACTCAGCAATTTGAAGGTCGACGAGGCGCCCGAGGCGGAACGACTAGTCCATGGCTACACTCTCTGGTCGGGCCTCGCCGGGATAGGGAATATGCTTCAGATGCCCGGTATGATCAATCCGTCTAGATCAGCCTCAGGCAAGGCTGCTCCACTTCGCGTCTCACTTTCAGCCAATATTGGTGAAGTTGCTTTTTGGGCGCGGTATGTCGGAGCTGCCTGCGCGTTTCGGGCCAGGAAAGCAAGAGAGGTTGATGCGCAGCATCCCCATTCGAAACCGCGGGCGGAAACAACTAGTGCATCGTGGGGAAACGTTAACCCCTCACGTGTAAGTCATCTGACAAGGGGGTTATCCCTTATGGCGCTTGGCAGGAGTCCGGATGAGTAGTTGATGTACGACCAATGGGTCATCTGCCCCTTCATGTCATCTAATTTCAACTGCTGGGCTTGGAGCTTGCTAGAAACTAATGCTATCTGCTGTTCAACGGCATTAGTTACTACAGCAATTACGACTAATGCTATTATCGTGCTAATGCTGTCAGATTCCAACTTCTATCTACCTAGATTCCTTGCTAGCTCCTTGTTAGAAAGAAGCGCAAAGAGATAATCACTGACAAGCGAAACGAAACTGACAATCGACCAACCCCACTATCCTCTACCTACAGTATATATCTACTACTTGATTTATTTGCCCCTATAACGTCACCTCTCTTACCCGAGCTCTGAACTAATTCATTGCAAACCACTGACACGAACCTCTAAAACTCTTGGTCAGTTAGTGCGTGCCTCCAATTTTGTAGATAGATACACGAATCGCGAAGTGCAACTCACAATTCTGACCGCAACCATACACCACTAACGCCGTTCTTGAAATACACCAAAGCCTTGACTTCATTTTCATCCGACTCACTCTTGCAGACACAATATCGCCATCTGAAGACTTTAACTAATGTTGCGACTTCGAGGAACTTCCGCATGTCCTGTCCCTGACGTGTATTGTATGACGCACTAATAGAGAATAAGTAACCGAACCTACGTACCCCAAACCTATGAGCGGGACCAAAGCAAAATCATATAACGGTGGTACCTGTAGAACAAGAGATTTACTTCCTATTCGCGAAACACATGTCTACAATAAACTAGCCGAGATTGCAGACACCGTCCCTAGAATTCACAGGGACCCGAGACAGAGAGTAGGTTACCAGGTACGCCAATCCATCACAGACCGGATCCCTGCATCCTCCTCACACCACCGCCCTCCCTGTTGTGTTTGGGGCATATGAGCTTCTGGCAGACCGTACAGCATAACCAGCCACATGCCTCACAGCGCAGCCTCCATGTTGTGCAATACCTAAATAGGTTAGCAACAGTAGAGACGTTGAAATTGCGAGTAACTAACGTAGCACAGTTCTCACAGCGTCCAGGTAGATGCGTCTTGACCCATCGTGTAAAATGCTGCCTGCTACAAGCTCTGTGTAGAACTGATGGCTTCGGATTGACACGCGGATGGGTGATGATGCTGTGTGTGCTCTGAGTTCCGTTCGTGTTGGAGGAACAGCTCGAAGGAGGATCCGGTGTCCGATACGCTGCTTCGGTTTGCGACGTGTTGGAGAGCGAGTTCGAGGGCGAAGACTGATACGCTTCGGTCTGCGACGTTTTGGAGGGCGACTTTGAAGGCGGCGTCTGAGGCCCTGCAGTATGCGGCGGGAAGAGCAGGATACCACCATCTTGGAGCCGTTAATGATTATGCTGGTGAAGTTCACGTGCGGCATACCTAGAAACTCATACCCGGCGTCTGGGTCCGAATAGTCTCTGCGGATAGGTGGACCTTGAGGAGAACCCGAAGCGCCAGGCGGTTTGGTCGGAGAGCGCAGAGGAGAAGGTGAAGGTAGGGACATATCGGATTGCGAGTGTAGAAAGGCGAACCTGCGGGGGAGAGCACCCGAGGAGAGATTGCGTTTGCTCTATTGGGGGCACCGCAAAGGGGAAATGAAGAGTAGAACGAAGAAGGTCGTGGGAGGGAGGTTGAAGTAACTGAGGAGGTGGGGAATCATAGAGGAGGTGCAAACGGTGCCTTCCTCCACGATTGCCAAGGCATAAGAGGAAGGCAGGTAATGATTGGACATCATCCTAAGCGCACAGCAGAAGGAGCAGAGACGAGTCTATAACAGTAATGCGATTATTCTTGTAACAAGATAACAGTGTTGAACTTAAATCGTTCCCTCTGTACAACAAGTCAGAAATAGGAACCGCAGACGGAGAGGAGCAGCAAGCATAACGCGCCAAACATGTCTAGACGGTACACCAACGCTTTGTGCAAGAACATTATGTCAAAAAATGCCATCCTGAATGTGCTCGGGGGATCGCCTCTTCTTCTCCCCTATGCAGATGAGAGCAAACGCCAGTAAGCCGCCCTGATTCTATCCATACCCAACGGACATCATAAAACGTGCGGCAGCCGTGAGCTTGTCCAATCATGACCAGACGTCCTCCTGGTATTGGTTGGAGGCCCTCATCATCTTCACAATCTCTTCGGCTTTCTCTCGAGATACATTCCGGAAGGCCGCGATGCCCTGGACAACTTGGTCATTCACGGCGCGAGCCATGTTCGATGCATCACCGCAGACGTAAAAGTAGGCCTTCTCCTCCTGGAGGAGTCTGCTAAGCTCCTCTTGGCAATCTTTCATGAGGTCCTGCACGTAGACCTTCTTAGGGGTTTCGCGGGAGAAGGCAGTGTGCATGATGAAATTGTCGCCCAGATCCTTCTTATATTGCTGTCACAAGCGTTAGCAAGGAAGGCACGTACCAATGCATTTCAGTACTCACCTCCCACTCCTTGGCGTACAAAAAGTCCTCATTCCTCCTCCTGCACCCGAAGAACAGTATCGTCTTGCCCACTTTCTGACCGGCCTTGGCTTGGGCTGCTCGTTCTTGAACAAACGCGCGGAAGGGGGCGACGCCCGTTCCAGGGCCGACCATGATGACGGGCTTGGATGGGTCCGAGGGGAGTTTGAAGCTGGAGTGACGAACGTGAACAGGGACGTGAATTCCATCGTATTTGTTACGAGGGCCGGTGATTGCGTAGTTGAGTCCGTGAGGATCGGGATCGGGATCGCCGTGCTGCTTCTGCTTCAACGCCAGGAGGTAGTTTGTCGTGACCCCCTTCAGGATATGGGGAGCCCCGGGCTTCGATATTGACTCCACGACAGCAGTAATGGCAATCTTGTCCTTCTGAACCAGAGATGACGATGAAATGGAGTAGTAGCGCGGTTGGATCTTGACAATGCCTTCGATCATGAGAGAGAAGGGGATTTTACGCCAGGGTTCGCCGTTGGAGAGGATCTCAAGAAGCTGGGCTAGATTGAGGTTACGATCGGTGACCTTGGAGTAGAAGTAGTCCTTGTCCCCTCCGAGCTTGGTGGCTTCAGTCTTGATTTCCTCGGTCGGCGCGAACTGAGCAACGGTGGAGACGAGTTGCCTAGACACGGGAGCGCAGATTTCCATGTGGTATCGCACCACGGCATCATACGTGGTTGGAGACGGAAAAGGTACCTTGGCTGTGGGATCCAGGCCCTTGACTGCGATGACCTTGTGACGTTTTTCTGAGAGCCCAAGCATGTGCAGAAATCGGTCAACCTCCTTCCCCGCATTTGTAGGCCAAACAGCGATGTGGTCGCCGGTGGTGTAGGTAAGATTGGAGCCGCTGATTTGGATTTCCATGTGAAGGCAGTTGCGATCTTTGGCCGTGAACAGCTCGTACGATTCGACTATGGGTGCGATGAAGGGATTATTCTGGTTGAAGGGCCCCTTTTGAGAGCCCTCGAGATGATTCTTGTTCGGTTCACCAAGATAGACCTCATCCGATTCGGGGTCCAGATCGTCTCGCTCGGTGATTTCGAAGACGGGCTCGTACACGGCTTCGCGCTCCTCGAGACCGAACTTCTCCGCCACAGCGGCCCACATGGGCTCCTTCCAAGCGAGGAAGTCTTCTTCCATGGTGCCAGCGCCATCGTCGCCCTCGCCGGCTTTTCCGATCCTCTGAGCGCCCAGCTTGGTCAGGTACTTGTCGACGTTGCGAACCATGGAGTTGTAGTGCTCGTATGTATTGTTCCCAAGACCGAAGGCGACGTAGTTGAGTTGGCGGAGGGGTCTCTCGTCGGCAGATTGGCCCGAGGAGAAGCTGGGCTCGTCGGAACTGACGAACTCGTAGAACTCGACGGCATTGTCAGTGGGCTCCCCCTCGCCATAGGTGGCGAGCACGAAGATGGCGAGCTTGTCCTCGGGGAATTCGTCCAAGTTGTCATAGTCGTAGTCTTCCAAGTCGGCTACCATGGTCTTGAGGCCGAAGCGTGAGTGCCCCTCCTTTGCCAACCGCGAGGCGTAGTCTTCGGCGGTACCCGTCTGGGAGCCGTAGAAGACGACACAGTTCTTGTCCGACTCTTCCATTTTTTGTATTATGTTTCGGGACTTGGCGGATTTGGCGATGCCATTGGCAGCGGCCAGAGAATCGCCATAGGGGTCGCGTTGGACAGCCCAGTAGGTCCCCTTTGTGAAATAGGCGACGGTGCCGACCAACAGAGCGACGAGCACGACGACGTCGAGAGTATCCAGATCAGATAGGGAAGCCATGATGGCGGAAAGGAGGGAGCAAGCAGTGTCAGTCTAACAGGACACGTTGACGGGACGTGGGAGCAAAAGAGGAGACAGCCCGAGCGGGAGGAAGAGAGCGTGTGGACGGTGCCGGGCTTGGTCCCGAAGTCAGACCCTCGGCGTCGGCGGGGTTGGCGGGCGACGCGAAGAGGCACTGGCAGCGGTGGAGAGGGGTCCTTGGAGCCGCTGAAGGCGTGTAGTGTCTACCTGCGGTCGTCAACGCAGTGCCGATGGTGCTGATGTGGGAGGCGGTGGAGGCGCTGCGGACAGGCTCGGGGCGGGCTCGGAAGGCGACAAATCGGCAGGGAATTGGACAATGGGCGCTGTGGAGACCCCACAATTATGTCCAGGACGACGCTGATAACCTGCGGTATGATAATGAGGGGTGTTGGAACTGGGCCCTTTGCACAACAATGAATAAAGAGCGAGCGGAAAAGCGATGCAGAAAATGGAGGCGAGATTGTCAGATGTAAATATGGTGTGGTGGGAAGGGAGTCGGAGTTGGGTGAGATGGATCGGATGGATTGGTCGGCTCACGGCCTATCTTACGACCGAGCACATGCAGTGCCTGTCCTCACTACTTAAATACTCTAGAGCGTGTCTAGCTGGCAGGTGGCAGATTATTTTGGGTTATATTATCAATGGATGCATATTGCAGTCACCATCAGCACGACGCCACCTATTCTACTGTGTAGCGTGGAGCAACAGTGGGAGGAAAAAGCTGAAAAAGGTAGATATAGCCCCATTGGGACTAGCTCGAGGAACCGAACAGGGGTACCTCTCAACACTTTCGTCAGTCAGTCTCTCACAGTAGCTGTGTGAAATGCCATCACCGCCTACACTACTCACATCCGCCCGCATTCACCAGTCAGCATATTGAGGCCCATTCGACCGCATAGCCACACGCCCGCTGCTGCATGCTTATCTTTACTCTGCAGATGCCGAGTGGCACGTCGGCGGGATGAGTGAGTACCTCCCTCTAACCCTCTGCATCCATCATCCATCATCCCTCAAAAACCACGTTCGAACCCACAGCGAAACGCCGTGCTCTCGAAACCTCCAGCCCTCCAAACATGCCCGCTGGGCGGAGCGGGCGGCTTCTGCAGCCACTCAGGCCCTGCATCTCTCTGTGCGAGCCTGTGTGTCGACCTGTTGACGTGCCTTGCTGACCTCGTGTGCCACTCGCTGCAGCTGCCTCCTCCCCACTGGCACATCCGTCGCACCATCCACCCGCCGACTCCTCATCAGTCCCTCCAGTGCCTCCTTCAGGCCCTCCCGCTGGGCGTGGACGGGCTCTGACTGCCTCGGGCCCATCTGCTTCACCGCGTTCGCAGACTCCCGTCGTCGTTGCTCCCAGCTCCCACTCGAGCCCAGACGGCAACAGCACCGTCGAACGGAAGCACTCGCTCTCATACGGCCACCACCGCCAGACGTCCATCGTACATGGCATCCAACACTCGCGCAACACGAGCTTTGTCAACTCGCCCGCGACCAGTCCCCTGAGTCCCCTTCCGCTTCCTGTCATCACCGCTGGAAATGCGAGTCCCGATGGCACCGCCATGACCCAGGATAGCCCCTCCGAAGCCTTCACGGCTGGCGGAGTCCATGTCGCGGTTGCGGGCCTGGGGAATGCTCACTCCAGTGCCGTGACTTCTTCCTCTACTGCCCCCCGCAAACCAGAAAGGGTCCACAGCGGGCGGCGCAAGGAACACCATCATCAGCGCTCCCAGTCCCGGCACCCGCAGGGTACCAACGAGGTGCGAACAATGAGCGAATACGCAATGACACACTTGTTCCACGAGGTGAGGAGCCTTCCATCTCCATCGCTTCCACTTGGACTAACGCCGGCACCCAGTTTAACATCCAAGCCGACCACAAGATCGCCCAATGCTTGGATGATCGGAACCAACAGGATATCTACCCCGAGCGTGCCTGCGGACCTGGCGTGGACCCGTCTTTTGATCAGCTCTTATCGGCCCTAGGCCACATTGCTCGTCACAAGCCCAAGTCCCTGATTGACACTATGATGTTCTGGCGCAAGGCAAAGAGTGAAGCAGCCGCTGAGCACAGGACGCGATTGGCAAATGTGAGTAATGCCGCTGTCTTGCACACTGCTTCTCTAAACACTGCACAGGCGAAGAAAGCCCAAGTGCTACCCACGTCGGTGCTGCCTCGTCGAAATACAGAACCACTCCATGTTGCTTCGGATGGCCAAACGCCAATCACCCAAGCCGTAGCTCAAGAAAGGAGCATAGTTGCTCTCCAACACGCTACCTGGCAATACGAGCAGCGCTCCACAATATCTACCTACATCCTGTGCCGTGTCCTCATCGAGATTATCTCGCAAACGGATCTTCAATCTCTCACCCAAGACATGGCCGAGCGCCTACTGGGCATCTTCTATGCTCAACTCAACACGGTCGATCCCGATGAAGCCGACGACTCCCCCTTGCATCATGCTAACTGGGTCATGTACGTGGAATTGCTTGGGGTGCTTAGTGACCTCATTTTCGACAAGATTCAGGAGAAGTTCATCGCCGACCTACAGACTTTGGAGGGTCAGCTCTCCGCGAAGGGACAAGCGAACAGGGATCTCGAGGGGAAGAAAGCTGCGCTCCTCGTCCGGAGTATGAGACGCCTCCGCGTCAAATCCCATCCAGGCGAAGCTTGGGCTCAAACGTGTGACTGCATGCTCTCGCTTGCCAAGCTATTTGCCAACGCCCACGGACAAATGCTCAAGTATGCCTACTGCCAGGTCCTGAGGGAGCTCCTGCAACGCATCGCCTCGAAGCCGGCCTTCGACCCGAACTCTCCCAAGTGGAGAGCTGTTGTGGAGACGATGAGACCCCGTTTGGCCTTGCTGCTGAGTAAGCCCAAACACTGGCAGGAAGCATTCCCGCTCATGGTTTCACTGCTCTGTGTTTCGCCAACCGAGAGTTTTGTAGCGCAATGGTCGTCACTAGCGCTTTCGATACAACCTAGGCTCAAAGAACGCGCCACGAGGGCTGTTGCTCTTCGTGGTTTATGTCAGCTTGTTTGGACTTATATCTATCGCACGACTGTAGACTCGCCAAGCATCGTCGTTCGCAAACTCGACGAGATCGTGCGCATGGTCTTTCAACCAGGAAGGCGGTCCTATCTGTCCACCGACCAACCCATCGCAGATCCGCTGATTCAACTTACACGCATCATTGGTTTTAAATACCAGGATCTGTGTTTCAAGGCAATCATATTCCCTCTCCTCAATTCCGAGATGTTCGCATCCGGCCGCGACCTGCGTGTAGAGAATATGGAGCCGGATCGAATGGTTATTGGGATCCGATCATTCTTGGCCATCATGGCAGACCTGGAAAAGGGCGAGCGTCCACCCTTTCCATGCACTTCGGACACCGAGACACCCGGTGAATCGATAGAGTTGCCGCCTCCCCCTGCAAGTCCGCGGGGTCCTCAGCAGTTACCCATCAAATCCTCCCTGCTGAAGGAGGAGCGACTCTCGCGACCCGTCAACTTCTCGGGATTTGCAGAAGTCGCCAAGGAATATTACGTGCGATTCTGTAAAATACTCGGAGAGATCACCATCATATGCGACAATGCCTTCGGCGGCCAAGCTGTCCTCGACGAAAAGTTCTCACTACAAACGCCCAAAACCCCCATGTCGGACGCCTTTAGCTTCACCCGCAGAGACGATCAGGGCTCAACAGATCCACGCCAAGGGTTCTATGGTTTGCTTCATGTTGCTGTTCAAGCGCTACCTCGCTGTTTATCTCCCCATATCCCTTTTAATTCACTTATTAATCTCCTCTGTACCGGGACCGCTCATGTTCAGAGAGATATTGCAGCTTCTTCGGTACAGTCTCTCAAATCAATTGCACGCCAGTCACATGCCCAACAAGTTACAATCGGTTTCGCTCGCTTTATTTTCAACTTTGACGACCGGTACGCGACCATGTCTGATGGCGGTATGCTAGGACCTGGTCACATCGAGAGTACCCTCAAGCTCTACGTAGAGCTTCTGCAGATATGGATCGAGGAGATCAAAGAAAAGACGCGCAAAGCAGCGTTGGACACGCCAGATGACGGCATATCAGGTAACAGAGGGGCCCAACTCGACCTGTCCTCCGTGTGGGCTCATGTCGATGAGATTGAGTCACACGGACTGTTTTTCCTTTGCTCACCATCGCGCCGTGTGCGCTGGTACGCCGTGACTGTCCTTCGACTTATCACAGAGTTCGACAAAGCATTAGGAGGTTCGAGCACAAGGATTATTCGCGTGATGGAGGGCAGTCCACAAAGGGTCATGGACATCAGTCATGAGAAGCTATCGCTCGCCGAACGGAGTCGCCTGCAGCGCGGCATGCGAAAGAGCAATGTCCAAAGCACCTTGGTGGAGTTGTGCAGCAGTGATGTTCCCTACGACTCCACGCTCTGGTTCAAAATTTTCCCAAACCTAGTGCGCATTAGCTTCGAGGTTTGCCCGTTTGCGGTCACACTTACCCGAGACATTGTCTGCGCAAGGTTGACACAGATGCATCGCACTTTGCACTCTCTTATAGAGGGGCCGCGAGGAAGTCCCTATCCGACCTTTGACTCCAGCTTCGGCAAGATAAGTGGGCGTCTCGCATCAACATCTCCGGATATTGTCATCGAACAATGGAAACTCTACCTGATCTTCGCTTTCACAACCTTGACCAACCTAGGCTCCGCTGGGCAGGCCAACCTTCGGACTCAACCTGTCCAACACTCGAGGAAGAGCTCCAAGTCCTCACAGAAGAGTGCTAGCAAGGTCTATACTGCTGGTGAACTCTTCGCCAAAGTCCTCCCCTTTCTGTCGGTTGACAATGCCGCTGTCCGTGACGCTGCGGTCGTCGGTCTGGGTTCCATCAACATAAACCTCTATCGCTCTCTTCTGGAAGCTTTACAGGGACATGCTCTGGCATGTGCTGAGGAAGCGAAAACACGTCTAGGTATGCATACACGGACGGTTAGTAGTCCGCGTCGGAGCCGTCGCACTGATCACCTACGGACTGAAATCACGCACGTGTACAAGCTCACGTCTCATTTTCTTAAGATGCCGGAGGCATACAACGATGACTGGATTCTCAATAACGTAGTGAATTATACCAAAGACCTGAGGATCTTCTTGAGCGATGCTGAGGTGCAGAATGAGTGGGGCTTTCAGAAATTGCGCACACACTACTGCGGTTTGGTCGAGGTTCTGTTTGAAGGTATCAATATGACGAAGGATCCTCTTCAATGGATGCCCTTCCAGGCTCGGAAAGCTGCGTTCACTTTGATGGAAGAGTGGTGCGGCTATTCAGCGAATCAGCAACAAATCCGCCAACGAGAAGAGAATATGAGGAGGTCAATGTTGGACCGGGAATCTGACCTCGGAAACAAGGGCATAGCAACCGCTGCCATGGAGATTGAGAAGAGGGACCTTCGCACGGCGGCTCTCAGCGCTATGGCCGCATTATGTGCGGGCCCGGTGAGTATCACCACGGACAGTAAAGTGCTTCTTCAATTCGATGTCCGGCGCATGCTCTCTTGGATCGACAGCATCTTCGAAACCCCGAGCGATAGAACCCACGCGATAGGGCGTCGAGCCCTCACTAACCTAATTATACACAACCGTGAGCATCCATACCTCTTGGATCGAGCGATCGAGATGTGCTACCTGTCAAAGTCCTCCAAATCTTTGGAAAGCTATTTCGAAGTAGTTACTCGTGTGCTGACAGAACGTGAGGACTATACTCTCCCATTCTGGAAGGTTTTGAGCGCTGGTCTCTACACGCTAGGACATGAGAACAACGGGATTCGCATGAAATCTGCACGCCTGCTCCGAACACTTGAAGCCCGAGAACAGAAAAATTCCAAGCTCCAAGACCTTGATATAAGCATCTCAGACAAGACCATTGCAGTCTATAAGCTTGCCCAGTTTGAGACGTCGCGAAGGCTGGCCAAGCAGCATTCCGAACTCGCCTTCATGGTGTTTTCGCAGTTCTCATACTACTTTAAAGAATTGCAGCCAGACCATCAGCGCAACATGGTAGCCGCAATGCTACCCTGGGTCCAAACCGTTGAGCTTCAGATCAACCCTGAGGGAGGTCCCACTGCTAATTCTTACATGCTGCTGGTCAATCTGTTCGAGATCACAGTGCGGTGTAGCAATGCCCTCCACAACGAAATCCAAGCGCTTTGGCAGGCACTTGCAACCGGGCCATATGCTGGCAATGTCCAACTCATCCTCAACTTCTTTATCAATCTTTGCCTCGATAAACGAGAGCAAAACTACGTGGATGTTGCGAAACAGATTGTTGTCCATCTTTCCAGTACCCCAGCCGGGCTTAAGGTCGTCGAATTCCTCCTTCTACACATCAATCCACGATCCATGGTGGTCGAAAAACGCGAGCCCAGTCCACCACCACCGGATGCTGTCAATCTGCCGTATCTTGCTGATCTCGATGCTTTGCTACCCACTAGTGGCAATAAGCACGTAAGTGTTTGCATTTTCGTAGCATAACCGATTGGAACTGACAGTATCATAGTCGGGATTCGCCTTGGGACAGATATGTCTCATCCTCCTCGTGGACCTCATGGTTTCTCCCGTTCAGTTGGCTAGTGAACACGTGCCTTTGCTCCTGCAAGTGGTCATGGTTCTGTGGGATCATTACATTCCTGTGGTGCAGGACCAAGCAAGAGAGATGCTCGTTCATCTAATACACGAACTAGTGATATCGAAGATTGATGACGAGACCGTGGGCATAGACAAACGCGCCATCGAGGATTTTGTTGAGAGTGTCCGGCGGCATGATGCTAAAGTCGTGTGGAACTACGACGACAAGAGCGCGAAAGATATGACGGACTCCGGCAGTAAAGTACTCGAGTCCATGAGTTATGTCGCAGGCGAAGTATTGAAGTTCTTCTCCATTACATATCCCGGGTTCAGAGAAGCTTGGGGGAAAGTTGCCCTCAACTGGGCGACCTCATGCTCAGTTAGACACGTCGCTTGTCGCTCGTTTCAACTCTTCCGCTGCATTCTAAGCTCTCTGGACCAACAGATGCTTGCAGACATGCTTGCGAGACTCTCGAACACCGTTTCCGACAGTGAGAGCGACATCCAGACATTCTCGTTGGAAATCTTGACGACCTTGAGAGCCATCATCGAGGCCCTTCAACCAGAAGATCTGATTCAATATCCGCAGCTGTTCTGGGCCACTTGCGCCTGCCTGGACACTATTCACGAAAGCGAGTTCATGGAAAGCATGCTCATGCTCGATAAGCTTCTCGACAAGATTGATTTAGGTGATCCAGACATCATCCAGATTCTTGAGGATAACTTTCCCGACAAATGGTCCGGCCAATTCCAAGGTTTGTCTCAACTGGTTTACAAAGGTGTTCGCTCCAGCATTTGTCTCGATCGCTCTTTGCGACTTCTCGAGAGACTTGTGGAGTTCCCTTCCAGTCGAATTGTGGGTGATCACGGCCGCCTAGTCTACACGGTCCTTGCCAACATGCCACGCTTTCTGCAGTCTTTCGACCAGAGCGAGAAAGACATGACCGTCAGCGCCACCGCCACTGTCCTCGCTCGCGTGGCAGAAGGGTACAATTGCCCGGATTTGTTTGAGGCTTTGACGGCGTTTGCGAATAGGCGCTACCGATACGACAAAGACTTTGTTGCACAAACAATGTCTGCCATCCGTCTGGCCTTCTTCCCTGAATTCGAGTACGGTAGTCTTGTGTTCCTGCTCAGCCTCCTCACCAACAAACTCGACTGGATGAAAATCAACACCATGGAAGTTTTGTGCTTCATCATACCAGAGATTGACATGCGTAAACCGGAAATCACCTCCAAAGGATCAGATTTGATCTCGCCACTGTTGAGATTGCTGCACAACGAGTACTGCCCCCAAGCACTGAAGGTGCTGGACTCTATTATGGACATGGCGGGAGAAGCGAATGCCCTGGAGAACCAGCACCTTCGCATGAGCATGGCGGGAGGCCACAGTACCCGAGCCACGCGAAAACAGTACGCACAAACGCAGTCTCTGTACGGGATACCGGAGGAGAGCGGGTGGTCAGTGCCTATTCCCGATCACCACGCGCAGTTGACGAGAGCGAATGTTCACGCCGTCTTCTACACTTGCGGCACTGTTGAGGACAACGATGCCACGCAGGTGGACACGCCCAAGATTGAGTTCCGCCAGGAGGAGATCCTCTTCAGCCCCATATCAGACTACCGAACCGCAACCATGACATCCGAGGATACCCGGGGGGACAGCCACATTGGAGAGCTTGTTATGAAGCTGGATAGTCTCGATGATTTCTTCGAGGAAGACGACGATGACACCGAAACCCTCACCGATCTTCCAAACAGCTCAATGTTTGGCCACGGTCGTTATGTTAACGGGTCATACGCAAGCGTCCATCCGAACTTGGATGCCAGGGAGAACCTCTACGACCAACGAACCGCCCCTATACTTCACAAGTCACTCACCCGCAATGCCAGCGTGTCTTCCTTCCACTATTCCAGCTTTGCAGATATGGAGCTGTCACCTTCTCGTGATCCAGGAGTAATGACGCCAGGCGCCTTCACTTCCTTCGCATCCATGGCGCCCGCTCCCTCCACCTCTACTCGACCCGGCCTCCACTCGCGCTCCGTCACCTCACCCTCGGCATCAAACCAATACCAACGCCAGTCACCTGGACTCTCCTCGGCCGTCTATGAAAGCGACAACGCCTTCTCGGACGACGACTTAGCTGCCGGCCGCAGCAGTAGCAGCAACCCCAGCGAAAAGGGCCCCAGCTTCGAACACGTCGTCCGACCGCCTCGGCCCACCGATGCGCGCAGCAGGTTCCGCAGCGGGGTGAGGAGGTTGACGGGGGGTGGGGGGGACGCGAGGGAGAGGGAGAAGGCGAGGGAGGCGATCAAGATGGCGTTGCAGAAGAGCCCCGAGGTGCCGAAAGTGCCGGATATTTACCTTGTTAATCCTAGGAGTGCAGATCCTTAGCAGGAGTATCTCATGCTTGTTTTGTGGCACGTGTACTTTGCAGGCCCCTTCTTCGGTGCAATGGGGTCGGGTTCTTGATTCTCGACATGTATGTACGCTTCTATGGAGGGAGGTTGTGGTTGTTTTTCACTTGAGCACTCGAGTGTGTTGTCTGGGTTCATGTTCGTATATATGCTTCGGTGGGGAACTCGCCCGGTGTTTTTGCTTTCTCTAGATACCATGGTACATACATACCAATGCTAATCCGATTCAATACCGAGTTGGCAGGCTTGTACAGAGTTGATGTCGTTTTGAACGCTCGTTGTCTGTAGGATAGGTATCTGCCAGTATGATCGACTGAGACAGGTAGGAAATCCTTCCCAGCAATAACCTCGATCCAGGAATTGTATGCTCGCCACCTCATCTGACATTGGTTACAATTTCGCCAAAAATTCCTTACTTCCATGTCTCCACTCATAGAAATGAAGATAAAGACAAAGATAAAAATGAAGATAAAGACATTATTCGACCACCATCAAAATCGGCCGTTGTCACGTTAAACGCATCCGTCCCTCCTCCCCCTTCCCGTCCCTTGGCGTCCTCTCCAGCAAATATCCAAAATATATACGCCTACGCAGGACACACGCCCGGCGCACTAAACGCACTCTGGCATCCCACGCAGAAATCCGTTGTCGTTCCGCACCAACCGTACTTGCTACAACACATGCCCGTCTTGCAAATGTATCCCATGTTCTTGCCGTTCTGCACATTGCCGCACGTCCCATCGGGCGTGATGGAGCCGGGCGGTGGAGCGCCGTCGCACGTGGTGCCGGAATAGGCTTGCTGGCAGTTCCCGTATCCGCAATCTGTTTTTCGTGTTAGTGTTTGGTTTTGATTCTGTTGTAAAGAATTGGGGGCGTGAGGAGGGGAAGGGTGGGGAGCGCATGGAATTGGAATGGGAAGCTTAAGGGGGAATTGATGAGAAGAAGGGGAACTGACAATCCGCACCGAGACCGCAATTTCCCCACTTGGAGCAGCAGCGGCCGCGGGGACAGGTGTAGCCTAGGTTGTTGCCGGCGCCGATGAGGCCGCAGCGGCCGTTGGGGGAGATGACGGATGTGGATGTGGGTGCGGGGACGGAGGACTGGATGGTGGTGTTAGCCTTGAATTCCGCAGGTCAAAGGAGATAGAAAGCTAAAACCGAAGAAGGGAGAAGTGGAGAAAAAAGAGCAAAGGAAAAGGGGGATTCCTACAGTCCCGCTCGGCGGCGGCGCCCTCGCCGTCCTATACCACTCACTCGGACTCTGCCCCATGCACGCGCCCACGGGCACCGTAACGAGGCCCCGTTGCTGCACCGTCTGAATCATGAAATCGATCAGCACGCCGTGCGTCCACTCCTCCTGGTCGTGCGCCTCGACGATAGTGAAGCCCTGATCGAGCCCGGTGACGAAGAGCTGCTTTGCGTTCTCGATCTCCGTGGCTGACTGGTACGCCCAGTCGCGCGTGTTGAGGTCGCCGATGATGACGACGTATTGCAGGTCGCGCATGACGTCGAGGACGGCTTGGTTGTAGGAGAGGAAGGGCGGGCGCATGTAGGTCGGCATGTAGCCCAGGATGTTGACGAGGGCTTCTTCGAGTTGGGTCATTTGGAGGGCGGTGTCGGTGGGGGTGAGGGTCGCGAGGTCTTTGTGGGACCAGCTGGGTGATGGGTTAGTGAGGATATTCTAGTGAGTAAAGGGAGAGAAAGAGGGTGAATTGAATAGTGGAAGGGTGATGGAACACTGAGCAGATACAGAAGAACGACTTACGTGTGCGACCCGATCTGATGCCCCAAAGCAATCATCCGCTTCAACGTAGCGTTATACTTGTAGATATTGTCCTTGTTCTGCCCGTTGATGAACCACGTCGCCTTGAAGTTGGCCGCTTCCATCCGATCCAGAATATCCTCAGTGTAAATCCACGGCCCATCATCAAAGGCCGGAGCAATCACCCCGGGAACATCGCAACCGTAGATCAACTCGCCGTACGGAACTGCCCGCTTGACAATGTTGCTCTCACCATTGGGTTGGGCATGGGGACGAGGTGAAGCGGCGACGAGGGAATTGGGACTCCATTGCGATAGAGCAAATAGAGACACAAGCAGACAACGACCCAGGGACGCTGCCATGTCGGAAGCCGGATCGGCGAGGAATTGACTGGAAAAAGAGTACGGGACCCACAAAAACAGTCGAGAACCGCAGATTTTGAAACTCGACCTGGACGCCCTCAGCGCAGAAGAAGACAAGTCGAGGGCTCTTGTGGAACTGTGTCGCCGTATTCACAATTGCACCATGGGGAAAAGCTAGGGGCAGTTATACATGCAGCACGGTTGGAGGCAACCGAGGTCTCTAGCTGCTGCTGCTGGTTATACGGTGGTAGGATTGGGGTGCGAGTGCGAGGGCTTTTTTTCCCCTCGTCTGGAATCACGACTACTGTTGAATCAGGTTTATCGCCGCTCGCCGGCCGCTATTTCTGGCCTCCCATAGAAAAACCAGAAGTCGAATCGTTCGTCCCAAGACGCGTCTAGACGACGCGGAAGCCATTGGATCGAACCCTCGATGCTTGGAAATGCTTTGCGAGGGATCCAGATGCGAGCTGGCGCAGCTGAAAGGAAAAGTTTTCGCAAGCTCCATGGATGTTCTATCGGGTCGTCGGATGCAAAAAGTGCCAGTGAGCGATGGGTCCAGAAGCCTGGGGAGACAGCGAAGAAAGCACAGGTTCCAGAAGCGGCCCCTCAAATATTGAGGCGTTGTTCACGCAAAGCACTTCGCGGTCTCGACTCTCCACCACCACTCCTCCACCGTGCGGAGTCTCCGCTACGCGAAAGGCCGGGGAACGGTGCAGTTTGGCTGATAGCGTGCCACGTGCGGCCAGGCTGTGGAGAGGCGAGCGCCATCGGAGCACATCAATTGCTTGGTGAGGGCGAGAATAGAATCTGCAGGGTACACAAGACGCAGGGTACTGCAATGCTGAATAAGGCGTCCATGGCGGAGCGAACGTTTACGCTTGCCGACTATTGAATATGTATGCCGTCAGCTTTGCATTTCGCATCCATTCTGCACTGCTGCCGTTCCTCTTGCTGCACTTCTCGCATGATCGCCCAGCTGTTGTTGACACTACTTCGCATTCCTGACCAAGTTCAATTATTGACTTGGCGAGAACGCTGATGTCGTTGAGCGTTTTCCTGAGAAGGATAGTCTTACGACCGATCACTGTGTACTCTGTCGCGCAGCTCGATTCGGATGATCGATGATGCATCATCTTGCAGAGTGCCCTGCTGTTGGACTGATTTGCATCGTGGCCAAGGTCGTATTCCCAGGTTGGCGGGACTCGATATTTCCGGGTTGTTGGGCGTGAATTGATTGAAATCTGACAATCATCCGATCCATTCCTCCGAGGATCTATCTATTGACAAAAAAAACTTGCAGCCTCATCAAGATTCATCAGCAACAAGGAACATTCCCAGAATCCAGGTTCCAGAACCGGTATTCAATAATGATACTCGTCTGCGACGATCCTAGGCGATACCGTAGTAAGTCTAGCCAATGCTGCTACTTGGCTAGGTGCCGAGTCAGTAGTGTGCCTACTGGGTAGTCCCGGCTTTTGACGACGACATGCGATTATTTCTTCAAGCGCTGGAGTGCGTAGTCCAGTCTGGCGATCGGAGCCAGCGGCCCGCACATTTTGGCTACACAACAACTCAGCTAAGCTTTTCCACCGTAATTATTTTTACAACTCTACACAGTATACCATCACACAACAGCATCCGTACAACAAAGTAAAACGAAAGAAAGTTGCCGGCAGTAATGCAGATTCATCAACCTTCTTGCACCCAAAGCAACATGACACCCGTCCTGTTCTCACTCACACCATCACGCCACCCGCTCCCCGTACCTTTTAGGAAACGCTCATCCCTCATCCCACAATGAAAAGCTGATGATGAGTTGTCTCTTCTCCCAATAGTCTACATGCGCCACAACACACGCCCCAACTTCAGCCGAAAGCTCCACCGGGCCCCACCCGCGTGCATGCGTCCCGCGTGGCGCTATGCTAGCCCTGGAGATCGGCGCAGGGGACGCCTGGCCATTGGGCCATGGCTTCGGTACGGCTGTTTTTGGTGGAAAGGTTCCAAGGTTGTTTGCTTTGCCCAGACACAATTGTAGGTACTATGCTTGTTTGGGTAGATTGTCGAATTCGGAAAGTCGGCGAGGTGGAGAGAGACGGGAGTCAGCCATGAGTGGGGGGAAGGGCTGAGGTGGGCTGAGGTGGGCTGAGGTGGGTTTGTAAGGTACGCGTGAATTTTGGTAAAGGGACAGGGTAGGGTTGAATTACATAGGCGAAAAAGAAAGGATTGAGAGGAATTGAAAACGATGAGATGGAATATTCTTACAACTATGTACACGTCGAATAATGGGTGAATATCATACATTATTTTTCGATCCTGGATATCGTCATGACTCGCTCAAACAGAAAACCAGGTATCTTCCCGTCTAACTCCCAACCCCAGCGTCATATCGTCACCCGAAATGCGTATAGTCGGGTAATCGCCAAAACCAACAAACAAAGAAATTCTATTGTCCCCCTCATCTTGGAAGCCCAACAGTGGCTTCTTGGTCATTATTCTGCGATGACGTCGCCTTCTCGTCCTCTTCAGAGCTCCCATCCCCTCCATCACCACTCTCCTCGGATATGACTTTCCGCGTTTTGCCCCACCCAAACGAGTCGAGGTGCCACGTCGTGTAGAGCAAGACAAAGATGGTCAGAAAAGGGCCTGTGAAGATGTAGATCACCAGCCCGACCAGATACTGGCACCGCGCTTTCCCGGTCTTGGGCATCCAGAATACAAGCGTGACCATGTAAATGTAGGGCACAAGGACTCCCCCCAAAAATCCGACGGTCCAGTACCAAGGGACGTGCAGGGCGGCGTGGATCAGCCCCGCGATGGAGCCAAGGATGAAGAGGGAGCAAAACCAGATCTGCACGTTGCAGAAGGCGCGGATCCTCTCAAACCACTGAGTCCCCCGGCTTGTAGCCAAATGAAGATCGTTGACCGTGGCTCCCATGGACCAGCGCTTGCGCTGCGACATGAAGACGGAGAGCGAGGTTGGCACATCAGTCCAGGCGGTCGCCCGGATCGCTTGCCGCGTCTTGACGTGCGGTCTGGACGTCAAGACGTGGCAGACGTGGTTTCTGTCCTCGCTGTAGGAACCGCGGAGATGCTTCAGCATCGAGTCGGTGGGTTTGGGGCAGTAGCCAAAGAGCTCGCGCAAGGTGTAGTCGCCGTTATTTTCCTCGCACACCTTGAGGATCTGACAGCAGCCGGGAAGACAGGAGACTTTGTGCGTCACGGTCGATTGGTGCAGACGCGGCAAACCTTGGGAAACGGTGTACGCCGAGTTCTGCATCAGCCGCCAAGGGTTCCAGGCCCCGTCTTTGAAGTCCACCCAAACGACGCCGCACGCCCCATACGTATCCGGGTACCTGGGCGAATGTGAGTACAGCTTCAGCCGCAAATGTATTTCTGGTCTGGACGTACCTGATTTCTTGGATCAGGTGGTAGATACACCAGGGGTCGAAGACCGTGTCCGCGTCCATGCCGACAATGGAGTGGAAGTTGTCAATCTCGCAATCATCGAGAACAAAGCTGGCCATTTCTCCGAAGAGTCTTTGTGACATGATGGTCGCTGGTCTTTCGTGGCGAAGGTTGTACATGTAGGCTGCATACCCAATTAGCCAATCGGATCGTGACAGTGGTTAACAAGGTTCAGAAGCCAGCGCCCACATACCGAAGGACCGGAGGAGGATGAGCCCATCCCTCTTGCCCCTGTTTTGCATCTTGACAATGCACATATATGGCATGCCCTTGTAAGTTCCCTTCTGCATGATGATATCCATAGGAATCTTGTCCCAGGCCAAGTAGGCATTCTTCATATGTATTGTCGACGTCTTCTCCGTCAAGATGGTGTTGAGGAGGCAGTCCCCAGTGGTTTCGGTCATTCCAGGCCCTCGGACCCTTCCATCGCAGATGATGAAAATGGCCTTCTTATGATTGTCGATTCCCTTCTGCTCAACGAGCGAGTCGAGCGATTTGCGCAACTCATCCTCGTTTTCGTTGTAGCATGGGATGATGAGCATAAGCGACTCCGGCGTCTCGGGTGGCGGCAGTTTGCGCTCAGGTCGCACAAACCGGAACGCTTTCCAGAGACAAAGAGTGACAACCACGATGAAGTTGAAGGCTACGCCAAAGGCAATAAAAGGCAGGAATATCCAGTGGTAACCTTTGAACCACCATGATCCGAACAATAGAAAACCACTATTGGCGTCAGCAAGGCGGTAGGGAAAAAGGGAGTAACCACCCAAGGAACAGTGACTTACTTGGTTCCGAAGATGAAGCATTGGAAGGCAAATTTCGAGATCTTCATTCTCCGTTTCGCTTTCTTCTCCAGGATGCCATCAGGGTCGGAGAATGTGGGCTTCTCATCCACTTGGGTGACGAGACTGCCCAACTCTTCCGCCCGACTTGCATAGGTCTTGATGTACTTTTCAGTGGAGTTATAGGACTCATGCTTTTCGCTCAGGTCGGACTCGCTAGGTGTACCGGGAAGGGTCGTGGCATAGGAGAGATGTCCCGCATGTAACGGATCATCGAGGAATGGATTCTCCAGAAATGAGCTTCTTGAGTTCTCGAGAGTGGTATCTGCACTCTGGTGCTTCAGGTGCACCTCCTTGGGCCGGGAAGGGATAATTGGCACCGAAGTCGCAATCTGCTCGTCGATTCCCATCTTCGGCTGTGTCCTGCTGAAGGAATTGAGGTACAATCTTGCTTATAAGAGATTCATAAACGAGTGACGAGAAAACAAAAGTCCAGCGAGAGACAGGGGGAGACGATCGCCAGCGCCAGCTCGGCCTGGACACCGGCGTCTCGATCCATAAGAACGGATCCGGTACCTTAAGCCCAGGCTTCTGGTGGCGCAAGACAACCCCAGAATGAAGCTCCAACAGCGGCTTCTGGCTGTGGCTTGCGTCCAGAGGATTCGGGGCCTCACCCGCATGGATTACAGCATGATGCCAGCGCATCCCAGGAACCGGGATAAGTTTATCGATTGTTGTAACGATTTTGTGGCTTGGGGCTGTCGTCCGTAAGTGGTAACGCCTACCGGGGTCCCGACTTGTGCTGCGGTCTAAAAAGGTGAGAAGCCAAGATACAGCGGCAGGAGAGTCTAAAATGGTGTGATGTGCGGAAGCCCCGGAGATGTGGACAGTGCCCGCCAGATGCTTGAACGGGACGATAATTTTTTTATTTCTTCGGAGCATAGAAACGCCAAGGACTCCGGCCTGGACAATGACTTATTATTGAATCTGCGTGCCTAGACCCTTAGAGGGCGATCCGGTGTGGCTGAACCTCTCATTGACTGCTCCTTCAGACCGCAGCTGCCCATATTCTGTGGGAGAAAGGCGTTTTTGCAGGATATGGTTGTGGAATAATAGGGCCTTCGGGCTTTGTACCAAAATTCGCCTTGAGGAGGGTTGTTTCGTTGTTACTAACAAAACGATACTAGTACGGTCGTACCAGAGAACAACGGTTTGTGAGAACATCAACACCAGGAAAAAGTCCAGAATGTTATGAGCGCCTCCAGGCCTTACGCGACTGCGAGGCTATCGCCTACCCCTGCCAGCTCGGACGCTATGAGGAGGTTGCTGTTGCTGGCGTTAAAGAACATCCAACTCTTGCATGTTCACATCACGTGATATGATATCCTTACTCAGGTACCTAGGTACTCGCTCGTCATTGTTACTTTTGGGTTTGATGATTTGTAACCGAGGACTCTGCGACTATTGGAGCAGGCTGGAAGACTTTCATTCGGCTTGGAAGCATATGTGGCTGGAATTTCTAGCAGTGTTCCCATCGTGCCTGCAGCGTCTGCAGACGCCATCGGGCCTCACCCAGATTATCTGTGGAACCTAACCGATCGAGAACCCCTGGATACACGTGGATGTGCTCTGGCTTTCGTTTAGTTGAAAGAACAGTGTCTGATGGTGTCTAGACTGATCACCTCAGCTCACAGAAAGATGCGCCATCAATACGTCTGCGGCTCTGGCCCGGTGAGGCCGAGGCAATGGCTGATCGCCGGATCCATCATGGAATCCATGGTGTCTACTCTTCCGCCTGGGATCATACGATCCGTGGGACAGCTGAAGGCGATGGCTAGAGCTGGCAATATCGTTCGGTGCTGTGCTCCCACACTGTGCCTTGGACATATATAAATCGTGGCGTGTTTGTACTTTTCAAGCATCCACTTCTCCAACCCACTTCGGAAGTACTCAAGACTTTCAGAAACTTGGTGTTACTCCAGCTTCGTTCATTGTCAAGCAACTCTTCTCTCGCCTTCTCTTGGATTTTCGACAGTTCACTTGGTTGAGCTTGTCAAGACGCCCCGGAGGCTTAATCAGCAACATCCACACTCAGAATGTTTGCCAATCCAAATTTCGAAGCGGAGCTCGTCTCCAAACTCCGCGTTGACGACAAAGATGCCTTCAATTCTCAAAAGTACCCAACCGAGTGTTGCTACGAAGTTGCCTTGACGCCCCCCGAGGAGATCGAATGGGACCCTTCCACCGAGAAGACTAGGTCCGTGTCGCCGTGCCAATCCGTGGAATCGTTTGAATCTCTTGCATCATCTGAGGCACAACCTGTTGTTGCCATCATTGGATGTGGCTATGTTGGATCCCACCTTGCACAGAATTTTGGGAATCACTTCCGCGTAATCGCTTTGGACGTCTCGGAAACTCGAGTTCAGCAGCTCCGGGAGGACCCCTCCTTCCCTTCCCAGGTGACTTTTACAACCGATGTCAATGATCTTTCCGAGGTCTCGCACTTCCTCATTGCTGTTCCCACCCTGCTACGGGAGGACAACACAATCAACGACGCTCATTTGAAATCAGCCATCCAGACTGTGCAAAAGGTTGCCTCCCGAGGTGCCACTGTCGTCATTGAGTCTTCCGTCGCTGTGGGCATGACCCGCACCCTCCTTGAGCCTCTCATGCGGGAACTGGGTCTGAAAGGAGGCATGTCACCCGAACGAGTCGATCCAGGACGAGTTTCGCCGCCGGCCCACGCCATTCCGAAAGTCGTCTCCGGTCTCGATGACATTAGCCCGGGATCCCTCGAAAGCGTCCTGCAGATCTATTCCCAAGTCTTTGACACCGTCGTCCCCGTCTCCAGACCTGAGGTCGCCGAAATGACCAAACTGTTTGAGAACTGCCAGCGCATGGTGATCGCTGCCTACGCCAACGAAATGTCCAATGCATGCGAGCAACTCAACATCGACCGTTATGAGGTGACTGCAGCCTGCGCGACCAAGCCTTTTGGCTATCTCCCGTTCACACCCGGCCTGGGCGTCGGCGGCCACTGCATTCCCGTGAACCCGTAAGTACATGATCTGTCCAGATGACGTTAAATCTTCGCCGTTGGGCCGTCGGACTTGAGCTAAACGGTTTCAGGCACTATCTCTTTTCTAACTGCGAATTTCCCCTACTTCGCGCCGCAACCGAAGCCACAAGCGCGCGTCCAGCCAGCCTCGCGCAACACTTAATTGGACGCTACAACAAGCGTGTCGCAAACCCCAAGTTCCTCGTGCTGGGTGTGTCGTTCAAACCTGGTCAATCTTCCCTGGTGAATTCTCCTGCACTTGCATTCATGAAGGAGCTGTCCAAGGAGACGTCAGTGGCGTTCGCAGATCCTTTGGTTGAGCAGAAAGATGTCCCTTGGGCTGAGCGGCTCGATCACACCGTTTCTTGGACTTCAGAGGAGCTGAATAAGTTCGACTGCATCGTTCTGGCAGTCAAACAGCCGGGTCTGGACTATGAACTGTTGGAGCACGTCAGTGTCCCGGTGGAAAGGTTTGTGTCCTAGAAGACATTGTTTGATATTAGCGTGTTGCTGGAGCGGATATGCGATAATTCGTAAGGTCGGATGGGAGGAAATAACGGTGTCTTCGGCGCGATAAAAACTTGGTTGTGGGTTTTCTGTTGTACGTATCCGGTATGAACATAAAGCGGCATGGGTTCGGCAATTCAAAATAGAATCATCTCCACAGTACTGGCTTTTCTGATATCACTCATCATGGCGCGCACCCCTGCCATGACTGAGTTGCTTATTGAATGTTGGTATCTTGTAGAAGGTGGAATGAGAACCCGTCGAGGTCCACTGACCACGGATGGCAGGGAAATCGGACGGAAGTAAGATTTGCCGAGGTCCGGCTAAACCTTCCTATACGCGTCACGCGGCTAGCACCACTCCAGCTCCTCATCAACATGAGGTAGATTCAGAGCCTCCCACCACCACACCAGCAATAATGATGTCTCCACGGCTATCGGACCGCTGTCGGGAGCTCTCCCATCCTGATGTCTTCCAGTTCTCAGTCTCAGTGTAAGCTCCTCTACACTTAGCAGCGCCTCAAGCTCACGGCTGACCGTGTCCAAGCTTCATTGTCTTCGGGATTCTGGTCTCCTACCTACCGCAACACTGGAAAATAATACATCGACGGTCGTCCGCCGGTCTCTCGCCTCTATTTGTACTTCTAGGGACCATATCGGGAACGGCTAGCATTGCGAACATCTTGACATTGCCGGAGAGCACAAGGGATATGGGATGTTGTAAACAAATTGGAGCCTTCCCATGCGCAGCAGCTCTGCTTGGGATAGTGCAGATTGGCGTGCAATGGACGTGTTTCTTCTTCATGTATGGACGAGCCCGCTTGCGCATTCCCCTGAATTAGAAGGCTGACTGCAAACCAGTATGCTCCTCTTCCTTATCTTCTTTCCCCGCAACGCGCAAGAGACTGCCGAAGACGAAGTCGGCTTGCCAACATGGAAAGAAGCAATTTTGGTTCTCTCTCTTTCCCTCCTGTTCTTTCTATTCGCGTTTTTCGGATCCGTAATCTTCGCATACGGCCTACCTGAGCATATCCGCGGCTGGGCCAACTTCTTGGGGGTCACGGGAAGCATCCTCGCGGGGATACAATACGTGCCACAGATCATTACGACTTGGCAAAGGCAGACGATTGGGAGCCTCAGCGTGCTCATGATGTGCATTCAGACGCCTGGGAGCTTCGTCTTCGCGGCCAGTTTGGCGGCGAGACTAGGCCCAGGTGGATGGAGCTCCTGGAGTCTCTTCATCTTAACAGGCTGTCTACAAGGCTGTCTGCTGGCGATGTGTTTGTGGTTCATGTGGAGGGACAGGGGCTCAAAGAAGACAGCAGGTGCAGACGACATTGGAAACGGGGACGAGGGTGATCGCAGTGAACGAACACCGTTACTTGGGAATGAGGTTACTCGTGGCGCATAGCCATGGCAGACAGAAGCAACCATCGCTCGGTATCGAGCATGTCTATCCGAATTCTGAGGCTGACGTCAGAAACCAGCCACTTCGCGCTAAACCTTATGAAGATGGGCCAATACCATCCAGCGCTTCCTCTTCCAAAAACCATGCAATGTGTTCACATAGCGAAAGATTCATGTGAGTCAATCCCTTCCCGAAGACCTCGACAACATTGGGGTTTGCCAGTTGCGCTGAAAGATGGTCGTAAAAAGGGCGGAGCTAGGGCTACAGACCAGGTCCAATTACCGTTTTCGGCCGATTGGTCAACCGTATAAATTTGCGGATCTGCGGCTTTGGCTTCCCTCACCACTCTGACTCCACCCACAAGGCCCTTGATGCCTTCAACTCGCTCAACAAGCACTTTGCCAGACTGAACGGGCGTTTTCAACAGATTTCCACAAAGCAGCCGTTGACGGTGAACACCTTGAAACGCAACATAAAAGAGGCGGCACAAACGCGAGCCTCGGCTATTCGTCACAATGTCACGCCCGTCAGCTGCAGAACCAGCACATAAACTGCCCTCCGAGATGGATAACCCGGCCCCGTCCACTCCTTTAGCCGAGGAAGCAATCGCTCGAGATCTGGAAGAGGATGAATCTGAAGTCGAACAAACGTCAGACTCTGACGAATCCACTATTCGCCAGTTTTCTATGATCAACTCCTATCGCAGGCCGTCCTACGTCAACCCTGGAGCACGGTCAACTTCCATTTTCTCATCGAGTGTTCCTGAGCGAGGTCACCATTTGCATTTGAGCAAGAAAGAGCGTACAGCAGTACTAGAGGAAGAGCGGAGCTTACTGCGCGATAATCATCTACTTCCCCCAAAACATCCCAGAAGAGGCAGTGAGGGTGCTGTAGGCGGACTGGGAAGAAGATCCTCAATTGCTGCATTGAGAAAGACACTGAGCAATGCTGAACGCGGTGCAGTTCCAGGAGATCATCTGTACAGGGTGGCTTCTGAGCAGACCGCTCTGCTGAGAGGGGTACCTAGCTTGCCATATGGAGGACTGGACACCCCGAAACTCATTGACCAAACATGGGAAGAAGCTATCGCAGCCGGAAAAATAAATACCACTTGGCAAAGGGAGGCGAAGGTCATAGTGAAGTCTTCTGCACCTTTGATACTGACCTTTCTTCTGCAATATTCCCTCCCCGTCGCCAGTATTTTCACCGTTGGACACATCGGGAAAACAGAGTTGGGCGCTGTGAGCTTGGCTAGCATGACCGCATCGATAACCGGTTTTGCAGTTTACCAAGGGCTGGCGACTTCTTTGGACACTCTCTGCGCTCAGGCCTATGGTTCTGGACGTCCCCATCTAGTTGGATTGCAGTTACAGCGAATGCTGTACTTTCTCTGGGTCATCACGATACCCATTTCGCTGGTTTGGGCATGTGGGCCACAAATTCTATCCCTCATCGTTCCCGAGCAAGAAACCGCACGGCTGGCTGGACTCTATCTCCGGATCTTGATTGCTGGCGCTCCGGGTTACGCTGCCTTTGAGTCTGGAAAGAGATATATGCAGGCACAAGGCCTCTTCAGCGCTACGATGTACATTCTGCTCATTGGCGCGCCCTTCAACGCGCTCATGAACTGGTTTCTCGTCTGGAAACTCGACTGGGGTTTCGTCGGTGCGCCAATTGCCGTGGCCCTTACGGAAAACCTCCTTCCTCTTCTTCTCTTCCTGTATGTCAGATTCGTGGACGGCTACCAATGTTGGGGAGGATTCGATCGTCGAGCTTTCAAGAACTGGGCACCGATGATCAAACTGGCTCTTCCTGGTCTTGTGATGGTCCTGGCAGAGTTCCTGGCATTCGAAATTCTGACCTTGTCCTCCTCCTGGCTTGGCCCAACTGAGCTTGCCGCTCAAAGCGTTCTGGGCTCCATCACGGGCATTACGTTCCAGATCCCCTTCCCGATGTCGGTCGCGGCTTCAACCCGTATTGCCAATCTCATTGGTGCGACTCTCGCTGTACCGGCAAAGACTGCAGCGAAGGTGGCAATGGTGTTCGCCTGTATCATCGGGGTATTCAATATCACGCTCCTGTCCACGCTAAGGAACTTCATTCCCAGGCTTTTCACTCCCGATGAGGAGGTGGTTGACTTGGTAGCACACCTTCTACCTCTGTGTGCTGCGTTTCAGCTTTTTGATGCTCTGGCTGCTGTATGCAATGGAATTCTCAGAGGTCTTGGCCGACAGGAGATTGGTGGGTATGTCGGATTGTTCGCCTATTACATTGTGGGTATACCCATAAGTTTCGGTACTGGATTCGGTGCAGGTTGGGGCCTGTATGGGCTATGGAGTGTAAGTACTTGACTTGTTTGATCTGAGCGATATATCGATGCTAATCCAATCAGGGACCTGCTATCGCGTTGGGCGTAGTCGCTGCTATTGAAGGATTGTTCATCTATTCGACGAGCTGGGAGCGAGCAGTCAGGGATGCGGAGAGGCGGAACATTCAGGGTTGAGCACTATGGGATGATTCTTTGGAACATCTTGTGTGTTGACCAACCTTGGTGTCATCATGTTGGTGACGGGTCAAGTTAATGAAATCTACGGCGGCATGCACTTTAACTTCACCTAGTTAACGACGAAAGACAGCTGTAGTCCTTCTGAAGCTGCAATTAGATGCATGCACAGCGCTTGCTTTTCGCCTCTCAGTTTCGAAGTTTGGTGGAGTGCTAATATGCTACATTCACGCCAAGACGTGGCTTTCCTCACCCAGCACGGAGATGACAGACCGGTACTGAAGTATCTGAATATCACATCTGGCACTCCTTCCTCTATCAGAAATGGTTTCCCACTCTCCTGGTTACGTATGCCGGTACATGGCTCTATCATGCCGAGAGCAGCTTGAACAGAACCATTCGTGGAGTCGGTCTGGGGAAGCCTGATGGAGTCAGCCCGGTAGTGACCTAGAAAGACTACTTGCAAATGGCCTCTCGCAAGCTTCCAGGTACCGCATAGTGAGACACAGTCACCCGGGTCTTCCCCGGATTCGATCGACACATTCTTCACTGTTCTATCACTATATCGTCCTTGGAGCGTTCCAGCGGAGAAATTATGGCTCCTGGGACACGGAGAGTCCACGTCGAGCTTGGGGTTCTGGGCGTCATGAGATTGGGTTATATAGTTTCTGATATCGGCTCCACACTCTGAGCGATTGCATTCAAGTATCTTCGACACTCCTCAACGCAGCACAACGCAGCAACGCCGGCCGTAGCAAGTATCTCTAAGCATGCTATCTTTCAGAAACTCTCTGTGAATGGAGTGGACCAGGGCCAGCTGAATGGCGTTCGAGCCCCGGACTCCCGATTATCCTATCCAGAACGTCAATGATGCCAGATTTGCTTGTAACGAGGACATTTGTCACAAGGATAACAATGTGCATCCACCTCTTCTGAAACGCCCTCACCGTCTTTCTGGACCCGAAATTCCGTATAATCTCGGGTAAATCAGGCCAGCTAGGCTCGATTACTCAGTACAAAGGAAATAATGGGATATCCAGACAAAGAGGTATGAGCTCTAGCACTGAAATTTCTGTATAATCTGAGGTCAATCAGGCCAGCTAGGCTCGATCAATCAGTACAAAGGAAATAAAGGGATATCCAGACAAAGAGATATGAGCTCTAGCACCGTTTGAGTGCGCATATGCAACTTGTCCTATTCACCTCGTCCGTTCTTCCCCCATCCTAGCCTTCTATTGCGCAAAAGCACGAGGGACTTGGAGGTCATCAGCTTTGTGTATCGTGGGCGAGTTCGCAGCCTCGCCTATGAGTTTCCCTCCTTTTTGCCAACGCGGCACCTGTTGCTTCGGCTGGCCGGTAGTTCTATTGAACGGAGATTATAGATACCCGCAGCATGTCAATCAGCACCCGGAGCGAGAACATATGGCTGCACTTATCCCCAGATCTACGCGGTTCATTCGCAGTGCAAGAGTCACATATGATTACCCTGCCGGCGGATGTAACAGCGCCATCCAAAACGCATGATGGAATATGGAACGCAAAATCTCGCCGCGCACCCTCTAGCTACACATCAGGGTCTTAGGGGGCCACAAACCGAGACCGTGAGTGTGCAGGTCACTTGAAGAGGGGTGTGGTGCGGTGAGTGGTGCTGCGCGAACATTCCAACGTCAGTGGAATGTAACATGGAGGGATGACCTCAGGGTACAGCTGTTGATGTAATGCCCTGTACATGCCTACTTGGAAGAGCTACGACAGTAAAGGAGTTAGAAAACAATTCATGGCTTCGTTGTCATCGCCATCGAATGATCGTCAAGCGAATATCATGGCCGACTCTGTGGATAAGACTATACCTTCAGACACTGAGAACTCATGCTTCGAGCTTCTTGTCAAAGAGAAGGAAGAGGGTATCAAGGGTTGGTTGACGGTCTTAGGAGCCTCACTCGTCTATCTCTCAACATTCGGAATCATTAACAGCTTCGGTTTCTTCCAAGAGCTGTATCAGAATACGTACTTAAAAACGACGCCGGCGTCGACGATATCCTTCATTGGAACCATTCAGATCCTGTTGATGAATTTGCTGGCAGCGCCCGCCGGGTCGCTGTTTGACTACTACGGGCTCAAGGTATGTTCAAACCTTCTCACTCAGTGCAACCCAGCTGAATATATATCCTCAGTACTTGTACATTTTCTCTGGAATCGGCACCTCAGGGGGTCTCGTCCTCCTTTCCATCAGCCAACCGACAGTTCTCTGGCAGCTGTTCCTAATCCAAGGCGTCCTCCTTGGTCTCGCCATCGCTTTTGGCGCCCAACCCGCCCTAGTGGTCGTAGGGCACCACTTTTTCCGCCGTCGAGCCTTAGTCATGGGCATTGTAGCTGCTGCCGGGAGTGTTGGCGGGGTTTGTTTCCCCTTGATATTTGCCCGGTTGACGCCTATGATCGGTTTCGCATGGTCGGTGCGGCTGGTGGCGCTGGTTATACTGTGAGTGCGCTTCGAACCTAAGGAGCATTGGAACCGATAGAACGCTGAGACCTAAAGGACCTGTTACATCGTTGCCTTGTGCATCTCATCGACGAAGAGTATCCAACAACCGCTCAGTAAGCTCAGCGAACTTCTAGACTTCAGAGGTTTCTTGGATTCGAGATACTCGGTACTAGCACTGGGGGCATTTGTCACGATGCTGGGGCAGTTCGTCCCCTACTACTATATCAGTGAGTCCTACTTGTCCTTGGGAAGAAAAAAGAAGAAGACTGACTGCAACAAGCTTCCTACTGCGTTGCAGCCAACCCTTCATCGCCGGCAAAAGTCTTCCTCCTCCCCGCAATGAACGCCGCCAGCATCGTCGGCAGAATTCTGTACGTCGAGTCTTCCCCAGAGTCCCCCTGCCCATCTCAGCTCCTCACAACATCCATCCTAATCCTTCCCCAGCGGCGGTCTCGCAGCCGACGACACCGGCCCGGCCAACATCGTCTATCCCATGACCCTCCTCTCCGGCATCCAATGCCTCGCCATGTGGCTTGTGACCAGCGACCCGGGCGTTCTCCTCGCCTTCGCCAGTCTCTACGGCTTCTGCTCTGGCGTCTTCATTGCAGTGTTGCCAGTCATTGTGGCGCAGATATCTCCAGAGTGTAAGCTTGGAGGGAGGATTGGTGCATTTTATTCCGTGTTGGCGATTGCACAGCTAGTGGGGTCACCCATTGCAGGCGCGTTGATTAGGGATGTGGGCGACGGTGTGGGAGAGGGCCGTGCGTATATGGGGTTGATTGTTTTTGCGGTAAGTGTGGTAGATAGGGTTATATTGTAGGGGTCGAGGAACTGACTGTGAATGTAGGGTATCACGCTCATGGTTGGAGGGATAATCATCTTTCTAGCGCGGTGGCTGCAGATAGGAACTTGAGGAAGAGATTGTAGACTGTTGAAATTGTATTGTTGTTTCATGAAATGCCTGGGTATCGTATGCAAATGCAAGAACGCCTATCCTCCCAACATGGCTCCCATCGCAGATTCCTCATCATCAATTGCCCTTCTTCTTCTTCTTTTTCTTCCTCTGATTATTCTTCTTCGCCGGCGCCTCTCCTTCCGCCTTCTCCTCGCCCCCCATTCCCGCAGCTCTCATCTTGACTTTCCCATAAATCTTTATGATCTCCTCTTCGAATGCTTGCTTCTCTAGCCTATACAACGCCATCGTTGCTCTGGCATCCTCGACGGAACTGTGAGCTCCAACCTGTATCTCTACGCCCAAAAGCTTTTCCACCAATGTTTTCAACGACGGCGTCCGTCCAGGGATGTAGGCCAGTTCACGGAACTTGGAAAATTTCGATGTGTCACGGATATAGCGCTTGTCGTGTTTAAGTAACAAGGCGTCTAGGTCGTTCTTGACAGCATGTCCAACCAGTATCCTGCCTTCCAGCAGCGTCTTGATATCTTTGTGTACTTGCTTGAAGGGCCGCGCAAAGTCGTGGCGTAGGTGTTTGGGCTCGATGCCGGAGACTGCGGTGCGGTAATCTGTCACGGGGACTTTGACTTGGACGTAGGAATCATATAACTGGTGGCCGTGATAGTTTACAACGCTGACGCGGGCGAGGGCAGAGTCGCGGTCGGGTTCAGGACCTGTACCAACCATTTCGCAGTCGATCGCTATGTATTTCCCTGGTAGGGCAGTTTGGGAGAATCCTTCGTTCTCAATGTCTGGGTGCGAAGCGGAAGGGGCGAGGACAGAGATCGATTCGGCGGTCGCCTTGGGATCCGAGAGAAGGGAAGGCTGCTTCAGCGACGGCATCGAGACGCTTCGATGCAGCGTCTTCGCATCATGGTGTTTGATAGACGCGCCTAGTGACGCAGGTTCCTCCATTTTCTGCCTCTTCCTCGGTGTGAATTTCCGTGTAGTTTGATCGTGTTTTATTATACCGTTTGAAGCGGCTTTGGAAGTAGTCGCTCCATTCACGTCGGAGGATCTCTTGCGCTTGAGAGAGGTCGATGAATCGCTGGAAGTGGACTTGGAGGATTGGAGCGTTTTCTGCAGCTTCTTCCAGTTGCTGGAGAGGTTCTGAAGTTCGATTGGCGCCATCGTTATATATCATCGATCCGTCATCGCGGCTGATGTCTCCGTTTGTCGAAGTCGGTATGAGCGGGGTGGAAGTGAATTCACCGCCGTCCAAAATGTTCATGAGGATGGTCTGTGCGCTTATCACATGACTCTCAACGGCGATCTGAACCCGGGTGCGGCGCGGCTGTCTTCAAGTAGGATGCGACTGGTGGCCAAACACCATCACGACGACAATTATCCACAACGCGACTCAAAATTCGCGATCGTTGCATAGCTGGTGTCGCATCGCACCATGGCTCCCAGGGAAAGCTCTCACGAGCCTTCTGGCACACCTGTACCGGTGGAAAGGGGATTTGCCACTATAAACACGCTGAGGTGTGTAGAATCTCACATCAAGATTATGGTGATGATAGCTGATGTGCGGTGTGCAGGGTGGGAATGAAAGCGATTGTTGAGAAGGTGAGTGCGGCTTGAGCCACTGCGATGTGCATGTTCCAGGGTGCCTACGGTCCCAACCATCCAGTCCCCAACATCCCGCTACCCACATAGAAATGAATTTCGCTGCAAAACTGCGCCCCTGGAGTATACGCCTGACAAGCTTCTAGGATGGCGAGAAACGCAAAGCAGAAATCCTATCCATGCAGCACCGTGGAGGGCAACTCAAGATATATGTTCACTATGAAGACTTCAACAAGCGTCTCGACGAGTGGATACCGGCCACTCGCATAGACTTCACGAAAGAGGTGGAATGGCCTGCTCCAGAGAAACCGGATAAAAAGAAGTCCGGCGGCCAAAAGAAAGATACGCCGGGAAAGGCAGATCAGAAGAATCTCAAGCGATCGAGGAGCAAGCTTGATAGGGAGATCTCGGCAACCCCTTCAGAGGCCAGCGTGAACCTCGCTGGGAAGGCACAGCGTCCGTCGAAAGCTGGGGCTGAGGGCAAGGAAGTTCTAGTCACTACTGCCGAAGTCGATGGCTCCCCCAAAGGGGATGATGAAGACATGGACCTGGTGGACGTGCAGGACGCCGCAGCTTTGGCCAAGGCAAAGCCTCCGCAGCCCTTTTCCCGAGAGGATGAAATTGAAAGACTCCGAGAGGGTGGATCCATGACACAGAACCAGACGGAGATCTCACGTGTCCGAAACTTGGAAAAGATTCAGATGGGAAAGTACGAGATAGAACCATGGTACTTTTCGCCCTATCCAATCGACTTTGTGGACTCCGAGATGGTCTACATATGCGAGTTCTGCCTCTCATACTATGGCGAGGAGACAGCGTTCACACGGCATCGCCAGAAATGCACACTCATGCATCCTCCAGGCAACGAGATCTACCGCGACAAGGACATCTCGTTCTTTGAGATCGACGGCCGCCGTCAACGGACTTGGTGCAGAAACCTCTGTCTCCTGTCGAAACTGTTCCTGGACCACAAAACCCTCTACTACGACGTGGACCCCTTCCTCTTCTACTGCATGTGCACCCGCGACGAGTACGGATGCCATCTAGTGGGCTACTTCAGTAAAGAAAAGGAGTCCGCCGACAACTACAACGTCGCCTGTATCCTCACGCTTCCTCAATATCAACGCCGCGGCTTCGGTAAACTTCTCATCGACTTCTCCTACCTTCTATCCAAACGCGAAGGCAAATCCGGTTCCCCAGAAAAACCCCTATCCGATCTTGGATTATTGGGGTACCGCGCCTATTGGCAGGAGACAATAGTCGACTTGCTACTCGAAGCGAAGGAGCAGGGCAAGCATGAAGCGAATATCGAGGAATTGGCGTCACCGTCGATGACCGCCATGACGACAAACGATGTGCTGCATACTTTACAAAATCTGAATATGCTGAGGTATAACAGGAATGGCCATGTTATTGTATTGACGGATGCGGTGATTGAGCAACGGGAGAGGCAGAAGGCGAAGGAGAAACTCAAGGGGAAGAGGAGTATTGATCCGGATAAGTTGATTTGGAAGCCGCCGGTGTTTACCGCGTCTGCGAGGACTTGGAATTGGTGAGATGGCGCTTGGTTTGGGATGGGACTTTGGTGTCGGCCTGGGTGCCGGTTCGGGGTGGTTAGGATATGTTATTAGCAAGGCGTTGGTGGTGTGCTTCTTATACAGGTTGAATGATACCAATATCTATCTCGGGTATCAACATCTTATGAATGGACTGGTCTCAATAGACAAGCGACTGTCGCTGTGCTGCTGTGCTAGAGTTACATCGCCCAGCAGTTCCCATCCCACCGCAAAGGCCACTACGTTCTCTCGCCCGAGAGCCGAATCCCGTTACCGCCCTACGGTCAGCAACGGCGCTTCCACGATGCCCCGCCCCATCAAGGCAACGCCCCTTCGCAACATCGCATCCTTCCCAACTCCCCACTGTCAGATTCTTTTTATTTTTACCTTTTCTTTATAGGATTATATTTTGCGTAAAATTGCAAGAAGAACGCGGTTGTGTAGTGTAGTGGTGATCACTCCGGATTTTGATCACTTTCGACCAAAACTTCCGGCAACCCCGGTTCGAGCCCGGGCACGACCTTTTTTTTTCCATATTTTTCCGCATACGAATTCTCTTCCACCCCTTCTGTTTTCTGGCCTGCGGAAAGAACGTTTCGCATTCTGTGACGGCAATTTTTGTACCAATTGTCCTTTAGGGTGTCGCAAAGAAACCTAAACCCCAGAACATACCGCTTCTCTGCAAAATGCATAGATAAGTCTTCACAATACTTTCCTGGAGATACATAGATGTACCTGAAGGGGGACGTTGTTCATTTCTTGGCCAAACGATATGCACATTATCTGCTCGGGAGCAGATGAACTTGGTTACGCGCTTCCAATCTGTTCAGATTCGGCGTTGTTACCAATGCAGTGCTAGTCTATGCCCACTGAACAAGTCTTATTAAGTAGCCCAGTATGACCCCATTATCTCGCCTCATGCTTGAGCTTGACAGAGAGCCAAACACTGGCGGCAAGCATTACGGGCAACAGCCCAACAGCGAGCACCGGCGAAACAGTGACCACAGCAGGCCGCGTAGGCTTCTGCATCATCTGATTGATTTCACTCTCCAGCCTCTCCGCCATTTTCTCCTTGGAAAACTCCGAGATCACTCTCTCTCGTCCCCATCTGCCCATCTCCTTTAGCCTTTCCTCGCCTTCGCCGTCCTCAAGCGCGATCCGCATTACTTCAGTCCAGTCCCCCACTTTCCTCACGTCACGTAGCCAGCCAGTCTGTCCACTGATGACTGTCTCCGTCGGCCCTCCCTCGTTTGCAGCCAGGACTGGCGTCCCTGCCAACATGGCCTCGAGGGGCACAATACCGAAGTGCTCATTGCGAGGTGTGTACACCAGAAGCCGGGAAGTCGCAAGAAGCGTAGTCTTGAATGCGTTCGGTACTGAGTGAAGGAAGAGAACCGCAATATCGTCTGGTACGCTCTGGGCGGTGATAACCGTCTTTGCAGTCGCGTGCTTGAGCTTCAGGGAATCGGCCAGTTCGCAGAGCTCATTATAGGTGTGCAGATTCTCGGCGACGCGTGGGTCGTAACCGCCAGCGATGACGAGCCTTGTATCTTTCCGCTCATCGTCCGACAGTCCTGCATATGCTTTGATGGCCAGAGCAACATCCTTCTTCTTCTCGAAGCGGTTTATGCTGAGAAGAACCTTCTTTTTCGGCCATAACGGCTTGTGCACCTGAATGATATCCTCCGTGCTTGTATCGACACATGGGTAGACCACGCCTGGTTCGCGGTGCTTCAGCCCTGGGAATGCTTGTCCAAACACGCTCTTCGTGAAGTTGCTGTTCACGACAATAGTGTCGCTGCAACCCGTGCTCCAGCTCTCGAGCCAATCAAACGGGCCTCTATAAACCGTCTTCAAGATGCCTCCTTTCTTCGCTAGCAGCTTGTCCGGGAAGTGGCAGTAAAAGATGATCCGGACGCTCGGATGCAGGAGACGAAGGAGGGGTATTCCGGCGCTGAGTTGATCGACGAAGAATGCGGACGGTTTCAGGCTCTTCAGTTCGGAGGTGAACAAGGCAATCGTAAGGATCAGGTGCAATTGGCGGAGGATGGCGCATAGTATCGCGAATCGACCGAAGATGGTAGGTGGGACGATGGTGTTTCCGCGCACCCGCACATCGAGGGTTCCTTTACATCAAAGGCGAGTCTCAGCTACCTTTCTCCGAACATGAGCATGGGATTTTGAGCGCGGCAAGGCGCTTACCATCGCGGGCTTCGTCGAAACAGTGTTGTGGATCGCAGTGCGATGTGAAGATTGTGACTTTATGGCCGCGATTCTGCAGCCCGACGGCAGCGTCTATAACGAGGCGCTCGGCACCGCCGATGCCTAGGTCGGGGTGGAAGAACACTACGTTCTGGTTTTTGGAGGACATTGTTTGTTGGAGAGAAGAACTCCAGAGGCAGATGGATACGTGTTGCGCCAACCGCCGCGAAGGCGTCAACAGCAAGCGCTAGGCCTCATTTGGCCAAGATCACCCGGCCACTGGGATAACCTAGGTATGTATGATCACCTTAATCCAACATCCAACAACCACGACACATGATCCACCCGTTCTCCCCTACTACACGTTAGGCTACTCAAAGGACAAGAGTCCTGCAGTGGACACTGTGGATAACCCTGTACCAGAGCGAAGTGCTGGTCATTAAAAGACGTACAATATGAGCCGAAGGAGCTTGAGGCAACCTTAACCGCGTCTTCACGCATCGGTGACGGGAAATCATGGGTCAAGGCTTCTCTCTCACCACGCTTTCGGCCGGCTCAGCGGGCATCGATGTACCTGAGCTTGCCGACCTGCAATATGAAAAGAGTCTTGGAGCTGCACGGTTTATGAAGACAGTCCGCGCTCGGCATAAGGATGGACTCGTCGTTGCAAGAGTGGTGATGAAACCATACGCTCATTTGAATCTCGATATCTACGTAAAGAGACTTCTGGGTTAGCACTCTCCGTCACCACCCTTACTCCCACGCTAATGCTGTTACAGAGGAAAGGAAGATACTGGCCGATGTCCCTAATGCACTGGCATATCATCGAGTTCTTGAGACTGGTATTGGTGGCTACCTTGTTCGCCAGTATATCAACAGCTCTCTCTACGACCGTCTGAGTACCCGTCCGTTCTTGGAAGAGATCGAAAAAAAGTGGCTGTCATTCCAGCTCTTGTGTGCAGTGCGTGATTGCCATGCGCGCAACATATACCATGGCGACATCAAGACAGAAAACGTCCTTGTCACCTCCTGGAACTGGCTGTACTTGACTGATTTTTCATCCTCTTACAAACCCGCGTATCTCCCAGAGGATAATCCTGCTGATTTCTCCTTCTACTTTGACATGTCTGGGCGGCGTACTTGTTACCTAGCGCCCGAACGGTTCTTACCGCCTGGGGAGCAGCCTGAAGGCGACCACAACATCACGTGGGCGATGGACATCTTCAGCACAGGATGCGTTATCGCTGAACTCTTCCTCGAGGCTCCCATATTTTCACTCAGCCAGCTGTTCAAGTACCGACAACGAGAATATGACCCAACACATTCGCATCTCAGTAAGATACATGATGCCAGCGTTCGAGAGCTCGTGGCACATATGATTCAGTTGGACCCGAACTCACGCTTGTCCGCGGAAGACTACCTCAAGTATTGGGAAGGCAAGGCATTTCCGAGTTATTTTTATGGTTTCCTTCACCAGTACATGCACTCTCTCACGGACCCCAGCTCCGGTCGGAAGCCGGTGACGACAGCATCCGAGCATCTTGGTGAACCTGATGAGAGGATAGATCAGATCTACAATGACTTTGACAAGATCTCAACCCTACTCTCCGAATCCGATGGGACTGGACCTAGGAAGCCACAGCACCGTATTCCCAAGCCGAACGACAGACTTTTCCCGCTTACGATCGATATTCCGAACTACCAACATCTTGCTTCTCCAACGCCAAGTCTATCCGTTGATGATGGGAACTTGATATTTCTCACGGCCATCGTGTCCTGCATACGGGGCACAGCTAGAGCCTCTGCTCGTCTCCGCGGGTTCGAGCTGCTCCTGGCCTTCGCTGAGAGACTGACCGACGAGGCAAAGCTGGACCGTGTGGTTCCGTATGTTGCGAACCTGTTGTTGGATAAATCCGATCTGGTAAAGATCGGAGCGCTACGCACTTTGACACAGATCCTCGCGATGGTGCAGGTGGTCTCACCTATCAATGCATATGTCTTTCCGGAGTATATCCTTCCAAGACTGGAGCCCTATCTACCTGATTCTTCTACGGACCAACCAAGCACACTTGTCCGTATGCACTATGCATGGTGTATCGGAAGTCTTGCGACGACAGCGGCACGATACCTGGACATGATTCAGGCTCTCCGTACAGATGGCTCCTTAGCTACTGCGGATGTCAGTGGGGAAGATACCCTGACGTCGTCCATTCATCGAAATCAGTTCGACCTTGACCGGCATAATCTGCTTGAATCATTTGAGAAGCACACCAAGGCGCTTCTCACCGATCCAGATCCATCGGTACGGCGGGCAATGCTCAGATCCGTTTCTGAACTTTGCGTGTTCTTCGGCAGCCCCAGAGCGAATGATGTGATTTTAAGCCATCTGAACACCTACCTGAATGACCCTGATTGGATGCTGAAATGCGCCTTCTTCGAGGCCATTGTAGGAGTGGCAGTTTTCGTCGGAGGCGCCAGCCTTGAGGGCTTCATCCTACCGTTGATGGTGCAAGCTCTCACAGACCCAGAAGAATTCGTCATTGAAAAGGTGATCCGAGCCTTTTCTTCCATTGCAGAGCTCGGCCTTTTTCAGAGGTCAACGACCTGGGAACTCACTGACATTGTGGCTCGTCTAACAATGCATCCCAATATATGGATCCGAGAAGCGGCTGCTCAGTTCATTGCTGCCGCATCAAAATACTTGTCTGTTGCGGACACACACAGCATCCTGGTTAACCTGGTGAGACCGTACCTTAAGATTGTACCACTGGACTACTCAGAGTTGCGAATTCTCGATTCCCTAAGAAGACCGTTGCCCAGGCCGGTCTTGGAAATGGCCTATCACTGGGCGTCCCAATCACAGAAAGGCCTCTTTTGGCCTGCTGCACGACAGCAACAGACATTCAGCTTTGGATCATCAGACGATACCTTGCCAACGATATCCGGACGCGAGCTGGATTTTAAGGCGTTGCAAAGAGTCGCAAGAAATGACGAAGACGAGCAATGGCTGCGCAAGTTACGAGCCACCGGTATGACTGTGGAGGATGAGTTTAAGTTGGTAGCGCTACGAGAGTTTATATGGAGAGTAAATCAGCGGCGACGGTCAGATGTAGCCAGCTCGGAAACCCCGGTGTTCAGTAAGATCTTCGCACTGAAAGATCTGGGAATTATCCCAGAAACCGTACTCTTCGAAACGAACGCGCGCGAGGTTGTGGAGCAGGTACGAAGTACACCTCAGGATAAGCCGGTTGTTCGGGCCCGTACTATTGCGGACGCATTGCGAGATGCAACTTCGGATGCTGACGCTAGCGCTCCAGAGAGCCCTACAATGGGCACTCCACGAGGAACGATATCATCTGATGGGGCCCGAGGTCGTCCAGTGCCTCTCCCTGCTCGGACGAAGATTACATCGTCACCAAGCGACATTCCCTCGTCGGTGGAATCACGGCGGAACTCCCTCCAGATTCCGCGAGGCTCGCCCGGTATTCAGTCACCTGTTGGGTCGGTAGCCGGTAGTGAAAACTCTCGTCTCCTGCGCCATCAGAGCAGCGCGCTGAATCTCCTCAAGGCAGGCGAAAACAAGGCCTTGCCGGACATTGCAACGACGTCAATGAATGCAGTTGGAAGAGTTGACGGAATATCAGCGCGAGATATTTCTCGATCGAGACAGAACACCTCAGCCTTAGCTGCGGAGCGACGAGCCCGAAGCCCTTCTGCCATACGGTTCAGAGAGGCGCACAATTACCGCAAGAATAACCCAGCGGTGCTGAAACTGCTTGACTCTATGTTGGCTGATAATCTGCCGCCCAGCGATTTGGAATTCGGTCCCCGCATTCAGACCCCTACAACTCGGCAGCCCATCAGATACAGAGACAAGCAACCAAATGCGAGTGGAGTACCCTGGAGACCGGAGGGGGGACTGGTAGCCATTTTTGGGGAGCACACCGGCCCTATTAGCCGTGTATTGGTCGCTCCAGATCATACGTTCTTCATCACTGGGTCCGATGACGGCACCGTCAAAATATGGGATACCTCCAGGTTGGAGCGGAACGTTAATCGGCGCTCCAGGCAAACATACCGACTGGGCGATGGAGTGAAGGTAACGAGTCTGACTTTCCTTGAACAGACCTACTGTTTCGCCGCTACGGGCAGCGATGGTATCGTTCACATAGTGCGGGTTAACTACTACCAAGGGCATGACGGTGCTGCCAAGTTCTCTAGACTCCAGGTACTACGAGAACATCAACTTCCTGAAGGCGACTATGCTGTGTGGTCAGAGCACTACAATGAAGAAAACAAATCTGTTCTGCTTCTGGCGACAAACACTTCGAAGATAATTGCGTTGGACATTAGGAGCATGGACGAGTTGTTCACTTTAAGAAATCCTCTAAACCATGGTACTCCAACGTGTTTTGCCGTCGACAGAAAGCACCAGTGGTTTGTTCTGGGCACATCCCATGGTGTGCTCGACCTTTGGGATCTCCGATTCAAGCTCCGACTGAAAGGATGGGTATTCCATGGGGCCGCTCCAATCCATAGGCTCGTCCTGCCAAAGTATAGGAGATCAAGGCTGTACGTTGCTGGGGGTTCCGGGCAGGGCGAAATAACCGTGTGGGATGTTTCAAAGATGGTCTGGAGAGGACTTTATCGCACTAGTACAGCAAAGGATATCGGATCAAAGAGTACAACGCTCATAGACCTTGACGAGGAGAAATCTGGCGGCATGCTCGGCCGATTCTCTACCAGCCTCGAGCCTACGGCCAACTCTGCTCCAGATTCTGGAATTCGAGCGGTCGTCGTGAACTGGCAAAGCGGGATAGAAGGCGAAAAAAATGACTTTCTCATTACGTCCGGGCCGGATTGGAAGGTGCGATATTGGGACTCTTCACGTTCAGGTACATCTGTTATCGTCAGCGGCTTGGAGGGAGAAGAGATGAGACCGCATTACAGTGTCACTCGGACATCTGACCCCGACACAATCACTATCATCGAGAAGTCGATTCAGTCACAGCCTCAACCGTCGAGCGGGAGAGAAAGCAGAACTTCAAATACGTCAGCGAAGAGAGCAGCTCCGAAACCCCAACGATCAATCCCGTTGATGAATCTGCAACAGCAGCTGCTCAAGGGGCATATGGATACTATCCTGGATGTTGCCATGATTGAACAGCCTTATGGGATGATCATTAGTGTGGACAGAAGCGGCATGATATATCTCTACAGTTGAAAGCCCGTTTCGGCTGAACAGTAATGAAGACTTCGGTGTCAGCCACATTCATCAGCTGTGGGAATGTGTGACGCCAGTTTCTCAGTTCCACCCAACCCGCCAGGATACATTACAGGACCGGTCAAAGCCGCCACCCAGAAGCCAAAAGAAGGTCTATGATACGCACCACGGCGTTTTGGAACTGGGATATAAGCAATCCAGGGACCATCCTCTGATCCCCATCGCAGACACTACGTCAAACCACGGTTACCCTTCAACGGCTAACTGACAAACACTGCATCAACACGCTAGCCTTCCACACCCGCCATGACGGCACGCGATCCATCACCATCACGCCAAACAAAGACCGTAAGCAGTGCCCCCCATGCAATAAATGGTTCCTCGATCGCAGAGACCTCGAACTCCCTCGTTGGGGGTTTCAGAGTGGGTGGGATGTCCACGCTATGTGTTTTGCGAATGAGGACGAGCATTGGCATGGTACAAGTGAGAGACATGAGAGGTGTTTTGTTAGGGGGTTCTGGAAGTGTCTAAGGGAGGAGGGCGGTTGGAAGGCGGAGGCGATGGAGGGGCATGATAGGGAGTGGCATTGGTGAATAGAAGGAAGTAGTCGAGGAATTTACCGTTTATTCAATTTTTGTAATTCTACAGTTATTCCGTTACGGTCTGTCCAAGTCCAAGTACTTTGTTCACATTTGAGATTCGTCCGTATATCTGAGTTTGGAAGTCCAGTACCCTAGAGGCTGCAATGGATAGACTCCTGACCAATGAAATCGAGGAATGCAAAGTCTTCATCCATTTTTAAGACAAGATACACAGGGTGAATGATTAGGACATACATTGGCTGAAGGTGAAGGCCAGGCTTCACATTCACCTCGCCTGTATTACATAATACATCTTGGCGTGAAGCTCGAATTTCCGAATAGCTTCACCAGACCCTCCTCACAAGCTCACATTTTCCGCACCCGCCCTGCGATAGCAAAGCACTCATCCCGCCTGCCTTAACTCCCGAGATAAAAGTACGCATAGCTCACCGAAAACATGAGGTTAACCACCGACCTCATCGAACATTCCCTGTCCTTCATCAACTGTCTCACAGAACGTGAACTCGATCTACGAGGTGCGTCGAAAAGGACAGATACTACACTTGGAGCTTCATTAATATCAATTGTTTTACTGCACAGGCCACAAGATCTCTGCGATTGAAAATATGGGTGCCGCGCGCGTGAGTCCTCTCTCCAATTGCTCATGCGACGCCCTAGCACGATGGATGATGCTAATGTCGAGATGGATAACAGAACAACGATGCGATAGATCTGACTGACAATGACATTACCCATCTGGGCAACTTCCCGCTACACCTCCGCCTCCGGACACTCTTCCTTGCGCAAAACCGCATCGCGAATATACAGGCGAATCTGTCCGTGTCGATCCCGAATCTCACAACCCTGGTATTGACGAAGAATCGCTTGGCTGAGCTGAGCGATTTGGATCCTCTGGGTGGGTTCAAGAAGCTCGAGTACTTGTCGTTGCTGGGAAATCCGGTTGCAAGCAAAGAGGTGCGTGGATATATAACATGGGGGTGGCTGCGCGCGAAGTGCGAGCATGCCAGTTGTGTAATGAAGGTCCTGACATTGGAACAGAATTACAGATACTGGGTGATATGGCGCTGCCCATCTGTCCGCTTCCTCGACTTCACAAAGGTTCGCCAGTCTGAACGGCGGAAAGCCGATGAGCTCTTCGGCACCGCTGAAAACCCCACAGATCTTGCGACACAGGTAGGTTCTTCCCCCGCTACTGCTTATCCACCGCCACACTGCCAACACCCACACTCCCCTTCTCCTCTCACCAACTTTGAACAGATCATGGGCAAGAAGTCCAAAGGCTTCGTTATTCCCAGTTACGCCAACGGCGACGATCAACCTAAAGGGCGGATTTGGACGGAAGAAGAGAAGAGGAAGATGCGAGCTGCCATTGCGAAGGCTACTACCTTAGCGGAGGTGACGGCGTTGGAGAAGGAATTCGCGGCAGGAAGGATACCGAAGCATATTCTGGAGGGCCCGGATCCCATGGAGACCTGAGAGAGAGCAAGGGCCGAGAGATCATACCCTGGACGAGAGCGAAGACTAGCAGAAGTGCTTGCATGCATGCGTACGACATGCGCCGTGAGGATCGACATGTGGTGGGAAGCCACAGAGGAGTTTGCGGCTCCATTTCAGGACAGAGCTGGCGTTTCTACGGGGCAGGGCGGTGGGATATCCATTCGAGTCAGTCCATATGGGATCGATCATGTTGGAGTGCACCGGGTGGTTGGTCTATGTGGGGTTCTACATGTCTTCCAATATTTGTCCTGGTATCGTACACTAACGCCGGACCATGCCAAGTTCAGAACCCAAAAGAAGCCCTACCAAGGCCAGCCAGTTATTCGTACTGAAAACTCACGATCCATTTGAAGTGTGAGTGATCTCAGCCATGATTCAAGTCAAAATCACCATCGACCCCTTCTCCCACCACCTCCCCTTCCACCTTGACCACCATAACCGCCCTGTGGACCTCCATATCCACCACCCATACCTCCTCCAGCTCTTGCCTGCACCCTTGCTATGAAGCTGGGTAAGTCCATATTCACGAAGTCAGCGCCCTGAGCCTGCATCTGGTCAAGCTCGCTCTGCACCATTGGCGCAGGCACACCGGCCATCATGGCTAAGTTCTGTACCATCTCGGGCGGCATCTGTGGCATGCCGCCCATCCCTCCCGCCGCCGCAGCGGGCCCCGTCGGCGCGCCAGGCACGCCCACATTGGCACCAGCGCCAGCACCAGCACCCCCGTCGGCACTCGGGCCCGTAGGCCCAGGCATTCCCGGCATCCCAACCATGCCCGGTATCATCCCACCAAACATGGACTGAAGCTGGGCAGTCTCATTCGACATCGTCTCGCGCGCCTCCGCCATTATCTTCTGCTTCTCGCAATACCCTACCCAGGTAAATTCGTCGAAGCCGTAATTAAAGTAGTCGGATTGGTCCGCTCCGGGTAGACGCCAGGGCTTCGTGCTCTCCGCCAGGTCGGCATCGAGGTCGATGATTTGCGAAATGGGTTTCCCCACTGGAGGGTACACGGGGTCGGCATTGACGTCGATGGTGGAGGAGCGGACGGCGGGGTAGGCGGTGCCGGGTATGGAGGGGACGGTGGGGTGTGCTGCGGTTCCTGCAGTGGCTGTTTGGGTGCTTGTGGGTTTCGCGGAGGGAGGTTGTTGTTGAGAAGGTGCTTCGATCTTTATGGCTTTTGATTCTTGTTGTCTGAGATGGGCCAGTTAGATGGAGGTGTATATGAAGTGTGAGAAGAGGGGAGCTTACGGAGGCAGTTTGGGAGCTACTTGAGGCTTGTCAATGATGATTTCGAGATCCTGAAGTTTTGTCAGCTGTCAATTGTACTACGAGCATCATGCTATCAACGTACGGATTCACTCTCGCTTTCCTCCTCATCAGACTCCTCGCTTTCATGCATAGCTGCGTCCCCGTTCTCTCCATCCGATTCCTCTTCCTTCTTCTCCTGCTTTGCTGGCGCCACCGTCTCGGAAGGCCCATAGAGATCGTCATCTTCCTCCTCCATTGTTCCCGGCTCCTCGTCCTTCCAGAAGCTCGGCCGCTGCGATTTCTTATAGTCCCAAGGTATGAGCCGGTATCCTGCGGCTACGAGCGCGTTCTTGACAATACGGGCGCGTGTGATGACGTTGCGATGTTTGTTGTGCTCGACGTCGTGGTTAGGGTACTTGAAGACGTAGATGAGCTTCCCTCTCTTGAGGCCAAAGCGCAGCGCCCGCGTTTCGTGGTTCCTAGGCAATTAAAGGGGAAAGATTAGCCGACCGCCCTTGCGCTTAATCTAGCCCTAGCAAGCTCCATCTTGGCAGTGGCTTAATGCTCACTAGCCACTAAAACACCATTTCACACAGCTTCTGTGCCTGCACTATGGTTGTCTCGTCAAGGGAATAGTTTGCACCAAGAAACAAAACACACGACTCACACGTCAACCGGTTCAATTCGACACACCGCCGTGTCTACCCTCTCATTCCTGGCCAGCTTCTCCTTGATCATTTCGATCTCCAGCTCCCGTCGCGCCTCCACCGGATCGTAGCTTGGACTCGTCATTCTCAAAAGGCGACGTTGCACTGCATTCGCATACACTCGGGCTTCCACCCTGACGAAGCGCTTATCAGGACGTACCGGCTGGAGCTTGGGTACTATTGCAACATATAGGCCAACTGTGGAGCGGGTTCCCTGCAAGGGACGAAGACAGAAATAATGGCTTTCGGGCGCTCCAATTCCCTTTCCATCAACACTGGTTCCGGCGGATCCCTCTTGTAAGTATATATCTTACTTTGCTTCCGGCCGTCTCGGGGACCCAATTCCCCTCGAAACTTAGCTAGGCATCATCATGTCATCCTCCAGAACGCCTATCGAGTTTGCACTTGGGGCGGAGAGCCGTCCTCACTCCCGCCATGCAGGAACCGATGCTAACGCAAGGGCGCAGCGGAAATACTGCCACCAGTCAAGGCCAGAAGAGTGCAGGACTTTTCGGTTCCACCACCACATCATCTCAGCCCGCGACGACGGGAGGGCTCTTCGGCTCGACGTCGCAGCCCCAGTCAGGAGGATTATTCGGCACCGCTGCAACGACCTCACAAGCTCCTCAAACAGGCTCTCTTTTTGGGGCGAGTACACAAACAGGAACTTCTCAACCCCAATCTACGGGCGGTCTGTTTGGAAACTTGAGTAAGCCTGCTACATCGGGGACAACGGGCGGGAGCCTCTTCGGTGGTTTGACAGCTGCGTCATCTCAACCTCAGCAGAGCGGAGGGTTATTTGGAAGCGCAACGCAGACACAGGCAAAGCCGTCGTTATTGTAAGTTCATGGCAAGTCTCTGTGCGACGTGGCCGCTAATTGTTCCCTTCAGCGGTTCCACGACACAACAAACAACAACCACGCCTTCTTTGTTTGGCGCCACAACTACCCAGCCCACGACCACCCCCTCGCTCTTCGGGGCATCACAGCAGAATCAACCACAACAACAGCAGAGCTCCCTCTTCGGCGGCATGTCAACACAGAATGTAGGCACCCAGCCGGCACAAGGGGGAGGCGTACAGCTGGGTTGGGATTCCGTCAAGGGCACCACGCGCTTCCACGAACTGCACCCGGACCTCCAAAAAATCATCCAAGAGCTTGACAACAAAATACAATCACAGATGAGCGACGCGGGCCGTATTCGCGAGATCCTGCCGGGCCAGGGAGATCTCGTAGCCACCCTCTCCCCAGACGTCGCATACATTGAGCAGCTCCTCGCAACTGTCGAACTAGGCATCGACAACGACTCCAACGCTGTTTCCCGCCTGAAGGACCTCGTCGCGTCAGACGTCGAAGAGGCCACGCTCTGCTTCCGCGCCGCTACCAACCAGTCTCTCCCTTCTCAGTTCCACTATCGCAACGCGGGACCTTCCGCTTCCAGACCCAGCCCAGCGGCCCCAGCTGCAGACGAAAACGACCCTTCCAAGCCGGTCGACCTGGTCAGTTACTTCTCCAAACGTGCCGATAGCCTTGCAGCGACGCTCGAAGTCTATCAGCGGCAGATGCGCGAGATTGAAACACATCTCAGGACGATGGAGGCGGGCACAGTGGAGAAGGCGCAACAGTTGGTCGGGAGTAGGAGTGGGGTTAGGGATCAGAGGAGGGAGCTGGCAGAGGCCATGCGGGCGATCGAGGGCGCCATTATTGAACTGGCCGGAAGGGTCGGGAAGACGAGGGACGCGGTTGTGCAGAGGACGTTGGGGAGTGTCGGGGGTGGTGGGTTGTGAGCGTTGGAAGGGGAAAAAAGACAAGAGTTGAGCGCTTGAGTAGGCGATTGAATGGGATGGATTGATGGACGAGAAGTAGCACATGGCGCATATTGTATGTGTACAATTGGTAGATACCCTGAACGCAAAGTCATAATTCGCACTTTCTCGGAAGCCCTTCCCCTTCCGCGTTGAGTCCACGGATCATGCGCCGTGCCAAACAGGTATCGAATATGGAGTAGTCCTTGCTATTCAATTATGTCGAGGTGGACTCAACGTATGGTTGCGGAGGAAAAGCGGCCCTCGCACCATGACACGAGTATGATAATCGCATCTCTACTGTGAGTTAGACTCAGCCCTCCGGTTTCAGAGTGCTGATAGGGGCGGAAGTCAATCCAATTCCAGTGTCAGCGTGAGAACTAGTACAAGCAGATGGAGGTAATTGGGGGCGGCGCACAATCTCACTGCGAGGTCGCGGCTTTGTTTGTTGGAGGGGTGGCAGATGTGGAGTTTTGACATTCAATTGTATCATTAGAGATGTGAAAATATCTTGTCTACTAGTGCCCTTTTCCGGTTGATAGATAGGTCAGATTGGTCCGATAGGTGTAAATGGGCGTGTAGAAAACGAGAGTAGTCCAAGGTGTTTAGACCTTCAGTATCTACCAGGGGAATGGAAAGGGGCACACCCTTGACGCCGACATCCGAGGCTCCTATAAATGATATCTCAGTTTAACATGGCCTAAGGAACCAGAGTTCAGATCAAGCAGAAAACATATACGGTCTATGTACTGAGATACGGTAGTCTTTCCATCTCAAGGTAGGTAATGTATGTGGTAATAACTAGAAGTATCCGCGCTTGTTATTTCCGGTTTAGTGCTTCTTGGCAAACAGCTTCTATCAAACAAACATCTTCATGATCAACTCCTCCAGCACGCGTGGACCTCCCTCGAGCGACATCAGGGGCCCCACTGCCTCCGTGAGTTCTTTTGAACACTGGCCTTACTTCCATTGATGTATGAGAACGGCACTGTCGGCAACACGTCCAAAGGCCGAGGACGTGCCGCCGCAACAATTGCAAAAGCCAATAGTTATACTCGATTGCGATGATGACGACCGCCCCAGACAGCCGACGTACGAAGGTACAGAAGCTGTGTACGCTCTATACCCATGGCGAAAACCAATTCGATGACGAAGTTGTGATCAATGAGGAGAAATTCCCCGAGCTTAATCTGGTACCTGGGACCCTGGTTCAGATATTTGGACTGAAGCAGGGCCCAGCAGTTCGTGACTTCCAGTCCACCGGCACGACACATTCAAAAGATGACACGCAAGTCAGACCTGATATCTCTGGGTCGAGGAGCGAATTGAGGAGGGCACGAAGCGATTCTGTGAAAGTAACCTATGATGAGAGCGGAGCGGTGCTTTCGGGAGGCCGAGAGGTCGATCCCGACAAGACTTACATATTCAGAGTGAGGCCCATGTCAACTGAATGGAAAAACAAACATCCCAATCTGCAGGTACGTACAGAGTACTTGGAATATTGACCGCTTTATCTGATTTGCAGTCTAGATATCAATTGCTGAAAAGGTAGCCAAAATCTTTGGTTTCCGTAATCGCCAACAGGTCGTCCTAACAGAGGTATTGCCATGCAATTCCCATGCATAAGTGCTGCACTCTAACAACTCACAGGCAGACGAGGAACGGGTAGCCGCGTCCCATGTCGAGATCACATTTCGTGATGAATATCTTGCAAGGGCAGACATGTGGCGCATGGCCATCTCCGAGCTCAGTAATCGTACAGTGTATCGTGGGCAGAGACTGCTCTTCATCGGAACCATCAAAGCTACCGTCAAGAACATATACATCAATGGGAAGTCCACACATTCTGGATATTTCTCATCGATGACTAAGCCCATCTTCCGCAGTGAGTCAGCGCGATATGTGCTCTTCATCCAAATGTCCAAAGAGATGTGGGACTTTGATGCGGAAGGGGCTGGCGAGATCATGTTCAATAAAGTTGTCCATGGTTTCTTGCCGGACCTCTTCAAGAGGTGGATGAAGATCAATGCGAGGCACCTGGTAACAATCATACTCTTCACACGAATGTCATATGATGGGAGCACATTGTTATATGAATCATCGGAAATGGGAGATCCGACGGAATCATACAAGCCGTCTCAACCGTTTAGGGACTATTATCGCGTAGTCGTCAGCGACATGGCCAGTGGCGATTGGATCAGAATCCTGTATCAACTCAAAAAGGAGTTCAGAGCCTTTCTCCGAGATGTCTCATTGGTACCAAAACATGCCAAAGTCACATCCAGCACTCAGAAGATCAACACATCGGCTGACTCACGGGATGTAATGGTTGCTGGAAAACCGTGTCCTGCAGCTGAAGGCAATATGCTAGAGGCGATCAACCTTGCTTCCGCGCAGTTTGCAAAAGACTACATCGATCGGGACCTAGTGCGCACGGGAATATCCGCTGTCGTCATAACTGCTGGAACAGGCGTGTTTGAGGTTGACTATAACATGCTAAAGTTAACTACAGACACCTTGATAGGCTCCGGCATTGGCATTGATCTGGTGTGTTTGTCGCCCATGCCACTACATTCAGTGCCTCTCTTCAAATATCGAACTCCTCGAACTGTTGCCGACTTAGCAGCGAGCGGTAGCAAGGATCCGAAACGATCGAACATAAATGACACTGCTAGTGGGACAGATGAGAAATCACACCGTCAGTTCCAGCATAACCTTGACTCGGTGCTGCGGCAGCCATCGCTTGTCTCAAAACCTTCGCTTTCCGCTTTGAAACCGCCTCCAGTGGCCGATACAGAGCAGCAGGAGGAAGAAGACTGGAAGTATGCGATGCCGCATTGGCTTGATATCTCATTCTGGTCTGGACCTTCGGATGAGATCGTGGAGTTGGTTCATTCCCGGCCCGGGAGACCTATTGGGCAAAATTCGAAGAACAAGAAGAAGGGCAGTACCTTTGCTTTGAGATGCCGCATGTACGAGCTCCAGATGATGGGGGTGATGGAGAATGAGCTTCATGGAATCTCTATCCCGTACATGGACGAAGATCCTATCTATCCCTATCAACTGAAGGAGTATTACGAAAGTCCTCCGCCCAAAAAGCTGGACAGCAACGAGGTGAAGAAAGGGAGTATGACAGCTTCCACCCCAACACATGACAAGGGTTTTAATGAAAGTCGGGATCAGCGAAAGAAGGTTTATCAGGAATGGATGGAAAAGTACGACGGTCAGGCATTTTCCACCATCTCCGACGTCGTTGCGTTGGCGCCCCCTCCTCGCCTGGATTCGCCAGAGAAGAAGAGGTCAATTGCGTACTTGCCCGACGAGAGGTTTCTTTCAAGTTCTTACCGCAGCTTTGCGTCTTCACTCGGCAAGACTGCCCGACCAAGGTTCGAGGCCGGGGGACACTTGCACTCGTTGATGCGCGAACGATCACGTGGATTAGAACATGGTCTTTCGGGAAGTCCTAATATGCCAAAAGAACCTGAAGGTCCCACTGTGCGCGCCGACGTTGTCTATCGACAGACACATGCACCTCCATCGCGAGTGGGCACCCTGCTCCACCACCGAGATCAGTCCATACCTTCGACTCCAGACGAGTCTCCCCCGGCTAGCAGAGGAGATTCCCCCCCGAGAAGCAGCGGACTGCCTCCATTACCGATTGCTCCAGCACCCAAGGCCAAACCGGCCGCAAGCAACCGTCCTGGCGGTTGGTTCCTCAGGCAGATCAGCTTTGGCGGGAGAGGCGCAACCTCCGCGAAATCAACGGCTAGCATAGCTCCGATCGATTTCACAATGGGAAAGCCGGAACCGATTAAAGCCCGTGCTGATAACAGCCAAAAGGACGCGATTGCTGCCAAACTGGCCAGCACCCGCACCACGGAAGCTGAGACTCCCTCACAGCCAATCGCGATACGATCAGCTAGTCGTGCTGGAAATACATCATCTGATCCACCAGCCACGGAAGACAATACAGGCTCGGTGGAGACTGTGAAAGGCCACCGGCAACCGCGGACCTCTACATCTTCTCGTGTGGGATCGGTTACCAAGGACCCAGGTTCAACTTTCCTACTGGCTGGCTCTCGAGCTTTGGCGGAGACAGTGGGCCCAAAACTCGAACTCGCACCAAGTGGAAGAACCAAAGACGCTCCTCGCACTTTGTCACCGACGAATGCAATCGCACCGTGGGCTGTTCTGGTTAACCCATGCAATCCCCGCAAGAATTCGCCAAGTGTCGCCAGTCAGTTCCGCCGATGGCAGCACGTTTTCCCAAAGCGCTTGAAGACATCATCCGTGAAGTGGAAGTCATTGTGCTCGCCCGCGGCAGTACCGTTGACCAACGAGTATTTTCCTACTGCTGAGCAGTTAGCTACGGAATATAACGAAAGCCCATACAAGATCGCGCAAAACGACGACGATGATCTTCCCGATTCTGTGAAGTCTAGAGAGACTCTGGTCCGCGAACTCATCGCATTTCGACTGTCTCATGGATTCCAGATTATCGTTGGACCGACAGTGGCTGAAGTCACAGGGATTCGTGAGGAAGATATCTCCAATATTCTAGACTCCGACTACATGACAAAAGATGGCGATACCGTCTTTATGTCATTGGGGAACACTATCCATCAACTGGTCTGTGTAGCTGGCGGGGAGGTGGAAGTAAAACGGTTCACTAGGAAACCCACCACCGCCCTGGAATCTTCGGCCGGTATAGATACGCCTTTCCCCTACAGGCCCTTTATCCGAACAGCATTAGAGGACCATTATCAGCGTCGTGACGTCGTATTGCGGCCGCCGCGCAAAGAATATAACTGGAACTTCATTGACACATTTCTGGCAGGGTATGATAACGAATTCTCAGATATACTACGATTCTGGAGAGCACGATTCGTGCTGATACCCGTGGAAATACCTCCCATGCATCGGCGTACGTTGGCGTCTCTCTCCGAGGACTCCGAAGAAGAGATCCGCCTGGAAGGCATAAGAAAGCTTACACAGTTATGGCAAAGATATCGCTATATCCCTCCAGAGGAGCGTCACTTCCAGGCGACTTCCACGAAGAAACAAAGAGACCCTAACCCGTTGGCAATCCTGTATCATACCAGAGACCCATCCGCTATTGTAGCGGCTGCGCAGGACAGTTCCATTTTGAATGACCTGGATAATGAATTTCAGACCGCTATATTCTCGGAGACGGACAAGTACCATACGTCGAACATCGATCTCAAGCGTCTGGCCGAGGATCTGCAGGGTGAGAACGGGATCCCGATGCTAGACAGACGCTGGCACTGGCGGTTGCATTACAACTGCTTTCTTGGTTTCGACTTGACAAGCTGGCTACTATCCAACTTCAGGGACATAGAAACTCGTGACGAAGCCGTTGATCTAGGGAATCAGCTGATGCAAAAGGGGCTCTTTCAACACGTGCAGAAGCGCCACCAGTTCAGAGACGGCAATTTCTTCTTCCAGATTGCGCCCGAGTATAGAACGCCTCGACCGGATACCCGTTCGGGATGGTTCAGCATGAAAAAGCCAGAACGCTCCGTCCCGTCTACTCCTCTATCAGAGGGTCCGCGCTCCTCGCCTCTGGGAAACCGAAGTGTCAAATCGCGCCCTGGCACAACTGACTCCTCCAGCACATCCGACGCCATCACTGAAGGGGAGAGGACACCGACACGAACGGACACAGCGAAGCGCAAGGTATCACTGTCGCGGGTCATGCGGTACGATGTGGATGCCCGAAAACGCTCGTACCGCCCGGAAATCATCTCTTTGCACTACGATCGACTGCATAATCCGGATAACTGCTATCACATCAGGATCGACTGGATGAATGTCACGGCAAAGCTCATCGAGGATGCTATCGTAACGTGGGCCACAAGCGTAGAGAAGTACGGCCTCAAGCTTGTTGAAGTCCCCATTGCAGAGGCGTCAAACATCACCGATCATCATCCCTTCCGCTCCCCATATCACATCAAGCTCGCCCTTCAACCGCCTCAGAATGTTTCGGAACGGAATTGGGATCCGTCGCACTTGTCACCTCAACCGAAGGTTGACAGATTCGCACTGCACAAAGCACTTCTGCGCAAGCTCAACTATGTCCTTGACATGGAAGCTGCCTCTGCGTTTCCCCCAGACGTCGACGTGACCTACTCTTGGGGGAAACCGGACTACAAATACACGCAGTTTATCCACCGCACGGGTACTCTACTGGCGCAGATCACGGACGAAGGCGACTTTCTTTTACTGGCAAATCGTCTCGCACACAACCGCGCAAAGGACAACGGCGCAAAGTTTCGCCACGTTACGGATCCGTACGAGCACAAACGCCCTACGGCAGCCTCCACCACGAATCCCTCCACGCCTGCCATCGACAAAGTGAGCATCAAGAGCCCCTTCGCAAGTCCTCTTGCACGCCCCGTCCAAGACCCCGCTGTTCTTCAGACGATCCTGCAAGAGCGCTCCTCGTCAGCGGCTATCACGGCCAGTCTCAATTCGCTCGGCGTGACTCAAACGCCAGAGCAAATCAAAGACGAAACCGAAGCGTTTTGCGCAGATCCCGTGCGTCTGAGGCAGTTCTACGAGGTCGCACTTCAGCAGCAAAATCGGACTCCCGGACCAAGCCCGCATCTTGGGCCTGTGTCGGATGCGAGCATCCCGAGTCTGGGTCTGCCGCCTGCGATTAACATTCGAGAAGCGAATCCCGCGGCGGGGTCAGGATGGGCGCTTATGGGAGGAGGAGGGTTGATTGCTACGCCGAGGATTGAGACGGCGAGGGATTTGGTGATGGCGAGGAGGCAGGGGAGTGAGGAGGGGAGGAATGTTGGGGCCAGGAGGGGAGCTGGAGATGGAGTGGGGACGAAGGGGAGGAGGGATTCTCAGGGGAGTAGCGAGACGTTCATGTCGTAGTGCGGTAGGGTGTGTGAGGGGGTGGAGGGGTAAAAGGCGTGGGAGAAATTTGCGTCGAGTGCTTTCTTGAGAGCGTAGTTACTCGGTAGATCTAGATGATGATCTATCTCCCTTTCACATTCTGTACCATCATGTTTCAAAGCGATGCCGAAATACAATTGCACTCCACTGGTTCACCCTCATTCCTTGATTCTCTCCCCGCGGAACCGGAGCCGCATAGATCACCGATAACCTTCAACCCGTTGACGCCAACCCGGCGATCAGTGGAGCACGCGACGCTCGCTACCAATGAGCCGCATTGCGCATCCCCTGTTTATTGTAAACGCGGGATGGAGATCTAGGTCGAGTAGGGCGCAGGATGACGGAATATGGGGAATTGCAAGTGTGTTGGGATCACGATTGCGATTTGGGATTGCCCATTAGTTGATAGTTGGGATTTAGATGGGATTTTCGTGTGTGACGCACATGTCACAGTAGGATAATTACTGTGATATAACTGTATGTGGATCTATTCCAGATGTACAACATGTAAGATTTACATGTTTAGGTGTAGTCCCTGGTGTATGTATGTTATGATAGGCCTCAGACATTCAATATGGTAATAGCATAGAACGCATATCCCAAGCTTTAACTGTAGATGATTGATCATTAGGGGAGCGTGAGTAAGCTAGCGAGCGCGTGAATTCTTAAGACTACCTAAAATAAGGTTTCAGTTCGGGGAGAGGTTGACGTTCGAACGCCTCGAGCTCGCATGTGGCGCCGGCTATTGATAGAGCGCGGAAATAAGAGGATATACATAGTAGGGAGTACATAGTATTCAAACATGTCTGTTAGGATGGTAAGACGTATATCCTGTGTTGCTTATGGTTTGTGCAGGCAGTGTTGTGACTGCAGAGGTGCAGATATGGCTAGGAAGAATTCTTGCTTGGTTATATGATAGATCACTGGCGACTTGCAGACGGAGTCAGCAAGTGTAGCATTCGCTTGGAAAAAGGACTTGGTGTGCTCCGTACTTTGTATGGACATGGATACGGCCGTTGCCCAGGCTCAGGGAGAGTAGACAGATGAACACACATGGCGTGTGCAGCTGCAGGTCGACGTTTGGAGCAGCCAGACCGTTTGCCAGCAATATAACGTCCTTGGTAACGGGGTAGATCATCCGAAGTACTGTGTTATAGTTGCAGGCACATTTATACAGACCAAGAGAGCATGTAGTATTATTGGAGTATCCAATACGACGGTGAGAATGTCGGGAGGAAGAAGGAATTCAGGATAAAACGGACATTATGACGCCGGAGAACCAGGAACAGCAACGACCTGGTGCATCGCAGCACAGGGGAGGGCAACGCATTCTGGGGTACATAGACGAGGGCGATTGTCGGGATACTGGGGAAGGGGGCCAGGAGGTGTCTGGGGGGATGCGGAGAGCGGTATCGGAAGAGAGGCATTGCTCTTATCTTCTGAGACGAACCCTGTCTCCCGTGAAGCTACAGATACATAGAAAGTATATGGAAACAGAAGGGAGTGGGTAATCGCAGAGCATGAAAAAATGCAGTGAACAGTACTTATTCTGTACTGTAGACTGCATGTTGGCGAGACCTGAGAGCCATTTTGTCAGCCGCGGTCGATTGGCTGGTCGTCAGTACAAGGCTGGGATCTGATGGGGCATGACAAGGGTGGGAATGCAAACCCCGGACCGTTGACGTTGTGGTTGTGGTGGAGAGAGGCCGGTCGGAAGAAAGAGGGTGAAAGAAGTCCCTCACCGATCAGAGGTTCCCCGTCGTTGAATATGGGACCACCCGCTCGTCCCGCCAACTGAATAATGGCTGTTCTGAGCTGCTCGTCGCCTTGTCGCAGCGAGTCGCATTCCGGCAACAATAATCTATACGATGCGGAGGGTTGGCGGAGGCTGGCTCGCGGTCCGGGGAGGCTGCTCACCGCCATTGTGGTTGCGGGTTGATGTGAGGTAAACGGAAAGGAACCACGACTAGGACGACCAGGCCTCGCCCGCACCATCTCCACTCCACCTCGATTCTCCACTGCTCTACATTCCCGTTCCTCTTTTCTCCACTCACCTTCACCACTCGAAATCCACTGTCCCGCCCAGCTCACGCGACACCAATATAAGCTCCAACCTCGTTGCCTTGCCCTGTTCGCTGGCTGTCCTACCCTCCTTTGGCCCTTTACGAGCCCTCCGTACACACCATCGCGCAGCACCAGAGCATCATTGAGCGACGGGAGCAAGGGCACGCCCACTCACCAGGCCACCGCCGGCGGCACCACAGTACCAAACGACTCGTCGTCGACGCAGCCGCAGACTGTCATGGGCTGCTCACCTCAGGCCCGCCTCCCTGTTCGCCTTCACAACACCCCAAGCTCCTCCTGCTTGCTCCGCTGCTAGGAACAGGAGCGCGTCTCATGGGATAGCCCACATCCTTCACCATGTTGGGCCAATTCTTTGGTTCCCGAAAGGGCGCTCAATCCTCGCCGCCGACCCCCGTCCTCGACTCCGCGACCGAGGAGTCTCACACGCGACACCTTCTCTATCCCGACGCGAGCACCCTCTACCACCCCGACGGACAGCCCTACCCGCTCCCCGTAGCCTCTCTCACACCTGGCAACGCTCACGATGGCCCTCTACCCGAAATCGACCTCGAATTCCCTCGCGACTGCCGAATCATCATTGCCCAGGATGAGTTCATGAGCATGCCCAAGGCCGTTCTGTTCGACTCGAAACCTGGCCCTCCCCGCGCCGAATCGCCCACCCTCCCACATGCACGAGCAAGAGTCTTCAGCGGATCGGGCGCTGCCAGCACCGCAGGACCTACATTTGGGGGTATGCATGCGCGGAGATTGTCTCTTGTGACCGAGTCGACCCCCCACTCACCCTCCATGACCGCCTTTGCGCGAAGCCGAGGCCGCAACAATTCCATTTCCTCCATGCCGAATATCGATGAGCATACCCAGCCATCAGCACAAGCGCAGGCGCAGTCGCAGGCAAAAGGGACCGAGTCCATCGATGTAGTCAAGACGTGTTTAGATTGCATGTTCGGCAACACGACCATGAGCTACCGGGGCAACTCCAACAAGCTGCACATTGTACCACTCGATTCCAGAGGCCCTGATGCGGGAACCCCGACCCCAGGCATAAATGAGCCTGGGGGTTCTCTAGGAAGAGCCGAAGGTATGCGTAGGAAAAGCCATCTGGCTACCTCATACACTCCAGCCAATTTCCCAGCGGAGCTCCCGCGCAGGGAATCCAACGAGAGCGCGTTCAAGGAGCCTCGGCGTCGCACCATCTTCATCACGCGCATGTTCTCAGTGTCCTTGTCGGACGACGAACTGGACTCCTCGAATGTGCGTACACCAACGCCGCAGAGCTCGCTTGGGAAGGGCAGTGGTTTTCCTTTCCCTCGTACAAGTGGCAAGACGGCCACTCCCACTCCTCCTAGACTTCCTCAAACGCGCAAGACTCCCATGTATGCCATTACTATCATACTTCAGCTACCAGTGTCGCATCCAGCCTCGATGAGCCGAGGTCACGTAAGTAAGGGGTCCACCTCCGTTCCTGGACACGACTCACTGGGTTCTTCATTCGACTCCGATCGGCGTGCTGGTTGGACACACATCGACCCGAACTTCGGCATAGAGTCTCTACTCTCCAATTCCCTCAACAGCGATGTCGACGACCGTGTCGATGTCATTGGTCAGCACTGGGATGTCATTACGCGCACCCTAACGAGCCTTCAACAGGTCGTCCAGGGACGCATCCTAGCACATCTCAGGAGAGACGAGCAAAATAATCCGCCAGTGCCTCGGAACCAACCTTCCCGTTACGTTACGAGAGAAGTCTCTATCCAACCGGCACGCCGAGGCGCGCGACTACAGCCCAACGCACTGGCTCTGGACCCCGAAGTTAAAGACGCCGTTGAGTTAGCCGGAAACCGAGTCGTTAGCGGCATGAGGATCCCTCGTGTAACGACGGGCCAGGGCAAGTGGGGCGTGTGGCGCGAAGAAGCTCGGTGGCTCGGGAGATGGGCGGGTCGCAAAGAGCAGAACTTCTTTTTCTTCAATCTGCTGACGGCTTTTTTGGGCAACCATACTGAATGGTTGAATCTGCTGGGGCCGAAGTGGCATCGCAAGCGCCACCGGGAGCAGCAGAGATCGAGCATCGGGGAGAACCTCACGATTTCCAATCGTACGGTTATTGTCTCACCGGACAAGATGGCTGCGAGGAGATTGATCTTCTTGCTTGCGGCTTTTCTGCCTCCGAATACGCCGAGTCTGTATGATGGAGCATCTCCCTTGCGGCCTAGCACTTCAGCATCTCTGCGCGGCTACTCCCAGTCTCCCCCGACCAATATGCCCCCGTCAAGGAAACAATCGCTACGCCGTACCATCAACCGCCGGCCAAAACCGAAGCAGAGCGTGGCAAACTTGAAAACCCAACACAGTGCACCCAGCAACGGGAGTACGCCTATGGCTCAGGCTGATTCTGCAGCTACAAGTACTGATACAGCTGGACCGCCTGATCAATCTCGTCGATCTTCAACTCATTCTGTACGCACAAGCCTGCTGATTCCTTCTATATCCGATCATGCGCCGGCAAAGAGCGCCGCGACCTCTACCTCTACTGTAACCCCCCAGAACGCAGTGCCCATCCCTCACTTTGCCCTGCCACGGTCCAAGCCATCTGGTCCGTCGCCTGAGAACAGGCCTGAGAGTAGTGACAGTCTAGCTTCAGTCAACTTGATGCATAATCTGCAACGAACAAGCCAGAGTCATACGAGCACCATGTCTACGGATTCTGGAAGTAGCAGTCGATGGAGTGTCTTCACGAGCTTCTGGAGCGGCGGCCGACGGCAATCATCAACTGATCAAGATATCCTCCAGACCACGGATGATGGACTGGGTAGCTCGAGTGCGGGCTCCAGGGGTTTCGAGCGTGCGCCTTCCCAACTTGAACTGATGGTGCAGGAGTTATCGATGAATCAGGGACTGTTTGAAGAGTGCGAAGTCGTCAACCCTTCGGGCCAAGATAGCCAGGCGGCTGCAGATAACCCTCCTCAGACTTATACCGTCACCGGCTCGAGCGGTGTGCCGCCCTCTAAGGCGCGACCCATTCCGGAGCGTCCAAAACGGTTCGACACGGTACCACTAAAGCTGTCAGTGAATGAGAAAGACGGAGTCATCGACGTTGACATTCCACTGCCTGACTTCGACTCGCCGCTGCTATCCCCTATGTTCGCGCCCGCGTCTGCGCCCAGCCAGCAAGGCTCTAGCTATGGCGAAGCGTCCGTCTTCTCGATACCACATGGTGAACCAGACCAACCTGTCAACGCAGCTGGATGGCTGAAGCAATTCCATCCCGATTTTGCAGTGCAAGCGATCAAGCCTTACGCTGACCTGGAGCGCGATATCAGGCGAGCCATGAGCGCGGAACCTACGCCTATCACAGCTAGTGCAACACCTAGCCTCGAGCAAGGACCGCAGGAGCGCTGGATAGACGTATGCTCCGCCTTGGTAGCGGATACTCGCACCTTCAGCATCAAGCGCATCCGTCTGCGCAGACTGGTCAAGCTGGTTCCTACACCGACGTATCAGCACTCAGCCCTCACCCCTGGCATCTCCCCTCTCCCAGGCCGTCCTCAGTACGGCAATCCATATGCCAACCCCCCTGTCCAACCTATGATGACGGAGATACACCTCGAAGAGCAGTTCACTGAAGAGGCGATTATGGACTTCGATCCTACTCTCATCGATGCCGTCGAACGACTTCTCTCGCAATCTGGGCAGCCTTCGCGTGTCCATTCGACAAGTTCATCGCGCTCTAGCTCTAGGAGGGGTAGACGCGATACCCGCTCTGGGTCCGACGCAGGACACGTGCAACCGGAGATTCCGTCTACAGATTGCAAGGCGGTGCTGTTTGATGCGCTGGAGTCGGTAGTTAAGGACGTCACGGCGGAGAGAGGTGGGAAGGATGTTGCCAAGGATGAGCCAAAGGGCGACAACAATAATAATAACAACAGCAACACGAAGACGCGACAGGAGGTTGCTTCTTCTGTTCCCAGAGCAGGAGCTACCGATTCGTCTCTGAAAGAAGGGATCCGTCGATGGCTCGCGGAAGTGGAGTGAGCGATCCACATATCCGCTTTTTTGTTTCCATTTGCACATCAATCTTATTTCGAAGGTAAGTAAGACATGCTGTGCTCTCTTCTGGTAGGCACTGCCACTGCCTACCGATTCACTTCCTCTATACCCCGATTCGAAGGAAGGCAGCCTGGTTCCTCTTGTGGGGAGACTATTTGTCATGGTATTGAAAGGGAGGAGTGCGAACGGTGGTTTGAACTTGCATGGTTTATGGGTTATGGCGTACAGATACCCCCTTTCGGCGAATTGGTTGGCGGCTATCATCTCGCTGGGTTCTTTTTCTCCACCGCTTCATGCAGGTGGTTCCCCAGTTTTCTTCTTTGATGCGTTCTAGCGGGCGGTTCTCTTCCTATGCCGGAGTTCCTGGGTACACCGGATACGGGGTTTAATTTGTCCTTTTCGAACCAAGCGATATGAGAGCCTGTTTGGAGGACTAGATTTCTGCAGTGACTCTTACGGCCGATAGTAATCATAATCACGGCATATCCCTCTGAGGGTACTTGAATGGAGAAGTATATGGTACTATGCCTAGGCCCCACTTGTAGGACTGCTCTCATGCGATGTGACATCTACTTGCCAGGTAGTAGCAGTTCCAATTTCCAATTCGACTGCTCGGATGTCGGATAGAAAGCTTCCCTTCTTATCAAGCATAGAAGGAAGCATTCAATCTCTGTGGCACTATTGCTTTGTCATGCTTTGCTGAGGTCCGCTACTCACAAGCAATCTCTAAGATGCGCTGATTAATCCACGCCGATATATCGGGCTCTCGGTTCCGCAGCCAGCATCTAGATCCCTGTCATGACGACACTAGACTGAAAGCTCCCCCGCAATGTTCTTTCATGCCACATGCTATGTTCACAGTGAGAGAAACATAAAAAGGACTGAATCCCCAACATATTCAACTGATCTACCAGAACATTCGGCGATCGCGAGTTGAAGACAAGTTAATTGGAAGTTTATGAACCTTTGTAGAGCTGTGAGGATTACAGCTCTGAGCTCCTCTTTTGGAAGATATACAACCACAAGGACATTGGCAGCTTTCCCAACCCGCCGCCCCTTTTCCAGAACCGCAGTAATGGTGCGTTCCCATTTCCACTTCCCATTTCTCCCAATCTCGGCATCTAACCCCTTTCCAGGACAAGAAAGACACCGACATCCTCCACTGGGTAAAACCGGGCGACAAGACGGGCGAATTCAAGCGCCAGCAGAGCGTCTTCCGCTCGCAAATTTCCAGCAAGCCTGGCGCCGAGTTCCCCGCTGAGAAGGACCGGTACCACCTATACGTTTCATATGCGTGTCCGTGGGCGCATAGGACGCTGATTGTGAGGAAGTTGAAGGGGCTGGAGGAGATTGTGGGTGTGACGGTTGTGCATTGGCATATGGGTGAGAAGGGTATGATATCTATCGATTCTGAGTTGGTAATTGAGTGCAAGAGTGGAAGCTAACTAACCTCACCAGGATGGCGCTTCGTAACGGCCGACGAGAAACTGCCTGGCGACGATGTGACTCCGGATCCCGTCCACCCCGACTATACACACCTTCGGGATATCTATTTCGAGCAGAATCCAAACTACGAAGGGCGTTTTACGGTGCCGACGCTGTATGACAAGAAGCAGAAGCGAATCGTGAACAACGAGAGCAGCGAAATCATCCGCATGTTCTACCACGAGTTCGACCATCTGCTGGACGACAAACACAATCAGGTGGATCTGCTGCCCGCGAATCTGGAAAAGGAGATCGATGAGCTGAACGAGTGGGTCTACAACGACGTCAACAACGGCGTCTACAAGTCCGGCTTCGCTACGTACGTCTTGTCTTTCTCTGCAAATCGTCGCCACCACACTAACCCACCCCTCCAGCACAGAAGAAGCCTACCACAAAGCCGTCCGCCAACTCTTCCTCTCCCTCGACCGCCTCGAATCCCACCTCTCCACCTCGTCGACGCCCTACCTCCTCTCCTCGCCGCACCTCACCGAAGCCGACATCCGCCTCTACACGACCATCGTCCGCTTCGACACCGTCTACGTCCAGCACTTCAAGTGCAACATCCGCGACATACGCTCCGGGTACCCCTTCCTGCACAAGTGGCTCCGGCACCTGTATTGGGATGTTGCGGCGTTCAGGGAGACGACGCAGTTTGAGCATATCAAGAAGCATTATACGAAGAGCCATGGGCAGATCAATCCGTTTGCGATTACGCCGCTGGGGCCCGTGCCGGATATTTTGGGGAAGGAGGAGGAGGTAAGGGCGGTGGGGTTTGCGTTGAGGGAGGGTGCGTAGGTGGGGAGTAGAGGATGGGATTTGGTTGAGTCAGCTTGGGGGTTTTGGTAATTGGGTTGATGCTGGATTTGAGAGAGGTAATGGTTGTATGTGCAGATTTAGCTTGACTCCCTCCGCAAATTGTACACTGTCGCAATGCAAGCCATGTTGAGCCGTACGTTGACGAATCGTCGTGCAAATAGCCAGTGTCATCCACCATATTTGTCCTCACTTTCTCCAGTCATTGAAGCAGTCACGCAATAACTCCTCTAAGGGTCTTACTCCCCGAATCCCACAGCTACCACAACGACTCATCCAAGTCACTATAAATATGTCTCGCGAAGACATACATGGAAACCAGTACCCGTCCTACTACCCACCTCCAACTCCCCAAAAGAAACTATACCTGAACTACATTAAGAATTAGAAAGAAGGACACCATGACGCGATCCAAGAATAAGGATAAACCATCGGCGCCTACAGCCTCTACCACGCCGCGGCAGATTCAGTGGTATAATAAAGAGACGAGGGGGTATGAGTGGAGGGATGAGAGGGACCCGGAGGTGCAGGCTGGTTTGAGGGAAGGGGATGAGAAGACAAGGGCGATTGCGGGGGAGGGGTGGAGGGAGCGGGACAGGGAGATGGAGAGTAAGAAGGAAAGGGAGAGGGAGCGGGGAGACCGGCGGGAAAGGGGAGGGGAAAGGGAAAGAGGAGGGAAAATTGAAAAAAGGAAGGAAAGGGAAGGAGGAGGGGAAAAGAAAAAGAGAGGAGAAAGGGAAAGGAGACTCGACAGGGAGGGAGCAGGGGAAGGCGAAAGAGGATATAGCTCTCGCAAAAATGACGAGGACGGTGACAAGGACCGGGCCAAAGAGAAGGACGACTACGCACATGGTACAACAAGAGCGCAACCTGTGTGTAAAACGTGTCTGCCCAATCCGCGGAGCCCGGGCTGCAGATATACGCGCCGCGGAAACGTTCACAAGACACGCCCAAGATATCAAATCCCAAGTGCCGGCAGTGTTGGAACCGGATATCCAAATCCCAATCGAACCTGGGTTCCTGGTGCAGCTTTTCCGCGCCATGACGCCGATGAGCTGGACGACTATGAAGAAGCCCCGCGGCCACCGCCCCCCGCTGGTATCCCCATGTGCTACTGCAATGGCGGGTCCTTGCCGACGCCATGTTCGGAGGCTGCTTGCAGGGGACAATGTTACAGGGACTACTACATTGCAACGCAAACCATATATCCGCCAGTTCCGATAAGTTTCGAGGAATGGACTCGCCGTCGGAGGGCCAGAGCTATGGAACGGACTTTCCAAGCTTTACGGGGAGAGAGGGCGATGCGGGAGAAGACGGAGCCGGTCAGGGCCATTGAAGGCGCACCAGCACCACTGCGACTCGAAGAAGCCCCAGGATCCGACGACGGCAGCGATAAGGGCGATACTACAAGCAGATGGGGTTCCCCAAGCCCTCCTCCCACATCTAGCAAAATAGCTCCCCGAACATCAGCAGCTGCTGCACCTCCGCGCGCAGTGTTTTCAGGGAGCGTCGTCGCGCATTTTATACCCGCGACTGACCTTGCTGGAAACGCCGTTACGAACAGCGACGGGGACAAACTCGGTACGTTTGATGGCAGGTTCGTTGAAAAGTGTACGTGGATGATTGTCAGAATCCCCGCGTATTCCGCATACGATTACGAATCCAAGGAGTTCCGACATCAAGCCAAAGTGTTCGAGGCAAGGGGACTGATATTGAAGAGTGTCGATGGCATTTTGAACCCCTTCCACGGAGACCTGATAGCGGGGCTAATCAACGCGAAAGAAAAAGAGCGGCCAGTGGCAACTCGGCATGCTCTGTTTGAAACGTTCCTGAATCCCTCAAGAAAAGTGAGGTAAGTGAGGTGCAGCAGATTTTGCGGGAGAATGGCGAGGAGGGTTTTAATGGGACGAAAGCGTGTACGGAGAATGGTGAGTTCTGTGTTTGAATGTAAGGGGAGAGTGAGGAGGGCTGACGAGATGTAGTTGTGGAGCTTCTGCAATGGAAACGAAGTTACATTGTCAAATGGCAGGGAGCTTGATTGCTTTACAGGGATTAGTGGGAGGGTAGGCGGGGGGTGAGTGCGGCAGAGATGGGGGTTATTGTCGAATGCGTTGGGATTTTGGTTTCCAATAACAGCAGTAGTGGCTGGGAGAGTGGGAAGTAGAATATTATTCCGTCAGTCCTTTTTTAGAATGCATATCAGGGTATGGAGGGTTTTATCTACATGTCGTCATAGTTTTGATCAGAAATACTCCAGTGTATGTTTATCTACATGAGTGTCTCGTAGCACTCTTTTGACTGAGCAGCGCATGGCAATCCGTATATTTCTCCCTATATTAAAATAAAGCAGAGATATTAACAGTATGACGGATTTGAATATCTGCAACTGTATACTTTTGCACGTTGTGATTGTTAGTCCTGTGGAACATTCACCGCCCGAGTCACGACGCACGGACCGCCCATTACCATACCTAGATGACTGACAACCGTTTTCGATGACGAGCAAGGTTTTGAATGGTGACTTTGTTTAGTGGGAGTCAATATTTGGTTACTGACGGTCATCAAGAAAGCATGAATATATTGCACAAGTGACGGAACGGTGCCCCAAGCTGCGCCAGGTCATCACCTCTCTGTACGGAGATTCAAGATCTTGTTCGGCCGCGGAGCCATACTCAGCCCATCACGACAACCCCTCAGATCTTCCTGTATGGCATAGGTTTGCTCCCCTTAGTAAAGAGTCAATAAATCGAGTCTATAGCCTGCTGTAAAGTGGAGTTTCCCTTGTAGGACGTGTGTAATCGGCTCCACCAAGCCATTTAAGCTTGGGACTACCTTGTTCATTAGTAGATTTACCTATTCTAGTCAAGTTGTTATGTAATGGGAGTCATGGGCTAGGTGCTAAGAGTCAATGGTTAGACACTAGGTGCGCAGACGTGGATACTAGCTGTCAGGAGCCAGGTAGTGAGAGTCACTGACTCAAGTATAAGTATCCTCGCAAGAACTAAGCTCTTGGCTATTTTATTTCGGCCCCAACTTTACGTACACTAGTTGTTTACGCCGAGGGTTCAGGTATATCTAGATTACTTGCTTCACCGCAAGTACGCCTTAACGAATACTATACTGTAATTCTTTACTAGATCCGGGAACAATGGTCAAGGGCCAATATCGAAATTACTGCGAAGTTAGGAGCTTCTTCCGCGGGAAGGAGATGTGGAATAGGAAGAGGCGGTGCACGCAGAATGGTAAGCATTTCTCCTTCCATTTCGTTTTTTTGGCGTTTGCTTCATCCCTCCCAGATACATTTGGCGTGCTAGTTCGTTGACAGAAGCAGTGTATCAGGTTTATAAAACGAGATTAGCTATCATGGAGAGGATGAAGGCGGATAGGGAGGAGACTCTGAGTGAGATGGACGAACCGCGTGATCGCGTAAGGGATCATGCTAATTTCTCAGAACGCAGGCAGGATGGTGATTAGGGAAAGTTTCTCGACCAGGTAATACTGGAGCTTCTTATTGTATTGGGATCATGTGAAATGATGTTCAACTTGACAATGGCGGTGATTGGTGGTTGACCTTCATCTGCGTTGCAGCGTTCAGATGTCTCTTGATACTTTTCATTTCTTTCTATCGAGCGACTATTAAGTTTTCGAGGCCACCTTACAGTTCAAGCCTATCTTATTGGCAGGAAAACACACATTCTTTACTCTTTTTCCATGCTTCCCTACCGATATACCCCAGTGTTCCTACTTTGATGGCGGCGTTGACTAATTCGCTGGCCATCAGTCTCACGGGAAAATGCCTTAACTGCATCTGTATTACATTAAGAATAATTAAAGTGCCTTTTTAATGATATTTAGTGCTTGGGGCCAGGATAATGGAATGGCAATTTCCAAGGTGTCGAGTTGGCATTCACCACATGAAAGGACGTCTCACCGCACGGACCATTCAACACGCCAAGAAGTGACAGCTTCCCGACTTCAAGCCTCGGCTCAGATGGGCAACTCCAACTCCCGTTGTTCGAACTCGAATACAGCAATGCTCCCCAGCATTCACTACACGCTCGACACGCCGCCATGGAGTTCATGTCGAGTCTCCAGAGTGGCCTGGACGAGCTGAAACCATCCCTCTTCGAACTCCTCTCGGAACAGCAACTGGCTGCACTCCTTCCTCCCTCCCTCCGCTACATCCTCGCCGTTTCCACGCACCGCTATCCCCGCTACCTCCTCCCGATCCTCAACTCTTTCGATGAAGTTTACGCACTTCTTATGCTCCTGGTTGAGCGCCACTTTTTGAAGACATATGGAGGTTCATTCACAGAGAACTTCTACGGTTTGAAGCGAGCGCGAGTTCTTCGGACCAAGAATGAGGAAATACCAAGGGCACAGTTAGGAGCTTCGGACTCTGTCAGGGAAGCAGTGCAGCTGAAAAGTGCCGATGTATGGCGTAATTTGGCCGTATTAGTGGGACTTCCATACATCAAGCGGAAGCTGGACGAGAGCTACGATATCCACGCAGCGCATGCGAATATCCTTGGCGCGGGCTACAATCGCGACCGAGATGGGTTGAGGCCAGGAGCAAGCGTCAAAGAGCGGTTGATGTTTTATTACAAGTGGTTCCTGCGGAAAGTGTATCCCAGTGTTAACGCAGCATACTACTTCTCGATGCTGGTGTTTAACATGGCCTATCTATTCGATGGCTCAAAATACCACTCCCCCTTCTTATGGCTTATTGGAACACGGATAAGGAGATTAGGAGAGGCAGACCACAAGGCTATTGAAATAGCAACTCAGCCGGCCAAATTAGGACCGGCCAGACCAGGCGAGGGTGGCTCGATCTTCAGCCCGAGAAATATGGCAAGAAGTGTATACCCACGGTTACTCTCGTCGCTACGCATTCTTCTACCGACGAGCATATTTGCACTCAAGTTCTTGGAATGGTGGCACGCGTCCGATTTCGCGCGCCAGCTTTCGCGACGGGCAGCAGAGAATATCGAGCTCCCACCGCCCGTGCTACCGAACCTTCTCCATATGTCCAGGAAAACCTCCAAAGCACAGCCTAAATCCGCCGGGGTAGAAGATAAACGCCTTACTGCCTCTGAGAAGCTGCAGAAACCGGAGCCGCCCATCTCTTCCATTACTCTCCTCCCTATTCTCACCGTCCCGTATCCGACACCTTCGACATCCCACCTCTGCCCGATTTGTGGGAACACCATTACAACACCTACCGCATCACCGACTGGCTTCGTATACTGCTACACTTGTATTCACCACTGGGTCGAAGGCACTCATGACCGCCAGGTAGCGTTCATGGAGGGCGCCGCAGCCTTCAAGCGAGAAGATGCCGAGGGAGACGAGGAGGAAGAAGACGGTTGGGAGAAAGAAGAAGGTAGTCGGGAGGGCCGCTGGGAGTCAGGGAAAGGCAGAGATGCAGTGACTGGCAGGAGAGTGCTTGGAGGAACTGAAGCTTTGAGGAGAGTGGTCGTGTAAGGAGGAACCACTGTGATCCTTCAGTTTCAGGTCAAATCTTTGTACGAAAACTACGACGCCGTACTAATAAGCATTGTGGGTATTGTTAGGGCTCACAAGCATTTCGTCGTCCTCGAATCAACTATACCCTTACTGGCTGCGCCTGGTCTGCTTTCTCTGATATGCGGACGGTGGCTGAGGTCTTCCAAAGGTGATTATGCATTATGTAGGATGAAAGGGCCATTCTTCTTTCTCTTGAGGACGCACCTCAGGGTCCGAATAAACCTGCGGATGTGATGCACTTATCGAAGAATTATGGGAGCTGCGACGTAAGAGCTAGAAAGATAATGTATAATCCGCTTGACGAGAGACAACCAATCAATCTACCTTGCGCCTGTCCGGATTGGATGTCAGAATACCGAATCTCTGGCAGTGTCGGAGTTTAACGGCTTTACGGACACCTCATGTACCCAACTACCACAGCACGATAACCATCATCTCCTCCAGCAAGAGTCGGAGGGACGTCTAGCCGTCGGATGTCAAAACACCGAAATTCCGGCAGTCTCGGAGTTGAACGGCTTTTTACGACACGCTCTTCGACTCGACTAACATAACGCGAGGGAGGGGATCAATGCTCGATTCCTCGACCTTTGAGCTTGCCAAACTATCCTAGCTGTTCCTATCGCCGTTCCACATCACTTGCCCCTCCCTTGTTTCCCTGTGTAGAATTGCCGAACATGCCCCATCAACTCAACTCGTGCGAGCTCCATCACTCCGGTGGGTGCTACCACCCGGAGTTTAGCAATTGGCGGACGAGCGACATCATGGGTATCGGGTTAATATAAAGGGAAGTTGAAGTCGCTCCCTCCAAAGAATCAATCCATCTCTCTCTTCTCACAGCACCTTTGCTCGGCTGAATTGATTTCAACATGTCTCCCTTCGGTAATCCCCCAAAGCCCAAGTCGCTCCTAGAATTCCACCGCGTCCTCTCCCCAAATGCCGGAATTCGTGTCTCGCCCCTATGCCTCGGCGCAATGAACTTTGGCGAGGCGTGGGAGGATTTCATGGGAAAGTGCGATAAGGCGACGGCGTTCGAGATTTTGGACTATTTCTTTGAGCAGGGAGGGAATTTCATTGATACGTGAGTTGTTCCATCCGTTCATTATGATATTCTCCTTTCATTCCTCCGCAATCGCGAACCAGCTATTTCCGTTGTGGGAGCGCTGCATACACAGCTTCAGCATACGTCAGGTCCCCGTACTAGTGGGAGTTGCAAAGGCCCCGCATCTATCTTTACTCTGCCCCACACGAGCTATTCCGATGTAGCTCTGCTTCCATACTGCAACCATCTCGATGGTTGTGCCATCTCAATCAACATCTACAACGACTTTATGAACAAACACTAACAACTCCCCAAAAAATGCAGCGCCAACAATTACCAAAACGAAGAATCCGAACAGTGGATCGGCGAATGGATGGCCTCGCGCAAAAACCGCGACCAAATTGTCCTCGCCACGAAATTCACCACCTGCTACCCTGACCCGCGGAACCCGCCCCGTCAAAAGACCAACTATGCGGGCAACCACACGAAATCCTTGCATGTGTCCCTGGAGGCGAGTTTGAAGAAACTGCAGACGGATTATATCGACCTGCTCTACGTGCACTGGTGGGACTTTACGACGAGTGTGCCCGAGTTGATGCAGAGCTTGAATCATTTGGTTCAGCAGGGTAAAGTATTGTATTTGGGCATCAGTGATACGCCCGCTTGGGTCGTCAGTAAGGCGAATGAGTGTATGTTTCTCTGTCTCCTCCATCTCCTCGCATACTTCCGAATTTGGGCAGTGTGGACTGACGATTCTGCCTCCCAGACGCCCGCAACCACGGTCTCCGCGGCTTCTCCGTCTACCAGGGTATGTGGAGCGCCGCATCCCGCGACTTTGAGCGAGATATCATTCCCATGGCTCGGGACGAAGGCATGGCTCTAGCACCATGGTACGTCTTTTCCCCCCTTTCCCCTCCCTTTTCTTTTTCTCAAATCCTCTAACACACCCCCAGGGGCGCACTCGGCGGCGGCAACTTCACCACGAAAGCCAAACGCGAAGCCAACGAAAAAGGCCGCAGCATGGTCCCGCCCACGGAATCCCAAATCAAGATGTCCGAGAGGCTCGAAGAAATCGCCAGCAAGAAGAACACCGCCATCACGTCCGTCGCTCTGGCCTACGTCATGCACAAAGCGCCGTATGTCTTCCCCATTGTCGGAGGCCGCAAGGTCGAGCATCTGAAGGGGAACATTGAAGCCCTGGGGTTGCAGTTGAGTGATGAGGAGATTGATGAGATTGAGGCGGCCAGCGATTTCGAGGTTGGATTCCCGATGAACTTTTTGTTCCAGTTTGGTGGCGGCAAGTGGAGCACTAGGAATACCAGTAGTGATATTGGGTTGTTGAAGACTGCGGGGCCGTTGGATAGTGTGCCGCATCAGGCGCCGGTGAGGCCCCATGGGCTGTAATGCGTCAGAGAGAGAGGAAAGTTCAGGCTTTAAATATACGAACATTAGACCCGTGTTCATGAAATGATGACTACTACGAACTGTTAGGAGAATCCGACAAACAGCTTCAATCAGCTCCCACGGCTATCCCTATGTACACATCCGTATCTGTCCCAAAACCATATCCTCACTCACTCCTCTTTCCAACCCTCGGCAACGCAACCCAACAACTCAGCATAACAACATAAAGTCCCAAACAAACGGGATGCAATACATACGTCCCGACCGCCTGGGCCAGAATACCAGTAGTAAACGGCGCCACTGCCCCTCCCGAACTTCCCGCGCCAGCAATGAACCCCATAGCAGTCGTCTGCACCTGTCTCGGCATGAGTTTCATGAAGAGTGCGTTGGCGCAGGGGTACACGGGGCCAAGAAGGAGACCTAGGACGGCGACGGCGACGGCATTGGTGATGATGTTAGGAACGAGCCAGGCGAGGAGTTGGAAGGCCATGGTACCGAGGACGAGAATGAGGACGTAGAGGCGTTCACCGATGTAGGGCGTCAGGAAGGTGAGGACGAAGCGACCGAGGGTGATGCCTCCCTGTAAGCAGTTAGCGCCCAGGCAATCAACTATGAGGGCATGGACATGGGAGGAAAGTAGCAATCGTTTGAAGAGTACTGACCCAGAAGCCTGCTGTCACGTATCCTACACTTCCGGGATCACCGCCCCTGTAGTTGATCAGAAAGGAAATGACCCATCCGGAAATAGAGACTTCGGCTCCTTGGTAGGCAAAGATGAAGAGGGCTCCGAAGATAGTAGACCGATTCTTCAACGCCAGTTTTAGGTCTTTGAACTTCGACACTGGTGCCTCTTCAACACCCTCCCGACTTGCATCTAGCTCGGCGGAGCTCAGAAGAGTCTGGTGTGTATCTTCTTGGTATCCCCAGAAAGCCCAACCGGCGAAGGCCATGGCGGCCGTGGCAAGTCCGAGAGGGAAAAAGTAAAATCGCGACCATAATGTCCCTTGTGAAGCCAGTGCTGTAGCTGCAATTGGTGCAACGACTCCTCCGATGCCGTAGCTGCCATGGGCTGCTCCAAGGACGACTGACGCCGGATGTATGTGTGCACAGAAGACGTTGTTCAATGCCAGAGTCATAGCCATGCCGTATCCAAGGAGGAAGAACCTGCATTCGTTAATGACAATCCTGTGATATGTGAAAGTAAGGGACGCAATGTTCCAGCTGAGATGTTCTTCCTGTTAAAACCAGAAAACAAGAGTTTACTTACGCGAGGATCACTGCAGGATAGGGAGGAGTGCACACCAGAATGATGTATGCCACTATCATGACCACCTCAGCAACCATGAGCATCTTCGCTCTCCCAAGCTTGCTTAGGATGGTGTTGTTAAAGAAAGCTGCTAGGATAAACCCCGCAGCCTGACCAACGAAGATAAGTGACATGATGGCGAAGCCGATATGATAATGAATCTCCATATACGGGATTAGTGCGCCAGTCGCTATAAATGTGAGAATTGGACCTTCGTCGGGCAAGAGGCAGGTATCAACATACCGCTATCATTCAGCCCATTTCCGAAATATATCAGACAACAGCTCAAGATCCTCCATTTGTTCACCGGTGGATCATTCCAAGTCTGCATCTGACTGAACGTATCCTCCATAGTTGGAGACGGCGGTCTACTCATCTCCAATTCATGCAAGCTTCGTGAGCGGTCTGATGGCAGTGGAGCCTGCATACTTGTTGGGATTTCCGCCACAGTTCGGGCTTTTGACAAGGCATGTGTAAATCCATCGTTGTTTACTCGAGTGGAAATGTCTCCCAGTCTAATGGTTTCTGGAGCCTGAAGAGCCTGCTTTCCTTCCTTAGAGTGAGCTGCTGCTGGACTCGGTATTGGCTCTGGCGCCGATTGGATGCGAAAGAGCCCATGAAATGCTGATGTGGACATGTCAAATGGATAAAAAAAATGATTGAGTATCCGTCTGTATGGCTCAACTGGTCGGCCGCCAACTTATTTGTATATGATAGTAGGATTCGAGAAATCAATGTTCGAAGAGAACTAGTGCGAAGTTGAATAGATAAATCGTGGTGGGTACTTGGTTTGCTGAATAATCCCATATGCAAGTGAGTCAATGACTGACCTCACTTTTACCAGCAAACTCCAAACGGTATCCCGATTTACTGCACTACATGCGTATGGTCCGATCTTTGTTAGCGGTAGCGCTGTAGACTCGATAAGAAAGCTGCTATCGACGGGATCTAAAACAGCAATCAATCCGCCTTCGCTTTGCTGAGAGAATTCTGTTCTCTGACCATTTCGCTTTTTCGAGAAGCCTAGATGGAAGAACAAGGAAGCATTTCCTTATTGAGTGGTAGTCCATAGTCACGTGCGACCTAGTGTGAGGTCTCGCGAGGGGCTCTGGGGAGCGATCTCACTGTACTGACTTGAGCGTCACCCCCGCCAAAAAATGCCCCGCCCGAAACGCGACCTCCTGGCTACGGTCGAACATACTCTGATACCTCCAGAGTCGCTCTCAGATGGAGAAGTCATAGCTCGAATCGTTAAAGCCGCTGGGAATAATCTGTACAAGGCGGAACTGCCTGGAGGAAAGCCTGTGCTCGTCGAGCTTGCGGAAAAGTTTCGATCGACGATATGGATAAAGCGAGGAAGCTACGTTGTCGTCGATACGACGGCACTGGCAGAGAGACGGAATAAACTCGATGGAGAGATTGTGAATATTGTACGGGACGAGAAGGAATGGAGGAAAATGAGATATTGGTAACTACGCGCACTGGCGCATTGGGTATTTTACAGTGGTGTTGACAGATAACAGGCCGAAAGAGTTCGCAAAGAAATCGACGTACCCTGAAGATAGCGATGACGAGGAGTCAACAGTTGGAAAGCTGCCGCCGACAGACTCGGACGAGGATTGAAGGGTTATCAATCAGCGTGTTCGTGGACCTCGGTGCCGTCAACAACGTCCGCGAACTCGCCCCGCGTCCCCCACCATGAACCGAAAACCGTGATAGCCAGGACTGCGACCACTGTCGCTGAGCTCGCAGGAGTACTCGGATACACATTCCATGCCCACTCCTGGGCCGCCCATAGGGCATACTGGATGATAGGGTGGAAACCGGCCTTCCAGAGTAGGAAAGGGGTGGTCCAAGCAATATAAGCATAGAACTGGTAATGGAGCGATCTTGCGCACAGCATGCCGATAGCTGTAGCCGTTAACAAAGTCGTCATTATCAAATCCGGGTTCACCCGTCTGGCAATGTCGTCTTGATCCCGGGGTTCATTACTGCGCAGCAGCTGGAGGAACTGGCGGGGTGACCGCCCAGAGGGCTTGATCCATCTTGTCGTTGCGAACCAAATCAGAAGTCCTGCATGGGCCGCCAAGAGGCCGATTGCGAAAGGTTTCGAGAGGAAGGTGGACTCATCAACGAATCTCCAATTGACCGTCCACTTGTAGAGGAATTCCCTGGTCAGCTCGAAAGCGCGAGAAAAGTATGATGGCGCCCTTTTGCGAAAGGGATAGCCATACCCGATCTGCATCTGTGTCAATGTCCTCGATCCAGAGAGCATGGCCATAAATCTCTGCACCTACCGAGACTTGGAAAATGATCATGGCCTGGGTGATCGCTTCTCTGAAACCCAAGGCTTGTACAGCAAGTATGCCAATAGCAGGCAAAGGCAGCAACAAGCTCATTTTTACATTGAGGCCTGTGGTGTAGAGGAACGTGCCCAGATGCCAACTATTCTTCTGATAGAAGTAGATTGCCGAAAACAGAAACAGGACAGCAAAACAGTCATTGAAGCAGCGTAGCATGAAGATGCTATGCAGCCGCTTTGACAGTATAAGCAGTGGAAAGACATATGTGGGAACCTAAAGGGTCTTAGCGCAAGGGCCAAACTGAGTGATTCTTTACGAACCTTTGCGGCTCGATAACATTGCATAACAATTGCTAAGGTGAGCAGATAAAGGAGCCCGAAAATGTATTGGGCAGTATGGATGTCGCGCCCCTGATCCGTGAGGCTGTACAAGATTCGGTAAATGAAGACATGTGCGGCAGGATAGACAAGAGGACCCGTGGATCCCACGATGTTCTTATAGTCTCTTTCTCCTTTAAGGTAGATTTCAATCTGCTCCATGTATGCTCTCCAATCAATTTCTGTGTCTGCCACGCGTCAGCCTTCTACAATTTGCTGCTGAAGAGCCACGAACAGGGGACTTTTTCTATTATTACTCCGCAAAGCGCTGCGTCTGCTAATAGCAGAAGAGGGTATATCCATCGCGTGTGTTTTGGGTTCGTGGCTATGTCTAGCCCTTGATTAATGAAATTCATGTTGATTGTGAGCAGTGGTGTTGTTGATGGATTGAGGTTCCAGTCTCCTAGGAACCTTCAATAAGGAGGAGCCAGTGTGTCACGTGGTGAACTCGATATCTGTTCGCAGTGGTTTCATATCTCAAACAGTAAGATGTTTCACGCACCTATGTCACGCGACGTGTGTTTGGTTGTTAAAAGAAGAGATGCCGGAATGAGAAAGTCCTATAGATTGACACCTCTCCCGTGGGCGGTGCTTGCTTCTATACCCAAATCGCTATGAACAATGAAAACCCTCTCCTCGCCCTTCTATCCAGGCAGGTCTATTGTTTCTCAAACACATAACCATGTGTGCTCTATGATTTTAGTCATGCCCATTCAGTACCTTCCAGCCGCTGCATAAGATACTCAACCTCAACCTCCTTGGTAAGAGGGATGACATAATCCTGTATACGATTAGCGTTGGTCAAGAATCTGAAAATCGGCGCTCTAACCTTGTACATGGCCACCACTGCGTCGGCATTTACCTTGGGTTCCCCATCAGAGCCCAACTCCGGATCCGTGCCATAAGTCTTCGCCTTCAATCTCAACCGCTCGAGTACCTTCTTCTCCACCTTGGCATCGGTGATAGCCTCATCGATGCCTTTCCTGTCCTCTGCCTTGATAAGCTTGACGAATCGCTCCGGCTCTTTCTGGAACTTCGCTTCGGCTACGAACTTTCCGAAATGGATGCGCCGCGATAAAGCTTGGAGGCACAGAACATCGCAGGTTGCTGCGGATCCATAGTTCTCCTGCTGTTCGCCCCTATCTTCCCGATCCGGGTGCGCGCATGCTGCGGGAAGGATATGATGGATGTAGCTTTCTTTCAACTTCGCATTTACATTGACGTTGTTTGGGTGTAGGATCTTTGGATAATTCAACGGCTTCAGAATCGGTGTTTGTAGGACGTCGGGGAAGAAAGGATACTCGTCCGGTGACTGGTATCGACGAACCAGCGATTGGAGTCGTTCCTGCTCGCGGAGCATCCAGTCCATCAGACTCAGGGAACTGTCGGGTATGTCGACTCCGCCTGGTTGGTATATCGTCTTGTTCAAGGCGAATTGGACGCGCTCAATAAGATGAAAGGTGATCGTGTCCTCTAACCGGCTGGTCCAGTCAGCATGGCTTTGACAGCAATCAGAGCGGTCCTGTACATGAGCTGGAAGCGGATGTTTGCGAGATCTAGCGCCTTGGAGGCGTCGGAGAGGTCGATCGCGGCGTCCATTGTAGCAAGGTACGAGTGAAATGAGAAGTTCAAGGTATGTGGCAGCGAGAACTAAGCAATATATGCTCCCTTATGAAGGAATTACGGTATGTGAAGTGTAAAGCAGCCATCCGGCATGTCTGACAAAGCTGTGGCAGCCGCGAGCAGCTCTCCCGAGGCCCCGAAGTTCGGATGACGTCCGGGGTACCGCGGTGCAGGAGCCGCATTCTGCTTTTGGAAATGTGCTCCACCAACCTTAGAAGAAACATATCCCCATTCACGTTACGCGCCGTCTGGCATTGAGCTCCATTTCCACATATCCTATCCTACGCGATTGACTTTGCACCCTTCGAGGATGGTATTCTACTAGTCACCACGTGCTCTCTCGTAACCCCATGGCCTCGTCCACCGGCAATGGCTCGCCACCACGACGAGGCAGGTCTACCAGCCCTCGGCCAAGGTCACCGACAGAGGATGACGACTCAAGCCTCCTCGGTCTCTCAGATGTGAGTGTCAGTTACTATTTGCGGAGAAGCTGTCACACCTAAACCATGACACAGACCAGACAGCTCCAGGCCTTCGGGCGCAAGGTAACAGCAACCGCGGGAAGCTTGATAGGAGCCGACAGTGTCAGTCAACACTATCAGAACGCGTTAGGCGACCTCCACAGGGAGCTCCGGCGCCCAGTCCTGCAACGATCCGTCTTCTCCTTCGCCCAAACGACACCTCGCGACTTGGTGCGCTCCCGAATATCCGTGCCAGAGATCCAGCAGCGCGCCTTATCATACCTCCCCGACGAGCTTCTTGAAAACATTCCAGAGGATAATAATGCGTACTCTCTTTTCCAAGGCTTTCAGGCCTCGTTGCCGGAGGAGAGTATTAGTAGGGAAACATATGGCAAACATAATGGAAGAGGGCAGAAACTTTTAGGGGAGGGAAGGGAGGAGGAAGCCCCATCAGCGCCGCCTTCGATGGTCAAGCTGAAGAATCAGAAACATAGCATGAGTCACCGGCTGGAGATGATGGGCGTGCGAAAGCACATGTGTGCAGCGGAAATACACGAGATAGACAACAAGATCGCGAACCTAAACACAATGCGCAAGATTGTCCTAGACCGGTTAGCTGCTTTGGAGCTTGAAGAGGCGGAAATCGAGCAGGATTTGCTGGAGGTGGAAAATAAGATCGAGGACCTCCAGGAAGAGCTGGAAGATGCTGCGGCCTTGGCCCCGAAATCTCCGGAGAGTCCTCTGTCAGTAGAAGAGCGGCAGGAGGCTACCGACGAGTTTATGTCCGAGTCTATATATCAGAAGCTACCGTCACCGAAATCGAAACGTCGGAGGCCGATGCGGAGGGTATCCATGCCCATCCTTCACGAGCACCTTGAACCTGGGTCAAAAATCAAAGAGTTGGAAGCGCATACCGATATAGTTACCGCACTGGACTTTGACGTGCCCTGGGGAACACTCGTTACATCAGCGCTAGACGATACTGTACGAGTATGGGATTTGAGCGCAGGAAGGTGTATTGGACTTCTGGAGGGTCACTTGTCTTCAGTGCGCTGCTTACAAGTGGAAGATAACATCGTTGCCACCGGATCCATGGATGCCACCATCCGTCTATGGGACCTGAGCAAAGCAGAATACGCTCCTTTGGACCACCGAACGCACGGGAGAGACGATGATGACGACGGTTTGGCATTCGAGAACTCCTCAGACGCACCACCCCCACCGCCTCCGACCATAATGCAAGACTGCCCACTCTTCTGTCTCGAGTCTCACGTTGCAGAGGTGACTGCTCTGCATTTCAAGGGAAACACGTTGGTTTCCGGCTCGGCGGACAAGACGTTGAGGCAATGGGATCTCGTCAAGGGCAGATGTGTACAAACACTCGATGTGCTATGGGCCGCAGCGCAGGCGACGGCAGCTTTGAACACAAATGCAAATGATCCGTGGCGGCAGACGGGAAGAGTTACCGACGCATCCGCCGATTTCGTGGGCGCACTCCAGGTCTTCGATGCCGCATTGGCATGTGGTACCGCGGATGGAATGGTACGCCTTTGGGATTTGCGAAGTGGCCAGGTCCATCGCAGTCTCGTCGGGCACACTGGTCCAGTGACTGCTCTCCAGTTTGATGACGTGCATCTGGTCACAGGCAGTCTGGACCGCAGTATTCGCGTAAGTCGATTTCCCATGACAGCATGAATAGTGACTGAATTCCACAGATTTGGGATTTGCGAACCGGCTCCATATATGATGCTTACGCCTACGATCATCCCGTCACAAGCATGATGTTTGATGCCCGTCGCATAGTTGCTGCAGCTGGCGAAGACGTGGTCAAGGTCTACGACAAGACCGATGGAAGACACTGGAACTGCGGTCCTGGGGTGGGCGCAGACGATGAAGATACGACATTGGCAGCGACTATTGAGAAAGTACGGATCAAGGAAGGCTACATGGTGGAGGGCCGTAGGAACGGTGCTGTTGGTGTGTGGTCCTGTTGAGCGTAACTCGTTGTATATACCAATATATAAACAAATCCCTTTTTGAAGGTTGCCCGTCATATGCAATCTCATATCCAACTCCACTAACTGTCCTTCTCGTCATGAGAGGGTGAGTCAACACAGCTGGAAAGGCCACCTTCGAATGCAAGGCACCGGATCTTCTTGATAATATCATCGTCATTGAGACATACGAACAAGCGGCCGCGGCTTACATCAAGGGTCTTGTTCCAATGAAACGGCCGCGGGTCCATTCTTTTGGATACTAAAATAAGCTTGATATAAATATGCAGAAACGGCCGCGGATCCAAGCTCAGTCACACCAGAACCTCTCACTTTGAGCTTTATTTCAATAAGCAGGTAGTAGCCGTGGTTTGCGGCGAAGCCTCCGGCTGCGGATACTCGGATCCGCATCTAAGTTCTTCTTGCCTCTTAATGAAGAGCTAATGCTGCGTAATGCGTCTGCATATCCACGAGTATATATAAAACTGTGTATTGTTAGGACCCTCGAAGTCGCGCCGAACACCTGGGCAAGTTGAGAAAGATCAGCCACATTAGTCAGCAGCCTCAGCCACATCTTTCGACCACCGCTACGTCATTGCACCCACAACTTGTGTGCGACACCAACATATTCCAGAGACATCTGGGAGGACACTCGTTTTTCATCGTTATCCCGCTCTACATGACTACTCGAGCTTGACGGCACGCCGAACTCGCCAATTGACACGTCCATTCAAAGATTGTGATCCCTCCCATCGCTCTCTGCCACGGTCGGTGGTCATGATCCTGCGGGCTGCCAGGCCCCTAGCACACGTTGCCAATGGGTCCTACAGAGTGGGCTTGACACAGCGCAAGCTCCCCCGCGCAGCCGTCACTCAGTTTCGAGCATCTTTCAGCAATAGCCGAGCACGTACCTTCTCCAAGCGCCCTGAACCGGCTACGTCCACGCAGCTTCCAAAGACCTTGATAGTACGATCGTGGAGACGGACGGCTTCTTCAGATGCCGCGGCGAACCAAAACCTAAGCCCGAAAACCAGGCCGAAATGGCTTCGCATCGTATCTCGATCGCTGGCCATGCTCGGCACCTTCGTCGTCGTCAGCGGATCGCTTGTCGTCGCCTTCTTCATCTACGACGCTTCAACGTACAAAGAGGGGGCAGATGTGCGGGATATACCTGTGTCAGAGTTGGCATTACACCCTAGAAGAGGAGGGCCGAAGAACCTACCCATTGTCGACGCCTTCGTTGACGATGATGAATCCGCGGAGTGTAGAGAGCTTAAGGAGAAGCCCAGATTGGTTGTTCTCGGAACCGGATGGGGAAGCGTGGCACTTCTGAAAACACTGAATCCAGGGGACTACCATGTCACTGTGATTTCGCCCTCGAATCACTTCCTCTTCACTCCCATGCTGCCGTCCGCCACAGTTGGAACCCTGGAACTACGTTCATTGGTAGAGCCTGTGCGCAGAATCGTCAGGAGAGTCAGGGGACACTTTATAAAAGCGATGGCCGAAGACGTGTGCTTTACGGAAAGGCTCGTCGAGGTATCGGCTGTGGGTGCGAATGGGGAGAAAGAGCACTTCTATGTGCCGTACGACAAGCTAGTTCTCGGAGTCGGCTCAGTCACGAATCCGCACGGAGTCGCGGGCCTTGGGAATTGCCATTTTCTCAAAGATATCAGTGATGCGCGAATGATCAGAAACGCCGTCGTTCGCAATCTGGAGACAGCATGCTTGCCGACCACCACAGACGAAGAAAGACGTCGGTTATTGTCATTCGTAGTGTGCGGTGGAGGCCCGACCGGCGTCGAATTCGCCGCAGAGCTTTACGACATGCTCAACGAAGACCTCCATAAATATTACCCACGATTGTTGCGAAATGAGATATCTGTCCATGTCATTCAATCTCGCGGTCACATTCTGAACACCTACGACGAAGCCCTCTCGAAATATGCCGAAGCCCGGTTCGCTCATGATTCAATCGACGTCCAGACTAACGCGCGCGTCAAGGAGGTCGAACCTGACAGGATTCTGTTCACACAAAAAGACGAAAACGGAAAGGTAGTCACAAAGGAGATTCCCATGGGCTTCTGTCTTTGGTCGACTGGCGTCTCTCAAACCGACTTTTCCAAGCGAATTGCAGCAAAACTAGAAGGTCAAAACAACAAACACGCCCTCGAGACCGACACCCACCTTCGCCTGGTTGGCGCACCACTAGGCAGCGTGTATGCCATCGGAGACTGCGCGACAGTCCAAAACAACATCTCCGACCATATCGTCTCCTTCCTTCGCACGCTCGCATGGGAACGCGGCAAAGACCCTGAGAACATGCACCTCACCTACTCCGACTGGCGGGGCGTCGCCAAACGCGTCAAGCAACGCTTCCCACAAGCCTCGGACCATCTCCGTCGCCTGGACAAACTCTTCTCCCAGTATGACAAAGACAAATCCGGCACCCTGGACTTTGGGGAGCTTAGAGAGCTCCTTCTGCAAATCGACTCCAAACTCACCTCTCTGCCCGCAACGGCACAACGTGCCCACCAGCAAGGCCAATACCTCGGCCGCAAGTTCAACAAAATCGCCCTGGCGACCCCTGGAATGGCGCTCAATGAAGTCCAGTACGGCGATCTGGATGATGCGACATATAAGCCTTTTGACTACAAGCATCTGGGATCGCTGGCGTATATTGGGAATGCGGCGATTTTCGATATCAACGGCTTGAACTTTAGTGGCGGGTTGTTGGCGGTGTATCTGTGGAGGAGTATATATTTCGCTCAGGGGGTGAGTTTCAGGACTAGATGTCTTTTAGCTATGGATTGGAGTAAGAGAGCGCTCTTTGGGAGAGGTAAGTCTTTGATCCTGTTGGGTATCAGCGAGCGAGGATGGCTGACGATTGACAGATTTGATGAACTTCTGATCATTGGTGACTGATTGCCTTTTCTACTGTAATATGCCCTGAACAACTGAGGGGCAAGACTCCTTCTATTTAGCCATTTCCCTTATGTTATCCTCCTCACTAACTCGAGCATGGCGCGGTTACTGTTAATCCGATCTATCGATAGTCCAAGAAGTATTTATTCCAGGCATCCAATATAGCTCGGAGTATAGACTCTCTCCTCTATAATCTAAACACAACTCCCGTGCTCCATTATGAATATATACCATTAGCCTCGCCGAACTCCTTCGAGAAACCGTTTCCAACCAACGACGCGCCTACACAAGTCCCAAACAGATCAAGAGATCGGGTATCGAGCATTGAACCTTCTCCCCAAATACCACGCTTTGTAGCAATGAAATATTTCGAAGATCCCGATGGCGTCGTCGCTCATGAAAAGACCCAAGTCCACCCTCTGAAAGCTTAGAGTCCGCACCTTCGCTTAATCGCTCGATGTCAAATGCCCGAATCCCAGCCAAACGGACCAATACGTTCTCCGAAGGAAAACAAGCCATTCATCCCTCATAAGAAATAATCCGCCACAGGTTTCTTCGCCGGCATCCCCCTGCTATCCTGTGGCGCCGCCTCGAACACGCGATACCTCCTCCCGGGACCCTCCAACCTCTTCTGCACCAACGGCGCCTTCAACCTCCCCGCATCCCCATTACTCCTCCTCACATACCCCTCATTGGAGCCATCTTCATCCAGCTCCAAAATCGCAGCGACATTCCCGCACCGGTAGCAGTAATTCGGCGCCGACCAAACCGTCACAATGGTATTATCAAACATCTCTTTGAACCCCTCCATAACGAGCTGGTGCGCCCGAGCAATGAGGCTGAGGTCGTTCTGATGATTGAAATGCTTGACGATGTCGGCGCCGAAGAGGAATCCAGCGCCCCGCGGAGAGAGGCCCCAGCCGTCGATTTCGTCCGGGTCGGACCAGAGGAGGTCGCACATGGCGCCTTCGTGGGGGACCTCTTGTTTGCGGTCGAGCAGGCGGATTTTGTCGATTTTGTCTATTAGCGGGGAGAGGCCGCCGTGGACGCAGAGGACGGCGCCGCCTTCGTTGTGTGTGGAGCCGTTTGCGGAGCTGGTGGCGCCTGTGCCTGCGGCGCCGACGCGGGAGGGCGTTGTGGAGGCGTTGGGGGAGGAGGGAGGGTTAGAGGTGGGTTGGGAGGATGCTTGGGGCGAGGAGTTGCGGGCGTAGCGGTACATGATTTCGCCGGTGGAGCTGAGGGTTTCGATTTCGAGCTCAGCGTCCGGGTCGGGGAGGGTGTCGGCGTTGAGAGTGTCGGAGAGGGGGCCGTCGGTCGGCGTTAAGGAGGTCGAGGCGCCCGTGACGAGGGCGCCCAGGGCGAGGTAGTCGAAAACATCGCAGCAGTATCTGGACGGTGTTAGGATGCGGAGGACGAGGGATATGGTCGTAGGCTGAGATACCTCCAGACGTTTGCACTACCGTACTTCCTAAGGCACTCATCGTAAAACCCATATACTGTTGTTATCTGTCGAGACTCATGATTGCCTCGGATGAGGGTTAGGCGGTCTGGGTATCGAACTTTCAGGCAGAGAAGGAGGAGGAAGGACTCTAGACTATAGAACCCACGGTCCACAAAGTCGCCTACTTAGAGTCAGTACCTATGTCGGCTTACGGTATGCTGTCCAATGGTCTCGTACCCATGAACAGGTAATTCGTATCTGGTACATCGCCGCCAACACGAAACAACTCCATGAGATCATGGAACTGGCCGTGTATGTCGCCGCATATCTATAGCACCAAAACGTCAGCCGCTATTGTCCTATTCGCACAGGCCCATAACGTACCGTCACCGGCGCATTCACCCCCACCACATTCCCCTCTTCTATGAGTAGCTCGCGCGCCTTGTAGCAGAGTTCGCGGACTTGGTTCTCGGGTATCGGACGACAGGCGCGAAGCTGTGCGATAGCTCTTTTAGAGAATTAGAATCTGTATGGCGCAGGTAAGGGTGGAAATTGTACTTGTCGAGGTCGCTGCCGCCGATACTCATGGCTGCCACTTGGGCGGCGAAAGCTCCGCAGCCCGACTCAAGTAAATGATTCCTATAAAGATGTGGCTTTGCGGCGCAAATAGAATGTAATAATGGGAGTGGGTCGAAGAACTTGAACTTAGGCGCCCGTGGGGAAGAGTAGTTGTTGCTGGGATGGAAGCTTGACAGCGGCGACTTTCGACTGTCGGCGTCAACTCCAAGTAATCATCAACTGTCGTCGGATCTTTGATTGACAGGGATGCTCGGGACGGGATCTTGGCGGTCGGTCTTTCACGTGCGCCTTCTAATACATGACTAATGATTGCTTCAAATTTTAGCGTTCTGGAATTTAGGCTATGATTGATCCTCAAGGTGCCAAGTCATTGGTCAATAATCCAGCAGTGAAATCATACCAATTGCAGGAAGCTCCAGAGGACGTGTGGAAGCATCCCACTTCGCAACACAGCTCCACCACGGGCGTTTGCCCTTGTATAACGCCAGAACCTGCTCCAGGCATCTCAATTGGGCCCGTACGCTTCTATTCGACCTTCAATTGCATTTAGACGGAACATTGACCGCCAAAACAGAGCCCAGTGATGCCGTCGGACAGCCGAACATGCCTCCGCACCTACACCCCCGGTCACGAATGACCACCTCGCTCTTCACCACGACCCTCGCAGTATCCTTCCTCGTCGTCGCGACGCCTCACATTCTACCTTGTCCAGTTGACCCGCGAGTGATGGCAGATTCTACAGATCCAGATGCGTTCTCAGGGAAGAGGAGACGGAGGAGGATACCGAGGGAAGAGACTTGTAACGATGTCATGAGCGAGGAGCGGCGGAGAATCAAACAAGAGATTGAGGATTGGAAGGTGCCAAAACGAGAGTGCCCTGTGCCAAAGCCGGGCGGTCTGATTGGGCAGGTTCTTGGTATTAGGAAGGATAGCGAAGAGGCAGAGGTGGAGGAGTCGAATTTGGAAAAAGAAGTTGTGAGGTTGCGAAGGAATGGACCGGAGAGGTAGCGGAAAGACATGAAAGCGACAATAACGGGAGGCGTCAGAAGAACCCGTCTGACAGAAGTTCCGGCACTGCTACAGCGACGCGCAACGAGCACCACAAGAACTCGACGGCATAAAGGCATCGGGGCTCCACATGTACCATATGTATACAATATTCTGCTACTCGAAAAGAGCACAGGCTGTACAAATCATAGAGAATTCAGGGTTCACGACATCCAGACAGTAAGCCGTTTCTCTGGAAGGCATCGCGCACTTATCGCTTCTGCATGGATACTCTCCAGCAAAATCAGCTCTCCTTTCCATCAGTTTCGATTAGAAGGGGGTATACTGTCGGGGAATATGCTTTTCGTTGAGAGCCAATGCGTGGGGGCAGCATTTAATTGGGGAATGTGCCGCTGCACTGTGAGTATGCGTGTGGTATATTGCATGCTTTGTCCAGCGTAAGACTGACCGGATTGCACAGATAACCCAGCTCCGTACGCAGATCTCAAGGTGATAAGTCATCCAGCCACATAGCTACCATTCCATGGCTTTGGCCGGCTGTGCCTGCCTCTTGAATTGAATTCCACCAAATCGGTAAGCCTCACAGCTGAAATGGCCGCTGTGTAATGGAGGACCCGCAGCTGCTTCAGCCTCATGCGGCGCTTACAACAAAGGCTAGTCACTGCCTCGTGAACGTGCGTAGCCCTCGAAGCACGGTGAAGTTTTAATTCTGTAAACCAACTCACCCCCGGACCAGACATCCGCGATGCCTTCGAAATCGCTTCTTCGAACCTTCCGTCTTGGTTTCGACCCTTCGTCTTCACATAGGTTGGTCCGGACGTCCGGATACACACTTCCCATCCCATTGCGGAAATGGGTAAAGGTTTGACGACTGCGATGTGGACGAATCCAACAGCCGGAATCGAAGTCGTCTGATGTTAAGCGTCCTCTTCGTCCGAACTTCGTAGCGGCAGCACGCTACATCAAGAGCTTCTTCTATGGTAAAGATTTTGTTTGGGCAGCAATTGGTGGTCTGGTGATGCTTTGTTTGGGCCATCATCGTCGGGAGATGTTCGACATCCACATTGTGTACGATGTTGCAGATTACCGGCGTATGAAGCTCAAGCTCGAAGCAGACAGGAGGTATTTATTGAGTTTACTCCCTAGATACATTAACTGACGTCGCAGGGCGACGCTACCGGATGGAATGAACTCGCTTCTACCATCGAAAGTCCTACTCAGAACTGGACGATTCGTAAAAGATCCCGGATGCACGGAAGATTTAGATGTGGAAATCAATCTAGTTCCATCAGGTGAGGACTTAAAACGGTATACATGTTTTCTCGCGCTTATGGTGGTCAGGAAGCCTTTGAACGCCCCGCAATGATCTTCTTCGCAAGAATCAGGTGCTCCTAGGACTAAACCTCGATGGAAAAATGTCTAGTTTCAGAAGCCTAAATATGCTCCATCTTATGAGATCTTCATGAGCTCTTTGCAAAATACAGGACCTTGCATGCGATCCCGGAAACCATATTGCGTTCTTATGCACCTCATATCAGCAAGAGATCGACGCGCTTCGATCAAAACTTAATCAAAATCAGTTCCACAGATTGTTTCTCTCGACGCCGTTCTATTCTCAGCTCAGCAAGACAGCACCTTCGGACCTAGGAGTCTACAGTACCGACCGTTACCGTGACGAGCCGGCTTGGCTTGAGTCCATCTCTCCGGTCTCTAGTGTCCTCTCCACAACTTAAAGAGTATGCCGCAGCAGTCATCACTTATTAGTCCTTCTCCTCCAACAGAAAATCCTGCACAATCGAGTCAATCAACTTTGTCAAAGCCATCATCCAGCAACATCATGGAATCGTCAGCAATCAGTCCGAAAGTTACACCACGGAGTGGCGTGCAGGAAGAACGTTATCGGCCCTATACTGAAATCAATGGTTCCAGAGGTGTGTCAGCTGCACATGTCCGCTCGAGGTCTGCGGATGCCCGCCTGCCTGGCAGCAACATAAAGTAGAGATTGTCTTCCATTCAAAAAGGCCACATTTGCCATTTCGAGTCGGCCAACGTTACTATGCCACTGATTTGGCTCCTGATACTCGGGAGGAATCAGGGAGCCTTCCGATTTCTGAACAACGTCGACAAACGTCACCTCCACTCGAATCACATCCGGAGACAAATGCGAACGTCTCCTCACAGGCAGTCTACAACCGTTCATCCAACCAACCTTCGTCCACTAAAAAGCAAGGTGTAGAACCCGCTTCGCAGGCCCAACTCTCGCCCGTCACATCCCAACTCCGCGTCATTGGCCCCGAGAGCATATATTCTCCGCCGAGAAGCATATTCCGGCAACCAAAACCTTCATCAAGCCATTCCTCTTTTGCTCTCAGTGCAACCACCTCGTCAGTCCCACCATCACCGCATTCCCCGTATCCGGGCGCAATTGTATTACCAACCTCGCCTCCTACGCCCCAGTCCCAAGTTCCGTCGACTCCGCTGCCTTTTCCGAGTATGCATCCTGCATCCCTTATGCCGGGATCCCAGGGCAAAAGTATCGCCGAAAGAAGGATTGCACGACAAGGAAGGGGATAGTCTCGAAAGTTTGGCGGATCCGAGGTCGTGCCGCCCCCTCTCCCTAGCGGAGATGCGTTCGACTTAGCTGTTACGCATGCATCTCTCCGGCAGGCAGCGCTCTCGGAGATATACACGGCCAATCGGACCTTCTCGTCGCCACTTCGCTATGGAGAGACTAATTGGGAACGCGTAGGGGTGAGACGACATGATGAGCACAAAGAAGGCGATCAAGGGTTGATTGTCTGTCACAAGTGTGAAAGAGACGTCGTATAAGGTATATTCACCGTCTAACTCCGATATGGTTACATCGCTGATTTCACAGCTTGTAAGATGTCCTCTTGACTCACTGTGCTACGATCAATGAGCAACAAAGCTAAGATGGTGATATTTACCATGATGTTGCTGTAACTTCTAAAGGCAGGAAAACAGCATAGAATGGCATCATTAACAATCACATGTAGCCAGCATCATCGAGATCGTTTACGCCTAGCATTACGGAAGGGCCGATGATACCTCACACAACCCCTCACAGCTCGAATACAAAACCCCGCGCGTTCTGCAGCATCTCCAACTTTCCCATTCACCAAACTCAGCTGAGAATTGCTAAGGACCATCACCCGGAACCTCAAGAAGGAGCTCTCTATCTAAGATGTCTGTCCTCATCTAAACTTGCTTCACATCGGACCTCAGAATGCCTCGTCACTTCGTTACCCTCAACGTCCAGGACTTCAAATACAGAATAGAAAAGGCTATACTTCAACTTTTTCCGTACTTCGAAGAGCTGCTGGCCAAATGCGACGACCACAGCGACATGCAGGAGGATGGATCCTACTTTGTTGACGCGGACCCCGACGTGTTCAAACACATCGTGGCCTTCATGCGGCGGCCAACCAAATTTCCCCTGTTTTGGACAAAGGAAGCGGGCTTCGATTACGCCCTCTACAACAAACTCGAAGTAGAAGCGGATCACTTCCGCCTCTGGGACCTGCGCGACTGGATACGAGAGAAGCGGTATCTCGACGCTGTCAGAAGTTTCGTCGAGATCAAGGTGTTGTCTGAACAGGAGGTGGAAGATGGCTTCCACTATCAACGCACGGGGGCGGACTTGACAGTCCAGGGTTTTTTGGGATTCTACTCGGGGGAACCGGGGTATCGGAATCCGTGCCCACTGCATCCACGCAAGGCAGACCCAACCTGCGCACCCTGCTCGGACCTTGTACGAGCTCATGGACTGCGATATTATGATGCCCCAAAGATGTTCACCTTGGTGACGAGAGATATAGTCTTCGATGAGACGGTTTGTGTGAACGCTTGGCGTCGTCCGGAGGATGGTTATGGACCGGGTTACGAGTCTGATGATGAGAGTATGGAAAGAGGTCATCAGGAAGATGAGGAGAACTTCAAATACGCATAAAATTGTAGGTCCTTGATATCTCCATATTCCTTAAGGCAATTCTGATGTGGGAGTCACAAGACAGTGTACCCGACGCGAAACGGTCTAAACAAGAAATACCCTCGGTTGCCTGATTCACTCTCTTCCCTCTGTTCTACAGACAGGTTATAATATTGCTGACGGTATGCGGCAATCCTGGAACCTTCTTTGTCATCATTGTTCGCTACGTATTACTTGTAATCGAAAACGGGGTGGATATAATCAGTCATTTCGCATGGCTTCCCCTATCGCGAGATTAAAAGATTTTCAACAAGGTGTCAAGATAGAGGTAAAATGGATAATAAATATTGGTTTGAATAATCGGAACCTCGAGATTTTTCCTGTCTTCAGACGAACACCTGTACACGACGATCAATGGGAAGGGGTATCGCGGTCTATGCTTGGACTTCCGCACCACGCCAAAGTCGTCTTGCAAACCTGCGTATTCGAATCCAACCACTGTAGCCTACTGGCCTCCACTGCAGAGCATCAGCACACGAGCTCCCTCCAATGGAAACTCACTTGGACAGACCTCAAGATAGGATCCTCCTTCGGACATATGCTCGATCCCAGAGTCATTTGTGAAGGCGGTAGGTCATAGCTTCGGTGACTCACGCCCCTGCACGGGTGCCGGCTGGGGTTCCGGGGTATCGAAATCGATGATGAAGCTTTCTTCGCCGTTGAATTTCCTGGAGGATCAAACCGTCAGTAATCCGTTCGAAACAGTGACCAGTTAGATAGCCATATGAGGAAAAGTCTATGCGTCGACTTGAGTGGAAATACTGGGCTCGACGAGGTAGTTTCGTGCGCGGCAGTCCTTTCGATGGTGCCAGAAAGTCCTAGAAAGTTGACAGGTGAGAAAATTGACTTGAATAATGACTTTGGAACGACGAAAAGAAAGAGAACAGTGGAAAGAAGACCACTGTGACCACAAAAAGAAGAGGAAAGGGAAGAGAAGAGAAAAGATAAAACAAAGGGGAAAGAGAAAGAACGAAAAGCCAAAACTGAGAAATGGGGCAAACAGCAGCAAGGAAGAAAAAGAAAAACTTACCATCCGCGCTCTGCGCCCGCAGACAAGAAATGCGTCTCCGCATTCCCCACACACTCCCAATTACCCACCGTTGCCTCCGACTTACGCTTGAAAGTCGACAAGGACGCCGTGTAGCACTGAAAATCATCCTCGTCGAGATTCTCCGGCATCTTCCCAGTCAAAACGCGGCCGAGCGCGATCATGGTCGCAGCATGTGTGCACAGCAGCAACGTCTTGGGACCCTCGGGGTCCTTGTCCAAAGTCTCAATGATATGAGAAATGGCGTTCTTGACGCGCTCGTGCAGCTCGAGGATCATCTCGCCTTTTGCATGCGGCTTGTACTGGCCCTCGTACTCATGGTCAAGAGAGTCAAAGAAAGGTTGAAGTACCTTGAGATCGGGCGGCGTGGGGTGCTCGAAGAACGCCTTGCCGTAGAACTCGCCCAGTCCGTGATCGACGCGGATCTTACCGCCCGCTTTACCTTGGGCGAAGAGGCGCTCGGCGGTGGGTTGCAGCGTTTGGATGCATCGGTACATAGGGGAGGAGTAGATGCGGTCGACGGGAGGGTCAATCTGGCACAGGTAGTCTGCTAGCTGTTCGGACTGCTGGACGCCATAGGCCGTCAGTGGGACATCTGTTGGGATGCCTGTGGGAGGGAGGGGATTGGCTGTGTATACGCCGGTCTTGGGGTCCACAGTGAAGTTTGATCGGAACTGTAACCTGTTAGTGGGGAGTGCTGAAAGGGAAGGAGGAGGGGATGATGAACCCCTTGCAATGGCGAGATTCGCCGTGGAAGGGGCAGAAGAGCGCATGGATGTGCGACTTACCGCGTGCCGAGTGACATATATCGTCTCCAACATCTTGAAACTAGAGGTTAGCAGTTGAAGTGAGGTTTACTCTATCGTGCACTGTGATGGTTGAGTCGTTTTATATGTGCCTCGGCTTTGGGAAATCGTTATCGATAAGCGACTGGTGCGTGGGGTTGTGGTTGGATTCGTAGGTACGAGGGGTTGCATATATAGGTCTCGGTCTTCAGGGTATGAAGGATGTCGTCCATTGCAGCAGTTCGTCACTGGGGAACGTCGCTCGCTTGAGGTATTTCCGTCATTGTTGTTTTCCCATACTCGGACCACATTGAAAGGGAAACATTCATTGAAGAACGTTCACACAATGTGAACCCTTTCGTCACTCCTACAATGACCCTTCAATGTAATTGTTAAGTCGAATGAGAAAGTCTACAAAGTCAGTTGACATCACGTGGAGGTCGTATACCAAGGTCAAAGGTTGTCGCTGGTTCGAAGTCTGTACGGGGACGGCAAATTCCATGGTAGCGTCAAACCCATCAAAATGGAGAAATGTAAAATCGATACCTCATGCGACACCAGTCAGCAGCGAGGTTCGACGCATTAGGACGGTAATGAAGCCTTTAGTCAAAGAGTATACCCCAGTATATTGTCAGATAGAACTCTTCTACTTTAGCAGGTGTTATAATCATCAGGTGGAGATAGGCAAACAAACTCACGCATCTTATATAGGAGTCACTGTTTGCGATTTGCCAGTCTCAAAAAGCGATAAGACAGTTCCGCATCTAATCACTGTCAAAGCGAGAACACCAAACCGTAGCAATTCCTGTAGAATGTCAGGTCTAGGATGTGGAAGCGGTCCGTGCACATTCACGCGCAACCGCGTCACCGCGTCAAACGCGTCTTCCCACTCTTCCATCACCCATCTACAACCCAGTACTCACCAATCCTCCAAATCGCTCTCAATCCTACCCTGCTTCCGACAACAAACAAATCACCACCAAACTATCCAAAATGCTCTCCATCCAAACCCCCTCAACCTCCAACCCCCAAAAATACACCCCCAACCTCCTCCCCGCACGCATCCACCACGACGGCCCCATAAACGATCCACAGCGGTACTGGACGCCTGAGAAGGATGAAGACGGTACGTTCACATTGCCGATTCAACAATTCAGCAATTTGAATTCTAGGCAGAGATAGGAGACTGGTGTAATTATAGTAATATATGCGGATGCTAACACACCCCAAGGGACCCTACACGCCTACTTTCGCGGCCGCCACCTGCACGGCACATCCCTCGCACTACCCGCAAACTACACCGGCGCGGTATTGAATATCACTGATAAACAACTACCTCCCGAGCCGCAACGCTCACACCGTGAACAGAGTAGAGACGCAGGGGAAGAAGAAGACGATGAGGAGGAGGAGGAAATTGAAGAGGTGGACGTTAGGATAGCGGAGCGGATAGGCGAGTTCGAAGAGGTGGTTGTGTGGGGCCATGGAGGGAGGGTGGATGAGGGGGAGGATGTTTATGTGAGGGGGGTGAGGGAGTGGATTGGGTTTGCGGAGGCGGTGCATGCGGAGGAGGACGAAGAGGGAGAGGAAGTGGGGAGGAGGGAAGGGAAGGGGGAGTGAATGGAGGTTGTGGGAGTCTACCCGTGGACAGATGGGAGAGGAGGAGAAGGGACCCTAAGAAGGGAGTGTATATGATACCCAGCACTGCCTTCGCATACAAAACCGCACGCGTAATCGAGCGCAAACACCTATTTAACAACAAAGCTCGCGCACGTTATCTCAAGGCCCGCATCTCATACGCTTCATTCTCGCTTCCTAGCACCTCCCACGCAAGAAAGCGGACGGCATGCATATAGGGCCTTCATATATATCCAGGATTCAGAGTAGGCGAGGCGAAGGATGTTAACTTGGATGAGGAGAGCGGGCTGTTGGTTGTCAAAAAAGCAAGGCTCTGGGAGTTCCCTAGTGTAGTTTGCATGTATTGTCGATGGATATATATATTTACGTAGGTATTGTAGGTATCCTTCATGAACGCCAGTGGCCTGCGTACTGAGTACACATTCTTTTTCTTTCTTTGGCTTACCTTGTCTATACTTTCCCATTCTCCCACATTCTAAGCCGCGATACTTAAAACACTGCTGTCTGTGCTCTCCCTCCTCTTCCTCCCCATCTCCCTCGCCTGCTCCTCCAACCCACTGGGTCAACAACCACAAATGCACCCTCACTCACCACCCCAACTCCTTCCACCATAAGATCCCTACTTTTCCACCATAATTGCCTACTTCCCCTGCCCCCCC